GGCTTTCCACCTGAGGCAAATTATTTGTTTTTAGGAGATTATGTGGATAGGGGAAGATAGTCTCTTGAAACCATATGTTTGTTACTTGCTTACAAAATAAAATATCCTGAAAATTTCTTTTTATTACGTGGAAATCATGAGTGTTCATAAATCAACCGTATTTATGGGTTTTATGATGAATGTAAGAGAAGGTATAACATAAAATTATGGAAAACCTTTACTGATTGTTTTAATTGTTTACCTGTATGTGCTGTGATAGATGAAAAAATTATATGTATGCACGGAGGGTTGTCACCTGAATTAACAAATTTAGAATAAATTCATAGAATTATGAGACCCATTGAAGTACCTGATACTGGGCTCCTTTGCGATCTATTGTGGTCAGATCCAGAAAAAGACATGCAGGGTTGGCAAGGTATTATCTTCACTTATTTTCAAAAGACAATGAGAGAGGAGTGTCTTACATATTTGGTCCAGACGTAATAGCTAATTTCTTAAAGAAAAATGACATGGATTTAGTTTGTCGAGCACATTAAGTAGTCGAAGAAGGTTATGAATTTTTCGCAAAAAGATAATTAGTAACCTTATTTTCAGCTCCCAATTATTGTGGCGAATTTGATAATTCAGGTAATAAAAAGGGATAAAAGAATAGGTGCATTAATGAGTGTTGATGAGACATTGATGTGTTCATTCTAAATTCTAAAGTCTTAAGAAAAAAAAAATGTTCCTTAAGCTAGACCAAGAACCCCTAAATACGTTAATTGAATTAAAAAGTTTAATTTAACATGAAAGAAATTTAACTTATGTATTAATTAGAATTTCAAAATAAAATAGTCTTAGAATAACCATAACAAAAACGAATTCTTTTTATATTTCATTTTCCCTTCTTTTTCATGAAGAAATGAGAAACCATCATTACGAATATACACGATTTTAATAAATCTCATAGCAATAGATGGCTATAACTCGAATTATCCAAATTTTGTTTGTTTTTCTTATGAAAATAGAATATGTTCAAAGTTGTGAAACAATTTCTTTAAAGAAATATTTCAATCATATGAATAAATATGAATATCCGTTATCCTCACTTTCAAATAGAATTGTTCTGGATTGTACTTAGATACTCAATTATATGTTTTAATTGATATTTGATATGAATTATTAGAATAAAAGTAGATATTCTATAAAATAGATATTATATATATATAAGCATAAATAAATTTATATTTCAATTCTAGGTATTTCTATTTGATTTTTTAATTGATGGAGTGAATTTTAAGGAAATAATTTGGCATTTTTGATATAGTTGAAATGTAATTAAATGATAAAGTATGAATGTATTGGTTGAATCCAGATAAGGCACTAAAAGAATTATAATCATTATTATTTATCTTATGATTTATATTATTTTTCTTGTGTGTTCTGCATTGGGTGCTAAATCAAGCAGATTTCTCAATCCAAAAACAGATGTCATAAGAGAAACCATATAAGATTACAATTACATGGCTAATTTAAATTAGTCCATTTTATTCCAATATGCTAAGTATTATAAAGAATAATTAGTTATTATGGCACATACTCTATGTCATTGAAATCAGAAGGCAAGAATGAGATTCCTTTAGCATAATCAATTGATGGCAATTTCAGTTAAGGATGTCATCCATATTCAAGAAAAATAGCATAATAATAATTATTTAATACAACACCTCGTCTGCCATTTGAAACCCCCGAAACTCTTCAAGGAATAATCACATCAGTTTATGCTGCAAATTATTTTGTATTTATTTTGAGGAGTGATTTTAAATTGTTCATCATGAAGATAGATTACAATAAATAGCATAATGATATTATAGACTTTACATAGCATTAAATAGTAGATTTGACGAAAGAGTTTGATAATATAAATGAAAAGTCTTAATTATTAAATTCAGAACTGTTGTGTAGTCAATACTTGAAATAAGGAGGGCAAATATTTTGTTTTATAATAAGTGAGTACGGGGTTTTACAATTCTCCTATAATTAAATCGAGTAAGTTATGTAAATTATTGTAGTGAAAATATGGTTTCAATTTCCAAATTATTCAACCTGAAAAAGGAAACAATCAATCACATATTTTTCAGCGATGAAAATGAGTTATTATTTATAACTTATCCAACAGCAGGAGTTGATGTCTATAAAATGAATCCAAGTGGCGATTTGTAGTTAATAATAAACATAATACCCAACGGATTAACAAACTTAAAGTAAGCCAAAATGGATGAAGCTTCCAATTATCTCTTCATTCTAAATGAACGATTGGGAGTTCATATATATAATTTCAATAAATAAACCTAATCTTTCTAAGAGAATAATATGTATATTTATATTAAAGGAGGAGATACATTTGATTTTCACAGAAACACTATGTTCATTCTAGCTTAAACTGAAGACTCATTATAATATGCTTTAGAGATATTTATTGATTTCAAAGAGGAATAATATTACTTCAATTAAATACATTCATTTGGATAAGATGTCTATGATGTTTACGTTGGAAATTTGTTTGTTTTATTTGTTGGTTCTGATCGCTTGCATTAAGTTATATATCACTCTGTTTACAAAGATTTTGATGCTCAACATGAATAATTTTATTTCTCTGACATTGATTTGATCTAAGTAGATGAATTGAATCCTCCTTGGAAATAATAGTTGTACAATGGGAAAGCTTTTGAAGATGGAATTTTGAGCTAAGTAAATTTGACCTATACAGAAACCTTCTTAGTTGGCATATCAGAGAATGAAGTGAGTTTGTTTAGAATCAGATTGATACCTCCTTGGGTACTCTGCACTGCTTTCGAACCTAAAATTGAAGTAATCATTTGAAATAACAATAGTATTATTCGTTAACACTAAATTCTACTGTTTGTCCATCATTAAAAGATTAAGTTTAAAATCAATTTAAATATTGTTAAGTATAGGCAAATTTCAGTTTTGAAGGAGTTAGCGTTTTGATGTATGAAGAACATTAATCCTATTTTATTTTAGTTGTAATAATCTTAATATCAATGATCTTGATATTATTTATTACTCTATTAATATGCAGAAAGAGATTATACCAAAAATTAAGTGATTAAGAAGAAAAGTAAATTGAAGAATATTCTAAAAGAGAATAACTGTAATTGGACACAGAAAATATTAAAACCATGATTTGAGTTTATAATTTTAACAATAAATAATTTATTTATTAATAAAATGTCATAAGAAAAACTGTTGTAACACACTGAAGATGAGCCTCAATCATATGCTTAACAATATTAAAAACAAAAATAATAGAGTCCTCAACCATTAGAAGAACAATTCGAATCCAAAGATCCATAAAAGGAAGAATTATTGAAGAAGATTGAAATTTTAGAAACAAGATTAAAGAACACCATTGATGACAAACCCTACAGTGAATTAATAAGAATCTTAATCTGGGAAGCTTTAGGAACAGCATTTTTTGCATATGGAATTGTATGCTCAAGAGGAAATGATGTAATGCTAAGTGTTTATCTATTTGGTGCAATATTTTTGATTGGTAAAATCACAGGGGGACATGTAAATCCAGCTGTCTCTATGTCCTTCTATAGTTCTAATGAAATCAGTGCTTTCACAATGAGAGTCTATTGGGCTGCTTAAGTAGGTGGAGCAATAGCTGGAGCTTTGGCAGCATTTGTTATTGTCGGCAGAGTTACATCTCCATACATAGCCACCCAACCCATAGAATGGATGATAGCCGACTTTTGCGGAGAAGTAACACTCATTATAGATTATCTAGGCTCTTGGAACTTTTATCTTTTGCTTATTTATACACATTTAGGTTCATCCATAAACTTAATTGACAGATAATAATCTAATCGGTATAGGAATCATTGCCACTGCTTTATACTTTGGAAGAATTCTGACTTATCACACTGGAGGTTAATTTTACTATTATAAAAGGGTGTTTAAATCCAGCTATGGGTGTAGGCTTGGGAATCTTTGAGTCTTTATAAGATGGCAATTGGGACAGATTAATTAACATATGGATTTACATTTTCGGTCCTTTTTCTGGAGCTTCCTTGGCTTCCGAATTTTATAGAAGTGTATATGTAGGATTGTTGCCTAAGAAATAATGATATATCATCAATATACAATTCATAACTAAATATTTGCAATTTAATAATAAAGTAAATAGAAAAGAATTGTTAAAAATCATTAATTTGCCATTGAATAACAATAACATTAATCTACAATCCAACTTGTAGTTTTAATGATTATTTAATTTCTTGATTTCATATTAATTTCTCTTTATTATTTATCCCCTAATTTATTATAATATAGTACAATTTATATTAATTAGAAACTTTTTATAATGATATTTTGTTTATATTTACTCTTTTTTATTGAGAGGTTGTTTTATTTATAATAATTTAATTTGTAATTATTATGCTAAAATAATTTTTATAAAACAGTGTTAATTGTTGTAACATACCATTTCTAAACACTTACAGAATAATTCTCTATTAATTGAATCAATTAGAATTTATCTAAATCTCAGTGACATAAAGTAATTGAAGGTGATATCCTAAGAGTCTTAATCAAATTAATTGAAGGACAAAGCTGATTGTGCTTAACTAAATTTTATTTGTAAAGTTTAATTTCAATCAGTTCTTATTTTGAATTACTTTATATGAAAGTATCAATTAATTTATTATTATTTTAATTAAAAATGGATTGTGAACTTGAAATGACTTGCATCTCCTAAACTAATCAATTTATTATTGTATGCTATCCAGGTGAGATTTTACTTTAAGACAAATAAACTAATGCTAAAATAAAATATACATAAGGACATTTACTGGTTTAAGAAATAGCTTTTGATCAGGACACTTCTAAAATAGCTGTAAATCATGAAGATAATTCAATATTGATTTTGCAAGTTCATACTTCTGGAATTATAAAATTATTTTAAAGCCCTCCTGCACATTTTAATAGAATAAAAGGCTTGATATTTTTTGAAAAAGGAAAGAAATTAATTTCTTGTAGTCATGATGAAATGATATTTATTTGGAATTTGGAGACTTTTGAGGTTATTCATCAAATTGATTAGTTGAAAGGAAAAATTTAGCATTAGCTATTATTTCATAACTAAAAGTTTCTTACCACCATAAGTTCCAATGGAAATATATGTTTTTATAATTTGCAAAATAGAAAGCTTTTCTATCATACTAATAGAGTACTAGCAAAAGTTTAAGAGATATGTGGAGTAAAATAAAATTTAATGAAAAATGAAAGAATCTTGGTTTAAATAGATGACAAAATAAAGATCATAAGTTTAAACAATTAAAAAATTTTAAGAGTACTTTAATTGGAGGGTGAATTTATAGATGCTTTGTTTTGTTTCAATGATAAAGCAATAATCATCATTAATTATGTCGAAATCAAGCTATTTGATTACTAATCCTGTAAGATCTTGAAAACAATGCCTCAGAATGGAGATTGTTATAGTTTGGATAAGGAAAATAATATACTTGTTTAAAGAGATATATATGGAACTTTTTATTAAAAATTGAATTTAAGCATTTGATTATATAAGTTGTTTATTATTATAATTATAAAAGTAAAAAGTTGTTAAAATAAAATTGCACAATATGACATATTCAATGATCAATTTCTTTATTTATTCTAAAAACGATGAAGTCATCGAAATATAATTTAATAATTAATCTATAAGATGAGAAAAAATTTTATTATCTTGGCACTACTAATAGCCATTTCGTAGTAATCCTTCACATCCATAGATTAAACAAGTATGTAAATAATTTTATATTTAAGACTTCTACAAAAATTTAGAACCCTTAACAGATTTTTATTCAGAAACTGGATATGTAGGTGTAAATGACCTGCAAAATGGAAACAATTAATTCTTTTATCATTTGTTTTTGAAGGAAGGCATTTCAAAATTATCAGATGTAAAAAAAGATGACAATTTTATCTTATGGTTGAATGGTGGGCCAGGATGCGCATCCTTAATGCATATTTTCCAAAATGTTGGGCCATATCATGCTTATAAAAAAGGAGAGAAAGATTACTCAGTTAAGAAAGGATTAAACACTTGGAACAAAGTAGCTCATGTTATTTTTATTGATTAACCTTTTGAAGTAGGACTGAGTTATTCAAACCCACATCAAAATGTTGGAAGTTCAGATTTAGCTGGATTGTACCTGGTGGAGTTCTTTAGAATATTTTTTAAAGAAAGACCACAATTTAAACAAACTAAATTCTATGTCTTTGGTGTTAGTTTTGGCGGTCACTATGTTCCAGCAGTTGGAGCTGCATTGGCAAAATCAAACTTAGAGATGAATTTTTAAGGTGTTGCTATTGGAAATGGTTGGACAGATGCTTTCTTATAATACTAGAGCTATGCTCCAATGCTATATTCTTTAGGTATTTTCAATGAACAGAAGAAAACCTTTACTGAAAATTAAATGGCTAAAGCATAAGCTGATGTCTTAAATGAATAATATTTGAAATCCACTTTTGATGGATTCGCAGGAATATTTTATATTCTCACAAAATTCACAGGATAAATAAGTCCTTATGATTATTAGGACTATTTAAATGAAGGTTTTGGTGAAGATTTGTTCACAGAATTCATTAATCAAAACAGAATATAATTTGGCGCTCCAAATGATCTTATCTATTAACCATGCAATCCAGAAGTTGAAAAAAATTTTGAAGTTGATATTTCAGTTTCACAAAAGACCAATATAGAATATCTATTAAATCAAGGATTCAAAGTTATGATATATCAAGGATCAAGAGATATTATTTGCAATACTCCTTCTATGAATTATGTCATAAACCAATTGGAGTGGAAGGATATTTACGAATGGAAAAAATAAACAAAATACTCATTTAAAGCCAAAAGAGAAGACTTTGATGTTGAAGAAACAGCAGGCACAATTAAAAAATATAAAAATTTCTATTATGCCACAATATATAATGCAGGACACATGGCTCCAAATAATTTGCCAATTGCATCATTAAAAATGGTTACTCACTTTTTAAATGATGATGATATTTGGAATTGAAGAATTATATCAATTTTAAACAAATTCAATATTATATTAATGGATCATTTATATATATTCAAGTTTTCTTTAATATAATTTATTGTGGGTAGTGTAAATTATTAAAATTAACAATGCTCTTGTCCCATACTAATTTTTGCTAATTAATTTAAACTATACAATACTTCAGCTAGCATCTCTTTTTATTAACTGCAAAACTTTATAAAGTGTTCTGAAAAAGCTGTTACTGTTTTTTCAAGATGACTATTCACTTCTGAAAATTATTAATAATTGTAAAAGGCAAAAATGTTCTTAAGTTCTTCCTATAGTGTAGTTTCTTAAGGTAACATTATAGCTAAACAAACCTCTCTGTTTTAAGTCAAGTTACTATCCTGTAAGGCTTTGATTTAGATAGAAGGTACTTCCCATCTATTAAAATCTTACTATGCAAAGAGTTTATGTTTCTTTAACTCTAATTTTGATTTAAATTTTTCATACTCCTATTGTGCCTGCTCTTTTTATTTAATGAACTATTTTTATAAATTTAGTTACTTCTTTTAACGAGGTAATTGAATGATGGTGAAACTTGAAAAAGGAACACAGCTCCTCTTGAACAATTTTTATCTAAGCTGTCAAATTGTTCCCCCATTAAACTAACATATTATTCATTGATATATATAGAATATCCAATTTGGAAATCTTTCCTTATGAAATTGATTAGTTGAACTTGTTTGAAAATTAATATAGATCAGTGCAGGTTTAACCCATATTGTAAATAGTATTTGATAGCTGATCAAAATCTAACAATAATTGCTTAGACTCCTTTCTTAGCTTTTTATAACTTAAATCAATTGAATTTATCAACGAAGTAGATTCTTGATTATATGTAACTAAATTGTCATTAATTTATAATTAAACTTATCCATCCAAAGAAATAATTTATTCCAATTTTGTTACTCTGGATAATTGAGTACTTAATTTTTATATATGCTTAAAATCCTTTTCTTCTTTTATTGATAAAAAAGCATAAAACCATTTATCATGTCTTATCAATTCGCTTTGAAACAAGCTTTAAAGAAATTTCTATATTATAATTAAGAGCTACATACTTCCAAAAATTTCATCCTCTTAATTAAGTAAAGTTCTTGATCATTTTTCAATACAGTTTTTTTTGGTAATGGAGGAATCTATCCAATTAATAAAATATGATACATATCTACCAGGATACATTTTATTTAACACTTCTCTTAACCACACAAAATCATTATATCTTCTTTAGACATTCCAACCAATAGGTTCTGTATCTATAATATAGATATAATAAGAGGCTGAAAACATGCTTCCTTAAATTTTCTCAAATTTTGTGATCTATACATTAATTTCCTTAGCAGTAAGGATCATTTTTTTATCTTATAATTTACATAAGTGGACTTTTTAATAAAATCTTTCATTATCAACAGATGGTTTAGCGACTATTTCTTCATTCATTCCATTTTATACTATTTAATTTTATTGTTTTTGATTCTGCTATTATTGCTCTTGTTTAATTTAAGGCAATTATTCATATTGATTCTAAGCTGCCTCGAATTATACATGATCATCAAATTCAGATTATCTGCATGATACATCATCCAGCTCAATTGTTTCCATTTATGGTTGATTTGTAGTTTAAAATAAACTTATTGCTTCTTGTAGCTCTTGATAAGTCCATATGTTTACATCCTATCCACCTAAATTTAAATAAGCTAATAATACCATTTACTTTTAGTTATTCCATAAAATCTTAAAAAGCTTAGCAATCAAACCCTTTATCAAATATTTCTCTCTTCAATAATTACTGTTTTCGATTTAGTTGTTCCGATTCATTTTAATATTACATAATAAATTAATAATTCTTTTAATTTGTATCATTATATTATGTAGATGTTCAATATTTATAAACAAGGCAAACAAATTATGTTCATGCCAATCTTAAAATATGTTTCAAGAGTTGAATCCAAAAAAAAGTAACTTTCAAATTTAGAATTTATCCAAATAAGTGAATTGTTATATCTAAAATGGATTTATTAGATATAATTACCCTCAAAAATTAATTTCTTTATTAAAGATCTGTATAACATTTTAGAATTTCAGAGAAGATTGGAAATTTTTCTTATTAGATGATGCTAAATAAGATTTCTTTGAAAAATAATAAAATTATACTAATAAATTAAAGATTTTATTTGTTATTTGCTAAACTATATTATATTATAATTCATTCTTCCTAATTGATCAGATCAAAAAACTGTACAATCTTCTGGTTACTCATTTTTTGCTTCCTATTAAATTTCTAGCATTTAAACTCTACCTGCAATTTTGGTATCCTTTAATTAAGAAGAGCCGGCTTATTAAGTATTTACTTTTTAGGCTTGCAAAGATGATTAAGACTAAACATTTTGTTCTTTATCTTAGTTCTATTTAAGTTACTAAAATAATCTATTCATTTATTCTTCATAATTTTAATCTAATAATTTAATTTTTTCTTCATAATATGAAGTTATTTATTATACATCACTTTGATCATAAGTTTATAGCTTTTCAGACATTAATTTCATCTCTTTAATATAATTCTATACTTAATAAAAATAATTAAGCCTTTAAGAATTTGCATCAATAAATTGCAATCTCAATGAGTATATTTCACTCTCCTTTAGAATTAGTTAATTTCTTAATTGTAAAATATTATCTTGCATCTCTTTTGCAGTATTTTAGGTTAAGCCAGTTTAATCAAAATTTTTCCTTTTCAAACCTTATATTTAATTATTTAAGACTTTTATATGTTGATTTAAGTTCTCTGTTTATAAATTTTACTAAGTCAATAATTGATTGGTTTCATCAATATTCTTCTTCAAATCCTCTATAAATTATTTTTATTCTAATATTTCTTAATCTTTTTGTTAGTTCAATTGAAGAGTCTCATTATATTAATTTCTTAATTTCTCGAAATTTTAAATTATTTCGTCTCTTTCTGATGCCTACTTCTTTAATTATTCTTCAAACTGCAATTAAATTATTTATTTTAATTTAGTCTACTGTGAAAATAATTCAGCATTTGTATTTTACAATTTAGATTCAATATCTTATATCTAAAATCTTAATTTCGATATAGTTTCAAGAAGTTCAAATATTTCCAACTTATATTTTTCTTCTAATTCATTTTGGACTTTATTAAATTAATTCTACATTTTATCTTTTTCATCTTCATTATCTTTCATGCATGCATCAATTTAACCTTAATATTTACTCTATAGTTCTTACTATTGTAATTCAAAATTTTGTTTAAGAGATTCTATAATATTTTAATTATCATTATCCTTTTACTTTAATTCTGTTATTTACTAATTTTATTCATTTATCAAAGATTTCAAATTTTCTTCTAACAATTATTAATTATCTTTATTAGTAAGCTAGTAATTTTAATTTGGTGATTATTCTTTTTGCTAATTCAAATCATCTTCGATATTAGGCTTTTATTATTATGCAGTCATTTCATTTTCTGTAGCAATCTACTATTTTAATTGCTCATTTTCTAAGGTTAAATTTAAGATTTATTCATCCTTTTATTGTATCTATAGATTATATTACTATTAAAGCTAGCTATTGTTAGGTTCATTTTGTTTATTCTCAGCCTAAGAGGTAGGATTAATGTTTTATAGTTACCTCAGATGATTCTCACTTATTTCTAGAATTAGATTTTTATATTCATCGTCTTTTTATAGCAATTGTTTATCATAATTCTATTGAAGCAATGAAATTTAATTTGATAAGTGATCATTTTAAATGAGTTCTTCTTAAAGTTTTTGGGAAACATTTGAAATTTGATTTTAATAATTAACTTAAATTTCATTTATTTATTATTTTAAATCTTGATCTTTTTATGATAATTCATTTTTATATTATTCTTCTAAGGATTTTAATTATTATTAATGATATAAATCTAAATCATGTATTTTCTATTCTTATTATTTTATTTAATCTTCTTTTTATGATATAGTTTCTTTGAAATTCTAATTAAGTTCATCAATTTGTTGTTTGTGATCCTATTCTTTTTATTCTAATTACTTTTAATATGTTTCATATTTTTCTTTCAACTCTTAAGCAAAATATTAACTGGATTCTTCTTTTAATAATGTTATTGATGATTCTTTTGACTCTAATTCTAATTTATGCTATTCTAATAAGGATTTCAATTATTCTTAATGTTTTTAATCTGAATCGTGCATTATCTATTCTTATTATTTAATGCTTTAATCTTTCTGATCTAGGACTTCTTTGAAATTCTAATTAATTTCGTTTATTTATTATTTATAATCTTAATCTTTTTATTCTAACTATTTTACATATGATTCTGTTTTTTGTTATAATTCTTGTGTGAAATATTAGCTTGATTCTTCCTTTAATAATTTTATTGATTATTCTTTTGATTCTAATTCTAACCTATGCTATTCAGATATAGATCTTAGTTATTCTTAATGATTTAAATCTAATTCTTGTATTTTCTATTCCTATTGTTTTAAGGAATCATCTTTTTGTTATATAATTTCTTTGAAACTCTAACTAATTTCATTTATCTATTATTTATGATCTTATTCTTTTTATTCTATTTATTTTTAATATGCTTCATCTTTTTATTGCAATTCTTATGTGAAGTATTAACTTGATTCTTCTTTTAACAATTTTATTGATTAATCTTTTGATCCTAATTCTACTTTATGTTATTCTTCTAAGGATTTTTATTATTCTTAATGTTTTGAATCCTAATCGAGTATTTTCTATTCTAATTATTTGATACTTTCATCTTTCTTCTCAAGGATTTCTTTGAAATTTTAACTAATTTCATTTATTTATTATATATTCTCCTAATCCCTTTATTCTAATAATTTTTAGTATTCTTCATCATTTTATTGTAATTTAATTTTATGTTATTCTTCTAAAGATTTTATTTTTTATTAATGATTCAGTTCTTAATCTTGTATTTTCAATTCTTATTATTTTATTAAATCATCCTTTTATAATATAGATTCTTAAAATTTCTAATTAATTTCGTTTATTTCTTATTTATGGGTTTAGTCTCTTTATTCTAATTATTTTTAATAAGTTTCATCTTTTTGTTACAACTCTTGTGTGAAATATTAACTGGATTCTTCTTTTAATAGTTTTATTGATTATTCTTTTGATTCTAATTATAATCTATGCTATTCTAATAAAGATTGTAATTATTCTTAATGTTTTTAATTTTAATCGTGTATTTTCTATTCTATTTATTTAATACTTTCATCTTTCTATTCTAGGATTTCTTTGAAATTCTAGTTAATTTCGTTTATTTACTATTTATGATCCTAGTCATTTTGTTCTAATTGCTTTTAATATGTTTCATCTTTTTATTATAATAAATTATTATGCTCCTCTTTTAAAGATTTTACTTATTCCGAATATTGCAAATCTAAATCTTGTATTTTCTATTCTTATTATTTTATTAAGTCATCCTTTGATAATATAATTTATTCTAATTTCTAACTAATTTCGTTTATTTATTATTTATAATCTTAATCTTTTTATTCTAACTATTTTTCATATGATTCTGTTTTTTGCTATAATTCTTATGTGAAATATTAGCTGGATTCTTCTTTTAATAATTTTATTGATTGTTCTTTTGATTCTAATTCTAATCTATGCTATTCTAATAAGGATTGTAATTAATCTTAATATTTTTAATCTTAATCATGTATTTTCTGATCGTATTATTTAATACTTTCATCCTTCTGTTCTAGGATTTCTTTGAAATTCTAATTAATTTCGTTTATTTACTATTTATGATCCTAGTCATTTTGTTCTAATTGTTTTTAATATGTTTCATCTTTTTATTATAATAAATTATTATGCTCCTCTTTTAAAGAGTTTACTTATTCCGAATGATGCAAATCCAAATTATAAATCTTCTCTTCCTTTTATTTTATTTATTCATCCTTTTATGACAAAGTCTCTTTAAATTTCTAACTAATATCATTTACTGCTGCTATATGATCTTATTCTTTTTATTCTATTTATTTTTAATATGCTTCATCTTTTTATTGCAATTCTTATGTGAAGTATTAACTTGATTCTTCTTTTAACAATTTTATTGATTAATCTTTTGATTCTAATTCTACTTTATGTTATTCTTCTAAGGATTTTTATTATTCTTAATGTTTTGAATCTTAATCGAGTATTTTCTATTCTAATTATTTGATACTTTCATCTTTCTTCTCAAGGATTTCTTTGAAATTTTAACTAATTTCATTTATTTATTATATATTATCCTAATCCCTTTATTCTAATAATTTTTAATATTCTTCATCATTTTATTGTAATTTAATTTTATGTTATTCTTCTAAAGATTTTATTTTTTATTAATGATTCAGATCTTAATCTTGTATTTTCAATTCTTATTGTTTTAGGGAGTCATCTTTCTATTAAAGAATTTCTTTGAAATTCTAATTAATTTGATTTATTTATTCTTTATATTCCGCATCTTTTTGTTCTAATGATTTTTAATTTGACTCATCTTTATATTATAATTAATTTTTATGTTCTTCCTCCAAAGATTTTAATTATTATTAATGATGTAAGTCTATATCTTTTATTTTCTATTCTTATTATTTTATTTAATCATCTTTTTAGGATATAATTTCTTTAAAATTCTAACTGATCTCATTTAATTATTATTTATGATCCGACTCTTTTTATTCTAATTATTTTTCATAAGAATCTGTTTTTTGTTATAATTCTTGTGTGAAATACTAGCTTGATTCTTCTTTTAATAGCTTTATTGACTAATCCTTTGATTCTAATTCTAATTTATGTTATTCTTATAAAGATTTTAGTTAAGATTCATGATTTAAATTTAAATCTTAAATTTTCTATTCTATTTATTTAATACTTTCATCTTTCTGTTCTAGGACTTCCTTAAAATTTGAATTAATTTCATTTATTTATTATTTATAATCCTAGTCTTTTTATTCTAATTATTTCTACCATGTCTCATCTTTTTATTGTAATTAATTATTATGCTATTCTAGTAAAGTTTTTACTTATTCCTAATATTGCAAAGCTAAATCTTGTATTTTCTATTCTTATTATTGTATTAAGTCATCCTTTGATAATATAATTTATTCTAATTTCTAACTAATTTCGTTTATTTATTATTTATAATCTTAATCTTTTTATTCTAACTATTTTTCATATGATTCTGTTTTTTGCTATAATTCTTATGTGAAATATTAGCTGGATTCTTCTTTTAATAATTTTATTGATTGCTCTTTTGATTCTAATTCTAATCTATGCTATTCTAATAAGGATTGTAATTATTCTTAATGCTTTACATCTAAATCTTGTACTTTCTATCCTTATTGTTTTATAACATCATCTTTTTGTTATATAATTTCTTTGAAATTCTAACTAATTTCATTTATTTATTATTTATAATCTTAATTTATCTATTCTATTTCTTATTGGTATGTATGTTCTTTATTTTAATTTTCTTTTTAGTTTTAATCATAAAGTCGGTTTTGAATTCCTTCTAGTTCTTGTTATTATTTCATCTACATTTATTCTATTTTTCCCTCATATGTTTCTTAGTTTTTTCTCAATAGGTTTTAAGATTCTTCTTAATTATTCTTAAGTAGATTCTCTAAATTTTTTATTTTTTCTTGTGTTTCCAATTCTATTTACTTTTTGCTCTAATTTATTTCTAGTACTTATTTTTCTAAATTTTCTATTTATTATTGATATTTTTCATCCAAAGTCTTTATTGTATTTTCATATTTTTAACATTCTTGCTTTAATTATTATTCAAATAAATTTTCCTATTCTTTTTATTATTTTTTATACAAAATATCTTTATTCTCTAAGTCCTTTTTAATTTTATCATATTATTCAGAAATTAAATAAATCTCTTTTTCTTATTGTTCTTCTTTACTTTTAATGAATTCTTCTTTCTCTTTTATTTTTCGTTCCATCTCTAGTTAAAGCGAAGAGATTTTTTCTTCATAAAAGCTTTCTTTATTAGATTTTAGAATAGTATTATTTTTTAACTCTTCAATCATCTTTAAATATTCTCTTTCTTAGCTTTTCATGCTTTATTGATGTGTTTCTTCTAATAATTTAGTTTGTTCTATATAGTTTGATATTAATTATTGTTGTTATCTAATTTTGTCTTATAATTATTTTATCAATTAATTTTTTTCTTCGATTTCAGTTTAATTCAATCCTTATCCAATTTTTTGCTATTACAATTACTCTGCGCTTTTTTCTTAATATTATCTCAATTAATCTTCTAAATGCGTTTAAGTTTATAAAACTGAATTTTTTTTTTTAATTGATTTGACTAATTCTTTAATTTATGTTTTATTCCAATCAAATTTACTTGCGGATTACATGGATTCTAATTTATTACTTTGGTCTTCATCAACCAATTAAATCAAAGCTTCAAATAGTTTTTCAACTTCTTTGTCATCAAGTTTATTATTTTATTATTATTATTATTATAATTATTATTCTTTTTATGCAATAGAATTCCTATATTTAATTTTTTTCTCATCTTCCTAAGATAAGAAAGCAGTAAATTTATCTAATTATACATTTCTAAGAATCAATCTCTGAAATTCATCGACATTTACTTCTTAGATTGCTTTGAATTAATCACGGCAGATATAGGCTAAGAATTTCTCACTCATTTAGAACTACATTAATCATTTATAGATTACATTATGATTGATGACTAATTAATTAAATATGAAAAAGCCAAGATAAAATTCAAATGAATTGATCATAAAAGTTGTTAACATTTAAGTAGAATATGATTCTAAAATCGTTTTAATTTTTTGTTGAACTGACTTTTCCATTTTACTTGATTCATTAACCATTTCTAGCAAAAGATCAACTTCACCTAAAATTGGTTTAGTTTCATCCTACTCTAATTTATGATATTGTATTCTTGGAGGTATAATTTTTTCATGGAAAAATTACAGCACTTTTAAAGAAATAGGCTCATCGCAAAAATATAAAATATATGTTGTCAAAAAGACTAAGCCTTTTGTCAGTCTAACGGGTTTAGATTAGAAAAAGCATGTTAAAATATTGCTTATTTTTTGTACAAGTATGTTGTCTTATTCATTTGCACAACAACGATAATGCCAATCAGCTAAAGAATAATTTAATGATTATCTGTTCTAAAAAGCATATTAATTTTCATACTTCCTTAAAGATTCTTAACAGATTTGTTTAAATTTACTATTTAATTTCATAATTAGAATTGGAAACAAAACTCGGTAATGCTTTTTAATATTCTTCTTAAATCTTTTTGATTTCAATTCTAGCTATAATCAAAAATTACTTGTCCCCAAAAATTATAGATACCCATCTTCTACCTACGTTAGATAATTATCCAACTTTGCAATTCTCTCCTTCTACTATTTACTTTTGTTGCTACTAATCGTCCTTACAAATTTTGCATATTCTATGTGGAGTTTTTGCATCATGAGTAATTATAATAGCTTTGTCTTGACTACAATTTGAGCAAACACCTCTATAGCATCGCTTACACTAATTCTACTTGGTTTTCCTAGTGCTAGATAATGAATCGTACCAATCAAATTGTTTTCCACATATTTCACAAGCATCACTTTTTGATGTTGTATTGCCGCTTATCTTCTAACTAAGCTTCTCTAGCATCTCTTCAGAAATAAATCTAATTAAAATATTATTTAAGGAAAGTAAGGATATTTTACATAGAATATCAATATATGCAATAAAACAATTAATATTTGAATTAAATTAAATAATAATAATTAATTAACATGTCTAAGGATATAGCGGATGAACAAGGATTATCAGGCTAATCGTCAAGATCATCATCGCCTCAGGAACAATCAAGAAGAAAAAGATAATTTTAAATTCATTTTTTTATTGAATGGAAATACATAAAATCAGATGAATTGAAAAATATATTAGAGGATGTGAAAGTATAGAAAATAACATAATTTAGTCACAATATGATATCAAGTCTATTCAACTGAATCGAAATAATCAAATTCCTGGGCTGGAGGGAACCGCATTCTCAATTATTGATTATGATGATAGCAAATTAAATTCATAACTTGAAGCCATCAATAAAATACTATAATTGATTGAATAAAAAAAAAACCCTAATTTTGAGATCATGATGCTAATACCTGAAGGTTGGAAATTCTATAGATTTTAGGAACTGTCTCATACTTGATTGGTACATCAGGAAAGCAAATTAAAAATATTTAATAAGAGACAAAAACTGATGTAGTTGTGAATAATGCCATCAATAAATTTTCCTTAAGATCAGTTAAGATAGCAGGTAAAGATATAAATATATTCTTTAGGTTAGGCTAATTGCATATTTAATGCCATTAAATTGATAACAAATAAATTACATCAAAGAGGAATTACAGAAGATGATTACATAAAGAGAGCTGAACCATTGGATCCAGGAAAAGTTGTTACTAAGGTATTTCTCATCAATAACAAGGTTTAACTTGTCTTTTTGAATATAATAGTGGATTACATTCTCAAGAATAAAGATTTAGAAAAAAAATATTAATTAAAAATGAAAGCTAAAAATAGTAATGAAATTCCAATCAAAGTACATTATTAGAATCACACTTTTTAGAATAAATTAAAAAAAGATGAAGAAATTTTATAGTTAGTTGGAACCTTGAAAAATGTATAGGAGGCTATTAGATCTATTGTTCGCAGAATTAGTTCATAATTCAAGAAATTGGATTTTGATATTAGAGTAGTTATGCCTGCTAATTTTGCATCCAAATTAATAGGAGCCAGTAATAATCATCATATATAATCTTTTTAAAGAGGGCTGCTAAATAAAAGAACTTGCAAATAAAGCCAAAGGAGCATAAATCAAAGTAATGTCCGATAAGGATGATTCCGATATAGGATAATGTAACATAAATGATATAGTTAGATTGTTTGGTTTAAGTAATTGGATCAGTGGAGCATAAGTTAGAGGCTACAGTGTTAATTTTAGAATAGATAGAGTGTTTTAAAAATGGAGGACCTGTATTAAAATAATTAAAAAGATCCTTGAAAGCGGAAAGTACATTAATGAAAACTTTGCATAATAATACAAAAATTCAGTTTCCATACAGGATGTGAAATCTAAAAGGTTAGTATTATTCTTAATTATTCAGATAGAAATCTTCTTCATCCAGCTCTATTAGAAGAGCAAGATCCAGATCAGAATCAAACAAAAGATATAAAAAATAAAGGAAATCTAGATCAACTAGGTACTTCTAATCAATAGAAAAGTTCAAATTAACAAAAAATCAAGCAAAATCCATTTCAAACGAAGATAGTAGTTCCAATCTATTTAATTGAAGAAATTTAGAAAAAATTAAATCGCCTAGGAAAAGAAGAAGGAGTGCATATATAAGCTGGCAGTAGGGTATAATTAATCTTTTTTAATATTTTAGGAATTCAGAGATGAGTTGGTTTTGAAATTGAGAGGAGAAATGAAAAATTGCTTAACTGTAATCTAGTATATTTTAAGTGAATAATGTAAATTATAAAGAAGATGAAAATCCATATAATACCAAGCCAATATTCTCAATAGTAATTATAAAATCTTGCATTTTGTCCTTAATCTATAAGAGCAAAATCTTTTCTATTTTTACATAAGTTAAATTATTTTCACATTTTAATTTCTTTTCCTTTAATCAAAATAATTTATTATATGCTATTTTTTTTTTTTTGATCAAATCCATATATATTAGCTGAATATATATTCATTTTTCAAATAGAAATTTAGTTATTTATCTATAGATGATGATATTTCCTTTTCATTTAAATATCTTTAATGATGACTTAAATAACATTTAATGTATTTTTCATTAATATATTGATATTTGCATAATAAAATTACTTTTTTATAATAAAAATTGCAGCAACTATTTAGATCCTAAGTTTAAGAGTCTTATTGTGTTAAAATAAGATAATAATACATGAAATTTAATTAAATTAGTATCATCATTATAATAAAGAGGAAATGATTTTTTGAGTAATTTTTATTTATATTTTCTATTTAGATGAAATAAACACTGAGTTTCTAAAATACAAGATCTTTTGATGAAAGAAAAAATGAATCTGATAATTGTAAATAACTCTATCCTAACGATGTTTTGGTAGTTGTTGAATAATTAAACAGAAGTAAACTCCCAAGATAAAATTTTATAAAGTAATCTAAATTCTATTAATAGATTCAAAATGCCAAACACAATGACAATAATGAATGTTCTATAATACATTAAAAGCAAAATAAAACTATCTTAATACGATTCAATAAATTTATACTGCGGCAAAATATTGTTAAGAATTGGTATATCAAATTATAATTTAAAGATTAAACTTTAAAAGAATTATATCATTAATTTAAAGACTTAGATGGATTTCTTTACATCAATTACATAGAAATGAATTCATTCGGGATAAAATTTTGAATGTGATAATTTATTTATTAATCATTTTTTATAGTTTTCTTCTTCAATTGTTGAAATTTCTTTTTCAACTCCATTGTTCTCCATCTTACTATAATTAGAAAGAAAAGTGTCAACAATTTGCTTAGCAATTTCAATTCCAACAGTTCTTGCACCGAATGAAATGACATTGCATCCTATTTCAATCGCTTTTAATGTTGAATCATAATCATTCACTTATCCACATCTGATTCCCTTAACTTTATTCGCCATCATTGAAATTCCAACTCCACTACCACATATTAATATTCCAATTCCATTAGATTTTATTACTTCATTGCATACATTAACTGCATAATCATTGTAATCGCAACTTTAGTTTGTAAATGTTCCTTTATCATCGATTTAATAGTTCTTTTTTTTGCAAAATTCTAATAAAATATTTTTATATTCTAATGCAGCATGATCATTTCCAATAAATATTTTAATTTAATTCATATTAATTTTAATATATTATATATAATACGTAATTTTTGCTCAATATGAAAAACAATAATTAAACATTTATAATAGTATATAAGTTTCATTTCAATGAAATAAGTAATATGGTAAATAAGATTAATTAATAATGACGTGTGTAATATATGAATTACATAAATTGATTCTGGTATATATACTTTTTTTTTAAAATGACAGATTTTATTCAATGGACATATGAAAATAGATTTTAAATCTCTATTGATTTAGCAGCTGGATCTATTAGTGGAATGTACTATTATTTTTTTAGAGATTAGAGCTAATTGTATTTCAAGTCATCCATTAGACACAGTTAAAGTCAGAATGCAAATGTCAGATGATGGAGTACTAAAAACTCTATAAAAAATAATAAAAAATGAAGGATTAAAAGGTTTTTATAAAGGAATGTCATTTCCCATACTTTCCATACCAATAACCAATGCGGTTGTATTCTCAGTTTATGAATTCTGGAGAAAATTTTTCATTGGAAATTCGAATAAATAACTCACATATTTCCAAACGTATATATTTATAAGTGAATCTAAGTGCATTTTGTGGAAGCATTGCAGGAAGTTCAGCTGCATTGCTCTCTTGCCCAATTGAATTGACAAAATGCAAATTATAAATGTAAGAAACAGAAAAAATCTACAAAAACCCAATTGATTGTGTTATCTAAGTAATTTGTTATTGGAATATTTCATAGATCTACAAAAAAGAGGGTTTTAAATATATTTTTAGAGGTATGCATGCGACCTAATAAAGAGAAATTCTGGGGTACTCTGCTTAATTTGCAGTGTATGAATGCATCAAGGATATACTCTGTGATTTATCATAAAAGGCAGAGCCTTCGACAGCAAACTTATTAATATCAGGAGGTTTAGCCGGAGTTTCATGCTGGACGATAGGATACCCTTAAGATGTAAATAAATAACTAAAATCAAGACGATTAAAACAATTCTCCAATGTTAAACTTGCACTGATTAGAGAATTTATAAAGTGAGATGCTTTGACGGGGGATTTTTGGATTGTTTAATGCAAAAAATATCAACTGAAGGTTTTGGATCTGTGTGGAAGGGATATTCGGTTTGTGTCTTTCGGGCATTTTACGCTAATGCTATCGGTTTTTATGCGTATGAACTGGCCAAAGAATAACTTACTTCACTCTATTAGTTTTGATGTAAATATATATGTTCAATGTTTATCTTTCACTTAAAAAATTCATCTCTACTTTTTATAATCTATTTGTGAGGGTCTCTCTCTCTTTCGCTCTCTCATTAAGAATAGTTTTAAATTTATTCCTTCAATACTGAATACCTGAAATTTAATATGCAATTAATTTTATTAAATGGAAAACGTATAAATTATTTAGTTAAATAATATAGAATAATTTTAAAATAGATGAATTTAAACTTCATAATGTTTGTCTTCTTATAATAAAAGTGTTTCATCTATATTAATCAGGATAAATTTATTTTTTAGAAAATCTTACCAATTTAAGTTTAAAAGCTAAGTTAACAATCCATATTTTGGGAGTTTGACGTAGTGACGATTGTTTTCATAACCCATCTTTGATAAAGTTGAGATTTGAATCATTTTCAATATGATAGATCTTGGTTTAGTTTGTATCCAAACCACATTATTTGAATTTCAAATAAATTTAAATTAATTAATATTAATTTTAAAGGTATTAAAAGTTTTTATTAATAATAAACATAAAGGGAGTTTATTGTAAAAATTCATTCAATTGTTGGGTCATAAAAGAGAACAGTTGGCATTTTTGGTCCTTAAGAACTGTTCTGATAATATTTAATCTAAAGTAAAAATTCAGTTAATGGATTAATTAAGTCTTTATATAATCTATAACTGACGTGATCCATATCATCTGCCAAATGTAATATACATTTATCAGATTTACATGATTCTATATAAAAATAAAATTATACTATATAATTCTAATGCTTATGAGTAAGGTATGATATTGTCTGCCTTACCATGTAATATAAATGTTGGCACCTTCACCTTCTTAATCTAATCTAAATTGTCGAATCTCTATCTAATTAAGAACTAGGCCCATGAACCGATGTAATCCCTTACAGCTGCTTTAAGAGATGTAAATGGGGACATTAAAACTAAACATGCAGGTTTATATTTATTGGCCAAATAAGTAGCCGGTCCACTTCCAATACTTCTACCAAATACAATAATTCTATTTTCAGCATATCCCAATCTTTTGGTTAGGTAATTAAAGACATATTCGGCATCGTTGAGTATTGCTTCAGCTGAAGGTTGTTCATTTTTATACTTGCCATATCCAGGATATTCCACAGCTATAGCAGAGACCTTAAAATATATTGAGATTCAATACTTATAAATTTTCACGAAGATGAACTAAAAAATTATAGGATTAGGTTATATCTTCACAATTGGCATGAAAATATAACAAAATGTTGGGGGAATGTTTTTTTGAATCCACATACATGCAGGGAATATGGCCAGTGATTTGATGGGATTCTCTCGAGTTTGATCTTGGTGGTGGTTGTTCATCATTAGATTCATTTTAGTTTTTTTATTTGAGATCAATCAATTCTTGAGGCAATTTAATTAATGGTTAACTGAAACAAATGCTCTAATCAATTCTTGTCTTTTTAATTGGGTAAAGATTTGATGACATCCTACACAATTAAGGTTTCTTCGTGATGATTTAAACAGACTGCATATTTAATTTTTGCAATTTTTGTTGAACGTCTGGACTGCCCTCATTAGAATCAAATGTTGGAGAGTTTGCGTCAGTGGGTTATCGTTTTCTTTATCTGCTTGTTATTGGTTTCCATTAAAAATTTGGTATGGGCTGTAACTAAGATTCTCTAATATATAGGACTTTAAATTGATACGTAGGCTCATCTATTAAAAAGTGATCATCTTCAAAATCCAATTCACTTTATTTGAAGAAGACTCCCCTTTTTTTATTTGTTCTGGGTACATAATTTTGAAAAGTAGGATAAAGTTTAGGATATTTAGGAATCCACAGTATTTGACCATGTTCATGATCATTCTATATATCTTTCGGGGCTGGGAAAAAGATAAAGTCTAAATCCATAAAAATTCTAAAAATAATTTATTATTTTCTTTTGGGTCTTTATATATATAGAAAATATAAAAAAGCTTCCAAATTCTAATCAAAGAATTTCTAAAGTGTTGTGATCCTAAGAAATTCAAAAGAATTTGATCTAAGAAGTATTTGTACCATTTATAACAACAAACCCCCAATCAAATGTAGGTAAATACTATTTTTAGTCAATTTTATTAAATTACCAAATTGGAGTAGCACTTGAAATTTCAGAAATTAATAAGTTTACCATTATACTTTAATTTTCTATTTTTATGAATGATAATGTTGTATTGAATAATATTGTATTTCACATTACACTAATATATAGTTAGAGAATTGGATGATGAGCAATCATTATTTCAACATAGAAATGGAATCCTAAGATTTTTAAATTATAAAGAAGTTTATTTTTTCTCTTCATAAATTTTAGTAACCTTTAGATTATTAATATTATATTTATATATTATAATACGTCATTGGAACAGTATAAATTTTATTAAAGTATCCTCATATGAAATCATAATATAAAAAATATTACGAATAATGAGGGCTTTTGTCAAACAATTTATGTTCACAGAATCAGTCTCCCTTTAATCTTAAACCTCAATTAAAAGATGTTATAAGGAGGCTAGCATAGAAATGGCCTCTAATCCAGCCAACCCTTTCCACTAATGGATTATCAAGGTTAGTTTTAACTATATTATTTTTAGCTCGATGGAAAAAGTATAAAGACTTAAAAAAGAAACATTTTGGCTGTACCATCTCCTCAACTAGCTTCATATATTGCTTCAGAATTCAACAATCAGAATAAAAATATGTCACTTCTAAGCATGCAATTGTTTTTGCTTGCCAGTCATGCTGTTGATTTAGACTTCGATGCTTCAAGTAGAGATATAATGGAAATGAACTTTATTGGTAATTTAGAAAATGATGTCATTCTCAAAAGACATTAAAATTAAGAAAACTCAATTTAAAAGGAATCCCAATCATTCGAGCCTCTGATGGCTTAATTAAATAGAAAATTCAACATAGAAATAACTTCTAAAAATAATAGAAATTAAGAGTTCTTAAACTAATTGAGCAAAATTAAACTTGAATCATTCATCAGAGAAATGAATAACTGGGAATTAGTCAGCTTAAACTCAAAAATAGGTAAAATAAATATTTCTATTAAATTAGAAAATCTCGAATCGTGCATCTTGGGATTGAATTTGTAATTAGGATCAATAGACATTTCAAAGGCATTAACTTTAAGAAAGTCGCTAATAGAATAAAAGAACTCAATGAATAAATCTTTTGAAAAATCATATTATGAAAGTAATCTGAAAGTCAACCTTGAAGCTGCTTAGTTGTTTTCATAGTCAATAACCACTTAGAGTATCATGTATTGATTATATTCCCCATTTCAATAATTGCTTTATTTTAATAGTTTATATTCCAGTTTATTTTTTTTTATTTTATAATAGGCAAATATACTGTCATTATTGAATAAATTGAATAATTATAATATTTTATATTTTTAAATTTTAAATATGGATTTAGAAAGATTAGGCAAATCTAGAAAGCAGGTTTATCGACTTAGTGTTATTGATTTCATGAGGATTAAACCTTTTTGTAAGGAGATTGTAATAAGAAAGATTAATTTTTCACATATATATTTGTCAATTATTCCATATATTACTTTTCTAATTTACAATTAGATCTTCTTTTATAGCTATTACTGCTTTCAAATTAACTTTTCTACCTTGAACTAGACCAATCTTTTGTTGAAAAGCGCGATAGATTTTGGCTTAAAATTTTCAAAGAGGATTTTGTAATTAAATATTTATATTTATTTTTCATCCTCATTTATATCGTTATTTGCTCATATAGTAAACTCAATATTACTAAAGTACACAATTAGTCTATTCCATTTTTAGTTATTCATTTTCACTAATATATAACTATTTCTAAATAAGCAAACAGTTCACCTTTGAAATTTATCTTAAAAGTCTCTCCGATTAATCGCATTACGAGGTTTCCTGTTTAATTAGGGTTCCAATTAAATGAACCCATTCCCTTCTGAACAAATTTAGCGGATACATAGAAGCATCCTCTTATTTTTTAATATTTTTTTTTTTTTTTTTATTTAGTAAAATATTTGAAACATCTGACAAAAGAAATATAGGAATTCTATGTGAATAAATTAAAATGACAATATTATAATCGTTTGAATCTTCATGACAACAAATACAAGAAATATCCAAATTATTTCTGCTGACTCTAATTTTAATTTAGGTATTGATTCTTTTTCAATAAGAGGTGGTTCTTTTAAGAATATTCTTTATGGTTTTATTACTCTCAACTGTTGAATTAATTAAATTTTTTATCATTAGAATTAAAAATTAGAAACTTTTTTTTTAATATGTTATCGAAATTAAAAAATGTGATTTTTAACTTTCATTTCATATTGCTATCACGAGCTATTTCTTATAAATCATATTATAACATTACAATATATTAAAAGAATTGACTTTTTCAAATTTCATTTTAGAATTTAATTGAAAAAACCTAATTTATGAAGAGAGTATTTTATATCTAAAATACTTCTTAAAAGTGATTAAGGTAAATGAATTTAAATTAATGCATGGTGTATTTCAATTTATAAATGTAAACTTAAATAAAATGATCATTCAAATCCTATTTAAAAGGCCATTAAATTAAATCCAATTTCTTTCAAATCCTTTTCAATGTAATGTTTTTGACATATTTCTATGACTTTTTCCAAAAACAATTCCTATTAACAATCAGCATAATTAATTGGTGCTTTTTTTCTTCCATCTAATTCTATAACACTTCCATTGTGCCACACAAATGCTATGAAATGGTGACCTGCTTTCAGTTCGATATTTGGATCCTCTAGATTCTCCTGAGCCACTTCTTTATGGGCATCTTATAATGATTTCACTTAACCATCTTTTTTTTTGACTTCCAATTTGCAGTTTTTCAAATATTCTGCTCTTTCTTCAGGTGTCATATTAATAGTGTTCTATATGAATTATGGGCAAAAGCTCTCTTCATTAATAATGAATTAATATTCTTTTGGAATATTGGCCAGTATATGTAAAATGGCTATGGTGCCACATGCATTTTCTGCAATTTACTTCATGTAATAAAGAGATTGTGGTATTGGTTTTTCAAACATCTTATCTCCTTGTTCAAAAAAGTAATTATTGATAGCTGGAGAATCAGGGTATACAAATAATGCTCCTAGACTACCTGGTATTAGGAATTCTGGTTCAAAACTAACAATATCTACAAAATTTGCAAAATCTGTATTCACTCCTAAATTGGCTAAATATTTATTTAATAAAATTGTATTGGATTCTAAGGGCAACCAATTTTCGAATTTTTAGTCCATTAAAATTAATAAAGTGTGTAATATATATATATATAATTATAAATTATCACTATTAAAATTCTTATAGAATATCCTCTATTTCATTTTTATAGTTGATATAATTTTATGAGGATATTTTCTCAATTTGAATGTTGATTCTTTACTCTCTCATGATTGATAAAATCTTTTTTGTTTCATCATAGCAAATCAAACGCATAATTATTTTAAGACAATGTTTTGTATTTAGATAAAATAAAGATTACAATTTATCTTTAGAATTATAAAAATAATAAACCATTTTAACATTTCCTCTTGATAAATGACTCAGAATTCTACTTCGTTCATCCTGAAATTGATTATTCTCCATTAGCAACATATTCATGATTGGATCATTTGCTATAATCACTGCTTTGCATTCGATATTATGAGATAGTAAAATAAGGATGTTTAAAATATTGTTCGTATGTTCTGGTATATAGGAACAAATGTAATTAACAAGAGGTTCAATCTAGACATCTCGAGATCGAATGATTTGGGATTTCAGAATTGTTTCAATTATTTGAAGTGCTTGGATGTCTTGATATCTGAGTAGGATTTCGAAAAGTTGATACTCTATGAACTGGATTATGCCCTTTTGATTTATTTATTTATATTACTTACGGGTATTAAATAACACTAAATAGCAATAAGTCTAGGATTTCATTTCCCTTGTACTGTTAATCCAAATAGATAAAACAATCATACAACAAGAAAAGCCAGAGTTAAACATATTCAGGCTTAATATTTTAGTACTATTTTAAAATTTCAATAGCTTCTAAAATATCAGTCTCATATGATTCTAATTGTTTTTGAAAAACTTGAACTATGTCTGGAGAATTGATAACTCTTTTTAAACTAAATATTTTCTCTAGAGCATCCCTTCTTAATTTAATTCCGTATTTTTCTCTCTTAAATTATATCAAACTCATTTTAAATATTTAACAATTAAAATATATAAAATACTATTATCATTTAGTATAATGTTGTTTGATAATCATAATTAAATTTATTAATACTAAAAATGTTTTTAACCTGTTGTCCTAATGTGTATTCCATGGTGCTTAAAACACAGATAAATTTCATCGACAATGAAATTCTCTTATCCCTTAATCTCTAACCTCCCTTTAAAGCCATTCTAAAGAAGGACTTCTTGCACATTTACCAAGATGATGAACCCAAATTCTCACTGCCGATTTCATTTCCTAATCTAATTCATTGGGTTTACAATAAAAGTTTGGTGGGATTCAAAATTAATAACGCTACCTACTTAACAGATTAAGCTTACAAATTAAAAGAATTATTAAATGGGAAACTATTCTTTTCGAGAATCCAAGACTTTTATACTCCCTTACAAATCTTAGGACAAGGCAGTTCAGCCAAAGTGCTCTTAGTGAAATCAAAGATAGGAGATCAGTATTTTGCAGCTAAATGCGTAGAGAAGAATGAGTTGATGTATTAAGAAATCGAGATCAATAACTAATTGGATCACCCAGCCTTTGTCAAAATTAAAGAGGTATTTCAAGGTGAAACAAGTTATTACATTGTAATGGATCTGCTATCAGGAAAGAATTTATAATAATTAATTAAAAATTAACATGGAGGCCTAACTTTGGAATAATCCTAAAAGATTATGCATGTAAATTAATAGTTAAATAGGCTTTATTAAGTGGAATTGAATATATGCATTCAAAAAGCATTATCCATAGAGACATCAAGCCTGAGAATATTGTGTTGCAAAAGACCAACAACCTTACAACACTCAAATTAGTTGATTTTGGTTTGGCTACCTATTATAATTTAAAAAAGTATTATACTAATTTAATTATAGATTTAAATATCCGAAATGTGGAACTCCTGGTTATGTTGCACCAGAAATAGCTAATTTAACTGATAAGGATACAACTTATGGTCCTGCATGCGATATCTTTAGTGCAGGATCAGTCTTTTTTAAGTTGTTAACTGGTAGAGATTTATTCCCAGGAACTGGATTCAACTTTGTTTTACAATTAAATAAAAAGTGTCACATTGACTTTTCACCATTGACATTAAAGAAAATACCACTCAATGTGATAGTAAATAATAATATATATTGAGGGAACTTGTCTAAAAAATGCTCTCCAAAGATCCTAAATTGAGACCAACTGCACAAGAGTGTTTAAACCATGATTTTTTCACTCTGACAGAGAAACCTTCAAATGCTCATAAAAAATTGTTTTTTGCCTAAACTAGATCTGCAACTTTAACAGTGGATTTTTCATCTCCTGAAGAAAAACCAGATTATAAAGGATCGTTTGTAACCAATGATATTGTGCCTTAATTACCTTAAATGCCTAAAATGGTGATGAAATTCAATACAACTGAATTTGAATAATATGATTGATCATAACAAATTTAATATTTTAAAATCTTAATCTAATATCTATTAGGTTATTAGGAAATGATATTCAATTTTTAAACTTAAAATAGAGGATTTTCTTTATTAATTGATAGTTATATAGGGGAAAACTAAATTTTCAAAGGGATGAATTCTATGTATTTAGATTGGGTAAATATTGTATTGAATCGAAAATCTACTATTTTTAGGGCATGCTGAAATTCAATAATATGGATGTCTACAGTTCATTGCTAGATAAGGATGGCTAAATATGTAATGAGTAATGGGTCATTAAATTGTTATTGTGATTCTTTGATATTAATATTATATGAATAAAGTTAAATTAGTCTGTAATAAAAATTACTAGACAGGCTATAATATAATTATTATTTTATTATGAATAAAACAAATTGCTTTCCTAAAATCCAAAAAGCCTAATCAACAGTAAGGAATTTTGAATTACAATAGGCAAAACTTTTAATAAAGACAGATTGGGATCAGAGCATTAATTCCAGTATTCCTCTCTCAATTAGAGCAGAAATGTCATCGCACCGAATGAAAACTGATTTTACCAATAAAAACTTTTCATCTAACTCCGAAGTTTCTTATCTCAAAACAAAACATAAAAAAATTCAATCAATTGAAAGCATAATCTACAAAGATCCAGAACTCTCTCAAACAGTAAAAACAATATTTAACAACTATAGAAATACGATAAATCTTTACATAGCTTTTATAGTACGATGTATAGAAAATCATAAAACAAATTACAGTTCAATAATAAAATTGATAAAACTACTATCAAGAGCTAATGGTTAGACTTTGAAGACTTGCTAAAGGATAAGAATTTCATGGAGAATGGGTTGTAAAAATACTTCTATGATATTCTAAAACATGAAATCAAGCAATCCTCTAATCAATCAGCCATCCCTCCGAACAGACAATAAGCCTTGGATTTGAAGGAATGGCTATTCTTCATGATTTAAAGAACAAAAGACAATAGCAAAAACTTGAGTGCTGTTTAGATCGCTGAGGAAATCCAACTAATTTATACCACTTGTTTGAAAGAAATTATTAAGTAAACATGACTCATAATCTAGTTAAGTTAAGGTTGAATGTGTAGAAAGAGGTGAATTACTCTAAATTATATGGGACTTCTACATCTAATTGATTGATTAGGTGATTAAAAGCTCAAATTAATAAATGCAAGGCTTTGAATAAGAAATGAAAAATAAGGTGATTGAGTAGCAGAATTATTACAATGAACAACTTTAATTTTAGGAACTCATCTATAATGAAAGCAAGAACCAAATCAAATAACTATAGTTTGATTATGATAGAGCATTAGATATTGATTAATAGCAAAAAGAATAGATATTGGAATTAACTTCAGAATACAGAGAAGCACTTGAAGTTATTGATTCACACAGAAAACAAATAGATGAATTGCAATTATAAATTCTTATGTTGAAAACTGAATAGGCTGAGACCAAACCAGAAAGCGAGAAAATAAATATCTAAGTTCAATAGGGCCAATCCATAGTTTCGCATTTAATGAATTTTTAAGCCAAAATAGACACTAATCAAAAGTATAGAATCAAATCTCCCTTTAAATCTCAAGGAAGCAAATCTCCTGCCAGATCACCCAAGAAAAATAGCATGATCTTTGATAGATGGGAGTAGCTTAGGCTATAAGAAAATTAATTGAAATCATAGATCATATCACTTAAATACTTAGATTTCGATAAAGATTATCAACCCTCTTAAAGCAAAATAGTTTAAATAAGTGGCACAGATGACAAGGCAGTCTAGACTGAAGATTAAGTTTTGGATTCCAAAAAGAACTCAAAAAAAGAAGTCTAAGATTTAAATAATGACTCTAATATTTCAATTGATGAGAATAACAAACCTCAATAAGAGGATTTAGAATTAAGAATATCCAAAGTTTTGAAATTACTGGAGGAATAAAAATTAGATGAGAATTAAAAACTATTACTTTTCAAAACTTTAAGTGAAACTAAAGATGTATGTGAATAAAATAAATCATTATCATAGAGATTGATTTCTATGAAGAAAATGGATTCAAGGAAAAAGATGGAACTATTGGAAAAGGAGGAACTGTGTTAAGAGTTGGAGATTAAACTATAATAAACTGTTTAGGATTTTATTTCAATAATCTAAAATAGCAAAAGGAAATTACGTAAATTAGTTACAAAAAATACTTAGCTCGTTGGGACTTTAAAAGAAATCGAAAGCAAATATGAGATTGTAATTAATGATGTGAAACCAATAGAAGAGGAGGAAAGTCATCTAATGAATTTAATCAATGAAGTAGATGGAGATGAGAATGCTTTCAGTCTTGGCAAAGAATCTTAAAATTTGAATGAGGACAAATCTCTATAAATTTATGATGAGGAATCTATCAAAAGTTCAGTTCATATGTTAGATTCGATTAAACTCTAAAAACGACCAGTTTAAGACTTTAAGAAAGCTATATCAGAAACTAATTTAAATGACAAACTGGAATAATTTGAGAATAGTACTAACAATTAAATTAATTCAAAAGAAGAAGTTTAAGATCTTTAGAATAAGGGTCATCGTAAAAAATAATCAGAATATGTGAATATTAAAGATGAGGAGATTTACAAAGAAACTAAAGATTAAATATAATCAGAAAATTCAAAGTCAGATTATCTCATTAATCTTAATTAAAAGAATTAATTGGCAGATGAAAATAAGACCTTGAAATCCTCCACTGTAAGCAAAACTTAAATAAACAATCAAAAAAAAAAATCTATTTAAAAACACTAATAATAGTAAGGAGATCAAAAATTTATTAATCAATAACAATATCATTCCAGAAGCAGTAAGAATTAATTAGACATTAAATTTGAAAGCAGAAATTCAAAACATAGTATCAGCAATAATACCATTACAGAAAAAGATGAGGTTTCTCAAATGAAACAAAGTCAAAGAAGCTAAGTAGAATCAGAGAAAATGGAATTAGATTAAGATAAAAATTGTGCTTAGAGAATTAAGGATGTGATATCACAGTATAAGGATAAATAATTAACTAAATGTAATATTAAATCAATACATAGATTCCTCTGCTCATAAAACTATCAATTTTAATTTACTTTAGGAAACTAAATAACCAAAAAGATTTCGACGAGTTTATAGTTAGAATACTGATGTAGCTAATAATTTACTTAAACATGTTATGAATAGTAAAAATATTACTAAGACGTTATCATTTCTTCAATTCAACAAAATAATTAATTAAATATTATCTGAAGTTTCTAAATAGAGTGAAGGATATAAAATCCCAGTTCATGTATGTATTTATGATTTTATAAAAAATAAATATGGATTTAAATAAGTGGCTGAAAAAAAAATAAAATAAGTAATTAATTAACTATTTTGAAGATTTATGAATTTATCATAATTGAGAAAGAAAAAAATGCAAAAGTTTTGTTAATTTCAAAATATTGTAATTTTAAAGATGAAATTGATGAAGTTGCACAAAAACTTTTAATAGAAGCTTTTGTGTTTTTTAATAATAAGATAGAATCCAATAAAACCGAATTTTTAATAACCTATGAATCAGCAAATGAATTTCTAAATGATAAATCTTAACTCTGGTTATAAGCCAATTAAATCTAGCAGTTATAAAATTAATGTAAGGTCTAATGCCAACAATTTGGAACCAACAAATATTGCATTAATTATGATTAATTTATTATGAAGATCTTAGATTTCTATATCTTTAATAAAAAGGACTATTAAAACATATTGGAAAAGCTATTTAAAGCTGCAGATCTAGATGGAAATAAACTCATTGAGTATTAAGAAGTAAATAGTATCTAACAAAATTTAGTTTAAAACCCTTTATAGAGCAATCCACACTTAATAAGAAGAGAGGCAAAATTTACTATAGATGTTTTTAAAAAATGCCGATTTTGCTGACGATTAAGGGGACAAGTATCTAACTTTGCCTAGATTTACTGAGATGGCAATTGAATTGGCCATATTTCCAAAAGATTCAGTTATAAAATATGGGGAGGGATGTGAGAGGATAAAAGATCATTGGAAAAATGAAAAAAACTCAATAAAACTCAGGTTTTTAGAAGCTAAATAATATTCAAAAGTCAAGCATACATTTGAGGAGTTGGATAATTTGATTAATAACGATAAAAAAGAAATTTAAAGTAGGTATTTATTTTAAATTAGATGTATTATGGGTGAGTTATAAACTTCTAAATGAATAATCTTTGAGAGTCTATCTTAAGTAATATTTCAACATATTTCAAGATATTAGACTAAATAGTGTCTTTCTGAATTACTGCCTTTGGAAATTCTATAAATATAATAGCAATATAAATAATTAGATTCAATTGAGTGAAATTCTTCATTATTATATTAATGATTTAAGTTTCTTTTTATATCAAATTGAATAGCTCTTATAGTCATAAAAGTATAAATCTCATGGTAAAAATATGCGGGAGTTCGGAAATAATATAATAATTAAAGTAATTTAATATTAAAAATGGGAAACACTTAATTAACGGATCAATAGATTCTTTTATACAAGAATGAAACACAATGTAAATGCCTTATTTTAATATAAAAGTCACTCCAGCTTAAATAAGAAGAATACATAAGAAATTCCAATAGCTTGATACCAACAACAAAGGATTTGTCAGCGCAACAGATTTCATTAAAATCATTCAACATCACAAATATAGTCCATTGTTGATTTAGTAGTTGATAGGAAGGAAATAACAAGAAATTGATTTCATTTCATTAGTGAGATTGCTAAATGCCATCTAATTTGGTGACAAAAATACATTATTGACAAAAATAATGGATTAAGACAGAGATGGGCTAATTGGTACAGAAGACATTTAAAAAACAATAACAGTGTTGAATCCTAGTTGTTTCAAGAATTCTTACGAATTGGCTCAATAAGTAGTTAATGATAATGAAAAGCTAACTTATAACAAAATGATTAAGTTATTAATCGATGATTGATTTATATTTAATAATCAAACTTATATTAAAACTTGTTGCCAGTATAATTTTAGTATTTCCATGAATTGTGCTAATATTATTTTCGTCTGTATATAATGATGTCGCATTTTTTTAATTAAAGAAAAGGCTCATGGGCATCACGTAATTCTTCATTATTTGTTTCTAATTTATATCTCTAAACAAAATTTGTTAGGAATTTTTTAAATTCTTAATGATTATATTAGTGAAAGTTCTTTTATTTTTTTTTATCTTGATTAATTTTATGGGCAATAATTGTTTGTAATAAAATCAGACCATAAATTAAAAAGAGAAAGTGATTCGCATAAACGTGTTTCCTGATCTGAAGTATCCTAGCAAACAAATTTTGCACTAATCAATTTAGAATATTTAATAAAATTTAGATACTTTCGAAGAAGACTTTTTTAAAAGTGAATTTATTTTTGATATCACAAACGACAACATTACAAATCACTGTTCTAGTAGAAGACAATTAGAAAGAATCCAGGATGATGAACAGAACAACATGTAATGTCCGTCATTAAATTTCTTGGGGGAAGCCTAAATTCAATATCAGATTAATTTAAACACAACTGGGGAGGATCCTCTAAATTAGGCTTTCATTTAGGAAAAAAAATAGGAGAGGAGGTCTTAACAGAAGAAAAAAAAATAATTGAAAAAGCTAGCGCAGAAGAATGTTGAATTAAAGGGAATTCTAAAATAACGTAAGCCAAGTCCATCTTCCTTCAGCAATTTATCAGATAGAAGTGGCAGGAATTCAGTCAAGTTCAACCTTTCACAGATCAACATTAATAATAAAAACACTAGATCTTTATCTCCAATAATTTAATCACATAATTCGAAAAAAAAAAATGTTCACACTAAAAGCATGATTTTTATGTAATAATTTCCTTATTTATGATTTTGATTTTTAAGTTTTAAAATGTGGTGATGAAAAATTAATAATAAATGAATTTTTATCCTTTATTGAGTTCTTTTTTGAATATTGTAAAATATAATTTGGAATATCGCATTAGTGAGATTATTTTGAATTACAAAATAACTCAAATAACAATAATTTAAATTAATATAACAATAAAAAAATGATGCATACATATGACATTACCCCAGAAATATTAACTCCAAGGTTCTTAGAGGCATGCAGAAGAGAAGGAATTCACGAGAACGAACTAATTAAAAAGTCTAAGGCTCAAGTTACATAAATGGTGAAATCAAAAGATGCATCACTTACTGATGAATTTATATGTGAAATTGAAAAACATTTGGAGGATAAAAGAAAACAAAAGATAGATTTGGTAAGAGCATAGAGATAGAAAATACTTTAAGAAAATGGAACAAGAAGTAAAAGCACGCACAATTAATCCTAATTAAATTTTAGTTCAATAAGTTATGCCGAAAAATAATCAAAATTATTAGAAAATATTAAGAGAAGACAACAAATAGAAATAGATAAAATGGTTGAGTAGGAGTAACTCAAAGAATAGCAAGAAAAAGATATGCAATTTAAATTGCTTAAATAGCAATAAAAAGAGTAACAGTTTTAGGAAGAATTAAAAAGGAAAAGAGAATATAATGAAATGAAAAAGTAATAATTGGAAATGGAAAAGCTGAAAAAGGAATAAAGAGAGAAGTAGATATAGGACTAAAAGTTAAAGGAAAATGAACTTAAGGAGCAAAAAAGAAAATAAAGAGAAATTGAAAATTTGTTAAGAGCAAAACTGGAGGCAGAATTCAAAGAGAAGGATAGAAAATAGAAGTAGGATTCAATTTTAAGGGAATAGGAATAATTTTAGTTAGAATAATAGAAATTATAGGAATAAAAGAAGTAGCAAATAGAAGATAAGGAGAGAAAGAGATTGTAGTTAATTGAATTCAAGAATGAAGAGAGGAAGAAATTTGCAGATATGGAGAGAAAGGAATTCGAGTAAAAATTAGAGAAAGTCAGAAAATATAATGAAGAAATAATGGAAAGAAAAAGAATGGATTACTTAAAAAGAGAGGCTTAGGTAGAAGCGAAAAGAAAGGATTTTGAATAGTTCTTGGATTATGTGAAGTAGCAGAAGTAAAAATAAAATGTTGATAAGTAATAGCAAATAAATAAGATTATGGTAAAAAATAGTATAATTTTAAGTAAATGAATTTCACTAAGGAGGAGGAGAAGAGAAAAAAGTATGAGATTAAGTAGCAGGAATACTTCAAAAAGAAGGAGTTGATGGATGAGTTTTAAAGGTAATAGATGGAAGAAAAGATCAGAAAGTATGAGGAGAAGGAAAAAAAAATAAAGCTGATATTATTTAATAATGAATTCATGCAAGAACAATAGAGGAATGAGTTGCAATAAAAATTGAATAGAACTCAAGAGAAGTTGGGTAGTTTGAATAGCAAGAAGGATTTGGAGAATAAGTACAGGTAGAAGTATATAGAATAAGACTAGAACTACGTAATAAATAATAAAGGAGATTGATACTGAGGATAATCTAAGGAGAATGGAATAGTTGAATGGATATAGGAGAGTGAAATTGGAGCAAAAGATGACAAAGGACGAGGAGAAGTGTTAATAGATGAGAAAGGATAGAGAGTAGGTTGGCAAAATGGCAGACCAAATAAGGAAGGAAGCAGAGGAGAAGAGGAAATTGTTTATGTTGGATTATGAGAAGAGAAAGCGAATGCAATCTGATGGATTTCGAAAGATGAATTCATCAATGGGATAATGATTAGATTTTATTCAACAGCACTTTTATGGTTATGTATTATCTACTTAATCTTGAGGAAAATTTCTGAGTTTTTGGGATTCATCGTTATTTTGTATTCTTTTAGAGAGAATTTATTGAATCAATTCTGAGTACATTTCTTTGACTTGGGCTCCTGTTTTGGCGGAGCATTCAAAATATCTGACTGAGTACTATTTCTAGAATAAATTATTACAAGTTATGCCAATTCTTAACCTTCAGATGTGGAGACATGTCTGTTTTCAAGATCACATTTATTGGCAACCAGAATAATGGATATCAGTTGATTATCCACCTGATCCTTGAGATAGTCCATCCAGGTTTGCACTTGATTGAACGAATCTCGATCAACAACGCTGTAGACCATGGGAACCCCTTGGGCATTTCTATAATAAATGGGAGCGATATATCTGAATCTCTCTTAGCCTAGAAATGAAAAGCTATATGATGACCTGCAGTATCCCATACTTAAACAGTAAGTTACGATTCGCCATTGGTAATCACTTTCTATTTGTATTCAACTCCGAGAGTGGCTTGAATGGTGTCGTAAAACTTGTCATCGATATAGCGATTTAGGAGAGAGGATTTTCCAACACTTCTTTCACCAAGCATGAGAATTTTAACTTTATCTTGCATTTATAAATTATATTGATTCCGAGGCATAATGAAAATGGGGAATTATCTAGAATAAATCGAGGATGAGCATGATGATTAGTACTGAATTTAAAGAATTATAAATTGTAGAGATGGGACAAACAAATATATAATAATAATATTAATGATAACTCTTTTTTTATTACTTGTACTCACACGAACTTAACCATGTTCAGCTCCGTAGTCATTTATTACTAGCACTATAATTGGAGTCTGCTCACCAGACAATTCTGTTGATACCTATTCCTACCCTTTAACCATCTCGAGTGGCAATGAATTTACTGTCAGGTATGTATGAGATAGGATCATAGCGGCTGGTTCCAATTGGATAATAAAGGGACTGATAAGCAAGGGTTATTCAGTGTTCAATAGAATGGAATGAGAATCGGATTGGTTGTGCATGATGAAGTCGTCGACTTCCTCTATGAAACTCAAACTGTGTCTAAGCCTTTTGTCTACACTGTTAAGAGATGGTTTCTGGCAGTAGCCACACTTAGTTATAGCACTGGCTACGTCAACTTTTACGTATGGTTACCGATGAACGACGTAAGAATAACCCAGGCTCCGACATTGGTGGGGGTTAATTTTAATACACCAATAACCAGCGATGCCAAATTGAATATAATGTATTTCAATACAAATTCAATTTATTGTGGGGTATATTGATCTTAAAATTAGCGAGCCAATAATGTACTATTTTACGATGGTTATTATGAAAATGATAATAATTACAATTGGATGAATTTAGCATTCCTTGGAAATTCCATCGAAAACATCTTTCATTTCACATTCGAAGACTAAATTGGCCAAAAGGTCAAAGGAACCCAAAATAACGGGTATCTCGGATCAACCAGAGGAGTTGACATCGGTGACCCAACCCCTGGACAATACATCCAGCTCTCTTCATCCCAATATGTCACTCTTCCCAGTGCTCTTCTCAGTAGTACTCACTAATCCATCAGCTTCTGGTATTGGTCTAATATAGTTGTTAATACTGATGCCTTTGTAGAACCAGTAGGCGATACAACCAAGGAAGCCATCATCATCAGGAGAGTCTATGGAGGTTCTCAAGATTAATTTCAGATCTTGTCGACAGCTACTGCACCCTATACGATCAAATTGAATTACGGATCAGTCAAATCACCAATATCTCTCACTCCCACTGTGACTGGCTCCACTTGGACCTACATTTCTATTGCTTCAGCCTATGTGGATGCTAATCTTGGAATCAGTAAAATCTACTACAGCGCTTATGTTAATGGAGCCATTTAGACCCACACTCAATCTTCACTTGCCATTAAATATGATGAGAGTGCTAATGATGTTATATTTGTTGGAGACTTAAAGAATGCTTTTACTTCTGGAACCATGAGATTGGCTCACTTAGATATAAGATCTGGCTACGTAAATTATTATAGTGCTAGCACGGTTAAATGCAAGACGAGTTGTTTGCATTCTATCAATTCTTACACTCAATAGCAATGTTATAAATGTTCTAATTTCTTATAGAGTGGTTCCTGTGTTGCTAGTTGTGTTGCTGGTCCCACTGGATATCCATCAGCTATTCTGCCACTCTGTAGATCTTGTATTTATCAATGTAAGGAGTGTTCAAGTGCTGCTGTTTGTACAAGTTGTAACAATGGATATTACTTGTAAACCTCAAACTGTGTGTTGGCATCGAATTGTAATGTTGGATATTTGGCAGATCCTGTATCAAAAACATGCACATAATGTGGCGATGGTGTTTTATAAGGAGCTGAATAATGCGATGATGGTAATTTTATTAATGGTGATGGATGCACAAATTGCAATATTGATAGTAACTATTCTTGTAGTGGAACTCCTAGTCATTGTTAATTGAAATGTGGTAATTCTGTTTTGGATGCTGGCGAATAATGTGATATTGGTTAATTGTTTATTAATGGTTGCATCAATTGTTAATTAGAAGCTGGGTATTATTGCACTGGCACTACATGTAAATTACTCTGTGGAGATGGAAAGCGAGTAAATGAGGATTGTGATGATAATAATTCTGTCAGCAATGATGGTTGTTCATAATGCAAAGTAGATTTTGGATATCAATGTTATGGAGGATCATCAACAAATAAGGATACATGTTCAAAGCAGTGTTCAAATGGAATACTAGATTAGACTGAGTAGTGTGACGACAATAACTCAAATAATAATGATGGATGTGGATATTGTAGAATTTAACTTGGGTATTAGTGTACAAACAATGTATGTATAAATTTATGTGGAAATGGGTTGATTGATGATCTAGAATAATGTGATGATAATAATTCCTTATTGGGTGATGGGTGTTCTTATTGTTTGATTGATTATGGTTACAAATGTGATCAAACATTGACTTAATGTGAATCTATTACAACTACATGTGGAGATTCCTACAAGAGTTTAAATGAGTAATGTGAGGATGGCAATCTTGAAGTTGGCGATGGTTGTTCAGAAACATGTTAAATTGAGTCTGGATTTACTTGTGTCTAAGGATTGTACAGATACTCATTGAGTATTTGCTACCCGACATGTGGAGATGGGATCAAAAAGGATAAGGAAGAATGTGATGATGGAAATGTGAAGGATGGAGATGGATGCAGTAGAATTTGCAAGATAGAAACAAAATGTGGTAACTCAATCAGAGAATCTAATGAATTTTGTGATGACGGAAATTAAATCGATATGGATGGATGTACTAATTGTATTCCTGATCCTGGTTACAGTTGCAATCTGATTGAAGGAGGTACTGTTGATAAATGCAACAAATGTCCAGAGAATTGCGATTCATGCACTTCTGATGGTCAACAATGCTTATATTGCTTCAATGGATATGCTCTATATAATTATGAGTGTTATTCAAACTGTCCTTAGAGCTATTATTATAATGAAATTTGTTTAGCCTGTCCTGAAAATTGTCTAGAATGTTATGCTAATGTCTGTACTCAATGCAGCATGAGTACTTATTTATTTAAGGAATAATGCATCCAATAATGCACAGATGGATATTTTGAATAATAAAATGGTGTCTTGGGTAATAGTTGTATCAAATGTTACGCTCCATGCAACATCTGTCAAAATGAAGTTATCTGTGATGAATGTGATGATGGATACAGAATAGAAGATGGTTCCTGTGTTTCTTGTAATTTTGATAAGAATTGCATCAAATGTGATGTTGACAATTGTCTTGAGTGTTAAATTGGATATCAACCTGATGGATAAGAGTGCGTCAAAATTGATCCAGATTGTGGAGATGGTTTGCATGCACTCTCAGAACAATGCGATGATGCTGATCTCTCGGGTGGATGTGTCAACTGTAAAATTAAAAGTGGATACAATTGCATTCTAGAACAAAATGAAGGTCCTGATATTTGTTATGAATTAAAGCCTGTAGAAGTGTCAGCCTACATAGATGAAATCCACTTTGATAAACTCTACTTAGAATTCAATCGACCTTTATCTTAAATCTACAATTACACTGAATTACTATTGATCAACATCCCTGATCTGCCTGATTACTAGTATGAAATCAAATAAGTAGACCTGTATATAATTGAAATTACTTTTACTTATTATGACACTGTCTAACACATATATGCATCTCTGAACTTTACATAACCCAACAACATAGAAGATAAATTTGGTTGGTCACTTGTCGGATAGGCAAATGATTCAAATAGCAAGATAGCCAAGTACGGATTGATCAAAACTGAACTCAATTATTATATTTATTATACTGATGATGAAGTCTACTTTAGTGACACTCTAAGTTATATTACCTTATCATTTCTTATCTTAAGTTTGATATCAGCCTTTAGCTATTCTTATAAGATTGGAAGTGGTTAAGTGTGGCAAATAATACAATCATTATAATTGATTTCTTTATTGAGATTAATAAAATTAAGATATTCTTTACACATTGATAAAGTGTTAGATGTGTTGAACTATTGCAATTTCTCATTCATTCCTAATTTATTCCTCCTAATGATTGATGTGCCAAAATAAAACACAATTAAATTTTAGATTGAAGACTACCCTTCACAATTCTTATTGAATGCTGGTGGAAGATACATAAGCTTTATTATTTATGCCTTAGTACTTTGGGTTGCTATTAAAATACTAATTAAACTAATTCATTGGGAACCCATTTAAAATAGACTAGAAGATATTGATGAATATATGAAATTCTAAGCATTTGTTAGAATGTATGAAATGATGTTTCTTGATTTAATGGTCTCTTGCGTCCAGACCTTTCAGAACTACTCTACTACCTTTGACATCATCAATATTGTTCTTGCTGCTATATTCATTATACTATCTATTGTTGCTTTTGTTTTGGCATACAGATTTATACTTAGACACAATGATGCTTATACGTTTGAATGGCTGCATATGTATCTTAGCTGCTTATATGATGGATATGAAATCAGAACAAGGTTTGGAAGACTCTTCATATATGTTCCATACATCAGAAAACTAATATATGCTTGCCTCTTCCTATTACCTTCTCAGTTCATCTAGATTATTGTTTTGTGTGCACTTAGAATTGTCATTTATTTTCCACTTTATAAATTCAACCCTTTTATTTCCAGAATCCTATTATACAAGCAAACTATTTAAGCATTATTTGATACTTTGTGTTTGGTTAGTGGTTTAATGTATTTAAATATTGATGATTCTAAATAGATCAAAGTATCTGATGGATGGTATATGTTGATGGCAATCCTTATTACAATCATCAATTATACACTTTGGAATATTGTGCTAATATTTGTTAAGGTGAAATCCCCTAATTATTTGTTGGATGATTTTGAAATTGAAGAAGAACCGAAATTCAAAAACAACTAAATAGTCCCTATGGATTACATACCTCCTGAGGACGGCTAAAATAATCCTTAAATAGTGCCTGAAGGTTATGAAAAGCCTCCAGATGTGGGGATTGCACAAATAGTTCCTGAGAAACAACCGAAAGATTAGGATATCATAAGTGTTTCAAGTAATGCTCAAGAAGCAAATAATGTTGTGTAAGATCCAATTGAAGAAAAAAAGAGATAGGAGGAAGAGAGAAAAAGGCAGGAAGAAGAATAAAGATTAAAAGAGAAAGAAGAGAGAAAACAGACTTATTTGGAAAGGAAAGCTACGCAAAAATTAAAGTAATAAGAAGAAGAAAAGGACGAATTAGTTGATGATTTCTTTGGTTGAAAATAAATCATAGATTAAATTATTCATAGTCTTTTTCATTAACAAATTCTAGTTGTAATGCATGCACTTCTTATTCTTTTTTACATTCTAATCTCACTATATTATTCTCTTTCTTTGTTTTCTCCTTCTCAATCAGTCCTTCAAATATATCAGGTCTATATATTAATGGAATAATTATACTCAACTCTTATTTTGTGATCATCTCCTACCTTTTCTATTGTGAATGTGATTTCTTTATTTTCATGCTCTTTATCATCTATTTTTATTTTCTTTAATTTATTCTATGTCTTAATCTTAAATTTACATCTAAAATTTCTATTTTTTTATTAGTCTCCTAATTTGGAGAAGTAATTGATTTGTCACTCTTTCGAATTGATTTAAATTCTATTATTGGACTCACCAATCCCATATTATTGTTTTATTTCTTAGGTAATTATAAACTATTCAATGGCTGAGTATTGAAAAACAATTTTTCTTGTTGAGAATTGAAGATGTTCGTTGGTTAGAACTTTTTAGGAGGTGTTGACAGTTTTTAGTCAGATCCCGCTTGTTCAAATGATGGCGGTGGGGCAGTTATTACTATTTTTGTATTTTGGTTATCATTTTTTTCTTTTAATCCTTTGATCTTCAAAATTCTATTTTATTCACACAAAATACTTTCTCTCCTGAATTTCTTCTGGAGTATTGTTAACTCCGACTACAGGTAAGGCTTCATCATCATCCTCTTCCTTCCCTATGTCAAATTAAGGTTTTCTTTTAGTCATTAATTTAATTATTTTATATTCCCGCTAACCATTACACTCTTAAAGATGAAGAAAACTATTATTAAACTCCCTTGCACACTATTGTAATCATTCTCATTCATTTTTTTAACAAAACAATAAATTCATATATATCTATCTAATGCTTATCCATTAATTAGACTTATTTTTACTCTAATTTTATATTAATTATCTAACAATCCTTTATCCAAAGGCTAATTATTAGATCGAACAAAAAGATCTTATTCAAATATTCAACTTCAAAATTAAATTATGATATATCAATTTATTTAATTGACTCTTACTGCCATTATCTAAAAAGCATCATCTTTTATTGAATCAGAAATGTTTATCCTCATGATTACTAAAGAAAATATTATATATATTTGATTGATAAAACAAAGAAATAGCAAATTTTCTTATAATTCAAAAGAATCTTAGGAATTCATTAAGAATTTGAACAGATGATTATATATCCCTTTCATAATCAAGTTAAAAATTTACGGTACTTTTGGTGTTTCAACTTATTTTGGCATCATTATTTTATTTTCCTTAAAAGTAGTTTTATTAATGGAATAAAAACCGAAGCTTACATTTGGAGAAATAAATTCTAAGAATTTAGAGCTATTTAAAATCATAACTTAAAAGACATTGCCAGTAACTTACAGCGATAATTTTTATCATAGGATTCTCACTTATTAAGACTTTTCTGCATTAGGTAAATATTTCCCTCAATACAGGATATTATAATGATATTGCAGTTGGAGCTATTACAGCAAGAATAGAAGACCAGGATAATGTTAAAACCGCATATATAATGACATTTGGTGTGTTAGATACATATCGACGATTGGGATTTGGCTCACAGCTATTAAATGAACTTATCAATAGAATTAAGTCTTATAAAGAGATTAGAAGAATCTACCTGCATATGTGGTCCAATAATGATGTTGGTTTCTAATTTTACTCAAGTCATGGATTCGAAAAGACTAAATTCATGAGAAATTATTATACAGATATTGAGCCTCCTCATTGTTATATTCTAACCAAAAGGCTATATCCTGATGAAGATCCTCCTATTTAATACGTAGAGTAAGATGCGATAACAGAACAAACTCAAAGGGAAGAATGAAAATATATATTTGTTGTATTAAAAAAGGATAAATACATTAAAGAGATTTTATACATTGAAGGATAAAACCATCAATAATTTGGCGTTTGAGTTATCGACTATATTTTTAAAGTACTAAATATCATAATCATGAACCTTTATAAACAACGTAAGTATTGTGTAATGAATACAAAAATTTATATGTGACTAGAACTCTAAAGGAATCAAGCATAATCTTTAATTATGATTTTATCATATAACTTTCAGATTAAAAAACCTCAAAATCTTGTTATTAATTCAAAATAACTTTATAAATATTTATTACAATTATGACCGATCTATATATTTTTATCATGCTTTTCTTAATTTCTTAGTTTACTATTTGATCATTCCTAAAATATAAAAAAAAGTCTTTGATCTCAATTGTGTATTAATATTTTTGTTATGATTTAAATAAAACATAACCATAGGAATTAAGATATAACTTTAATAATAGTAATTAAAATGTATTATTTCTGAATTAGTTGATTTTTAAATCACTAGTAAAAAAGAAAAATCCATAAATTAAATATTAATAATTAAGATCATTCAAAAAATTTACTTGCATATATCCAATTATCCTTATTAACGCAAATCTCTTTTGTTGTAATTCATTTCAATCACATGTTAATAGTATAAAGGTTCTTCCTTTTATTTCTTTTTTTCAAAAGGAGCAGATAAAATAATCTTTCTTTTAGAACTTAGTGGTATTTCATTATTGAATTTGGTGTTCTTCTAATTTTTAGCTAAATTCAACATGGATATTGATTCTTTGATTAATTTATTTTATCCAACAACTTCTAATTCTTTAACAGATAAATTAGGAATTATCTTTTCAATTACCTATTTTTTTTCTTCAAATCTTTTCATAAATCCTTCCGGTCTTTCATAAACTTGTTCAGCCTTATTTTTTCTAACTATTTCAAACACAGCTTTTTCGTTTTTATTATTCAATTCACCAGGAGCTGCTCTGAGTTGCATTTCCTTAGAATAGAATTTATACTAATACCCATAAATGATTTCCATATTTCTCTGAGTCTGATTAAATTAAGTCCAATAGTTTACGATCCTCATAACGTTGTCTAGCAGCATCAATATGATGGAAAAGTGATTGCTTTGGATCTCTACCACATGCTTTGGCAGATTAAACAACTCTTTATTGCCATTTTTGTTATTACTACTCGAAAGCCATCATTATTTTACTTTCCCTATTAGCATATATTTGATCTGGTTTGGTGAGAGCCATCTTCACTCCTTGCTCTGGCTATTTTTATTACTGGATTACTCTTTCTACTTCCCTTTCTACATCACTTGCTTCCATGTCTTCATAGATGAAATCAGAGTCCTACTTATGACGTTAGTGTTTCTGGATAACTCTCTAAGAGGGTTTAGAAGGTATATTTGACTATTCTGATTATTTTAGAATGAAAGTTGTTTTTTTTTTAAATAGATCTGGGTTACCAACTATATAATAAGAACAAATCTTTCCATCTTTGTAAAATTAAGCCTCATCCTAATCTAGTGTTTGTGTCATGAACATATTGTTTTGTTAATCATTGGTTTTTGTTACCTTTTTTAGCAAATATTTTGGTTTGGAAGACATATTTATATTAATTAAATAAACAGATAGATAACTAAAGCACATATTGTTTATTCAATAAAAATATGAAATACTCTATTAAATGGTAATACTAAGGTGTTTAGAATCAATGATCTTAAACAATTTTAGAAATATTAAATTATTTTTACTTAATTCATAAAGTTTCACATTTAGACAATCAATTATACCTATTTAATAAATATTCTAAAAAAGTTATTTAAAAATCTCAAACTCTACCTAATTCTTGATGCAAAAACAACTTGCAATCAGTGTTATGCTTGAGAATACATCTCTGTCATATATGAATTACATTAAGGTGATTTAAGATTACATTAAATCTTATGAATGTAATGTAATGTTATCTACATTTATTACAATAAAATAATTTTTATATAAATACATGTTTTATTTATAAACTTTAATAAAGCTCAAAGCAATAATGTATTAGGATCTTCAATATAAAACTTAAATCTTTATAACCATTATGCACCGACAGCTCCATCAACAACTCTATGATCACATGACAATGTAACATCCATTTAGTTTTCAACCCTTTTTGATTTAAATAATAAATTACTTAGGTTATCCATGTTCATCTGGAACAAATCTTTTGCTTGTTTTTCCTACTGCTAAGATGGCTGATTGTGGTGGATTAATGACAGCAATAAATTAATCAATACCGAACATTCCTAGATTGGAAATGGTAAATGTGCCGCCGATAAATTCTTAAGGCTTGAGTTTGTTTGCCTTAGCCTTATCAGCTAATTCTTTCACGGTGGAGGCGATAGTTCCAAGACCCTTGCTGCCTGCATTAAAGACGATAGGAGTAATTAGACCTGCATCAGTGGCAACTGCAATTGATATATCAGCATTAGCAAACTTCCTAATGTAGGTGCCATGCCATTAAGAATTGGCTTATGGAACATCCTTTAATGCCAATGCGCTTGCCTTGATAATGAAATCATTAACAGAAATTTTAACCTTCTATAGTTTATTCAATTCTTCTCGTACTCTTTTAATAATTAAATAAATTATTACTTCAATACTTTATCCATTGTAACTGTCATAGTTAAATAATAATGAGGGATAGTGGTCTTTGATTCTAATAATCTGGCAGCAATTGTCTATCTCATATTAGTAAGTTCTGTGTCAACATATGGATTGCCTTCGATTGCAACGGGTTTTGAAGCAGTTGCTGGTTTAGCTTATTATTTTGCTTGAGCAGGAGGGGGTGTTTATTAAGCTGGCTATTCTTAAGATGGGGCCTAAGTTTGTTGTTATTTAGGAGGGGTAATAACTTATTCTTATTACTAAACCTCTGGTTTTGATCCTGATGAAAGAAATCTCTCGACATCCTTTTTGACGATGCTACCATCTATACCAGTTCCTTTTACATATTCCAATGGGACACTATTCTTCTTAGCGAATTCCTTTGCTAGAGGTGAAGCAAATATCCTTTGTCCTGATTAAGACACTGTTTATACTGGTGTTTCATTAGTTGTTGTCTATTATTATTACTATTATTATGCTGGTTATGCTTATGTTGTTTAAGCAGCTGCGGCAGCACCCTCAAGAGTGTAATTAGCAAAACTAGATACGTTATCCTTCTTTGGAGTTGAAATAGCCAATATCTTAAATAAAATTTATTAATTACAGTTCCTAATTTAATATCTTTAGTTCCTGCAGGTACCATTAATTTTGCGATGTAACCATCTTCTTGGACTTCAAATCCAACAGAAGCTTTGTCTGTTTCAATCTCACAAATCACATCTCCAGGACTTATCTTGTCTCCCTCTTTAACCAGCCATTTCATTAAATTTCCTTTCTCCATAGTTGGTGATAAAGCAGGAAGACCTAATTTTGAGTGTTTGGGGAATGCTCCTCCTGTTGCTGTTGCTGCTGGTTGTGCTCTCTAAGGTGTTGAAGATTATTAGGGTTGAGCTGCTGGTTTTGATGCTGCAGCACCTTACTCAGATGAAGAATCTTTGTAATTAGCAAATAATGCCACATCTGATTACTTTGGAACAATTACTGCAACTAATTATCCAACTTTGACTCCCTTTGAGCCTAATATATTTATACAATTTTATTTACCTTCAGGAACAAGGATTTGGGCTAAGAATCCTTCATCTTGCATTTCAAATCCCACTGTTGCTTTATCAGTCTCAACCTCACAAAGCACATCACCTGCTGTAATTGGGTCACCTACTTTCTTCAAGTACTTCTAAATGTTTCCTGTCTCCATTGTTGGTGATCTATAATTTAATATTAGTCATATACAGAGCAGGCATTTCTAATTTCTTATGTTTTGGCAATGATGTGGAGAAATAGCTAACGGGAATGCTTGTAAATAATGGTCCTCTTATTGACAATGTTTATAAAGGAACACAATGCAATAACTTAGGTCTGAAGACTTACATCACCCTTAAGGCATGCTTTAACATTTTTAATTTAATTAATTTATATGTATATATGTGGTTGTATTGTTATGTATATAACATTTCTGTATTAATTATTTTGGTATGCCTTTCCATTTCACAATTAATATTTTCACAGATTAAGGAAAATAAACTGTGTATCATTAATAATTAAATCACAACTTTGAAATTTAATAATTAATTTTAATGTGACGAACTTAAAATATGAGAAATTATATATATATATCAAACTTTGGAATTAAGTCTATGAAGCCGTATTATTTATTAATCTAACTAAAGTGTGCTGCTTTTCTCATTAGACACAAGAATAGATATTATTTGAAGCGTTTTTTTGATTTTCTCTGTTATTTTTTCATCTTATTAGTGATCCACTGCTGCTTTGTTCAAATAATTCAGTGAATATTTCAAAAAATCTTAGGTAAGGACAAATTTGCTATGAAAAATCTTTTGAAACTCCTCCTCCTTTAACCATTGAGGATACTTATTCTTAATTTCTCTTTCTAATTCAAAATAATCATTCTAGCAACTAACAAATATTACTTTTTTCTATTATTTTGATTGTTCCTCCAAATATGCCAAATAATAAATATTTACAAGCTTAAGATAAATGAATGCTAGTTTAAGTTCTTTTCCATTTAGTATTAATTAATATACTTTGTAAAAATAATTGACTAAATCCAATAAAGAAATAGTTTTATTATTTGAATTATTATTATTATTATTATTATTATTATTATTATTATTATTATTATTATTATTGCTAACAATATTATTATTATTCGCACTATTGCTATTAGCATTAATTTACTATGGATTTTAATTATTTTTATGAAGTACTTTCTTTACTTCAGAAATCTGAGTATTTTATTATTATGTTTATTATGTTGGGGTGTTGTTAACGTATGAATTAACTTTCCTTTAGTTAATGTTATTTAATTATTATAATAATTTTTTTCTCTTAGCACTTGAGTTACTATTTTTTGTACTTCTTCTATGTTCGTCTTAAGAATTATTACCACCATTTTAATTCTTTTAATTATCTGGAGTAGATTGGATATCTTAAATAGGAGTCTAATTTGATTAAGTGTTAGAATTTGCATTGCTATCATTAAAATTGACAGATTATTGTTAAGGCATTTGGACTTAAGCATCTTTGTCTTCTCCGTTCAATAGTTCTTGTTTGATTTTTAATTGATTTTCATTTAATTTGATCTGTTCGTCTACACTCCTTGGTTCAAGTAATGCAACCGTATCTTAAGCCGACAGTCTTTGATTAGGGTCTATCCTGATTAAATACAGGATTAGAGCTTAAATCTTTTTAGAAACGCCAGTGTTTGGAAATGATAATTTACCATTTTCTTTGAACTTTGATATAGTCATTTTCAAGATGTCATTGTTCTCAGAATAGAACGGTGACTATCCAAAAACCATCTCGTATAATACACAACCCAAAGACCACATATCTGCTTAACAATTTATCTCGTTGTCAAAGAGTACCTCAGGTGCCATATACAGAGGAGTTCCAATTATAAACGTTTATTAAGCTTGATCTATTTTCTAAGCAAATCCAAAGTCTGCTAGAACACATCTATCAGAAAGCAATATATTTGCAGATTTTATGTCTCCATGCACTAGGGATATTTGAATTCATACTTATATTGTGTTAATGGATAGCTTACAATGCTTTTGCAATCTGTAAAGTATATTGAAGTGCTTCTTCTTCTGAGATTAAAGATCGTTACAACTTTTGTAGAAGATCCCCTATCAATTTGAATAGATTTACTACCTTTATTGCAAAATTCAGTAACTAGAAATACCGATTTATTGTTTTGGTTATGATAGAGCAGTTTAAGTATGTGGGGAGAATCCAAAAGCTTTAGAGTGTTGATCTCATTTTCGATCATATACATTTGAATTGGATTGTTGGGTTGTATTGTGATAACCTTAACAGCTACAATTTGATTAGGTTTATTCTGCTCATATCCTTTGTACACAACTGAATACTATCCCTTTCCAATAACTTAGGAGCAATCAAATACATAAGGACCAGTCTTATTATTTTAAATTCTTACCTACATCAACAGAGACTGTTTACGTGGAAGTTATAAATTCACATGAGCAGGAGGAGACTTCACTCTCTCTTAAGGACTTAAAAATCTTTGGCGTCTCATCATAAAAATTATTAATAAAAATTATATATAATATATAATTTAGAGCTTGTTTCTCTTTTTATTTCAGTTATATTAAAATTAAAGTAACAAAAATATATTTTTAAATTTATAAGATTAAATTAAATAGCCCTATATATATATGTAGTTCCATTTATTTAAATATATTCTGTCAATTCAAACTTGAAATGATTGGATAAACTGCTCAAGACTTTGAAAAAATAAAAAGATTTATATTGCTCTTTATAATTATAAGAAATAAATGTAAATGTTCTTTACATATTGATGTAAACAATTGACTGTAATTAATTTGAAAGGTTTTTGTTCCTTTAGTGAGTAAAGATTAAGTTCTAATTCTTTTAATTTCTAGATATATTTTAAACTCACTACTACATTTATACAATAATACCCATAGTAATAACAAATTCATTATTAGAATATGAAATATATGTTAACAAAATTATGTTTATTGTTATTAAAGGATAAAAATAATTTTATGATAATTTCATCCTCTTGAATAAATCATTTTTTGATTTGTAGATAGCTCTAAATTATACGGTTTAAATTTATTTAAATGGTTTGATACTACATATAATGGTTTTGGTTATGGTTGTTCATATTTTGGCTTTGATAACTGCTCTTAAGAGATTTTACTTTAAATTAGATTAATAATTACTTTAGTATGAATATTAAAGATAATAATCCAAACAGCATTAAGAAGCTAGCTAATAAACAATATAAGGTAGGATTAGAAAATGAAAATGGATCCTCAGTGTCTTAATTTGATTATCCAATCAGAATTGTGTTATCTTTTGAATTAAATATTGCTCCATTTTATCTAGGTTAGATATGATATATTTACTAGAAGAATTAGTTTCCTAAAAATGAGGAAGTGCTATGTTGGAATATATCTAATTGGCATTTTTACTCGTTCTATAAAAATTTTGGGTTCAGAGGGAGAAAATATGTGTTTGGTAATCCATTAAATGCAATTTTAATTTTGGGAATCTTGTCTATAAAGTCAGGCTTTGAACATAGACACATTAGTCTCTTGTCTTCAATGGAACAAAACTAAAATTGAGCAATTTCTTTACTAAACTTTAATAGTTTTTTATTTGTGATATTATCTTTTTGATGATGTCTTATGTAAAATAATTGTATTTGGTAGTTAGATCAAATGTAATAAATTAATTGTCTTCCTTTTTCAGAAATTAAATGTCCTTTTGAAATAGTTGGAACTGTAATTTCCATTAATCTTGTGCTTGGTTTTAATATGTAATTGTCTTTCTGAGTTAATACTCACTCTACTCACTTATGAAGATTCTTTCTTATCCTTAACTTGTTGAGATTTGGTAAATTTATTACAAGCTGTGTTGTTCTAATCTAATTCAAATTTTACGTACTAATAAAATAGATTTGATTAGTTTGGAGATTCTGTTAATTTTGTTAAGCTCAACACTCCATTTTATTTATATTACTAATTAGAAATATCATAGGATAGACAGAGCTAAAAATTGTCAAATGATCGTTGATCCAACATGACAGTCTTTTTTTTATAGTGAATTTGCTTACGTTTTTAGCTAATATGCATTTATTTGTATTTGATAATGTTATTGGTTCAGAATTCTAAAGCTTTTCACAACCTTAAGTTTCTTTACAATCGAATTATTAGACAGCTTATGGGCAATTGCTACATTGATTGTTATTGGCTGGATTTTTGGAATATAGCCATGAGTAAGGATTAATATTGTCAATAACCATTTAATAGTTTGAGCCAGCAATTTGCAGTGAAACCTATATTTAAATCTATTTAATTTACTGAATACGCTGTATCAGTTACTTCTCCTTTTTAATAATCAAAGGGTTGGAGTTTCAATTACAAACCATTTATTATTACGACTGATAGGAAAAATAACATTAATAAAAATTAATGAGTATTGATTAAATTCTTAAAGATTAAGAATAAGAGTGGTGGTAAGCAGGAAAAGAAGATGAATACAATGTATTAAATAAAATTTAGAGAACTTCATGTAGACCGATTTAGAGGAAATATTTGGAATGTTTGAAACAAAATTTTGATGAACAAATGATTTGTGATCAGTTCAAAAAAGACATGGATAATTGTTTAAGTATATTGTAATATATGAAAATAAAAGAGATTCAGAAAAAATTGATTAAATGAAATATAAAATTAATATAGATTTAATTGATCTTCACATTTTGGCTACTGCCAATAACATAGAAGAAAATTCTTCATATTAGATATTTCCATCATTATTTTTATCACATTATTAAATTATCTGACTCCATTCAGCATTGTCAATATTGATTCCACACATGATATCTTATAACTCTGCTTTCGAAATAACCCCATTACCATCCTATAAATTTTAAACAGACATTACTTTATCAAACAATTTAAAAGCCTAATCAATTTTAGTTTTAGAAAGTATAATATTTTGCTTAGCAGAAGCTACAAGGAATTCAGTATAACTTATTTTTCCAGAGTTATTTTGATCTATTTGATCAAAGATTTAATTAACTAAATGCTTGGCCTTTAATTCATCATTAAATACCTTTGTGTATGCTATTAGATAATTAAAATTTAATACCTTATACTAATTCTTCTTTTGATAATTATCCATCCTTGTTTTTATCCATGCTTTGGAATGTTGATGTAAGTTAATCTTTCTCCTCATTAGACATAACTGAACCTGCAATCAACTACAAAATGGCAGCTCTCATATTGCTTTCATTCTAAATGGTAAAAATAAGATAGTACTCTAAATTTGCCTAATTCATTCAAGACATCTGCACTAATCTTCTCTTCCCGAGCCTTCTCTTTTATCCAAGGATCATCTAAAATCTTTTAAGCCGAGGGTCTTTTGTTTGGATCGAATTGCAACATTGATTTTATCAATTCTTAAGCTTCATATGATAATGTAGTAAACTCCTTGGCTGTAAAATTATATTTGCCAGATTTAATGTTGCTGAAAAGTTGCTGTAAATTCGAAACCTTAGACTCAAATGGAAATTTCCCAGTTAAGATTTGATATAAGATTACTCCACAAGACCAAATGTCACATTTTTCGGTATAATTTTTATCAATCACCTCTGGAGCAAGATATAAGGGCTAAATTAAGTATAACCATTAAAATTACAGTTCCTATTATTTAAGTCTAAGTTTGACCATTAACAAATCTTTTAGCAGTTCCGAAATCTATAACTTTGATTTTGGATTATGGGTCTGTGGAGGCTAACATAATATTAGAAGGCTTCATATCGCTATACTATTTGAATAGGGAATTACCGATGAATGATATTCTAAGCATGACAATAGGCAAGGGCTGATAAAACTTATTTCATATATTCTGCTGCCATTCTTTCATTAAAAGTTTGTAATTTGGTGAGCTTTTCAAGTAGTTCTCCCCCATTCAGATACTCTGTTACTAGGTAGTAATTTTGGCTGTCTTGGTACAGCTCAAATAATTTGACAATGTTAGGGTAATCCATGTTTTTCAATAAATAAACCTCACTAAACATAGCTTCTTCTTATTCTTTGATTATTTTTTTCTTTGAAATCTGTTTCATAGCTCTTTATTGACCAGATTTCTTATGTTAGACTAATCTTACTTGACCATACGAACCTTGAAACTAAAAATATCAGTATACCTTCTCCTAAGATTTTATTCATGATATAATTGTCTGTGATATCTCCTGTCTTTAAGTTAATGAAGATGTCTGGACCGACTTCGAATTTACTGATAGCAAGTGCTATTTTGAAAATAAGATCATTTTTACACTTTTATTCTTTGCTCATTTATTGCTTGTTTTCAGATTTTGCTCCACAGCTTCCCATTAATTAATTAAAAAATTACTATCAAATCTAAAATATTTATGATTCTATTTAAGATGTTATTTTACATCAATTTCTTATTATTATGCATAAAAATTATTTACCAGAAATTCATTAATCACATTCAACTCATCATTTAGAATCAAAATACAAACAAAAAATTTAATCTTCCAATTCATCTATTGAATGGGATCAATTAATCAACACATCAATACAAAACTCTGTTAAATTCCAAGTGATACCAAAATCTTCAAACAACCTTAATTTATCAAAATTAGTGCCTTCATCTGATGTGTCATATCTAAAATCGACCAAGAGGAATTTCGCCAAGCTTGGAACCAGCATTTATAAGGATCCTGAACTATAATAAACTGTAATATGTTTCATCTATCCTAGAAATATGATAAAAACATGTAATCATTTTATAGTACTCTGTATCGGAAATCTTCTTCCAGATTACCCTTCAACACAAATTTGGAAAAAGAGCCTTTCTCAGGTCGCTTATTGGATTTCACTGAAATTTTATAAGATAACAAAAAAGCAACAGGACTCTAGAGATACTTCTCCGAAATTTTAAAACTAGAAATGCAACAAAGCCATTCCGAAAAAGAAATGGTTCCTCCAAATAGACAACAAGCCATAGACTTAAAGGAATGGCTTTTTATGATGATCACATTTACCAAGCAAGAATCCCCCAATATCAATACAAGAGAATTAGCGGAGAGAATCCAATTGATCTACGCTTCCTGTTTAAGGGAATTGATTAAGTAATTGATAATCATTAAATAGGTAAGTTAGTATTGAGTGTACTGAAAGAGGAGAATTACTATAAATAGTTTGGGATTTTTATGTTGAATTGATTGGTTAAATAATTAAATGCTACTCGGAATAATCCAAGGAATCCGAGAAGTCATATCTTGAATAGATGTAAAGGATTTAGGCATTCCACGATTCTCAAATGGAAACCTAAAAAGTTAAATATTAGGAATACTAAGATCAAATCTAAAAAATAAGAAATGAGTCTTCTGATTCAGTAGATGAACTAAATTTGACTAAGGCCAAAATGTTGTTATTAACAGCCGATATGAGACAATTATTGTAAACTAATGAAGCCCAAAAAAAGGAAATAGATTCTCTGCTCTTATAAATAATGTTACTGAGAACTTAAGATTAAAGCGATAAAAAATAAGAAAATTAAACAATCAATGTTAATTTATCTCAAGGGTAGAGTATTGTATCGCATCTATTAAACTTCAAAGAAACCAACACTGAATATAAATTTAAAAAGAGTAGAGTCAAGAATACTAATTTTGAAAAGTTTGAATAACTGAGACAGTAAGAATTATAGTTGAAATCCGAATTAATAGATTAATAAATCTTAGAACCAGATATTGAATATAATGATTAGGAAGTACAAGCGGATGTAGAGTATCAAGATGAAGAACTTTAAACAGACTTGGATATGATGACTTTGGAGGTTTAGGAATAGAAATTATAAGAATAAGAAGTGTAAATTCAAAATTTAGAATAATAAAAGGAGTAACTTGATTAAGAGATAGAAAATCATGACAATTCCTCCTAAAGAGAAAATTAATAATCAGACTAAAAATAGAGTTTGCTAGAAGCTCAAATACAATAAGCTATACAACTTATATAGGATTCTTAAATAGATTCAAAACAATTGATTTGTGAAATTCTGAATTAATCTATCTCTCAAAGCTAATAGTTATCATAAAGACTTGCTACTTTAGAAAGAGAAGATACCAGATACAAAATAGAATTATTGGAGAAGGAAGATTTCAATCAAGAATTAGAATCTAAATTAACTTAGGCTGTTGCTGATTTTATTGATATCATAAAAAAAAAAAAGAAGCAAATTAATACATTATTAAAATAGAAATCCACATTACTGGATACTTTGAATTAGGTATCATCCACATATAATATACAAATAAATTTACCTGAATTCAATGATGATGAAATGGATATGTCGTAATAGAAAGATTAAGAAGAATCACAAGAAAATTACCAAGAATTTGAGCAATCTCAAAATTTAGATTAAGATAATGACGATATCAAAATAGATGAACAAGATGAATTGGAATATTAATTTACAGATAGAACCAAAGTCTTAGAAAATGAATAAGATAATAATTCTAAAATATAATAGAATAATAATTAAAATCCCAATAATGAAGGTAATCAATATTAGAAATAATTAGATTTTGAAACAAGAAGTTAATAATAATTTAATTAATAGCAAAATAATTTGGATTAATCTCTTCGTTAAAATACTTAGACTAGTCAATAGAATGATGAAACATAAGCAGTAGATTAAGTCAAAATTAATTAAAGTAACGATAAATCCACCAATAAAAACTAAAAAATTTAATTATCTACTCAACAAAACAATAAAAAGTAGAAAAATGTTCCACCTCTTATATCGAAAAATTAATTAAACAAAACAGATATAGATAGAAAATCATAGATAACTGAATAAAATTAAAATTCTGTTGATAAGAAAAATATAGAAAAAAATAATAACTAAAATTCCTCTTCACAAATGAAATAAAATGAAAAACCTGAAAAGTCATTTTCTTAACAAACTAAACCAGATACCTAGTAATAATCATAATCAAACTCAAAATAAAATTAACAAAAGAAATAGTTTTCATCTCAGGAAAAATAGCATAATTCAAATTAAAATATTTAAAAATAAGAAAAAGAAAGACCAAATGATAAAAATTCAAGTAACGACCTAAATTAAGGAGATTAACAACTTTAAGTTTCGAATAAAGAATAAAAAGATCAAAATTTTTCAATCAATTAAAATCCTTAATTCTCTAAAAAAAGAAATTCAAAAGTTCATAATTAAGAAAAAAGCATAACAATGACTTAAAATGATGAATCTCTTTCTGAAGACCTAGACCTTGAATCATCTTAAATTATTTAGAATAATCCACAAGGGGAAAGGATAAAATAAGTAGTAAATCAATATAAGGATTAAAAACCTAAATTAAGGAACAAGTATAATCTTATTGTCCTTGAACCTAAAAATCAAAAGAGATTTCGGAGAATCTACAGTTAAAACACGGATGTTGCTAATAATTTACTTAATGACTTAAAATCAAGAAAGAAATAGAATAAAAAAATTTAATTCTCAATTTTGTAATTATAAAAATTAGTATTATAAATACTAAGTGACATATGCAAATAAGCAGAGGGATATAAAATTCCTTTTCATGTTTGCATCTATGATTATTTTAAGAATAAATATGGATTTAAGCAAGTAGCCGAAAAAAAAATTAAATAGGTCTATTAATTTATTTATTATGAAAAAGACAGTCATATTAAAGTAAAACTGCTTGCCTAATTTTGTTATTTGATTGGGGAAATGGATGAAATAGGTTAAAAATTATTGACAGAAAGTTATCAATTCTTTTAATAAAAAAATGACTTAAATTATGGAAAGGTTGAATTACTTTTAAATTATGAATAAGTAAGTGAATTTTTAAGTGAAAAATCATCTAGATGGCTATCATAATAACAAATCTAATAGATTTTACATTAATATCGAAATTAATAATAAAATAATTAAAGATACTATATAAATCATGATAGTTTGTTATTAAAAATATTGGAATGCTATTACAGTAACAAAAAGGATTAATAAACAACTTTAGAGTCTTTATTCAATGCTGCAGATTTAGATGGAAATAAATTAATTGAATTTTCAGAAGTATAAAATAATTAATAAAATAGTTTAAAACACTTCATAGGGCACTTCATTAAGATAAATTATCAAAAACTTAATTGCTCTAAATCTTTACGAATAATGCAGATTTTTAAGATGAAAATGGGGATAAAATGCTAACCTTACCAAGATTTACCGAAATGTCAATTGAACTTGGAATATTTTAGAAAGAGCATGTCTTAAAGTATAGTGAAGGTAGTGAAGAATTAAAAAATAAATGGGAAAAAGAAAAATCTAATATAAAATATAGGTATATGATTTTATTATTCCTCATTAGATTTTTAAGGGCTAAAAAATTTTAAAAGGTTCGTCATACATTTTAAGAATTAGAAAATCAAATTTAAAATTAAGAGAAAGATAAGTAAACAACATTGTGGGTGAGTTTTAAATTGTTAAATGAAGAATCACAAAGAGTATTATAAAAGTATTTATTGTTCATATACAATAGTTATGAGACAAATCAATGTTTATTCGAGTTATTACCTGAGTTACAGTTAATAATGTATTAAAACAAAGTGATTGAACAATTAGAATGAAAATTATAGTGACTAAGTATTTATTCAAGTTTATAATTTTTATTTTATTTTATCTATTTGAAGTAGCTTAATTTTTAAAATCTTATCATTTTGAGTTTGATAAAATCTTTGTGAAAGTATTTTTTATTTATATCAAATAGATTTAATTTACAGTATATTGGCTCTAAAGTTCATTACCATTTTTTATTTTTTAAATAATTATTTAATAAATTAACTTTTTCTTGTTTTTCTTCGACAATTAATTAATTGATAATAATACGATAATAAAATGCATTTATAAACAAAATATAATGATGATATCATTTTAGAGCTGTTACGATGTCTTCTCCACTTAATTAAGACAGTCTAACAATTAATTGTTTTACTCTTTTTTCCAACTAAAATATTAAAAAGTATAATATACCTCTTCTGAATTTAAATTAGTTGATGTTAATTGATGCAAAAATGGAATCAAATCGTTCATTAATACTAAATATCTTTCATCCAATTGATCTATCAATCGGTGAATTAATTTAACAATTCCAATTATGATGAAAGAACTTGTCTCATTCTTTTTATTGGAATGTCTGCTTATCACTTATAATATTTTTAAATGGAAATCCTTCCACTTATAATCATCATTAATTAATTAGAATAAGGCTAGGATAGTTGGAGTAATCCATTCGTCAATATATTATAGAATTGATTCATATTACTAAACCTTTGGACAATCCAATGTTAATGCCAAAGGATCACTTAATTTTTCAAATTTCTCTGTATCAACAAATTACTCACAATCATTTTGACACAATGAAGATATTGATTACAAAATATGTCTGTTTAATAGAAGCTCTAATCTATAATACATATCACATTCGTCGTTTGTTCTTTTTTAAAGTTCTAAATTATAAATGAAATATATACTTGCTTATTTAGGTGTCTCATAAAATATATTATGGAATGTTTACAATTCATTAACGATGGCATCCCAAATGTAAGAATAATATTTAGTGAAATACTTACCCAACTTATCACTAACCTAAGTGGATAATCTGAAAAATTAGATTCTTCTATATTTGTTGAAATTATATCCAACTTCTTATAATTATTTTCTAGACCATGCTATCAAATTACTATATAATTTCTTAAATGAAACATCATTAATTTTCAAAACAATCTCGATATAAATTTGATTTATTTGATATTCCAATTTATCAGCCTCGAATATTCCATTTTTTAATTCAGAATCAATATATTATTCTCTGGAGTAATCAAAGATTGATTATATTTCTTTATTTAATTGCATTAACTATTCTGAAACCAACTCTGATTCGCATTTTGATATCAATTATGCTATGTACTCTACACAATTACAAACTACGAATGGTTTTAGTTTTCTTGCTTAATTCAAAATACTATTTATGTACACATCCAAATGAACTCTGTTTTCAATGTTATCCAAGATGCATTAGAAACCTTGTTTATCACTTTCTATCAAATATAGTACTGAAATATCTGTCAAATGCTATTTGCTTATCAATCCTTTGAATGATTTGATTAAGGCATAAGATGTATTTAACAAAATAAGTTTATTAGAAACCTTATGAATGATCTATTCGGTGTTATAAGTAAATTCATTGTTATCTAATTTTTTAATATTCTCTTCCTTGCATAATAGATTGATAAGCATATTAAAGACTTGATTTAAATCATTTAAATATGGGTATTAATCTATCTATGAAAGTAATGAGTACAAATTTAATATTAAAGACTAATCTTATTCATTTTAAGAATCTATTAATTTGATTAATACTGACATAATTTCTTATCCTTGTTATTATAATTGTTTCTGAATGAATTATATTGAGTACAAATAATTTAATAATAATAGCATTTCTGTTGATAAATTGGGTGTTGGTAGGCTAATTTCAATAATTATCTATGAAATTAAATCTTTTATTAATTGTATTTGTTATTTTTAGATCTTTATTAAATCTAATCTTAATATGTCATTAAAGGCTTGTAAAAGGATATGGGACACACTTTTAATGGATATGCAATTCTTGATCAGAGGAACCAAGGTCTCTATTTTCATTGAATGAATTAAAGAAGTTCTAATTCTTTCACTCAAAGCCTTTAATTTTGAATGAGCAAAAACATTAGAGAATTTAGAAATGTGAACAATCAAACTCTTCAATTGATCTGCTTATTTGGCACTCAAATCACTTTGAATTAAATAATTGGATAACTAGCCTTGCAAGTCCTCAACCAATTCTAATATTCTAAGAAGAGAAAGCTTAATCTTAATTGGTTTTATTTGTCCTCTCAAAGAAAAGCCTACTTTCTTGATGCAAGATTCTAAATTTGGTGTTTGAAGTTAAGTTAACTTTTGATTCAATTTAATCGATAAGAGTTTTTGATGTCTTTATGTTCTATAAAATAATGATTCAGCAAGAGCTGTTGTTATATGCAATTTAATCTAAGGGGAGAACTTATTCACTTACTCTTTGAATAATTTAATGTATTCACTTGTGAAATAATAGGTAGATAAAATGTACATTATTACCCACCATTATTCCAATGAGAAAAGCCCAAAGTTCTATAAGATTTCTTAGTTTACATCCATAGTGGAGGTGATTTAGATCAATTATGAAATAAAGTAAGCAAAAATGCAAGAGTTGAAGTACTTTATATTGTGATTCTAAAACTATTCAATTATGATTCTGTAAAATAACAATGAATTATGCTGTCCATATGTTGCAATATCTGGGTATGTTAAGGATTTGAATGCTGATTTGCATTTATTGATCTAGGTATGTTTAGCAATTAATCTGATGCAACTTGTAGTAGCAGTATAGTTAATTTGTAAATTCAAATCCAAGTTTTAATCTAATACCTTTTTTTAGAGTGAAGAACATTCCTCTAATAAATTTATCTAATGATGATCCAAATAATCATAGAGAATTTGAGAGATCAATATGATTTGTGCTGGCTAACTGATATTCAAATTGAAGCATTTTCTTATTGATTCCACAGTGATGTGTTAAATGTTGGCCCTCAACAAATCTACTAAATTTGTTAAGATATCTAAATTAGGAGTTTCCAATAGACTGATAATAAGATCGAAATCTAAATCATCTTAGACGACTATTTGTTTATTTTTTAAATTATGTGAGAATACGTAAATTATCATCTAAGTTCTTACTTCTGCACTAAATAAATTTGATTGACTGATATAATCATTGATAACAGCACAATAATCTTTTGGCAGTTTGAATAAAGTTTTCTTCAAAAATGAGAAATCAATTTCTTCGTTTTGATCCTTTATACTACCATAATACTTTAACATATTAAGATAACTCTAAAGTAGATCATACTTAAAATTAGTCTCAATAAATTTAATAAGACTAATAACTTTATCTTTTTTGATGCTTTGTTTCGTTTTTGCAAATGTACTACAAATTGATCTTAATTATCTATATCTTAAATCATTAAAATTCTCTAAATAAAGAGTTTACAAATCTAGAAGAGCATTTTAATCCTTTAGGTTTCCAAGAGTTTTAGTGAAATTAGCCTCCTTTCTATTTTTGATCAAGGATCCAATTGTTTATTATAATAGAGATTATGAGAACTGAATCTTCTAAATTTTCAAATCGCCTTTGAAACTTTCTTTTAATTCTGCTGCAATTTAAAGGTAAAGCTCTTGTTATTCGACTGAAAGGTCGTCATAGATTAAAAATAGCTTAAATACGAAGTTCAAATTTCTACTAGATTTATGTAATAGAATCTTTAAGGATCCTAAGTGATTTAATTCACTATTGAAAAATAATTGTGGATCAATTTCAATTGATTTTATATATTTTATACAGAGAGAGTTCTCTAAATTTAATAGTTATATGATCGATAATGATTACATAGTTTTAGCAATAAATTAATCATTCTCTGTATATTCATTAATGAATTTCTATAATTTTTATTCATCTTACAAAATATAACTTAATTAAATCTATAATTGCTTATAGATTAACAATTTTTAGACTTGATTACTTTACAAAATTGATTCTATCAACTTTTCATCTTGTTGTTATATTAAATTAATAAGTTATTCTTTGTTTGGAACTTGCTTTAAGACTTTATTTGATTTTGAAAATTCATTGATTGTTTCAATCTAAAAATGAACATTTAACAAGAGCAACGATTCAAAAATATTGGCATCCACTTGCTTTGTATGAGTGTAAGTAAAAATTGGTAAAAGACTTTAAATGAGATCTCTATTATCAGTCTGATCTGAAATGTTATTGATTAATGTATAAAGTTTGATTGTATTAAACATGACTGTTTGTGGGAATTGTGTTTCAGCAATCTATAGGGATTAATTCAATATTTTAATAAACTAAATCTTTTTGGATTTGATGAAATAGTTATAGGAATCCTCAATTAAATTAACCAAGGTTCCAATTGAAAGATCTGTGTCCTTCTAATTTAGTTGTTTAATAACTTGTTCTGAATTGTTGAAGGTTAAATGAATTTGATTTGATTTTGGAAATAGGTGTTTGTATTAGGTATCTTATAAATAAGGTCTAACAACAGTGATTATTTAATCATGCATTATGGAAACAATAGAATCTAAGAAGTGAGTATCATTCTTTGATAGTTAATTTTTCAAATAGAATATTAGTTAATGTAAATGTTTTTCTGGTATTTGGATATCCTTCAATTATTTAATAATTTCAATCAAAAGTAAGCCATTATTGAAGAATTTTGAGAGATCTTTGCTCAGTAAAATTAAAGAGGTTTCATAGTTGGTTTTGATACCAAATTAATAAAATAAAATAGCGAGATCCAAAAGATTGTCATTGTGTTAAACTTAAGTGTAAATCCATTAGGCTGTATTTTCAATTTGGTTTTCTGTTAGTAAAATTTTAGTTGGATCGAACAATTATAGATTGAATATGAGATATGCAAATGACTTATTTTCATCAGTACAATTTTCAATACATAAAGCTAATAGTTTGCCAAAAGAACCTCTCAATTAATCCATGTAACCGGTTGTAACTTTTAGGTCCTATAAAATAGAGTAAAGAAAGGCTAATTAATTTGGTTATCTTAGTTTAATATTTTGAATTTCTTGTTCTGTATATAAGTAATCTTAGACTGTAAATACGATTTCTTCTTGTACTTCTACTTTCTATAGTAATAAGCATTGATAATCAATGATCTTCTTCAATATTCTATAATCTAATTGCATTTGTCTGATTAGCAAATCCCTTGGGATAGTTTGTCCTCTGCTGATTGGTTCATAGAGGAATGCCCACATAGAATTCCTTGAAAAAATATTACTTAAGAAATACCTTTATTAATCTACTAAATTTTGCAATAATCTAACATATAACTTAGTGTTATGATAAACTAGGAAGTAGATTATAACTTCGTCGACCAAATATTCATGAACTCTGTAATTTCTTAAGAGGTATTCCATTGCAGAATGCGTACCCTCAAATGTCCAATATTATGACATCAATAATAAGCATTATCTGATTTCTTTATCCAAATCGGCATTTTGCTATTTAGTTTACAGTTATCTTGTGATGCCTATAAATGATGAAATTAAGAGACGTACCTTTGTTTTGGACATTGTATAGTGACTCCTGGAATCTGGAGAATCGATTGTCTATTTGAGTCAATTTATTCATTCCTTTGCAACCTTGATAATAGATTGTATCTAAATCTGTTTGAGCACTGACTTATTATGTGTAGAGAAGCGATGCATATTGTTTTTATTGATGTTGTAATTAGCCCAATTAAGAACTTAAAGATTATGCCATTAATTAAAATATAAAATTATCAAAATGAACTTAGACTTCTATCAATTCTAATACAGGCATCATCCATTAATTGCATTAAATTGTTTGTCATGATCTACCTTTCTTTCTTTTCATCTTGCAACATCAGTGACAAGTTCTGATGCACATCATTGATCATATCGAATATTTTGCTTTCCTTTTGTCTTCTAAGAGTAGATTCTGAAGTAATGTAGTTTTTAAGTTGAAAAAGATTTTGTTCTAATTCCCCCTCTATTTGCTCGAAGGATTGTAATCTATCATTTTAAATATTGAGTTACCTTTGTTCTCTTTCACTTTCCAGGATGTCTTCAATCTAATTAACTGAATCTGCTATCATTTATAATTTATTCTGGAGAGCAAAATCATATTGAGACTCGTTTCTTGAGATCTGGTCTTGTAGATTGCTCCAATCAAGGAGATGAGAAATTCTTTTGTCCATGTCAATGGATTATTGACTTTGTTGTTGTAAACTCTTATCTAAAGAAATTTTAGTATTTTCATAGGCTTTTTGGGATTTGTGATTATATTCTTGAGTCAAATGATCTTAAACATTTTGGTTGAGAGTATTTATTGAATCTTATAATGATTTGATTTCGCGATTATTAACCGTTAATGCTTGTTTTTCAATCTCTTTCATTTTCTCTTGTAGCTATTAGAGTCTGCTTGCTTTTTGATTATCAACCTCTGACGATATTCTTTTCCATTTTTCAGAAATCATCTTAATTGTATGAGACGAGGCAGTTTATTATTATGCTTGAGCCACACTCTTTCTTGATTATTGCAACAGCATTATTGATAAAATTTATTTTTAAGTTAAAATAACAGAGTTTTTTTAATTGAAGGAAATAGATGTTGAATAAATATTTGATAGTTTTAAATTAATCATCCCATTCAACATACTTGTAAGCTAAATAATCTTAATATTTTTATTCTATTTTATAATACAAAAATTCTTTTCTTATTACAATTAATTAAAGTACAACTAATGAACATATTATTAAATGCAGATAACAAATCAGTATGATTAAATACAAAGGGATATTGAAAATGAAATTTGTTTGTTTATTTATTTTGTTAATAAATTCATTTGGTTTTTATCATTAATTTTGTTATTATTATTCTGCCTTCTGAGCATTCCAAGCATTTAAGTCGATAATCTTAGGATGTTCCCAAGTAAATTCTGGTTCGTTTCTTCCGAAATGTCCTCCCGAGGCAGTTTTAGCATAAATGGGTCTTCTTAACTTCAATTCTCTAATGATAACTCCTGGCCTGAGATCGAAATGATTTTGGACAATCTCTGACAATGCATCGTCATCAAGTCCTTCAGCATGTGTGCCATATGAATTGACACATATAGAGAGAGGCTCACTGATACCGATTCCATAGGCCACTTGAATCATAACTCTCTTGCATAATTTTGAAGCAACGAGTGATTTAGCCACCCATCTTGCAGCATAAGCAGCACTTCTATCCACTTTGGTAGGGTCTTTGCCAGAGAAGGCTCCTCCTCCATGGCCACCCCATCCTCCATAAGTATCTACAATGATTTTACGACCTGTTAATCCTGCATCTCCATAGGGTCCTCCCACAGTGAAGGCTTTGGAAGGATTTAAATGGTATTGAGTTTATTCATCAACGAATTGCTCTGGCAAGATGTGTCTATTGTGAATAGAATAAATAATTCATACTTTAATACATGTTTATGCAATTCTGCCTCAATTTCACTATGAGTTATTTTCTCATCATGTTATTGGGAGATGAGCACATTATGAATCCTAACAGGATGAAAAGAAGAGTCTTCTCGTTTGTATTCAACTGTAACTTAGACCTTTGCATCAGGTCTCATCCATGGACAGATTTCACTTACTCTGCACTCTTGGAGTCTTGAAATCAGTCTATTGCAGAGATGATGAGTCAATGGCATTAATTCTGGGGTTTCATCAGAAGCATATCCAATCATTAATCCTTAATCTCCAGCTCCAATTTCATCCTCATGCTTGGATCCCACGACTGCTTAATTGATTTCTTGTGATTGCTAATCCAATGACACTATAACTGAAGCATTTCTATAGTCTAATCCCTTGCCTAAATTTATTAGAATACTTAATATACTTATGTTATCATAACCAACCTACTTTATGGCTTCTCTGACGATAGTTTCATAAGGAACTTGAGCATGAGTTGTGATTTCTCCGAAAATCATAACAAGAGAGTTTTTGCATGCAGATTCACAAGCAACTTTAGAGTTTGGATCTTATTCTAAACATGCATCAAGCACGCTGTCACTAATAAAATCACATAATTTGTCTGGATGACCTGAGCTTACACTCTCGGATGTAAAGAGGAAATGACCTTTCGGTAGAACAAACTTTATCTTGCGAGATTACTATTAGGGATTCTCCTCCTCCTGCATTTCTATAAACAAATTTAATAATAAATATTATTTTTTAATTTAATAATCATATTTATGCATACGCAACGTCATTATTTACAACTTTTGATATTTTTTTATATTCATTAAAATTTACATTACATTAAATTATGTGTTTAATTTTTTATTAATTTATATCAACATTAAAATTTCTATTATTATCTTTATTTCAATGTAAGCATGAAGTAACACTGAAGAATGTTTTTATTTATGCATAAAATTATAGAAAATCAATATCTAGAAGGGTCTAAAAATTTAAACACTCTAGATGGAATAAATAAAATAAGTAACTAAATCCATAATAGTATATCTCTATGATAATAGAGTATTCTATATATATTTAAGTTTAAAGCTAAATTCTCATTCCATCTAAACATTAATGGGAGAGATCTTGTATGTTATTTTACATCATAAAGCCAAACAAGCTTCATATAGTTATGTTTATGATTTTTATATTATTTGGGTATAGGAGAGTGCAATGATCAGTCAAAATTAGTTAATATTATATTAATTACTCAGTTTATATCACATAAATTAAAGGATTTTAATAAAGTCTTTAAGATGTCAAGTTTAAAGTAACTAAACTCTTCGTTTGACAATTTCCATAATAATGTAATATATAGGATTTTAAAATAAAATAATAAATAGCATTTAAAATTAACCTTAATGTCTTTATGATTAAACACATATTAAATCAAAAATATTTCATTAATTTGATATGTTATAATTTGAGTACATATTTATAATAAATTAATATCTTATTTTTGGATGTAGTAAGTCACTAGTAATGAATAAAAGCCAATAATGTCGAGAAAATCGTTTTGTGGATCGAATTCTAATATGAACCAACTGTTTCGTCCTGAATTTGGGTCTTCACAGAGTTTGGCAAACAATGAGAAATTATGGCATTTGATGCAAAATTATCTCCCTTCAGATAAGAAGAGGTGAATTATAATATTTGATAAACTTAGTATTCAAGAGCAAATAGTGAACCATGTTGAATTTTCATTGGCAAGAACTAGATTTGACTTTCATCAAGTTCACTGTTATCAAGCAGTTTCAAGATCCTTAAGAGATAGATTGATAGAAAGCTTCAATGATACTCAACTCTACTTTCACGAGTAGGATTGTAAGAGAATCTATTACTTGTCAATTGAATTCTTGATTGGGAGATGCTTACAAAATGCTGTTAGTAATTTAGGACTTGAAAGTGCATATGCAGAAGCAGTATAAGAGTTGGGATACAGATTAGAAGATCTCTATGATCAAGAAGTGGATCCAGCCTTGGGAAATGGGGGATTAGGGTAAATCATAAAGTGAATAATAGACGTCTGGCAGCCTGCTTTTTAGACTCATTGGCAACTCTTAATTATCCTGCTTTTGGTTACGGAATCAGATATAGTTATGGCATCTTCAAATAACTTATTTAAAATGGTCAACAAGTAGAGACTCCAGACTACTGGTTAGAGAGAGGTAATCCTTGGGAAATTGAAAGACTGGATGTTCAATATCAGGTGAAATTCTACGGATAAGTTATCAAAAGACATGAGAATGGTTTAGAGAAGTGTTAATGGGAAGCTGGAGTAAATAAGTTATATAGAAAATTAGGAAACAATAGTCGCCAGGGCTTATGACACTCCCATCCCTGGATATATGACTTTCAATACTATAGCTTTGAGATTATGGAGGTCATTGCCAGCCAATGAGTTCGATTTTAGCAAATTTAATGAAGGGGACTATTTTAGATCATTGGAATCAAGGGAAAAGGCTGAATATATTACTTCTGTTCTCTACCCGAATGATAGTTCTTATGCTGGGAAGGAATTGAGACTCAAGCAAGAATACTTGTTAGTAAGTGCCACTCTTTAGGACATTATACGTCGATTTAAGAAAGTAAGGAGAGACTGGTCATAATTGCCTGAAAAGGTGGCTATATAATTGAATGATACTCATCCCTCTTTAGCTATTGTGGAATTGCTTAGAATTCTCATTGATTAAGAGGACATGACTCATGCCAGTGCTTGGGAGATAGTATCTAAAAGTTTTGGATATACTAATCATACTGTGTTACCAGAAGCATTGGAAAAGTGGGGCATAGATTTATTAGGTCATTTGTTGCCTCGACATCTTGAGATTATTTATTATATCAACATGATATTTTTAAATAAAGTAAGTGCTAAATTCCCTGGGGATTGTTAAAAATTGTCATCTCTTTCATTAATTGAAGAAGGACCAATTAAAAAGATAAGAATGGCTAATTTATCCATTATAGGATCTCACATGGTGAATGGAGTGGCTAAGATTCATTCAGATCTACTAAAAACAGATTTATTTAAGGATCATTTCGAAATGAGACCTAAGAAATTTATTAATATTACTAATGGCGTAGCTCCTAGGAGATGGCTGAGATCTTGCAATAAACAGTTGGCTAGATTGTATGATGAATTACTGGGTACAGATGACTGGGTTCTCAACATGGATCTCTTGAAGACTCTTCAATGTAAAGCAGAGGATCAATTGACTTTGGTGGAGTTCATGAAAATCAAAAGAGATAATAAACTGCGTTTAATTAAATGGGTTAGACAAAATTGCAACGTGGAAGTCAGTGCTGATACTCTGTTTGATATTTAAGTCAAGAGAATACATGAATACAAACGATAATTCATGAATATCCTCTATGTCATTTACAAGTACCTTTTATTAAAAGATACTCCAACTGAAGGCAGGAAAAAGTTTGCCCCTAGAACCGTGTTCTTTGGTGGCAAAGCTGCTCCAGGCTATTTAAATGCCAAGAGAATCATCAAGTTGATCAACTCAGTTGCTGAAGTCATAAATCATGATCTCGACACTAATTACTATCTCAAAGTTGTGTTCCTCCCCAACTATAATGTGTCATCGGCTGAAATCATCATACCAGCCTCTGATATTTCTTAGCATATCTCTACTGCAGGCACTGAAGCATCAGGTACATCAAATATGAAATTTGTCATGAATGGAGGAATCATCCTTGGAACTTGGGACGGAGCCAATATCGAAATCGCAGAGGAGGTTGGGTTGGACAATATATTTATATTTGGTGCTAAGGTTGAGGAAGTGTCTTCATTAATCGATTCTATGAAAAATACAGATCCATATATATATATCCAAAAACCATTATGGAATGTCATTGAATCAATCAAATCTGGTATCTTTGGACATGATCATCATGCTTTATTGGAATCCATTACCAACAGAAACGATTACTATTTGGTTGCTCATGATTTTTATCACTATGCCAAAACATAAATTAGAGTATCATTCCATGTAATTCTAGATTGATCAAATATATTAAGATAAAATTGCCTGGGCCAAAATGGCTTTCTTTAATTCAATCAGATCTGGAAAATTTAGTAGTGATAGAACTATACATGAGTATGCTAAATAAATCTGGTATTTATTTATTTCATTATTAGGAAAATTACACCAATTGTAGTACCACAACCTACTGCTAATAAATAAGACAGATTTAAACTATAAAAATGATTCTTATATTTATAACATAGTATATCATTGATAATCATTTATTTATAGAAATACGAAAAACTGGTAGAAAAAATAAACTAGAATTATTTAAGTTTAAATATTAAATTGAATTTCATAGTTTTTATTATTATCTTTAAAAGAGCTAATTAAAAAATTAAATGATAATTAACGAATAATAAAACTTCTCCTCTATGATTTTGTGTGTGTTTTAATAAAATCAAGTTATTTAATAGGAGAATATCAACTAAATGTTGAAATTTTATGAACTAAAATGAGAATACATAACATAAGTTATAGCTTATATGGATTTATAAATCACAATAAAAATTATCAGGAATTTATGCGTCTTATTGATTAACTTAATAAATATTAATAAAAATTTATTTGCAAATGTGTATGGGACCCAAATGCCCTTGTATATATCCACCTCTACCTCATAAAAATCTAAAGTACATTTCTTTTAGAGAGAGATCTCCAATTGATAGAAACCTAATTAGAAATAAGTTGACCAATATTTCTAAACCTTTGCTAACTAAAATTAAATACTAGTCCAGACCATCATAATAAATCCAATATCAAATATTTGCTTTGTTTAACTTATTGGGCGAATAAAGTGATTAGTGGTTTAGAATATAGAAATTATTGAATAATTACGAATAGACAGTAAATTAGTTAACTTAATTGAACGTTAATGAACTAAACAAAAAGCAGATTGAAAGATGCCAATATTGGCTTGACGAATATGATAAATTAAATAAAGACAATCAGATTACAGTTTTTGCAGATGTTGCCAAGGGAATTCTGAGCAAAATTGTAGAAGTAGAGGAAGAGAAACATTAAATGTTAATGAGAGAATTAAGAGATGCTTGTATAAAGAAATATAATGATGAAACCGAGGTTGATGAAGTGGCCATATTATAGGTAACTCAAGAAACATAGCCTGATCAACCGACAGTTTAAAAATAAAATGATTAAAGTATGGAAATAGGAACAACAGACAAAGTCAATTAAAATGTATTGGAGTCGCCAACCAGATCAACAAAAAATAACATATCAATGAATCATCCTCATAATTCATCTATATCCAATATAAGAAGATTTCTTGAAAATTCAAGTCCAAAATCTCCATTAAACTTATCCTTCTGTAAAAGTTAGGAGAAATCCTTTGGAGATTTTAATAAGGACAGCACTTAAAAGTAGCCAAAGTGTTAAACCGTAATTGGGGGTGGGGGTGTGTACAATGATATTATTTCTTTAAAAAAAGAATTAGAGATGATTCAGAGAGATATAAGTAGATTAGAATTTAAAAATAAGAAGGACGAGTTCCTATTGAATAGACAAAATCTCAGGAATCATGTTCAAAAAAGTAATGAAGTAGTTCGATAAGAATTATTGAATGTTCGTGCTTAAGTATACAATTCTATTTATTTAAGACATAAAACGATGAGAGTTTCACGGATAATTAAAGAAAAGAGAAATTAAAGATAGAAAGAAACAATTCAGCATTTAGAAAAGAATTGATCGGATAAAAAAGTCCAAGAAATGAGAAATACATTAAGTATGTGGAAAAGTATTCGCAAAAATACATACCAATATTAGATAGAATATAATAGTAAGAATAAGAACTCAGATCTGTTCAATCCCAAATTAAATTAGCTGAGAAGAAAAGGACTATTGAAGAAAGCAAATCGAAAAAAATACTTTGATAAATTATATATTTACAGATATTCATATTAATTAATACTTTACTTTAATTTATTACTATTGAAAATGGAATAAATTTGTAATCTTTATTAATAAATTCATTATAATATGCAATCATAGTTCTGAGGTATTCTAATATCACCGCTTATTTTATTTTCTTATACAACTGATTCTAAAGATGGATTTCTTCTTTCAACAACTAATTCAATCTCATTCGATTTAATCACATTATTTAGGATTTTTCCATGACTTTTATCTCTGATAAACAATCCAATTCCATCATTATCATTAATATTATTTTCAATAATTTCAGGTCTACTATCCTTCAGTATCATGATTCCATTACTTTTATTCTTCTATATATTATTATGTCTAATATTGGGAACTGCTGTTATACAAACAATACCATCATTCTATTTAATATGATAAATTAATACATTCTCAGCAATAGTATTTCTAAAGATCCAACATTTACCACTTTCTATTAAGAATATTCCTTCACATCTTCCACCCATAATTTTATTTTCAACGATAAATGTATCTACTGAATTTGCTCCTCCCAAGGCTATATTCGCTTTAATATTTTCTGTAATTTCATTTTTTTCAATGACAGCTGATGAGGTTTCAACTAACAACACTCCTTAGCCTAGATTTTTTAAGATTTTATTTTTAAATATAGTAATGCGTGATTCTGTATCTGCTTTGATTCCTGCCTTTTTATTGTAACCTATAAAGCTATTATCTTCAATTTTTGTATAATTATTCAGGCCAGTGCAATGAATCCCATTTTCCTTGTTTCCGGAAATAGTTTGATTGGATCTAATTTTGCAATCACACCTTAATTGTTCAAATACTTTAGTCAAAATTCCATCAGTAAAATTCTTATCAATTTTATTAGAAAAAATCGAAGGTTCTGCTGACAAGACCTCGATCCCAACAACATTAGATTTAATATCATTCTAATAAATCTTGGCTTTATTGCCAATGCCTACTTTAATGCCTGGTCCTTCATTATTTTCAATTCTACATTACTCTATTAAAGGAACAGCCTCTGCACCAACCACATGAATACCAACTTTCTTATTCTACAATATTTTCGTTTTATAAATTTTAATAGTTTTATTAGCGGGGGTTTGCTGAATCAGAATTCCTCCATAAGTATGATTATGCACTTTGCATTCCGTAACTGATAGCTCTCCCAATTTTATTAAAATACCAATAGTTTTAGCATCTTAACTTTTGGATGAAGTTCCCTTTATTTCACATCTAGTCAAAGTGGCTTCTGCTCCATTATTTATTGCAACAGCAGGTAATATACCTTTGAAAGATTTAACAATAAAACTAAATCAGTAATGAATCTCTTACTTTAAAGCTATAAAACAATCCTCCATAATCAGCTTACCACCATTAAGTAATACAACGCAATTCATACTCGTTTCAATTGGAACTTTACTTACAAATTCTTCATCTGGATTTGATTCCATTCCAGGTCCTCCATCCTCATGACCTCCAAACAAATTCTTTGCAATTTCCTGTCCTTCAATCAATTTCTCCAATTCCTCTACTTCTTCACTTGTACCACTATGAGAAATCTTCAAACCAATCAAAGTGCATATTTAGTCACCTACCAAATCCACTAACACTGTGGGTTGTGATGGGACAACCAAAATTATATCTCCAACCTTTTCTTTAGGCTCTAAACGAAGGCCTGGCTTATTTATTATTATGTTTGAAGAATAAAATCCTGGTGCAATTTTTATTACAGTATTGGGTTCGGCCTTATCGATTGCTTCTTAAATAGATTTATAGGGCCCGCTTTCGGAATCGACAATCAACTATTATTTAAGAACTCCCTTCAATGCATTATCCTAGTGATTCATTAATTAAACTTAAATATATATTTAAAATGAAAATCTATCCATCCTTTTTCCATGTCATTTCTTTGAAGAATTCGTATTCTCATTCAAGATTCATCAATCTCAATAATAATTTATAATTCTTAGTTTAGATAATTGTGATAACTGTCTATTTATTTTAATATCATTTACAATTAAAACTTTTGTAATTCAATTCGAATTCATTTACATGTATTTATATTGAATTATATTGCTCAAAGTGTTCTACTAATTCTATCAGTATTAATTCAAGAAAATATTATTAATAAAATTTGTTAACGGAAACAAAACACAATGCTTGTGAATTAATAATCTAAGGTTAATAAAGAAAATCAAAACCCACTTCTGATTGTCAATTAATAGGAACAACTCAAATTGAAAGGCATTTTACCCAAAAATCATTTTAATCAAGAAATCACAAATAGATATTAAAGCACTGTTTCTTGCTATTAATAATCTTTAACAAAATGTCCTAGTTCAACATCATTACAAGAATAAATTGAAAGAATTGTGGAGAAACTCAAATAAAAATAATAAAAGGAAACTGTTCAACATAATGTAGATTTAAACAAATATTCCATTGATGAGATGATAGACATTCTCAAAAACGATAGACTTCTACATATTCGATCCTTGCAACTTTAACCAAGTTCTAATAAAGATAGGCAAAACAGTCCTAAAACTGTATTTCCTCCTCTACAATTGAAATAGAATTTTTAAAGTTTTGAAACTACTAAAAGTTCTGAAAATGAAACTACCACTCATAAATTTAGCTTGAAACCTCAATTTAATTAATTGCCCAAACCTAAACCCATTCAAAAAAAAGAAAGTAAAGACATCATCAAACCTCCAGAAGAAACAAGAAAAAAAAGAACTATCTCATTGGTGATTGATCCTCCTCCCAAAAAGTTAACCAAAAAAGATAGAATACAAATGGCTTTGTAGAATACACATAGGATTATCTAATTATGCAGTTAATTTAATATAAACAATATAACAAATGAAGAATTACATTAATTAATTAAAACTGAAGGATTTAAATTATAATTCGAATATCTCGTTTAATTTAGCAATAATAATGATTTAGATTGCAGAGCTTAATTATAAAACTTTATGAATTCATAAATTAAGAAATACAAAGATTTAAGAAATGCTGAATTAGAGCATTAACGTATTTATACCATCTATTTAAAATAGTATAAAAGGAGAATTTTAATAATGCACTTGAGGTTTGTTTAACTAAATTAAAATCTAAATTCTGATTAAATAAGGATGTGTGATCTTAAAAATGCAATTCTTTATATTTATACTATTTTACAAATAATTTGCTTATGTTCTCAAAAGTATAAAGCTCTATTACCTAATCTAAATATATTTATTATATAATTATGTTAAGTGATTATATTTATATAACTTCAGGGAATATTAAACAAAATTGCTATGCTTATGTATATTCTCTAATAACAATAAAATTACATTGATTTTAAAATCCATTCTTTAGAGGAGGTTTTTAGAACAAAAATTCATTAAAACAAGAACAAAATATGGAGTTAAAAATGAATTCAGTTGAGATTGATCTAGAAATTATTTACAAGTCCAAGAAAATTAATTTTTTTTTTGACTTACCTTCTTTCCCCTTGTTATTTAATATTACAATTGTGCCATGCAATACAATCAATTAGGAAACCACAGAAGAAGTCCTAAAGAAAATAATTGGAAACCTGTTTGATTAATTAAATAATTAATCACTAAAGTAATAATTTTTGTTTTCAAAACTTGACTTATGATATGCAAGCAAATTATTTTATGAAAATCTTCCTTTAACGAATTATTTAACTTATCAATCATAAACTTTTCCTATAATTCTGGATTTAGGAGTAAGTTTTAACGTAATAACTCAGCGCATTCACAGAAAAATCAGTTCGACGATGTTCTGCCATATTGACCTACTATCATAATAATAGTGATAAGAATAGTATATATAATGGATTTTAAACAAATTTAAACACACACAATCAACATCAAATTTGTTCTGTTATGGGAACACTTAACCTTTTGAGAATGAGTGGAGATCGAGTTAATTAGAGGGAGCATCTGTTGCTAGAAGAGCAAGATAAGCTGTCTTAGGTCTCAGTATCAGAGTCTAGGGAACGTAAAGAGAATATCTATTTTTTCTTCGAGTCTTCATAGATAAATTATTTCAATTGTGGATCAGTGAATTATTCCAGTTTTAATTCATCACAAAGATATTTGAGAATTCTTGACTCCACTTGGTTCATTGCTTGATCGCAAATTTCATTTTCCCTCGTATCATTCATTATAATTAATAAATTAATAATTCTTTCTAAAGCTTTTCACCTTATAATAGTAAGAGTTTAAGTGAAATCTTAATTAATTGAAATAATATTGGTAATTGTGATTCCCTTGACAAAAACTATTAAATCAAAAGTAATGAAAAACCATAAACGAGTGAAAATTTTTAAATGTTAAATATTAGAGTGATTGGAAAAACGCTAATTAAAAATTTATTAATCAAGGTTTATACAGGACTGATTAATAAAATAATTGTCTTGCTCGAAGTTTATAAGCACTATTGCAAACTGCATTTCAGAATTTTGGCTATTTTGCCTAAAAAGGTTGTATAAAAACAAGCTTTAAGTTAATATACAATCTATTCATAATTTCTGTATTATCAAATATACTTCAACTATCAGTATCGTTGTGTAATAACTCTGCTATTCTTGATGACTATCTATGCAAACATAGTTAATAATCGAAATAGTGAGTGGGGTGAATAAACTGGTACATAAAATTATATCCTAATTTATTGAGGGATATAATTTTTATTTATGAGAAAATCTAATAAGAACAATTATTTATAAATCGAATTGGAATAATAGATCGAAACATTTGTTATGATGATCTAACTTAATTTTATTATTACTGTATTTTAAAGATTATTATTCAGCTTACTTTAAAAAACACTATAAAATATTCCATTTGATCATACAAATATCAATTACAATATCTGTTATAACTAAGTCGGTTTTATAATTAATGCTTCAAATTTAACTGGTTTAATTGAATGATAATACAATACCCATTTAATATATGATTTCTTATGGTTCGACATTTAAAATTCAATATGGAATTGCTTCCATACTATTACAAGCAGCTATTGGTTTTTAAAATAAAATTTGATTGATAATAAATGATAATTTAAAGGAATAAAAAAATAAAAAAAAGCTCCGCGTCCGGGAATTGAACCCGGGCCTCAAACGTGACAGGCTTGAATACTAACCACTATACTAACGCGGATTCTTAGCATCTATCCATAAAACTAATAAATATATCCCAGAGCTTAATTTTATTAAGATTCAATAATTTAATTATTAATTAATCAAATAAATTATTTATGAATTTTAATATCAACATCAAAAGTCCCTTGATTGAAGAATTTTTTGGCACTTTAAATAAAGCTGAATAAAATTATGATCATCTTGATTATGAATAAATTCAAATAATTTCAAATGACAAGTTTTCACTCTTAATGGTTAAAACTAATTTTGATGGAGCTTTAGATTAAAGAATCGAAATGGCTGAATAATTAGTAAATCATTAGAAGAAGATCAATCAAAGGTTAAGAAATCTTGGTTTGATGGGAATTCTAGTGGATATTATAAAATACGAGATTATTAATAATGATGATGAGGTGTTGATAATCTGCAAAACTATGAGAATGTCAAAGTAGAAAGGGTTGGTGAATTTAGGTTTAGCAAATTGCATTGAATTTTACACAGGCCTCGATCTAAAGGGAGTTCGGTAACAGATTGTTATGCATATTGATGATCTGGGGATGAATAAAATTATGCCCTTTACATATATGGAGGGTATTTTGAATGAGGATAATTACGAATTAATAGCCAACCTACCCCAAGCTGAATAAAATAGTATAATAAATCAAAATGGCAATGGAGCACATTTCTCAAAGCAATCTTTAATTGTAATAATATATAATGATCAACTTGTTTAATTCAAACAATTAAATGAAATGTAAGACATTCACATTTTAAAATATCTGGAGTTGACTTCTGGTGTAAAAATAAGCGATTTAATAAAGAAAAGCAGGACAAATGTTATAAATGATAAAATACATTACCTCAACTAAGAGGGTGAGACCGTAGCAGTAGGGGATGTAGGAGAGAAGGGAAACATTCAATTGAATATTAAGATAAAATAATAATGCTATACACTCACAGCAGAGTGGAACAATATGAAAGAGTTGATTGTAATTTATTTATGATTAATGAGAATTAAAGAATAGATGGATAGTCATTTGAGCAGCTTCCCAAAAATTTGTTTACTCCCATAGATGACGGCATCCTGAGTTATTTTAACCATTATGAGTTTGATCAAAGAGGGTATTCATTATCATAATTGTCTAAGTTCTTTAATATTTTTAAATTGTTCTCTTAAAGGTGATGTGAAGAACAAGGTTATAAAGATAAATAAATAGATTAAAAGATAAATTTGGTTCATTGCTTTGAAAACTATACTTACTATTCTATAAGTTAACATATAGAATGCAATTTATTAAGATTAAAAATTGTATTTGAGGACATTATGCAAACTAAATCAAAAGATTCCCATTACTCAAGTTGAGATACAAGCAGATCTTAAAGAAGAGGATTTTAATCTAATTTTAGATCAATGCAATCTGAATCCCCATTTGGAGTCATTAATACTTGATGGCTCTTTATTTAAGGATGCTATTCTCTCTGGGCTTATATAAGGAAACAATTTAAAAACAATTAAAGAATTAAGTTTTAAGGGATGCCCAAATATCACTGATGAGGGTATTTCTCTCTTGCAAAATTTTGGAGTTTAAAAATTAGATTTATCTCATACATAGATCTATTTAACAGTGCCTTAAAATCTATAAATTTTAAATATCTCTTATAGCAAATTCAAAGAAGAAACATTGCTATAACTCTTTAGAGATAAATCTTTGGTGAATCTAATATCCATAAACATTAGTGGATTGGCATCTGATAAACTTATATAGGTCATTTTTAGTTGTCATTACAAAGAATTAAGATCACTTATAGCTAATGAATGCAAACTATCCTTATCTGTATTTCATCATATTCACGATTCAAAACATGTAAAATAGTTGGATCTATTGAGTTTTTAAGGTTCAATTACAGATGTTGAGGAAAGCATCTTTAAAAAAAATGGATATGCATTGTTAGGAGCAAGCAAAACTAAAATAAACAAGTTGGATCTTGCTAATTGTTTGATTAATGACAAATTGATTCATTAGATGGTTGAAGCTGGAAAACTACTTAAGAATCTTAGAGCAATTTCCCTATCTGGATGTAGATATATATCTGACAAATCCATTTATTTATTGTGTGATGCCCATTATACGTTAACTTGCCAATTGAAAAACTTAGACATATCCAATTTACCATAGATAACTGAATCCTCTTTGGAGTATTTAACAAATAAACCTTTGAAAAATTTATCAGATTTGAATCTGGCATATTCTACTTAGATTTAAGCTGAACATTTGAAGAAGGCCTTCGATACAGGCAAATTTAACTAACTAAAATATCTGGGAATTAGTGGCACAAGTGAAAGTGGAGGATAAGCTGATATATTTAAATTTAGCATACCAGAATTGTGCACATATTATATCAGAAATCACTTATCTGAAATTTAATTAATAGAAATTTATACATCAACAAAAAATATTTAAAATATATCAACAGCAGTTTTAAATTTATTGTAAACTTAAATTCTTACTAAGATAGTAACTACAGATTAAATTATTTTAGAACCAGAAACATATGACTTATTTAAAAGTTGTGTTGGTTGTGAACGATTACTTTTGAATAATAAACCACTTTAATTGGATACTTAAGATAAATCTGAATAATAGAACTAACTTACTCCTAATTAATTTTATGAAAGATTACTCAAATAGCATCAGCAGGTATTGATAAGCAACTCTGAGATAAAATTCATTAAATTGATGTTCAATTTTTAGACAATTACTAAAATATGCTTTAAAAAAACTGAAATTATAGATAAGGATATACTAGGCATTTGTTAAAATTTGATTTTAACTGAAATCAATATTAAGAAATGTAAAAAGCTAACCTTTAAAAGTCTGATCTACTTGTAGAAGCTTTCAGAAACTTTGATTAATATAGATTTTAGAGGAACCATTTTTGAAAATTTATATTAAACTCTAGAACACTTATAGTATTTTCCTTAACTTCTTTACCTCAATGGAGGAAAATTAAATATTGAAATGTATTTTTTATTATAAAAATAGTATTAATGTAACTGAAACAAATCATGTGATATAAGAATTGCAACACTTACCAACACTTTGGATGTAATTAGAATAAATTAAGTCCTTTAAATTAACCATACGTGCTCATTATATTTAAACATTTAAATTCATCTTTAAAACTCTGTCTTTATTACTTAATAAAAATTAAGACTTTATTAAATCAATGTCTTTGCAACTTTATCAATTCAAAGTCATTCAGGACAAATCGCTTTAATTGTTTCATAATAGTTTATTAAATTTATAAATTTTGCAGCATTTTCATCTTGGATTCCAAAGGTAATAATTGATAATTAATAATTTAGTATGAAAAATATCTCGCTTTTGACTTTAAAAAATATGTTTATAAGTCTTTCTAATTTAGACTCTCTTAAATCACTTTCTATCAGTTTGGATGAGTAAATCTTATATAATAATAATTAGTTGCGAGTTATAATTTGTAGACGAAGATCTGTTTTTGGCATCAACTGTATTTGAAGGAATCAAAAATATGAAGCTATAGAGATTTAGTTTTTCATCCAATGACACAGTAACTTATGATCAATCCATATTTTCCAGTCTATTTAAATATATGTCAGATATTGAATCATTAAAGTAGGTCAACTTAAGTTTTCAAAGGTATACAAGTGATTATATTATGATTAGACATGCAATTAACAGGGAGAGCTTATCAGAATTGTTTTAGACTTTGAAGGAATTGAATTTATAAAGTTTAAGTCTGAATTTCGAATAAAGTGGGATTAAATACACAAGATAGATTTGGGCAGAATTATTAGAGGTTTTAAGAATGAACTATAGCTTATTGCATTTAGAACTCAATTTTAATCATACATTTGAATTGACGGACATGGACATCCTTAACATTATCGACGAACTGTATTGTATGAAATTGACATCAACTTGTGTATCATTGATAGGGTATTTGGAATTAATATTTTAGTTGCTATCATAATGAGAAGAGTATTAAGGAGTTTACAAACGAGGATGTCAAGAACTATCAATTTTTTATATGATTATAAATAAGGAAAATAATCATTATGTCTTATTTGATTTATTAAGAAATTATAATTTATTAATATTATTTAAAAGTTGTAAGTAATCTCAAGATTGATGATAACCTATAAAATAAATGAGTGCAATTAAACTCAATAATTCTCTATGTTAATCAGTAATTTGTTCTATATGTTCGTAATTCCTTTTCTTCTATCCTTCAAATACTTAAACTAAAAGCAATAACTTAGATTATTTCCATCTTTCAAAGGTTTATAGAATCCATAAGTAGATCATAAATGGAATATTATCTGAGGATTTCTTTTTCCATCAATTATGAATGATCCTCTAAATGATCAACAAAAATTTGGGTCTTTAGGACCATCAATTATTACTTAAGATTTTTCAGAAATTTCCTTAAATATGGACGTAAAGTACCGAACTTAATCCGAAATTAAAAGAAACTCTATCTCTCCTAATCAAACCTATTTTTGATATTTCAACTGAGAAAATACACTCCTTATAGATCGTCCATACTAGGATTTTGTGTTCTTATGTTAGTCATTTTAAAATAGATCAACTCCATCAAAAAATAAATAGTTTCAGTTAAACGTGCAAGAGTAAGAACATAATAAGAATTGGATATCTATATTTAGAATTACTAAAGGAAGTTTAATTTGTTGAATAGATAAGGGTCTCGATCTGAATTGATTTATTAAAGTATACTGATGGTGTAAATTAGAGTGCTTACATACGCACTTTGATTAATAATTTTATTAATAATAATAATTCATTCTGTTGGCTTCTATTAAACTTTATTGATTGACAAATATTTGTATTTAACAATATTTTTAAATTTCTTCTCTTCATATGTCTTGTTGTTTATTCTTCCTCTTGCATTTATAAACCAAATTTGGATCTAAGAACTTAAGATCATAATACCTGTTTGTATGTCAAATTACATTTCTCAGCTAATTACAAGGTTTATTCCTTTGTAGGGTATGGGTAGGAGAAATGTTTATATAACCAGTTTTTTAGAATTAAGTTTGATTTCTTAGAAAATTTATGACCCTTTTTCTCATCTTATTTTACTTGATCTTTGAGAAATTGTCGTTATTGATAGAGCTTGACTTCATTCTCTAGAACTTACTACATATAATCAAAGTGTTATTGGAGAGATTTAATTGTATGGCAAGCGAGTTCATCAATACTGAGTGATCGTAAATAAGTGAGGAATCCTTAGAAGTGAGAAATATGAGTTGCTGTTTGACTTTGTGTCACTTATTCTTCCATATGAGATGAATGAGTATTTTCTTCATTGAGGTTGTTTGAGCTGATCCATTTATTAAGGAGTGCTTCAAGTTGATTAACTTGCTGTAAAACAAACATTTTTCTCGATTCTACGTGAATGGATAATGATTGAGACATTATATTGAGAAAAATTGAGATATTTATTTTAAATTAGATACATTCTCACATCCATAAAACTTAAATACTTAGAAATCAAAACAAATTATCATTTTTATATTAATTATAATGGAAATAGGTTTGTTTGAATACACAAGTAAAATTATATGGCCAGAGTATGATTATTTGAAAATATTGATTGAATTTTCAGCCATTTACATATTCTACTCTGTCTACAAAGTGAGTGTTTGCAAGTACGTGAATTCTAAAGCATATACCAAAATTACTAGAATTGAAAAGACTAACAATGAAGAAGAAGTCAAGAAACAAAAATAAAAGACATAAGAGAAGCAGGATAAGTAGGAGAAAAACTAGAAATAAGGAAAGCGAAAGAATTCTGAAAAAGAGCAATATTAATCTAAGGATGCCTAAAAACAATAAATCAAATAGGAGAGCTAACAGTAAAAATAGGAAAATCATCCTCATGTATCGTATAAGGAATTGCTGAAATAGGAGAAGCATAATAAGTCCTTATAAAATAAGGAAAAATAGAAATCTTCAAGCAAAAGTAAATAATAATTATTATTTTAGTTACTCATCCCCTTTATTTATCTTCTGTAAAGGGATTTTCTGATTACATAACCGATTTTGCATACAATAATAGATATTTGATAGCAACAGGATTCGACAATAGTATCAAATTATTTGAGATGGAACAATTTTTCAAGAATCCAGAGTAACCAAAATATTTATTCCATACTCTGAATGACACACATGCAACAGCCATCTGCATATCAAAAAAAGAGGAAATTGCGTATTTCTCAGCAAACAACCAATTATTCAATTTAGAGTTCTACCCAAAAGCAGAGGATAAGTAATATTTCAAGGTAATTCCTAAAACTAAGAATTGCCATAAAAGTGACATTAATAGTTTACATGTTGATGAAAATGATAAAATTCTCATTTCTACAAGTTCAGATACTCACATCAAGGTATGGAATATGAAGGGTGAACTGTTGAAGGAAATAAATACATCTTATGGTGAACATTACAGTTCTTGTTTTATGAAGGGATTTTTGGTAGTGAGTTCTTGGAGTGTGGACACAAGTATCTATGAGATTAAGTTCAATAAGGATCACACATTTAGGACTCTTGAAAAAGAAGAAGTCTTAAGAGGTGAGAAGACGAGTGTATTGGATGCAAGTCTAAATGAACATGGGACTCTGGCCACTTTGTGTAATAAATCATAGTGCAGAGTGTATAGATTGAACACTGAGAGAAAGATTAAGGAGGATGCTAAGTTGTTGACTAAGATTGAGCATCAAAATATCAGTGCAGCTGCAGTAAATGAAAACATCCTAGTTGTAGCTGCCGATGGAAACGTACATGTTTATAACCGAAGTGTATGAATATGATTTTATTGTAGTTCTAATAAATAGATTAAATCGATAATGCTGCCAATGGTGCTTATATAAAGAGAGTGAGAATTCATGAGTTGCATTCCAGTCTCAAGAATAAGAATTACTATGTTTGCTTTGTTTGGGGACAAGAGGAGGAAAGAATCAATGTCTATGATTTTACCAAGTATCATGAATGATAAATATATTAATTTAAATGCAAAAGCAGAAAGTATTATTTGAGGAGGGAACAATTATGGATTCTAAAAACGAATTTATGCATTATTATTAATATACAAATAATGAAAGCATCTCTTGTATGCATACTAATTCTGACTGTGGCTGCAACTGATTTTGAATCATTCTAGCAAGCCTTAGAGTTTGATCCATAAACATTGTCAGGAGACAATTGTGGAAATGATGATCAATTCACACAATAATATGAGGCGTATCTCTTATTCATATGTTCAGGTTCTTACCATGGATTTAATTACTTGAAGAAGGTGAAATTGAAATGTAAGAGGATCACAGTGTACTTACTTAAGCTAGAGATAAAATTAAATTAGTCAGAGAATATATTTAAGATTTGGATGAAGGTAATTTAATCATCTCAATTTAGAACTCGAGTAAGAGAAAACTAATAATAATAACAATGTTGTTGAATAACCTACACAATAACCTACCTAACAACCTACTGGATAATCTGAACCATAACCAGTTTAACCAGCATAGGAAGTTTAAGATGTTTAAGAGGATGATGAAGAAGAAGAGAATGACGATCCATTTGGTTGGGGAGCTGGTGAAATCCCATAACATTTATTGGTTGATAGCAAGAAAAAGCATAATAAAAATCTTAAAGGACATGCTTAAGTGTTGTTGGAAGTTATGAATAAGAGCAAATCACTTAAATATAAAAGCGTATTCCTTCCTCATCTATCATAGAAAATCAAGAGAATTGTTGCTATGGCTACTTCATTGGATACTGATATGGGAACATAAGATTTATAAGAAAGAAAAAAACGTAAGTTAGAACTTTGCGATTTGATCTTGGATGAATTAATCAACATGATTGAATTCCTAGAGAAAGTTATGAATGACTATGTACTCATTATTTAACTATTTATAGCAATATCAATAAGAAGCCTATGACATTTTTAAAAAGAAATAAGAAGAAATCGTAGAAGTTGCTAATGGATGTGGAGCAAGAGTGATCTCACTCTAAGACACTTATTCAACCAGCTTTGTTTAGACTCAACCTTTAAAGAGAAACAAGAAATAAAATAAAGAACAAAAAAGAAAAAGAAAGCATTGAATGATAAATAAATGATACATTTTCATTTGCCTTAAGTGATCCAATATTACTCATATTTCTGGTACTTCTCTGTGTTTCTTCTTAAAATATCTTCCAATGGCCCCAACATTCTTTTAAAACTATGTCGATCCAAGTATATTAATTTCACTTCAGTCTATTAAATAGTATTCAAATTACTTCAGCAACTACATTAGCTTATCTTGGTATGTCCTTAAGTAAAGCCAATTCTCCAAAATAATCTCCCTCTTTATATTGAAACACTTTGACTGGATCTTGTCCTTAAACTAAAGTTTTGGTTGCAATCAAATTGCCTTCCTCAATCATATAGAAGATATCTCCTTATTCACCTTCCCTTATGACATACTCTCCTTTTTAAAAAGATGCACTCTTGATAGCATCAGCAACATGAGATCGTTCATATGGATCCATCATGGAGAGAAGCTCAATTTGTTTAAGAACATTGACATATTTTTCTCTTTTTCTAAAATGGATTTTGTAAATTAGGATACTTCATCGCTGCATCTTTAACAATGTGATTGAAGGTTTATCTATCCAAAGCAAATAACACACTATTGGTTTTGCTTTAAATGGAAGCTGCCCTGGGAGCATTGTAGAGTAGAGCCAATTCTCCAAATGACTCTCCAGGATAATACACTTTCAAGAATTTATTCTCACCATCCTTAGTGAATCTCTTAAAGCAATTCAATTCACCTTGATCAACAACATATAAATTATCCCCATTATCTCCTTATTTGATTACCCAATCGTCCACACTATATAGAGAGCTAGCAAATGTTCATACTTATAACTTCGTTCTTCCATTGCATCTATTACAATATCTTTTTCCCTGCTATCCAAAGATGCAAACATAAATGATTAGGATAATCTCTTGCTGATAATCTCTTTCTATTATTGAGACTTGACAATCACTCTGGGTTGGAAAGACTGAAATTCTATATTTAATTATACACCTCTTTTCTATTGTACTATCCATATGCTTCAGCAGAAATTGAAGCTCTCTATTTACGAGCTGCAGCAGGCCTTTTAGGTAATTCAATTACTTCTTCATCCGAGGACGAAGATTGGGCACTTGGTCTCTGTTTTGATTTGACTATATCTCTGCCTTTCTTGTCCAACCATGCAATTGACCAATCAATCTCAATATCAGCAATTCAACTTACCACATTCTTCGGCTATTGTGCCAAAATGTCCTCCATCAGTCTCTATAATAGGAAAACCACATTTTCTTAGGCATATGAGCGTAACTTATCTGCCTATTAATTCATTTATTGGATAATTATTTAATCATAATTTTTCCTTTACTTCCTTATTATGGAATTGAAATAAGAAATTATTTATTTATAATAATGCAAAGCGAGGATAATGATTGGCAGAAAGTAGTCTAGACTACAACAAGGATCGATCAATAAATAAAGAATATCAAACTGAGATTACAATCGGCACTTACTCAACTCATTATACAATCAGAAGAATAAAACAAAATTACTAATCCCGATCCAATCATTCAAAAGTCGAATCCTCCCTTAATTATTCCTCACAACAGTAGATCAATAGAGAAGAAGGACAAGCCAGCCTTAAGACAATGCGCATCCAAATCCCCTATTCGCACTCCGGATACAGCCGAATGTCCGTCTCCGATTTCTCCCTTTTCAAATGGTTCAGCTCTCAGAATGCAATTAAAACAAGTAGAACTCCTCAGTCCCAAATATTAAAATATTTCTGATAGATTTCACATTGGCAAGTTCTTGGGCAAAGGGAAATTCAGTGATGTCTTTTAAGCATAGTATATCTTCACACTATCATAGAGAGAAGACTTCAAAAGTCTTAGTTGCTCTAAAAGTCATCCAGAAAACTGTTATTAGTAAGTATAAAATGGAGGCTCAATTGGCACATGAAATCAAAATACAAAGCTACTTGAATCATCCTAACATCTTAAAACTTTTTGGAGTTTTCTAAGAATAGACTAAAGTACTTGTGCTTAAATTACAACTAGATTGTTTTGATACTCGAATATGCGCCAGATGGAGAACTATATAAATTATTAAAAAAACAGCCAAATCGTAGATTCACTGAGAATAAAGCTGGAAATTACATTGCTTAAATTGTTGAAGGCATTTCATATATGCATAAAATGAAAGTTATTCATAGAGATATTAAACCTGAAAACATTTTAATTAGTCTAGTATCTAATTTACTTATTCAATTTTAGTAATTCTTAAAAATTGCAGATTTTGGTTTAGCAACTTATTCACCTGAATCAAAACCAAGGTAATCCTTCTGTGGAACTATAGATTATATGTGTCCAGAAATAGCTTCAGGGTAGGATTATGATCATTCTGTTGATTTGTGGTCTATCGGAATTTTAGCTTATGAATTAACCACTGGGACTACTCCATTTTATCAATCATCCAAAGAAGATACAATGAGAAAGATTATAGAAGGCAGAGTAGACTTTCCAAAATATGTCTCAAATGAATTATAGGATTTCACTAAATGTTGTTTGAGAAAAGATCCACAACAAAGACTTAGATTAGAGTAAATGGCTATACACAAATGGATATAAATGAATCATCAGGCAGGTGGTTAATATGATAGAATGTTAGTCCAATCTTTGGTGACAATTTTGAAATGATTAACAAACATTACCATATAGTTCTTTTAAATTACAATTATTTAACTTTTTTAACACTAAAATACTGAAAATTAATTCACACTTTGTCATCAATAGTAAATTCTCCTATAAGATTTTGTTACTATAATAACTATTTAGATGGCTTCCATATTTTGATTAATTTATCTTAACCACCACTTACAACATAATTATTTGATTAGATCACATTCAAAACATTTACTGGCTGAGTAGAAGCATTCATCTCATTCACAAGTTGAAATTTGCCCTCCTCATTCACTTTAATTGCTTTTATTTGTCCATCCTTTGAACCTGTGTATATCAACTTCAATGATTTATCAACTATAACATATAGAATTGGTCTCTTACCTGCTAATGTCATTATCAAATCCTTATGAATACTGTCATTTGTCTACATCTCTAAACCAGTTTATTAATTCCATAGCAACATTCTCTTACTCAGAGAACTAATATTTGTAAACATATTATACCAACTAACAATAAAATTACTATAAGATGCCACTCCGGTCACCTTATCTAACTAAGGAGGTGACAATTGTTAAATCTATCCATATTTGTTCTTACTAAAAGGAATCCTCTTTGTATAATGTTTTAATGTTCCATAAATCAGTTCTCTATTCTCATTAGACCCATAAGCACTCAGAATATCTGATCCTTTTTCAAACTCATATAAAATGCTAAAATAATTGATAATATCTTATACTTATTCTGCCTAGGATCCCAAACATTCAAAGCACTGGAATTCGTAGATTTTCCTACTGCTACAAATAATCCATTTATTGTTGTCATGGCTTTAACTTCCTCAATGGTTGACTTTAACAATCCCTGAGAAGTAAAGGTTTGAGGATCATACAAAGTGATTTATGACCCATGAGATATTGCTATTGAATCTCTTTCAGCCCAATAATGGATTGCTCTGCAATGACTACTTTGCTCTAATGTACTTAACGATTATGATGTCTCAATATCCCACACCTTAACCTATTTATACTATCCAGAGAATAGAAGATTCTCTTTATGGCACAAGGATAAAATTGGTTGATCATGTCCATAAAAAGTCTTTATTAATCTAAAAATGAATAAAATTAAAATACTTACTCATAACCTCCAAATTCTTAAGAAAAGTTTATATAGTCAGCCATTGAACATGAACTCCTTACTCTGGCACTTGAACTAATTGGACCAATTGATTTAGTGCGAGACAAAGTCTATGGTTCTTACTCATTTTTAACATCTTTTGGGTAATAGTTGCGTGCAATATAATTTGAATTTGAGTGTTGCAATTAAGCTTTTAATCCTATTGACTTATCTTTTTACTGTTTATTTATCTATTCATTGTAAAAGTTTTTATAATAATCTAATTCCAAACTGGTTGTCCTAAAGGTATTCTAAGAGGCTTGTAGTTTTCTCTTGTATTCATTTAATTATCTTTTCAAATCATCATTAGGAGTACTTGATCTTATTGATTTCCTCATTTGACTTGGTCGTGAACTCATTAAAAGTTAATTTGCTTAACTCAAATCTTCAATCTGTTATGCGTAGTCACTCATCAAAATATGATCCTTAACCCAATTATCAATTACATATCTAAAAGACCTTATGCACCAATTTGGTAGATCCTTAAAATATTGATTAGTCAACAATGCCGTGTAATATTCATTAGATTTTTAAGATACTGCTCTAAATTCATTGATTTTTTAAATTTAGAATTCTATTGTTTCCTTGATATTCTCTCTTTTTTCTTGGAAATCACCTAATTCGATCTCTAATTATTGTTATGTTTCATAGTTTAATTAGTTTTTGCTCTATGCAATGTCAAATTCTAATTAATCAATCTTGATTTGAATGCTACATATTTTATTTTGAATTATTTGTAATTCTTCCTAAATTTCCTCAAATTTTTTATACTCCTAGGTAATTTACTCCTCTGCTTGCTAACCCATAATGAGTTCATTAAATAAATCGTCAATTTACTTTTCAAAAGAATCATATTGTATTGATTAATTTGGAGTAAACCTATTATGCTATTTAATGACAAGTTTTTCATTCTTTTATTTTAATAGTTCATCATCCTTTCTTTTTAATTGAATATCTTTTTTTGTATTCTCATTTTTCAATTTACAAAGTATGGTATCTTATTATATCTTAAGCTTTTTAGTTTTGATTAACTCTTTCTGCTATTCATCTTTTTCCTTCATATATTTTTAGTTTTCTGATTTCATTTTTTTTAACAACTCTACCTTTTATTTCTTCATAGACTCAATGTTATTTTTCAAATTAGTCACTTATGATTCTTACTCCTCTAATTTTTTATTTAATTATTTAGACATTGTCTCTTTTTGTTTCATCTCTTAAATTTTGGTTTCATACTCTTAGATTTTTTGTTTTAAAACATTAATTTAAGCTGAATCTTATTTAGTGATTATTTATCTTTGCAAATTAAATTTTTCTAACTCCAAATTAGCTATTTATTTATGATAATCCTATTTGATTTCATTTTATAATTATATCTTTATTTAAGTCTATTGTTTATCCATCTCTATCAGATGGTTTTCTTATTCCTCAATTTTTTGGTCATTCTCCAAAAACTCTGTCTCATCCATTTCATAGTCATCATTTGATTCTCCTAAATTTAAAAACTTGTTTTATTTGTGATACTGTATAAGAAGTAACTTTTGATCCCTATGTGCCTCCTATACTAAGATATTTATCAACTTAAACTACCTTTATTAAAGTATCATTCCTTTATTGCAACTATTGTATTTTCTATTCCTATTCCTACACTACTTTTTTCAAATTGAAAATTTCATTATAATAACTATCTAAAGTTGCATCTTCAACAAAATTTGATGTTATGTTGTTCTAAATGAGCAATCTAGAATATCACTTTACTTTACTTTCGAGCATCTTAAAACCATTTCAACACCTAATCTCTCTATTTCTTGGCCTTAAAACATTCAATTTCACTCTCACTATAATCTTTCTAAAGCAATAAAAATTCTTTTTGAATCTATGACAACTATTGATCAAGCGATAAGTTCTATGACTTTAATTTATTAATTTAATCAGTGTGGTAAGTACAAGATTACTATTGGTTTTAATAAATTAGATCAGTAATTGCAATTTGATTAATTTTTAAACTGTCGGTATTTATATTGTTGTCTATCAGTAATTACTAATATTGCTTAATTTAATCGCTCAAATAATTGATGGATTATTTCAATGCCATAACCTAAGCTGCATGAGGATCCTTTCATAAGACTTATATTTACTCTATTTTGAGTTGGCTTATTCTTTATCTCTCTAGCTCTGCTTGCGTATTTCAAAGTATTAATTGTTTCTTCATAATTGCTCGCGGCTGGAGATATGCAAGCTATCATATAAGTGTTTGAATTCCCACCCAAAGAATCTTAAAGGATTCTAAGCATTAATTACATCAATACCTGGTTAATTTGCTCTCTCTGTATGGCACATGACTAGATTTCTTCTGGTCACTCAAAGTTTTAATCACATTTCCCAATACTAACAAGCTCTAATTTATATTTATTCCTTCTTCCATCTGTTTACCTATTGCTTACGTCTTTTTTAACCTCTCACTACCAGCCAAATCCACAAAGTGAAATTTAGCCTTCAATGATCCTTCTTCGGATTCTCTGTTTATTTCAAAATAAATTGTGAAGATGGCATGAGATCTTGAACTATTCAAATTCATCAAGGTTGCAGAGGTTGTTCTATGTGCTCCTCCTCGATTTAAGATTTCAATCATATACTGTGCATTAGTAACTGGAATGGTAGTCAAATTCTAAATTGATATTGTGTGATCTTTTTCTTCTCTTATTGTAGGTTGTGCATTAGTTTGAATTATTTATTCATTAAGCAGATCAATAATTTATTCATTATACAATTCTACATAAGAACATGTAATATTAATGTCTTATTCCTACTTTCTTTTCTCTATTTCTTAAAACAAAAAGTAAACAACTCTTGGAATCATTCCATAATCACTTTGATTTTACAATGAATATGCATCCTAACCAGCAAACTGATCTATAGAAGATGTCCCCATGGTATATGTCTTACCTGAACCTGTTTGACCATATGCCAATATAGTGCTATTGTATCCCTCAAAACAGCGCAAAATCAGATTAGTAACACAACTTCATATAATTTACAATTGATTTTACCATTAAAATATTTGATCTTGACTAGAGTCCTAATTGAATACTTGATCGAATGTAAAGGTTTTGCCATTTTAGGGTAAAATGATCTAAAATTGTAAAATAAAATACACTGTTCCTATCAGATTTCAAACAACTTTATTCTTTAGCAATAATCTCTTTCTAGTTTAAAGGTCGAATTCTCACAGCCACTTATACATTCAATTGCTGATCTTACATATCCATAAGTAAATTTACAATAATATTAAAATAAATAAACTCTAAAAAGAAAATTTATGTTGTTTCTGGATTCCTTAAGAATATTATTTTTAATTTTAAATTACTTCTATGTACAGACATATATATATATATATAAATTATCGTTTCAATTTGATAAAATATTGGCCATTTTATTATAAAATTTAGTACCTTAGTAATCAGGAGAATAATAGTCATTGTATTCAAAATGTTCTTTGTATTAATCTATTCGATTGATTTTATTCTATTGTTATTCTAGTAGATCTTATAATGCAGAATCCATTTAATTATAATTCTTTCTTTATTGATGAGCATCAATCTCCTCTAATTTATCCAACTTATCTATTCATACTATTAATTCATTACCAGAATATTTGTGTATTACATCTTTGACTTCATCTTCTTCCATAATATAATGAGGGTGAGTACTACTAATTAGAGAAACGTAATTTGTTTATGGAGAAATCGATGCTTTATCATAGTTTGTCAAATCATAATTATTCCCAGGACGAGTATCGACATACTTTTTAGCAACATAGAGTTTTTGCCTATTCAGATAATCTTCAGGCATTTGTAGATCATTTGGATTCATTTCTACACCTAATCTTCCATTTTCTGTCATTTCCTCTTTCGAATAAAGCATCTTATCCTCTATTTTATCTTTATCATAATTGTTGCTTCCAAAATCATAAGAAACCGGTACCATTTATGTAGTATCATTAAATATCTAATTAAGATCTTTGTTTGCTTCATCATTGGTGCCTAAATATGGATCTGATAAATTGTAATAAGGCCTTGGTCTTTTTGGAAATGTAAATTTCATAGCTTCTGGAGTCATTAATCTTTATGTGGTATCAATTATTTATCGAGTTTTATCCTAACTTAAAAAGGCTTGGTAAAGCTCTCTTTGCCTAATTTCATCTACAATTTAAGTTTATCTTAATTCTTCTTTTAATCTTCTTAATTAATCTTCATTATAATGTCTATTCTCATTTGCTTTTAGTAATTAGCCTTTCAATTAAACTACTTATTCAGAAACTTAATTAGTTTGAAGATTCATTTCTTATCTTAATCTTTACAATTCAGCATTAATGGTATCTCTGACAGTTTTTTCAACTTCAATAGGTAATTCTTTTATTATTCTTTATTCAATTCTAGATTTCATTAAATCATTTTATTAATCCTTATTGTTTCTCTCTGCATCTTACACAGGAGTTCTTTATCGTACACCTTTTTTGGCATTCTTTCTATTCTATTATTCAATTAACTCATTTTAATATTTTAACATTTCTAATCTTTTCAATGCTTTCAAGCCATCCACATCAAAATTGGTTTCTTATAAATTTCTTTTTTCGAGTTTATCAATTCCAAATTCGTCTCTCATTTTTCTTTCCAATTCTTCTCTCTCTCTTATTACTCTCAAATCATCCAGTTCTTTATCCCTTTTAATTCTCAAATTTTCTTCTTTTTTTTTCCTTTCAGCCTCTTCCATTTATTAAACTAATTCTCTTTGTAAAAAAAATTATTTTTATCTTTTCTCATTAAAAGCAATCTATTCCCCAATTTATCTCAATTAACTTTGATTCATACTCTAATTTAATCAATTTTATACATTATTAGAAACTGATAAATTAACCATACTTTGATTTGAAGTAATGAGTCTTTATTATTACGAAGGAAATTAACTTAAGCTCGCATTATTATCAAATTGGCTTGATGATATTGAAGAATTAGATGGACCAAATAATTAGGCTGATTATAAATTGGGATCCATGGGATTCTTCCTTGTAGTCTAATGATAATGGTATTGATTATTATTTACAGTTATATTTCCATATGGATCTCTTAAAGGTGCTCCTCCCCCTCCTCTTCCAGAATTTGTTTGACCATTTGCCAACTACAATTCCTTTTAAATTATTGTCATCTATTACCAAAAGTCTTTCCTAAATCTTTTCTTATTATTGTCTCATCTTTTTTTATTCAATCTATTGTTTGAGAGTGTCTCCATATTGCTTTTTATTGATCTACTCCAAGGTTGGTTCGCTTATAGGAAAGGCACTTTAATTTAAGTGAATAGGTTATGATTATGAGTTAATCATATAAATTTAATAATTTTCATATTTCTATTTCTTTAACCTTTGGCTTCTTGTAAAAGCGTAATTGAGCATTCGATTCAGGAGGATAAAATGGAGCCTGTTTACCATAATTCTTAGGTAATGGTGCCCCGATGTTGTCATCTGGTATGTATTGTTGAACTCTTTATTTAGCCATGGTCTTACAAGAGAATGGTTCAAACATTTTCTCCTATTATTCCTTTTCTAATCTTTATCGTCTAACAATAAATAAACAATTAACCTATCTTCTAAATATCTTATTTAAGCCTTCTATTATCTTAAATATTCATCCTCATGTTCTGGCAAAGGAGGCAAGCTTTTGTCCAATCTTTGTCTTGCTTCCTACACTACATTTTCTAACTCATCCTTTTCTTATTGCAATTTGATGGCTGTTGCCTAATACATTGATAATTCGGCTATAGTAGCCATCATCTTCCTGGTTAAATCCTTTAGTTTTGCTTAGAATTCATTAACCTTCTCAGATAATTCAAGTGTTGACAACCGTCCATCCAACGCTTATTTTCTTAGCTTCTCAGATAAATTAGTAATTTCATCTAAAATTAATTCCTTCTCTAATAACTATTCTTTTTTATTGTTCAATCTTTCTTCTAATACATGTATTTTTGCATCCAAAGCCTCCTGATCTGGATCTTCACCACCTAATTCCCTAAATCTTTGTTAATTATTAGGATTTTCCAGTTCTTCAGAAAGTTGAGACTCTTTCTTTTTTTCTAATTCTAATTCATCTTTGAGTTAAATAACTTTTGATGATAATTAAGGTATTTATAGAATATCCTTTCTTGCAACATCAATTTTTCGTTTTTATTCTTAAATTTCAATCTTAATCATTCTTATATCATCCTCCAATCTCTTTATTTCTAGTTCTCCAGATTTTAAGATGTTATCTTATATGTTACATTTTTCATACATAATGCATAATTCATCATTTCTATCTATCAATACTATGCCTGTATGATTTCTTGATTCACAAACTTACTCATATTGTTTTCTCAAATTTAACATATCCTTTTCTAATGAAGATATGATCATATTTAATTTCTAAATTTCATTGATATTTTAATCAATGATTTCTTTTTTAGCTTTTCTTTAATATTCCAATTTATTTAACTTTGCATGACTTCTATCTTTTTTATGTACTTCAACCTGTAAACAATGTCTATATTCTAATAATGTTCTTTCCTTCTCCTGAGACTCATTTTTTAAGATTTCTAATTCATTTTACAATATCTTAATTCTCTCTTTTAATTCTGCTAAATCTTGAGAACTATTCTGGATCATATTAACGTATTTATTTCTTGCCTATTTGACTTCCTCATATAATGATTTATAATTATGTTCTTTTGCTTCTGTTTCTTATGCTTTTTTTTAAAGATCCATAATTAATAGTTCTTTAATTTTGAGTTCTTCTCTTGTTTCTCTTACTTCTGCTAATGCACTTGAAGCTTTCCTGGCCATACTTTCTCTAGTTGCTGTCAAAGCTTTAACTCTCTTTAACCCTTCAGCCTCGAAATTTTGTAATTCAATCATTTATTTTTCAAATTTCTTAATTTCATTATCTACTTTAGTTTATTCCTACATTTTCTCTTCTGCTTTATCCTTTACTTTTCTAACTCTTCCTTCTAACATAGTGTATTCTTCAGCAATATTCTCTCCAATTTCATTTTGTTTTTCAATTTCATACTTTAAATTCACAATCTCTTTTTTAATATTTTCTAAAATCATCTTTTATTCATGAAGAGTATCATTAATTTACTGCATTTAGGTTTATTGTTTCTTTAATTCCTTTTTATCAAGATCGATTGCCTTTTTTAAAGAGCTGACTGTATCTCTATGTCTTCTTATTTCTAACTAACAATTTCTAATTTCAATATCATTAGCCACTTTTTAACTGCTTAAATCACTTATTTCTTCCTTTAGTTTTGCCGAAAGATCATTTTAAATGGCTTGATCTCTCTAATTAGTTTCTGTAGCCTTTTTTTCTTCTTCTATTTAAGTTTCATATTCTTATAATTTAGTTTGTAACTTTTTAAATTCCATATTTAAATCATCAATCTATTTATTTTTTTTACCTATATCATCTTTATATCCTTATAGATCCTTCAACATAATTTTATTGGCACTTTTCAACATTTCTGCATTCTTACTAAAACGATTTGGATCGTCCTTTATTTTAATATATTCATCATTCAATTTACTTATTTTATTGAGTTTCTCATCATTTTCAATCTTCAATTGCTCAATCTTTTCTGCTTTCTCATCAATACTTTTTTATTCACTCTCAATTTTTTGTTTATACTCTAATAATAAATCTCTCTCTCTTTCTATTTCAGCATCTTTTTAGAGCATCTCAGGTAATGCCTTACTCTTGGCCATTTTCTCTTATTCAGATATTCTAGTTAATATTATAGATTTTTCGTGTTCTACTTCTTCACATTAAAATTATTTGGCATCAATTAATTATTCCATCATTTCATATTCTGCTTCTGTCTTTTTTAAACTCGCATTTAAATTCTATGCCTTTTCTTGTGCATTAGCCTAGGAAATGTATTTTCAAACTTAATACTTGATCATTTAAAGCAGTTTCGAGATTCTATTTGTCAGTTGCCAATTGAGTTTTCAGTTTTTTGGATTTTTCCCATAAAAAGTGATGGTTCTTAAAGGTTTAAACAACTGTATCATGAAGTTTATTAAACTTTTTCTTATATGAATCGCACTGCTCTTAATTGATTTTCCCTTGTCTATGAAATATAATGGGATATTAACTTAAAAAGGTCGGTGAGCATACTGAGGGCAACATTGCTCTATAAATCCCTTATTTCATCTGGTACTTCTGCCATTATTAAGATAAAATAAATATTAAATATATATATAATGAAAGCATCAAAATACTAAATTGAGAACAGAGACTATAATATCATCACTTGCGTGGATTTTAATAGACAACAGTAATCCCTACCTCCATTAAGGAAATTGGGGTAGGCATAAGATCACCCATTCCCAAGAAAGGCCAAGTTTGAGTCAGCTCAAGAACAAGCATAAATGCAACAGACATCATACTCAAAAGCCAACAATTCTCAACAAGATATAAAATAAGTACAACCAGGGTCAATGATGAATGTACCATCAGTCAAATTCGATTTCATTTCCTTTACTCAAGGAAAATAATAGCCCTTTCATGATCTGAAGTAGGAATTGAAGATCTTGCACAAGAAGAAGGTAACATTATGCATTGATAACCAAGGGTGGAATGGGTGAAATAGCTGATTTGGGTGGTCTGTGTTACCCAAATTTCAATAGGGAATATTAAGATAAATTTAAGGAAAACTAAACGATATTTAGAAAACAAAAAGGAGATTATCCTGCTGTAACTGATCCTAAATTCTCTTATGGTCCTTTTATGAAACCATTCAAAAAGTTCAAGTTTTGATATTTCATGATATTATTTTTAATATTAATAATTAAATGGAAACCTAAATTTTGAGATAATATTTAAGTTCAAATGAGACTTACTAAAAAACTGAAGAATTCAAACTAAAAATCTTATATTCTGATATGTGACATTTTCAACTTATACATTATAGATATTTTATTAAATAGCTTTAATAGTCTATGGTAAAAATTATCAAAGATCCATTTGAAAGTCCTAATACAAAACTAATGGCTTTAAAAGTATAATTCAGCCTTAAATTAGTTAAACAAAGAACTTGTAGAAACATTTAATAGCAATTATATTTATGCACTCTAGAAAACGTTATTGCCCTTATTTGAAGAAATTGCAAAATACAAATATACATCAGATGACCCCGACAGAGGAGTAACCTATTTTTTAAACGGTGAATATCCAAACTCAGGTTTAATCAATGAAAATATTGTTAGATAATAGAGATTTGCAAGTTACTGGAGAATAATTTTTTAGAGTAGTATTGGAATGTATAAGAGTATGGAGCAGATGGTTTCCTTTAGACTACCAATCATACTATTTAAGTTCTTTTAAGATTGCTTATGAAAAACTTGTAAAGCTAGGGGTAAAATTTCCAAAAATCAGTTATTTTGAAAATATTCAGCAGAATATTCCTCATTAATTAATACCTTTATCTATGATTATTTAGTTAAGAGAACTACTCAAAAATCAAGTTAATCTCTCAACTAAATAAATTAGAAGCTATCTGGCCATGAATCCGGCCCATCTCTTTTATTAACATAAATATACTACATATAGTGATTTTTTTTATTAGATTAAAAGCAAAAATCCTATTTAAAGAAAAAAAGTTTTAAGAAAGGCAACATTTCTGTTAGAGAAAGAATTTGAAAATCTTGAGAATATGAAAAAGGATCCCTAGTATAATCCTATCTCATCAGGTACATTGTAGATTGAAATTCTATGTCTGCAAAATCTATATAATGCTTTATCAATGAAGGTTCCAGATCTTCAAACCTAAGTTATCCAATTACAAAACAAAGTTGTTAGTTTAGAAAAACAGCTTTTAGACAGAGAATAAAAAATAAATGAATTACAAAATGAAATATAGCAATTATAAAAACAATTTTCTCTCAACATTAATTAATTTTTAACTTCTAATGATTTATCGAATAGTCAATTATTTCAAACCGATGTAAAATTAATTATTATAATTAGGTTACAAAATTGAAATTACATTTTGGACTTTACGATTAAAGTTATGAAATAGATAAATTGAAGTCTCTTGTATATAAATCCGATTTTAAAATTGAAGAATTAAATGAAAAATTAGATGAAACTATCAGAAAAAAAAATTAATTGTACGAAGAAAATAAAACTTTAAACTAAACAATTTTAGTTTTGGAGAGGAGACTTATATAAAATACTAACCAACCTATTTTATCAACTCAACAATGTTTAAGTGAGTATAGACCCAACACTATGACTAACATAAGCTAAACAGGTACCGTGGCTTCAAAAAAATAAAAAAATTCTGGATTTCAAAACTCTTTGTTATTATCATTAAGACAATAAGTCCTCGGATAGTAATTTTATATCAAGGCTTTATAAAACCAATTAATTAAGTTTGATAAATTTCTATTACATTCTGGTCATACTAATTCTGTACTCTCTTATAATACAGCATCCACTTAATATAAAGGTAATTATATTAATCCCTATCTAAAGTCCCTATGTATTCTCCAAAATCTTACTCTTAACCTAAATCAAGAGGGTCAAAGGAAATAACATCCCCGTTTGTTGATTATGATGGAAAGATTTTTGCAATACTTCCTGATGCATTTACAGTCAAATTTAGGTAATCCTGCTTGCTTAAAAAATCCATTTTATATTCTGATGACAATCTATAAATTGGAGTTCAAACCAGCTTATAAGCAAATTAATAACTCTTAATTAATGTAGTTTTACATAATAGAACCAAAGAACAACTACATAATTTGGGCATTGCTTATTAAAAATCTCAGAATCTATAATTTTAGGCATACCCTGCTAATATTTAATAATCTATTAAAGGAAATGAATAAGTATCCTAAAAAGTATTCATATCATTTGAATAACTTCCATATTAATTGTTAGAATTTTAAATTAATTATAAAGTATAGACATAACTTCATAGCATAAATCTTTGTCTTCCTTGCACAGTCAATAAATTTTTCAACTTTTTAGAAGTTCCATAAGAATGTCCCTAATCGTATTTTTATAATAGTAAAATCTTTTAAACAAGTTTTTAAAATTAAATAGGACATCTGTTACCTGATTTTTAAATAAATCAAATTAATGAGTAATTTGTTGAAGCTTTTGCAAGAATTTAAATTGAAAAATCTATATTTTTGATTTCAATCTCCTCTAAAAACAATCAAATGTAAATTAAATTGAATGGAAACTATTCCGATAAATTAGTGGAATGCATCGTATCAACCTATTAAGGGCTGTTTATGAAGAGATGAACAAATTTGAATACATATATATTATAAAATTAACAAATAATAAGAATTCATGTTTTGGGTTTATTTATGATTCCTCATATATTTTCTAACTTCAGTAGCTTATCTTGATAAATTATTTCTTGAAATCACAAATAAATAGAAAGGACAAAAGCTAATATAAAAATAGGCTAGATTCTTAAGAAGAAGTTTAGAACATAAGAGCTATTATAATTTAATAACTTTCATAGATATAAATTGATTCCTTTGTTAACTTATTTATTTAGGAAATTAATTTGATTAATAAATAATATAATATATGGCACAAGAAGCTAATTATGGTGATGTAAATAAGATGTAAATTCCTAGATTATACTTCTATGCGGAGATTTGCACATTGGCACAAGAATGCAGATGATTCATGAAAAAATTGTTAGCGCTTTAGGAGTTAATAAATTATAACATGTGCTTTGCACAGGAAATGTTGGAAATAAAGAGACTTTTGATTGGCTAAAGTAAATTTCACCAAATTTTCATTGTGTTCGAGGCTAATATGATGATGTAGACTTGCTTTTTGATTTTAGGAAAACAATGAAATCCATAATGATCAAAAGGTAATTCAAATAGGAATATGGAAAATTTTATTGATTCATGGGCATTAATTTGTACCTTGGAATGATGAAGAAACAATCAGTGTATTTCTAAAAGAAAATTAATGCGATATTGCAGTATTTGGAAACTCTCATTAATCCTTAATTAGCAAATTTGAAAGAAAATATTTTATTAATCCAGGAACAATGAGTGGAGCCTATGGATCAATTAAATAGTTAAATTCTTATTTATAATTAGAGATGCAATTATTTAACCTGAATTTGTTATTCTAGAATGTTTAGGTGATGAAATGGGGGTTTACAAATACAAATTAATAAATGGAGAATTACTAATCGAAAAATGCACAATTACAAAATGAACAAATATTTATATTTATCAGAGTTTATTCTAAGTTATATTCTAGTAATCTCATTATGATGCAATATTCAAAAACTTGATTGCTATCAAGAAATATATTATGTAATTCTAGAAAAAATAATACTTTAATAATCAATTGTTATAAATTAATATATTTTTAATACATTAATGAAACAAAGTGAACAAGTCTTACTTGCATCCTAATAGCCTGGATTGATAGATACGTCAACCAAAAGATTGATATCCAAATCTTCTGCTTAGTTTTAATAGCCTTCTTTTTAATAACCTGTTGTTACTCGTCGAATACACAGAAAATTAGTTCCTATGGATGGTGGTATTAAGCAAACATTAATATTTAGAGGCTGAGGAAACTGTTGTGTAGCCTATTCAACCTCCTCCTTAACCAATTGTTCATCCTGTATAGTAAATGATTTGGCCAGTTGCTGTTTAATTTAATGAAGATGATGCATTAGCAAAAATTAGAGAAGAAAAAATGTTGGGACTTCTTGAGAGACAGTCTGAAATGCTTACAAATCTATTACAGAAGTATAAAAGATTAGAAGAAGAATAAACAAACAAGATATAAAGGAGAATAAAAGAACTGGAAAGAGAAAATGAAGAAATTTGGTAAAGGCGAAGGTAGAATTATTTGATTTACAATGTTTCTCAATCAGTAGATTAAAAACTTAAGGAGTTTAATGAATTTTAGATGCGTCCTTTTCTCGACTAAGGTTAACCTGTGCTTCTAAAGCCAATTCATTAAGATGATCGATTATTTTTTGACAAGAAAAGGAAGAAGCCAAAGCAAAAAAAAGTAGTTGAAGTTGATGATGGACTAGTCCAAGATCCAGATACAGGAGAATTGTGGGATCCAAAAACTGGAGAAGTTGTACAACAACCACCCCCTTTTTAATGACCTAATTGATTATAATTAATCGTTAATTTTTTATACTAGTTTAACCTTTTTTGTCTAAATTGAACCTGGTTTATTGGATAATTTTAGAAGTTCTTTCCTGAATACAACTTCAAACTTTCCAATTAATATCAGAATGATTTGTCTTTAATTCGAAGACTTAACATGATTGTCCTAAAATTATCAAAGTACATTAATTATCTAATAGTTAAATATTAGGTATCATTCATAAAAGCATTTAGAATCTTTAATGATAATAATAATGATGTTATTAGAATAAGAATAAAGATGTTCATAAATAACTAATTATTTTTAATAAATTGAAATAAAAAAATTATAAAAAATTAATATTAGGATTTCAATTAAAATATCATAAATCCTAATCATACATTTGAATAAATAAAAAATAAATATTAATTAATTATATATGTAATTAATCTCAATATAAACAGTCTTTGGATCAGTCTTTGAGAATTCTTTTTGAATATGGGTAGATCTACTGATTAGATTTAAATAATAGCTCCTCTTTTGTGAGTTAATGACTAGAGAAATTAATGTAAATGTTATAATTTTATTATTATAAACATAACTTATAAGATGTTGAAAGTGATGTGTTTTATTTAATTTATTGAATTATTTAGCTTTGTAAATATTAGGTTGTTGAGAAATTTATAAAATTATAATAATTAAGTAATGTAAAAGAAAATTATCAAAATGTTCAGGACATAGAATCACTGTCTGAAGACACTTCTGCTATTATATCATCATATATATTTTTGTCTGTTTCATCAGTAATAACACGCATTTATTTGTTTTTGAAATATTTAGGTTTTCTTTGTCTCATGGATTTGATATATAATTTGATTTCAGCAACGATTTTCTCAAACTTTTCTTCTTCTTGTGATTTATAAATAGTATCGAGAGTCTGTACAAACTTTGAATCATGATTTATTATTATATCTAAATATAGATAGATGAATTATGACTTTTTAAATTTTCCTTTTCTTTTGTGGTGATAATCTAATTGGCAGACATCTATTGGACTATCTTAAACACGTCATAGTAAAATTATTATTACAACATTTTATAATAAAAACAATCATTTATATTAAATACTTATTGGTCCAAACTTTTCAACATTTAACTAAGTAATCTTCACATTAGTTAAGGATTGAGCATCACAAAGTATATGATAAAATTACACAGCCTTGTCATAGCTTGATTTCTCTTGAAACAGTGACATCGAAGTATTGTAGTGATTGGACATTTCTTCTTATATCTCCTCTAAATGTTATTCTTCAACAAAGTGAATTCTCTTTAAACTTTTAATAGAGTCCTCACTTAGATTCCTGCTTCTAAGAACTGATTTCACCGAGACATTTGATTTATTGTTACTTTCACAGGACTGATTTAAGTAGATTTCTTCTGGATTCATAATACTAACCATAGACAACAATTGGTTTTAGTAACTGGAATCATTGAGACATGAGAAAATCTATTGTAGCATTTCATCCTAATTGACTAGTTAATCTTAATGTTAAATCTTGTATTCATTAATAAGATATGATTCCAGTTTTTATAATAAATGAGATTCTTCATCTTCCAATTCATAAAACTGACTCTTATAATTTTGAATTTTCTATTTTCTAATCCCTTGATCCATTTAAACTTTAATTTTCTTTCTAGTGTTCTATTTTGTTTCACATTCTTCATTGCACACACTTTCAGCATCTATACTGATGTGCAATTATTCTAACATTTATTAATACAAATTATAAACAACACCATTTTCTATGTTTGCTTATTTTACTTCTGTTTAAAATATATTGTCATCCTGTTGATGTAATTATTGCATAAGTCCTTAATTTTTAAGTAAATCTCTGTAATCTGGAACAAAGATTTATTCTGGGGCAATTCCTTCCTCTTCTATTTGCATCATCTATTATTAAGAATGGAAGGAGGTTTATTAACTACCAGGTAATAATATTGATTCTTCCTTAGCTAATTATGAATCTAAATTATAAAATTATAAATTTTACTTTAAGTTTATGAAAAATAATTAGGCAACTTGATTAATTGATTGTCGACTACTATCTATTCTCTTCGTTATTTCTAAACCTTTCTCTTCTTGGCTATGGGAGTAACCAAATTTTAATTCTTATTGTTGTTATTGTTATTATCATTGAAAATAGATTCCTTGGCCTCTAGAATCTATTATTTCAATTTCTTCATTCTTTTTTTTATTATGATACTAATGGCCAACATCAAGAAGACATCATCTCTGAGTAGAGAATGGCCATGGTATTTGTGTACATAAGCATCCCTTTTGAATAGATGCATTAAATTACAAAATTGATGAAATATCAATGCGTTCTGTTTCTTAAATATTCAATTTAGTGTAAACTAATTTCTTTAAGGGATGGAACTGAGGATCTGAAAACATATTTTAATAAATGATGGAACAGAGCTTTTAGTCATCTTTTTATGATTCACTAAATTTTAGTTAATAAATGCTATGTAATTTATTTAAAAAATATTCAATATATATATATATAGATTAAATAAAATAAATGATTGGCAGATAAATCTTTCGTGCATTTTCATCAACCACAGCTCCATATGTGTGGGTCAATAAGCATACCAAAGTCATATGCTAGGGTATCACTGGTAATTAGGTATACAGTCTAATCTTAAACTAGGGCACATTCTAAACTGAATAAGCTTTGAACTACTTTACAAAAATGGTTGGTGGAGTTTCACCTAAGAGTAAACGTTAATTCTATAAATGTAGAGGCTGGAAGTACACATCTTGGCTTGCCTGTTTTCAAGGATTGCTAAGAAGCCAAATCAGCCACAGGATGTGATGCATCTGTAATCTATGTGCCTCCTCCCACAGCTGCCTCAGCCATTATTGAAGCCATTGAAGCATAAATTGGCTTGGTGGTATCATACTTTATTAAAATGAAAAGGTTGTCATCACTGATGGAATTCCTTAACATGATATGATTAAAGTTAAGCATGCTCTAAGATCCTAATCAGTTACACGAGTTATTGGAGTATTAAATTAATAAAATAATATAGCCTAATTGCCCAGGAATTATCAAGCCAAATGAATGCAAAATTGGTATCATGCCAGGATACATTCATTAAAATGGAAAAATTGGTATTGTCTCTAGATCTGGTACTCTTACATATGAGGCTGTCGATTAAACTACAAGAGCTGGTTTAGGACAATCAACAGTCGTTGGTATTGGTGGAGACCCTTTCAATGGAACCAACTTTATTGATGTTTTGGAGAGATTCATGGTTGATCCAGAAACTGAAGGTATATAATCACACAATATATTCATTAAGGTATTGTTATGATCGGAGAAATCGGTGGAGAGAACGAGGAAATGGCTGCTGATTGGATCAAGAAGAATAATCCTAAAAATAAACCAGTTGTTGGATTTATTGCTGGTATCACAGCACCACCTGAAAGAAGAATGGGACATGCAGGAGCTATTGTGTCAAGTAAATTTATCATTTATTGATTTAATAGAGGGCAAAGGAAGTGCACCTGAAAAGATTAGAGCACTTGAATAAGCAGGAATCAGAGTTGTGAAATCACCTGCTTAAATTGGCAAAACCATGTTGGAAGTCATGAAAGAAAAGGGATTAGCATGAGTTTATCATCTAATTTTTAAGTAATATTTTTATTTATGAATAATTAAATAATTCTCTCTAAAACTTAATTATTCCTACTTTCCAAATATATTTCATAAGGTTATTAAATGCTTGAAACTAAAAATGATACTATCACTCTTGCATTAACGTAACCTCAAAATAAATGCTCAATTGGTGTAGGTGCTATTATTAGGAAGAATAATTAAATCTTATTAGTCCAAGAGGCAAATGGACCAGTTAGATATTCCTGGGCCTTTCCTGCTGGTTTGCTTTAAGAAAATGAAACAATTCAAGCTGGGATAAAAAGAGAAATCTAGGAGGAGATAGGAGTAAATTCACTGTTTAAATCAATCATCTTTTTTGGCTAATAGCCGTAATCTAGATGGGGTAAATAAGATTTCTATTTTGGATGCGAAGTAGAAATATTAAAGGAGGAATTCAATATATGTAAAAATGAATTACTAGATTGTAAATGGTGGAATATCGATCAAGTTCATCAACTAGCTTTAACACCAATAACCAGAATTGGTTTGCCTTTTATATTATGACACACTAATTAAGATGTCTATAGATAACAGTTTTAATTATTATTATTTTGTTATCTTCTCATAAATTTCTTATCTTATTGTAAACCATAAGCCTTTAAAATTCAATTACATTAAAATAAATATGTTATTTTATTAATAAAATAAATGTTTTCAATTATTTTATCTTTAATTTTTCCAATTTATTGTGCTACTTAAATTGATATCTTTATTGAAAGCCAGTGTCCAGATACTGTTAGATTATTTAAAAGAATGAAACCCTTACTTGATTATGAATAAATTAACGAATATGTTCAATTTAATTTTATTCCATTCGGAAAAGGAAATGAGAAACTAGTGTTAAACAAAGGATATGAATTCAACTGCTAACATGGAAATAAAGAATGTTATGGAAATTTAATAGATTCATGTGTTTTAGAATAATTAGACCAGATTGAATAATTGCGTTATTTAACATGCATACATCAAGAAAAATAAAATAATGAAGAATTGATCAACTTAAGCCTTAAAAAATGTGTTTAAAATTAAGAATGTGTTTATGAAAGGACATTAAAATGCGTTTAATCTAAATTCGGGAATTACTTACAACATAAAGCTGCAAAAATAACACTTGCATAAAATCTAGTCGAAATTCCATGGATCAATATTAATGGCCAACATATACCTGAATTCGATAAGAAATTCAAACAAAATCCATTAAAGGCTATTTGTGAACAAATTGATTGTGAAAAAGTCAAAGTAACCTTTTGATAAAACTTGTCTAATTTTATTATATATATTGTCATTAAAATAATATCAAGAGACTGTATGTTAAAAAACTCAAATTTAGTTCCAGAGATCTTCCACTGACTTTTGTTTTTACTTTAATTTAGAACTAAAATATCAATATAGATGCAATACCCTAAAACAGGAGATTAATTTTGTTTAGGTTGCGGCTTCATCTACATTAATTTTACCAATTATCCTGTTGACTTAGCCATTGAATCATTCTATTTATTTATTAGCATTATTTTATTTGGAGAGTCACTTGTTGATTTACTAAAAGAGTATTGACCTTTAACATGAGTTCTGGATGGTTATATGCCTTATTTTAACATTCTTTATAATTAATTCAATTCTTTAGCAACATTCCCCAAACTTTATTCGCTCTACTCAGAAGTCAATAATTCCAGTATTTTATCAACAGATTTTCTTGCATTCTCAATCAAAGTGCCTTATTCTGTATTTTATTTTTTCTTCAATTATTCTATTTCATTTTTACTCTTCTCCAATTCAGTTCTTGTTAATTTTAAATCAAATTAGATTTATTTGTTGATTTCAATCTAATTTTTAAGTTCATAAGATATAAGAGCATCAGATTATACTTATTAATTAGTATGTAAAGTTTATACAGGTATGGATTCCAATTTCTAAATTTACAAATCATTTTAAATATCTACAACCTTTTCCTTGTTAAATTATTTTTGATTTTACAACAGCAGAGGAATCTCAATCTTGTTTTCGAGAAACAATTCTTCAAATTATTCCAATCTAATTTACTATGAATGAAGTTGGTCTTCATTCTCTTTTTATAATTTTTCATAAACATCCAATTCTTCTTAGAGTTGAAGAATAGTTTCATCCCTATCATTTAACCTATTAGTTAATGCTATCATAATATCTCTTTATTTTAGCAACAATTGCTTATACTTATCTGTTTAAGCTTTATCCTCTTCAATAGATTGCCTCTCCTTTTCTAATTCAGTTAATTTTTCTTGGTATTGCTATCTTATCAATCTTTATTACTTCTCTAAGGCACTTTAAAATTAAGGAGTTTCTTCTATCTTTTATCCACCTACTAGCATTTGAGAATTCAATGCTGAAATCTTCTCTTCTAATTATTTTCTTAGTTCAGTTTCTTTAAATAAATCTTTAGATCTCTATTCGTAGGCAGATTGAGCTTCTTATTTATCTTCCAAAGCCTTTTGCTTTTCTTTTTCTAATTCATTAACTAGATTTTCAAGTGGCTACTTTGATCTCTCTTCTAATTCTGACTTCAATTTCTAAATTTCCAATTAATATTTTCTTAATAAAGCCCCTTGATCTCCATCTTAATTTACAATTGGAGTATTTTTAATTGTTTTAGCTCTATTTGCGAACTTTAATGTTGATAAGGATTCCCCAAAGGCGTCAATTGCAGGTGATATCATAGCCATAAAGGTAGTTTTACAGTTTCCACCCAGAGAGTCTTCTAATAATCTCGTTATTTTTGAATCCCTATACGGGATGTGAGGTTTAGTACCTCTATTTTCAGTTAAGGCTGCAATGACATTTCCTAAGGCAGACAAGGATTAATTGATCTTTTTGGATTCTTCTAATCTTTGACCTGTAGCTCCAGTCACTCTGACTCTTTCACTGCCAGCCAAATCAACTAAATTCAATTTACCAACTTTTGCAGATTTTCCTTCAGGTTTCTCCTCAATTTATTCAACTGTAATAATGAAAACTGCATGACTTCTTGAACTTGTATCATTCATTCTTGTACTTGCTGTTACTCTTTTAGCATTACCTTTACGCATTAATTAATAGATTTCAGCTGGACCTCTTACTGCCCATTCTGACAAGTTTTCAACAAAGACTCCTCTTTTTTTGTCTTCTCTTATATTCAAAGATGCAGAATCTCTTAATAAATCACTTATATTTTCATTATATATCTGTAAGTATGATGCTCGAACCATAAAGGTTGTAGATGAATTACTTTTCATTTAAATGTGATTAAATATGTTATGCAAAGATCTTGGTATGATACCTAATTAATCTGAATTAGGGTTGAAACTAAATCCGTGCATTGTGTATGTTTTCCCAGTTCCAGTTTGACCATATGCAATTATAGTTGAATTGTATCCTTGCAAAGTTGAATCTACTGATAATGCTGCTGTGGTATTATATACTTATTCTTAAGTGCTGTCTTGGTCATAGACATAATCAAATGTGAATTAATGGAGAGTGTAGTTTGATGGATTTGAAACATATTGTTCTAAATCTTCATCCGGAACAAGCTCTATTGCATGATAATCAAATATGCAAAGTTATAAATTATCTGGAGCAACCTGCACAGTTGAGATGAATTTGCCATCCCGAATTTCTCTAGCCATCGGTGGACGGACTCTTATAACTACTCTTAAGTTTTCGTTGTTTGGAGTTTAACCATTGTTTTATTTCATTGTATGAACTTGCAAATTTTATTTTATAAAATAAAGTGAAAAGGGATTATTTTATTAATATTTTTATTTCCTATGTTTTCTGGATTTTATATTATAATTAATTTTGCGCGACGTTAATTATTTTAACGAATAAATAATGGAAATTAAATACAACAGATCGCTAAGTGGAGTCCCTGAAAATCAATAGCAACAACCTCTAAGAAGAATTACCAAGACCTATATAGAAAACAGAGACCCTGTAAGAAGGAATTTGACAATGTTGTATAATGAAGGTAAATCCATAATGTATAAAACAAAGACACTCAACAAATCAACAAATCGATGCTTAGTAGCAACAACGACTTAAGAAGAAAAATGCTTAATTAAGAGAGAGTGAAAAGATCCTTGAATCAAGATGTGTTGGAAGACAAAGAGAATGTGCCTCAACACAAAGGAATCACAACCAAGCTCTACACTCTCCCTCAAGAATTGTAGAATATCTCAATTAAACCTAAATTTGATCACACTATTCAGGAAAATAAAAATCTGTAAAAGTTTTACACAGATGAAATATTTTTCTATTTAAAAGAATAAGAAGTAATTATAAATAAAATTATTGTAGAAAAAATCAACACCATAAGAATTCTTGAAGAATCATTCAATTCCTAGCAATTTGAGAGCTAAAATGATAGACTGGATGGTCGAAGTACTCTGCTCTTATAAATGCACCGATTAAACATTCTTCGTAGCTGTGAGAACCTTAGATTTTTATTTTGCAAAAAGTGAAAAGTAATTAGAAGTGTCTGATTTACATCTATGTGGCGTCACATCTATGTTCATTGCTGCCAAATACGAAGAAATTCATCCAATGAAATTATCTGTTGTTTATGAGAAAATAGCTCATAAAAAATTAACAACTGATCAAATTAAAAAGAAAGAGAGTGACATACTCTAAACTATTGGATTTGATCTAGTTGGTGGAACACTTTTTGACTTGTACAATTTAATTCTTACTAATTGCTTTATTGAATCTAAATTGCTAGAGAAAAATTACAAATATTTAAAAAAACTATGTTTGTATCTTTCCAAAATGGTTTTGTTTGACTATGAGATTTGTGGGAAGAATAATTATACCTTATTGGCTGCTGCTTTAATTTTTGTGGCATTTAAAATAGTTGAACAATTAGAAACTACTTTCAATGCTGATAGTTAAGTATATAATTTTATCTATTTCATAGATTAAGGATGTTGCTTAAATTATTTAAGTTGATCAAGATTAGTTAGTAGAAGTTGCAGCAAAAATCTTGAATTTGGCTAAAAACTTTGAGAAACACTTTCCCAATTTAGAAAATTTAAAAAAATTTAATGGATTTTAGTTAGAAGATGATGAATAATGACATATAAATATATATTACTTTTATAAATAAATATGTGGCAACCAAAAAAAAATATTTCTAATGTACTTCTATATTTTAATAAATCAATCAGCTTTCTTAGTGCTTTCAGTTGTGTGTTTTTCACCCTTTCCTTTAGTTGATACTTTGGCTGATGCCTTTCTTGCTAACAATTATTTTCTGTCTTCATTGAGGTAAGGTTTTGTGATGATGCATTATGATGGTCTGATTGGGATTTAGTATGGCATTCCTACAATAACATTATTAAAATACCATTGGCTTTGGTTCTGGTGAGTTTCTCAATTTGAATAACCCATCTCTTTCTGTAAACTGATGAAACTTTACCCTTTGTTCCCTTATGTGTGCCTATGCTCAATTTTACAATCATACCCCTAACAACAGTGACTTCATCATCCTTTCTAACAGGCAATGCTCTAACATTGTATTTCTTTCTTAAATCTTTAGAAAGATGAGCACTCATTAATTTATATCTGAGGTTTGATGGTGCTCCTAATTAGGCTCTTCTGCCCTTTCTTCTTTAACTTGAAACTTCGATGTGGGTTTTCATTTTGAAAAAGATTTAATTAAAAATTAATTTTTTGTTTTTTCTTCACGAATTTCATACAATATATTTCAAGTAATACCTTTATTTTCATACTATTCAAAAGCGAATCTACAACCATCAGCATAATGTTCTTAAATTCTTTGAAAATATCACTTGTAATTGTACAACTTAGATTATATAATTGCAATCAACATGAATGCTCTCAAAATAGGTTGCTATATTGATAATAAATCATTTATATGGTGTTTATAATCATATTACTATTAATCTAATAAGAGATTGATTATAAAATGCCATATTCTAAAAAGGAAAAATACAATATCAAATATATATAAAAATATTGAAAAATTCAATAACTATGTTATTTTATACTTTTCAAGCTTTTAAACATTTGGATCTAATTAATAATTTTTTAATGAAGATTGTAATATTAATACATAAAATTATTATTATATAAAAAATATTAATTCTACATATGAAATGTTTATAATTCCTTTTTTTGGAATTATATAAGAATTTAATAGGAAAGGTGCAGTATTTCAAATATTTGATCACTATTTCAATCGAAATGAAGGAGCTCAGTAGGTTATCATATAATATGGAATTCATTAATTCTTTCAACTTCTTCTTTGATATTTATTTAATTTAATAATTTAGATTAAAATTGATATAAAAATATGGGCACCAATGGGAAGAGGTAATATGAATAGAATTAATTAATTCTGAATGAAAATAAAACTCATGCACCGAATCCATAGAGTGTTCTTCCTTATCTCTTTAATGAGTAAACAACATCCATAACAGTGACGGTCTTTCTTCTAGCATGCTCAGTGTATGTGATAGCATCTCTAACAACATTCTCTAAGAAACTCTTTAAAACATTTCTTGAGTCATCATAAAGGAATGAGGAAATTCTCTTGACTCCTCCTCTTCTAGCTAATCTTCTGATAGCAGGTTTTGTGATTCCTTCAATTGAGGCCTTGTTTGGTTTTCTAGCATGTCTCTTAGCACTTACTTTACCGATTCCTTTTCCTGATTTTCCAGCCATTTTTGTTTATTTTGAATTGATATTAATATAATTTAAAAGTGGAGGTTGTATATGGGATATAAATCCAAATGATGCAAAAATTAACCAATCAAATTTGATCATAAAAATCAATTTTTATTCATTCTAATATTTATATTATACCTTTTTATTCATATTGTTTAATTGAATGAATAATAATTGATAATAATTTGGGCATATTTTGAACAAATAATAGCATTGTAAATTTTAATTATCTTTTATTTACTTTAAAATTATAATTAAAAATTAATTAATATAGTAAATATTATTTTAATCATAAGCATCATAAACTATTTCCTTCATACTTCTTGGTTTTTGTCTAAATTAGTAATTTTTGATCTACAAATCGGACATGAGTTATTTTCGAAAAACCACTTTTCAATACATTTTATGTGAAATAAGTGTTTGCATGGTAACAAAATGCCTTGATTTTAGATTGAACATAGACAAATAGAACAAATGTCTTTCTATGTAAATGAATTGTGAATATATTTCATCAAAACAAAATGTTTCTCCTTTTTTATTCTAAATATCTTGAATAAAGATCTCAAAACACGAGGAATAAAAACACATACTTTAATTATTGCTCTAATTATCAGATGAATAAGGTTGATTAACGAGTTAAATCCAATAAATATCAAAATTGAGATCGATGCAATCAATGTTAACGTAAGTGGTAGTGTAATTAATGCAAATTCAGAGAAAATTAGATATTTGTTACCCTAAAATTCTGAAAGAATAAACTAAAAATAAATAACATAGATCACTATTGTTATTTATACAATAATTATTACAGTTATTATATGAAATTTAACAAATTCCTTAAGAATTACCTAAAAAGTCAATTTAGATGCAATAATTTGGTCAATTAATCTTATTTCAATTCTATTTTCAGGATCAAAATTAATATTCTATTTTAAAAAATGTATGAAAACTTTTCTTGTGATTGAAGATTTCAATCCAACATACTTTTTTTGTTTTCTTGCTGAATTAGCTAATCTTATGATTGCTAACAATTTGATAAATAGTCCTATGGCAATGTATACTAATTATAATTCATAACTGATAATCATAGTTGTAATGCAACCAAAAAACGCTATCGCCTCATACCAACTCAATATTACGATAGCAGTCTACAACTTCTTCAAATATTCTTTAGATTTTTTTAAAGAATCTGATTCGCTTATTGATTAAGTCTTTAAGTAATTCAAAAATAATGATGACATTGCTTAAGTTTCAGGAAGACAACCATCCCCAAAGGTATCCAGTTTTTCAGAATAGTCAATAGAAAGACTTCTATGGCTCATAAGTTACTCTTGAATGTAATTTAAATAAAATAAATATATGAAAGTGATCAATATTTAGTTAATTTTAATTAAGCAATTAAATTCAGAATCGTAAATCTTGCAGCGTCCTAAAATTTCCATCAATTATTATATTTTTTGTGTATTCTTTTTCATATCATTATACAATAATTCATATTATATAATGGATTTCTTAACAAGTTTTGAATGCATAGTTTTATTTGCATATTGTATATAGTTCTTATTTTAGGCATTGAACTCAAATAAGATTATAAATTGATTTTTTTAGTAAAATAAATTAGTTATTTATACAATTAACAATATCTGAACCAGAATTTATTGATATAGTATTCCATTCTCAATTCCATAGATAAGAAATTTAACTCCATCAAAAGCCTAGTGTATTTTCATCATTAAATAATCATAACTTATGAGTATGATTAATCTTATCCTTAACTGATTATAATAAATTCTTTAATCTAAAGATTTAAATTCTTTAGTCTCTATTTAATAGAGCTTTATTGAATAGACAACTAAGACTTATGATTATTAATTAATTCCTCTGAGTCTCCCTTTATTGTGTACTCTTAACAATCTTATCTTATGTAGTATTATATAGATTCTATGTTTTCTAATATATCTTTGTCCTTGAATCAATCTTCATTTTCAAATACTTTACATTGATTAATAAATTATTATATAAAAATCAAATATAAAATAGCACTTTTTGATGTATTAAATCTGATTGTGGAAGGAATTTAATTTAATCCTTATCATCATAATTATCTCCAATAAAATTACAGAGACAATGTGCATAACGAACTGGTGCTGGTATTTTGATTGATCCGGTAAAGTTATAAAACAGCCAGCACAATTTGAAAGTCAGAATTTTAATATTTTACTCAATACCTAGATTAAAATTAATATTAATACCCTGCAAATCTGAATAAAGAACTTTATAAAGAGTTGGGGTTACAGTTCCTTATCTACTTTATTGAGATATTAAATAAAACTTTATGGCATCTTCATTCGTAATAATTTTATTATCTATCACAGTTCCTGGAGGTGGATTTTCTGGTCTACCTTAACCTCCTGTATAAAATTTTGCAGAAACTCTTTTGTTACATATTACAAGTGTAAGTGACACATCTTTTAATTCTAACTCTTATAAAGCTTGCTTATATTGTGGTAACTCCGTTCCTAATACAGCTACTTATTAGCCGTCCCCTACTCCATCCCTATATATAATCACATTTTTAGGAAAAACTGATAATTCCTATCTGAATGCAAGTAAGGCAGCCTTCAAGCACTATTACAAGTGTGAACAAAACTCTCCAGATGTGATTACTTAAGAGTAATACCTACTAAAATATCTATTAATGGTGCTGCAAAAGGCTAATTGACTTTTCCTTCCAGCCTTTGAAAAAATATCAACTCCACAAATCATTGTAGGTTAATTTGTAAATATATCAGGTATGCCATCCAATGCCCATGGAGTTCCTCCAATCTTTGCATTTAATTAAATTAAAATCTTATTTACAATTGATCTTGTATTGCTCTATAGGGTTTTTTCTAAGATTACTTAGGATGCACAACCAAAATTAGCCATAGAGATTCTTTTACAAGCCTTATACAACTTTGCCTTTTTCTTTTAACCTGATAGCAAAAATATTAAAAAGTTAACTCGTGATTAATTTTAATCAGCCTCAATCTTAAGATCTCTTAATTATCGGTCCAATTCCAATTCGGTTTCTTCTCGCATCTCTCTGACTTTTGGCTAATAAAAGGAAGTAAATTGAAATTCCACACAAGCCTAACCAAAATGTTATAAAAATGAATTGAGCTATTATTTGGCATAATTTGTATTGTTGTAAAGAATTCCTAGAATCAATTTTTATGGAGGGGTTTAAAACATTTAAGTTTGTGTTTGTCTGTCCAAATTCGTTCTGTTATCTCCTAAATTTAATTTTAAATCTTTGCCCATCAACATATGTCCAGGGTCAAGTTTTTGAGCTTAGATCTAAATGCAGTCTTTTTAAATCTCTAATCCCCATTCTTTTAATGCTTCCTTTTTATTATATTTGTTTAAGGTTTAAAGTTATTCAATAAACTCTTATGCAGTTCTCATCCTAGCTTCAGCTGATGGTTTTGTTATTTCTGATATTCTTTTCATTTAATGGAAGTCCTAAAAATTATAAGATCAAATTACACTTCTCATTTCAGCAGTCAACCCAGTCATTTAACAAAGAGAAGGAATTAAATATATCTCCTTTTGACTTTCATCCTTTTTTCCTTTCACAATTGCTTTTAATAAAGGTTATTTTTCGATTTATTTTACATTATACTTTGCAGTAAAATAACTCTCAAAAGTGATAGCTTCACCATTTTAATTTTGAAATGTCGATTTTGGAGTCATTGTTAATTCTACACCAGAAATTTCATAAAACTTTTTATTATAGGTTGTCATCACAATCTAACCAATAATTTTATCGAAATTAATTCCAATTTTGTTTTGGCCTGAATTTAATTCCTCTAAAACAGTTTTATTTCTTAGAATTTTAAATGCACAATCGATTACTAGTTTAGGCTTAAAATTTTAGAAGGCACTTGGTTAATAAATGCATTCGACTCCAGGCCAAATCTACAACTATATACAATAATATACTTCTAATTTGCTTTATTCTTAGCTAATACTCTTTTAATACCAGAATAATTTACTCCCACTTTTTCCAATAGAAACCATTTCTTATTGATTTCTCATTACTTGCTTTATTAATCTAGCAATTATTTAGTTCTTGCTTATGTGATTCTCACTTAATCGATTAATAAGCTTGATTGATACTATTTACTCAGCTTCTTCCTGATTTTGTAATGTTCCCAAAGGTTTAGATCTTGCTTTTTCAATTCCATCTATTATTTTGGGCGAGTAGATTTTATTATCAATACTCATATATTTCGTTAACAATTCTAAAATTTTTGGTCTATATTATCTAAAAGCTTCTTGGATTAATTCTGGAGTTGAGTTCATAATCTCCAACTCATACTCATAGATTGGTCTTCCTGCAAGGAAAGTAATTTCATGAAAGTTAGTTTTAAGTTATATTCCTTGTGTTCTTTGAATCATTTACAAACAAATTAATTAATATTTCCATGCACTGTCTCATCTTAAATACTAACAAAATTTTTTAACTAAAACTTAGTTGTAAATTTTTGATAAACTGAAATATAATTATTATACGAAAATATCTAATAAAATATTTATCCTATTTTTGTTGGATTCATAAGTATTTTAACAGACAAAAGAGTGATCATCAATATGAGTTTCTTTAAAATAGATTCAATTAAACACTTAACCTTTAAATTATTTTTCGCGGGTTTTTTTTATCATAATCATTATTATAATTATGTTAATTTGATTGTTGAACTGTATTCCAAAACATTCTAATTTTAACTAAAATTCAGTAAGATTTGAACTATTCTTTCTGCTTTTTTTTTAATAAGGGCATCATAACCTTATGAGTTAAGTAAGATTAAGTGGATTGGGCTTGTCATAGGGTCCTAATAACCTCATGAGGTTTATTTAGGGTTTTAATTTTAGAAATCAGATTAATTAATAAATTGAGATATTAATACTTGAGTAATTGGGTTAATTAATTTTAATAGTTAATTAAAATTGCTTTATATGTTTAATCATCTTTTTTTATGAATTGAGAAATTCAATAAAACTATTTTTAGAAATGTAAGATGGAGTTCATTGTATAAAGTTTGGATGGTAGAAATGGATTTTGGGTTGGTCACGATTGATCTAAGGGAGATGGGAATTAAAATTAGAAATACTTGAAATAAATTCTAATTATATTGATAATAAATTATTAATAAAAGGAAATGATTCTCATTTTATTTTACTTTTTTATAACCGCATTAGGAATATAAACGATAAATATCAATTAGGATTACTTGGAAAATGGAGAATTATTTGAATTGGAGGATTCTGATTATTATGTGATATAGGAAGTAGCAAATGGAACTATGTTCTTTTAAGTTACTTCCGTTGACACTTAGAAATATATTTAAATAGAGTAATTTTATGTTCAATTAAAGATTAACATTCTTAGCTCCTGGAGATGGTGAAGTCAATTTGTCATTTACAATTAGTAAAAACAGTCTTCCTACAATGAAAGACAACAAAACAATATCGGCGACATATGCTGATGTCAATGGTTATTATCTACGCAAGAGTTATCAAAACATAGTGATACCAGCTAATTCATTTAGATCAGGTGATAAATTTTATATAACTAATTTAAAAAGAGAAGAAGAAACAACTTATTAATATAATATTAGAATAAAGAAGAGTGATCTTACTCCATGTCCTAACGATTGCACTTCAGTTTCTTTGGGCTATTGTAATTTAGGTACTTGTGCATGCGAAGCAAATAGAGTCGATTTGGATTGTTCCAGGAAGGCAACTCCTATTATGATAGATAAAAAGTTGGAAAACATCACAATAAGTGGAACAGAATACTTTTATTTTGAATAAACGAAACAATTAGATACTATTTTGTTAGATGTGGGAATTTCAAATATCCTAGTTTCGGAGTACTCTTCAATACTTGTATATTTCATGTTTGAAAACTTTAAATATGGAGTACCCACTCCATACTATAATAATTATTCTTTCTCATTTTCTTCAGATTCTAAAACTAAATCACTCATAATTGACGTTTCTGGATTGAATTATAATCCAGATTTATATAGGTAGTATTTAGTTATAATGTCATTAGGTTTGATCGGCTTTTATTAACAATCGTAGTTCCTGATACCTGCTAATTTTATTTTAATATCAGTGTTCCATCCGGAGATTCGTCAGTGAATACAAACCTAATGCTTATTTACTTCTTGGTTTCTCTGGCTGTGGTCTTAGTGCTTACTTGGATTATAGTTACTTTAATAAGATATAGACAGAGGAATAGGGTTTAAAATGAGATTCAGTCAAATTAATAATAATTGTCATAATAGCAAAGGAGAGGATAAAAGACTGGCATAACTTCATAATAACTTGATCATTATATGAGGAAGATTCTATGGAAGAATTTAAGTCATCATCCTAAGATTAAGGAGAAGAGGATAGACCCTAAGCAATTTGAGGCTTGCACTGTTTGCTTAATAGAATATGATTCAGAATCAATTTGTAGAGTGACTCCTTGTGTTCATGTGTTCCATGCTGATTGTTTGCATTAATGGATGGTGGAGAAGAAGCATGAGACCTGTCCGATGTGCAGAGAAGATTTGAATGAGCAAGCATTAGAAAAGCTGGCAGAATAAGATAGACCTAATAATCCATAAACTTAAGTCTTATTAAAGGGGGATAACAAATAGTAAAATTAAAATGGATTGTTGGTTATCTAAGAAAGAAATGAATGATTAATATGATTTTTGTTTTATATAATGATCATTCAATTATTTACTAATATTTGATTGTTAAATTAATTCACATTCAATTTTTTGCCTTAGGTACGAAAATCTATAATTTATAATCTATTTAATTACAAACGTTCTTTCAATGATTCTCCCATCCTCTTCGCACTTTAATTTGATGATATTTTTTGTGGTTGTCAAATTGTCTATTTAAGTCTTCAATTCCTTCTTCTTCTAGTATTCCTTCTCTAATTCCATAATGATATGAGTTTTAACTTTCTCGAATTTCTTTGGTTTGTCTTCTGGATTAACTGGCTCTTCCTTTAATTACTGAGTCTGTGCATTTTCCATTTCTTATTATTGTAGCTATTCCTCCTCTTAAAACTTCAAAAATCTCTTGTAGAGTTCAGTTTTCTAAAATTCGCCTTCCAAAGGTTTGGGCTTATTTCTCAGTAGATCCTATTGATTTTGAAGCAAAGCTTTTCCTATGTCTGGTTAATAATAGAGGCCTTTTTCATCGCAGAATACCTTCTTGTATCCTTGGATGAATCGACTCATGGCAGCATCACTGTTGAAAAATAAGTAGCATCTTGAATCTATTTTTTCCTACTCTCTTATAATGGGTGGAATTGTTACTTCAATTTGCCTTTCACATAATATTTCATCACTATGTCATTCAAGTATTCTTGTATAGTTGCATAGAATTCGTCTTCTCTTAAAAGTGGAGGCAATCTTCTTATGTGCACTTTGAAGCTTTGAGGCCCTTTATTTAAAGCTCTCTTGGGAATCATATTCACGAATAATAAATAATTGACCTAATAATATAATATAATAAAAGGGATGAGACCGATTTCCTCTGCTCTCAAATTAAAAACCAATGATAGTTCAGAAAAACGTCTCAGGAGTGCAGTCTAATTCAAATTAGCAGACTCTTAAAAGTATGAATTACTGAATAATCTCGGATAGACTAAAGAATGTCCTCATAAAACAATCACAAACATCCCAATAGTCATTATCACAATAATCGAGACTACAAAGTGGAACAACCTATAACACATCCCAACGCACTGGATATTCTACTCATAGAATGAATGAAGCAGAATATGACTCAGGTTCAAGCTCGGCTTTCAGAGGTCAAATTAAAATGAGATCCACCTTTCATTCAAGCAAAAACAACCTCATAAGGAGAGTGGACTCTCAATTCAGTCTAGATAACAGATAAAACTCGTCTCCTTAAGATACCAATAGAAACGCCATCCCATCCTTATAAAACAGGCTCTTTCAATAAGGGGGCAGATCTCCATAGAAATAATTAATTGTTACTCAAGAGAATATGGATTCTTATGAAGTGAAAAGAAGAATGAAATTCGACCCTTAAATCAAGCAATAAGTTATCTATTTTAAAATATTGAATATATCCAATATCGGATTAAAAAATTATCTATTTTACCTTTACAAGCAACAAAAATGTTTGATTGACCTGGTCAAATCCAAAGCAGAAACCCAAGTAATAATCCTATTTCAATTAGCTAATTGATTTTTCTTAACAAATTTTAACATTTTCTATAGGAACTCTATCACCTATTGCATTAATTGAAACTCTTAGTTTTTCTGCCTCCATGCTTGAATCAACATCTTAACTTGATTGGGCAATCTTCTATCATAATTAAACCAGGATCATGGCTAATTATGCAAAATAAACTATGGATAAATATAAAATGAAATCTTTGATTGGACTCGGGAATTGTTCAATCAAAATGTAATAATATGAGATTGGAATCAAATTCTTTAAGAAATGTCTGCAATACTCATGGTTAAATAATGACTTAGATTATGAAAATGAAGTCTATTCCAAACTGGGAGTTTGTTATTATTATCTTGGAGACATCGAAAAAGTACTATTCCAATTTATCAAGACTAAATACTATCATGAAAGAGCCATAACCTATGATTATGAGATAGAGAGTTCTCCCTTACGTTAAATGAGTTCAGACACACTCAAAATTTTCCTAAGTAAAAATTTCACCAGAAATTACGCTGAAACTATAAATACTCCTCTTTTGAATAGATTAAATCTGCCTCTTCCTTAAGATATATTGTAAATTTCTAAATAAGAAATACAGAATGAATCTCCTACTATGATCAATCCTAGAACAACTAATGAATCCAAGGTTTCATCTACCAGAAGAAACTCTATCTTTGAATCAAATCCACATATGAAAATGTTTTCTGCTATGTAAGTGGATGGACTAAGAATTTAATAAGAAATTTTATCGACTTAAGAATTTGAAGTTGAAATTTACACTCCAAAACATTCATGTAAAAATCTATGATAATAATATAAAAGTTAAATCAGAAAGTAAATGCTTTGATTTTATAAGAAATAAAAAAATACATCCTTAAGATATCTTTCATGATATTAAATATAAAACCAATCCCTTTATTTTATCTGATCTTGGAGTGATAAGTGGTTAGAATGATGAAAACCCAATTGAGAATCCTTAAATGTATAAATTGCCTTTAGATCAATAAATTGATATCAGATTAAAGAAGAAGACCTATGTGGACATACAATCAAAATTAAAAAAATTAATGGATTATAAATATCATACAAAGACATAAATGAAGAATAAAATCCTGGTAGTCATTTAATTTAATGAAGATTACACACAGAAATATTGAGAATGAAAAAAGACATTATGTTGTGGATTAGAATAAGGTTCTAGAAAGTGTATAAAGAAATTTCGAAAATCTCATAGAAAATTTAATGAATTAGTAATGAGTGTTGCATTATTTACATTTCATAGTTTTATACATAAAATTCTTTCAATAATTTACAAATTAATATACATGTATCCAAGGTAATTAAAAAAGTAGGACAAGCAGAAGCAATCTTCCAATATTTCTGATTTCATTCTCAATAAACTCTTGAGTGAATTCGGTTAAAAGCCAATAGATAAGGAAGTATTTAATAAATGTAAATAAGTTAATTACTTGCTATGTGCGTGATTATACTTCCAAATACTCCTCATTTAATGAAAGCGGTGTAAGAGCTTTGAAAGCAGAGATACAAGAGGCAGTCAAGAAGTAATAGATAGAGAAGGAAGCCATAATAAAAACCTTAAAATAGCAGTCTAATAGTCAATAGTTACAAAATATGGGTGATAAACAAAAAAATGAAAATAACTCAAAATAAACTACTAAAACTCTAACTTAGGGACTAGAACAATAAAATACTTAGAGAAGGAATAATCCTCCCGAAATTCCAAGGTTAGACTCATTAGCATCTGATAATAAATAGAAATCTGTTTATTAATTGGATGATGATGAATAGGATGAATGGGCAGCTATTATTAAATATGATACAGCTTTATATTAAAAGGAATAGGAAGAAAGAAAATAAAAAGATCTCTAATTGAGATAGAAGTTAAAGGATGATTTAGATAAATAATTAAAAGAGAAGGCAGAGTTGAAAAAAGAGGAAGCATTGAAAGAAGCAAAATTTATACAATTAAACCAATAAAGGAAAGAAGAGTTTGAGTAATTTGAAAAATAGAAGAAAGAATAGATCAAACTTAAACAATTAGAAGAGAAAAAATTAAGGGATGAGTAAGTTTAATAAGAAAAACATAAGAAGTAATTCTTAAATTAATTAGATTAGAAGGGAACATTAGAAGTAATCTAAACTGCAAGATGATGAGATGCTCTAATAGCTAAAGAGTGAAATAAGTAGAGAATCTTAAGAATTAAATAAAAAAAGATAGCAATAAAAAGATAAATTTTAGTAAATTTTGAAAGAAAATGAATAATTGCGTCAAAAAGTAAAATAGAATAATTATAAAAGGCATAAGAGGAACTTAGACTCTAGAAAGACAATGATACTAAATTGTAATAATAATAATTATAGAAACTGATATAGGATGATGAAAAGAGAGAATAATAGAAGAGGGACAGGGACGAAAAAATTAAATAGTTCATGAGCAATTACAGTCATTAGGTTTTGACTAAATAAAAATAAAATGAAGAGAATGAAGGGAAGTATATGTTGGAGTAATTAAAAAAACAAGAAGAATATGATAGATAACAATAGTAGTTTAAGAAATAAAAAGAAAAAGAAAAAATGGATCTCGTAAAACAATAATTGTAATTGCAAATAGAACAGAAATAATAAAAGAAGTTATCAGAAGAGGAAGAATAAAAATTGTTATTACTTCAACAAAAATTAGAACTTATGAATTACGCATAAAAAGAAAAAGAAAAATAACTTGTATGTATTGTAAGTTATAGTAGTATGTCAAAAATAATTATAAATAAAACTAAGAGGATATAAAGAAATAAATTGAATAGAGCAGAAATAAGAGTGCTCATGAGAAGATGACAAATTTGGAATTGCTGCACAATAAATCTATTTTGAGGAATATAGCAGAGGAATAGGTTGCAAAGACTAAGTTTAGAAAGGTGAATGTATCAATGAAATGATAAGATTTATTAGAATTTGATTCATAAATATTGTTTTTTCATGTTTATTTTAATAATAATAATAATACAATAACAAATAAATAAATATTATTCAACAATGAATTAGAAAAGCAATAAGGTTTCTCCAAATTAGAAAACAATGGGATTTAGATTTAATTGTGCTATCAATTTAGAACTGCTTAAAAAATCAACTCGAATGGCTTTACTCAAGATGAAATACTAATTGCCTGAAGAATCCGATCGAATTAAAATGAGAAAACGAAGCCTAATCTTTGCAAAAAACTAATTGGATTCAGAAAAGAAACCATCTCCCTCTAAAAACAAATTTTTAGACACCATAAAAACTAGATGTAGCTCGATTGCTGATGACAATAGTCAAATGCCAACTAAATTGGTGTTCTAAAAATACTCGAAACAATTAGACAATATTAACTATGGCAATCCTTAGATCTTTCAATAGGTTACTTCTTAGAAGGAGTAGAGCGATACTCTGATTTTCCCTTTTCAAAGATCAATTTATCCATAAAGAAAACTCGTAAGAAAACAAAGAGCTGAGACTTAATATACGATTAATAGTTCAATTAATTAACCTAGTCCCAACAATGCAAAAATAAAGGTCAAGTCCTTAATCGCCATATAGGAGAGATTTGGAGCGACTGGGTGGGAAGTGGAACCATCAGATGACCTATGAATTTTTCTAATGCATCTCTTTGAAACCTTCGAAAATTACCATATTATTTGTAATTTTAATTATTTCAATTAATGTAATTTTTAAAATAATAATATTGACACTCTTGACAATCTCAATTATTATTTGTAAGTAGGTTGATTCTCAGTTATGGCAAATCTCTTACTTTTGGGAAACATCATATATATAAAAATAGTGCTTAAATCCCATATAATTTTCACTCAAATTGAATTTGCATTTCAATCACTAAAACTCTGAATTTTGCAGTAATTTTCAGCATTGATTGTGTAAGGTTTAATGATATTAATAAATATATTAAAATTCATTCATCATTCAAGAGTTTTTACATAGTATGAATATAGGTTAATATATGTCATGTGAAACAACAATTAATTCGTCAGAAAACGCAATTATGGCTGAGAAAGAGGTTCATTAAGAGAATTCAAACTATAATGATGGATAAAATCTATATACTTCAAATCAACAGAATGATGATTCTTTCGAAATGGTAATAATGAGTAATTAGCATCCTGAAAATGAATGGATAAAAAAAGAGCAAATTATTGTTTCTTATCTCAAATAATTGGGTCTAAAGATGAAAACAGATCCTTTAGAAAAATTAGAACATTTTTATCAAAAACCCAAGAGGCGACCAAATAAATCCAGCACCATGACATTCAATACTAACTCAAATGATGATCAATCCAATTAGGAAGACGATAAATGTAATGGCATACTGTAAAAAATGAGTATAGAAATGAATTCAATAAAATAAAGACGAACACCTAATACAACTCCTTAAAGTTCTCCATTAATTACAAAAAGTTCAGATTAACAAGAACCAATGAAAAAATAAAGAATGTCAATTTTCCAGAAAATGTAAAATCAGCCTTAGGATCTAACTCCAGATGAAGAAGAATTACAAAACAATATAAAAAGAAATTAGTAATAAATAATTGATTAAGAAAATGGTCTTTAAAAAAGTGAGACAGATAGTAGTAAAAGTGACACAGAGAAAAATTATTTCTAAAATTTATGTGGATGATATATGAGTAACTATATCATTTAATTCCTGCTTATTATAGTTTTTAAGTCAACTATTATATTTTACTGTCTTTTAATTTCACTAATTATTCTAGTTTCTATATTTTAAGTTCGAGTATTTCTATAGTTTCCTTTTAATCTTAAATAACTAAATCTTTATCATTTTATTTATTATTGACAGCTGATTTTGAATGGTTAACTTAATTTTAATTTTTTGAAATTTCATTTGGCTTTTCTTATTTTTGCACTTAATTTTGTTCTGAGTGTTCCAAAAACATATCTAATTTCACTTGGATCACTTTTAAGATTCGCTCTATGGCTTCGGGGATTACTTAAATGACTGCATCAATATCTTTCTAGGTAATTTAGAACCCCATCTTTCTAAACACCTATAAATCGTGAAGTATAGTACCTTGGCATTCAAAGTATTCCAATTATATTACTTTTATTAAACAGAATGAGCTAAACTATAGTTGTGAATATCAATTATTGAAGGAACATAGTGTTAAATAATTTCCGCAATTAAAACTCCATCTGCAAAATCTCTGCCTATGTGTTTTTTGGGTCTAGATAATGGTACAGAATCGACCCAATTGTAAATTTCATTTAATTCATCTTCACTAAGAGGAGGAGCATCCATGTCTTTACTTTTCATAGGTAAATAAATAATTTAAAATTTATATTATCTAGCTAACTTACAATTAAATAAATGGAGATATCAAATGTATTCATTTGTTAAGAGAACCTTAGGACTTATTCAACTTTTATATATTTGTTCTTAAGCATTATCTAAAGACATAAACAAGCAATTAATACGTATTGACCTCCTCTAACCTAATTAGCTACTTGATCCTTTTTGCGAATCCAATATCGTCCTTTTCTCTTAGTTTCTTACTCAATTAATTTGATTGATCATAATACACATCCAGATTGACTTCATAAATTGATTATAATGATTGATCATCCGATATTTCATCCTGTTATTTTTCAGTTTTTATTCTTCTCTAAGCCTCTAATGAACCATGCTAACGTAATTTTAGTCTTTTTTTTCTTAATTGATTAAGTTAAGTATCAAGTTGCTCATTTAACTATTGCTCCTATTAACTTTCTATTAAAGTGTGAAATTTTTGAGTGTTTTCTTAAACTCTAGAATCAATAAATTTTATACTGTTTGTTTAATGTGTAAATATTTCTATTGTGAATGTAGTCGTATAATTTAACATCGAAATTTGTAATTAATCCCTTGGTATTTTTTGAATTTTTATCTCCATCTGCTTGCTTAGTAAATAGATAAAAAGGTTTTTTTGTAATAACATAATCCTTCCTCTTTATTGGATCTGCAATTGAGCTTTTCAATTAAGAGTAGGATTTATATTAATTAACATTCCTTTTTGGACTTGCTACAATAACATCAAGTGGACAATCATTTAATGAATTTATAAGATTTTAAGTGTCTTAATTTTGTAGAGTTAGAGGAGATTGGGATTTTGAATTTTGATTACTTTTAATTTTAGATTTTCTCAATTCTGATTAAAATTTAATATTCTACTATTCTAATAGTTTGCGAACTTAATTTAATGCAGTTTTAAATTGAATTTATTTCTACTATTCAAGTTCAACTAAATAATCTTTGGAGTATTAATTCATTTAATTTTTTAACATGCCTAAAGAAGGATAATCAAATCTATCAAAATGCTTTTCTTAATGTCTTATGATTGGTTGTACATTATCATAATTGACCAACAATTACTTTAATTTCTTTTGACATGGTACTAATTTTTTATAATATTAAGCATCATCCTGCAATTCTTCTTATTGATCCAAGATATGTTAATTGTAATCGTTAGTGATATCAAAGAATGTCTTAATGAAATGAATATTTCTGATTTCCTCTTCCCTTTATTCTTTATTTAATTATTGTCTCAATTTGATCTGTAATATTAAATAATAATACTCTTTACTAAATAAAATCCCTTAAAACTTGGACCTTCTTATTAATTTTAATTTGATATAATTCCATCAATTTCCCAGCCTCTGTAAATCTTCGCTGATCAACCAATCTCAATTGTTAGGCTCTCATTTGTTTTGTTGAACTTACAACTTCTAATTATGGAGTCTTATCAATTGTTTTAGCCAAGTCATTGGCTTTCATTTTCTTAATTTTTTAAACAATGGATAGTTTTCTTCTTTACCTTTTTTAATCATCCAATGATATCTAACAAATAAAAATATTACTTACTGCTTCCAAGCGAGGGAATCTTATGGCCTTCAATAATTCATTAATCGATTGTTCCCCTTCTAAATACTTATAGAACTAGAGTTTAAACTGCTTATTTGAACATGGGAGGAATATTGGCACTTCGTTCACAAGAGGATCTTAAAGATGCTAAACCTAAGATAAGCCAAAATACCTCTTTGGCTTCTTTAGAGGTATGATCCTTCTTCTATTTAAGATTAATATCGTGTAAGAAATTGCCAAACATTTATTTCCAAGCATCTTTCTGATTGGAAATCACTATTTTTTTGTTGGAGTATGTTAATTTTTTAGTATTTAATAATCTTTAATTAGTTTGCATGAAGTTTTGCTTAAACTTGCTTGGAGGATTGTCCTTTACAGAATCTGATTCAGTTTTCAATTAAGTTGATACAGAGTCCAACATTTTATAATTAAAAATAATTAAATCACTATGAATGAGGTATAAATAGAGAAGAATAATTATAGAATCTCAACCTCCAAAAGTTATTGAATAACCATCTGAATCCTACAATGGACAATCTTTAAGTGATCTATTCCAAATTACAACAATTGTAATATTTTAATGCCTTCATTGAGAAGAACCTAAAAGGCACCCAAAAAGAGAGTCTGTTATATGTATAATTCCTTGAAATCATAGTTATGTGGTAAATTCAAAATGGAGCACTTCAAAGGAGGCGAGGTCATCTTCAAAGAAGGAGATAAGTCAAACGATAAGTTATATATAATATTTAATGGTAAAGTGGCTCTAATAAAGTAAAGGCCATAACAATAGCAGACTCCCTAACAAATCCCTGAAAAACCTCCTGAAAATCAAAAATAATTGCAACAACAATAGAGTTTATCCATCAAACCCGTTCCATTGAAAACAGAGTAATTTATGGAATTATGAATTTTACATTAGAAAAACCTAAAGCAAAATCATAACCTTAACCTCATAAACTAACTTCTTTAAGTAGATTGCCTATTCAAAAAAGTTTGCTGACAAAATGAAAGCCAACATAGTGTAAGGTTAAACCAATGAGAAAGTCTAGATATCGCAACAAGAGTTGTAGACAATGAGTGACAAATATGGCGAAACTGTAAGAATACTAAAACGAGGAGATGGATTTGGAGATAGAGCATTACTTGAGAATGTTCCAAGAGCATTGACTGCATGTGCATAGACTGAAGATTTGTTCTTATTAATTTTAAAAAAAGACGACTTTGATTTAATTCGATAATAGTTTATATAATAGATGAAGGAGAAGAAAAGTTTAATTTTCGGTAAGTTCCCTGTTTAAGGAGATTATTCATCAAAATAATTAGAACAACTAGCTTATAGTTTTGATGTGGAACAATTTTAAAAGAATTGTGTATTAACTATAGATGGATAATATAAGAAATGCTTCTACTTGATTTAATTCGGAGATATCTTATTAGAAAAAGTAATTAATGATTAATTGGCTAAGATATGCATACTAAGTAAATTATAATTATTATGAGCAGCAAAGGGTTAGTTATTGGGAGAAGAAATAGCAATGAATGATGATGGTTGTTGTGAATATAATGCTACAGTCTTATCTAATGAAGCTACTTTGATGGTCATCCATAAACATGAGTTTTTATAAAAGTTCCCTGAAGAATGCAAATTATGGGTTTAATAAGAATACTTAAGGAAAACTAAATTTAGGACTATTTTCTAAACTTCTAATATGATCAGTGTGAGTAAGATCAATCAACCTAAATTTACAGCTGTTAAGTAATATATTGAAGTTAAATACAACCCAAAAAAAATTAGAAGCAAAGAAAGAGAAGATAAAATGGATATTGGTACAATAGTTGAAGAGAAAAACTTTATTTATAAATTAAAGTATCAAAGTGATCCAGAAAAAGATGCTGGGTCAGCTTTGTTTGGAACTGATCTATATTAAAGTCCAAAGCTAGGATTTACACCAAAATATGAACATCCTAATAACATAGCAATGACCTCCTTTAAATAGCAATATCTTTATAAATTGTGTAAGAAGAAAAGAAGACAAATAATTTTGAACACTCCTCCTCTAACAGCTAGGACAATCACCAATTATTAGTCCATCATTTCGGATCGCTAAAGTAAACATAAACACACTTTTTCTACAGGAATTAACTCAAATACTCCATGTCTATCACTCTCTCCAATCAATATGAATAGTAGAGAAATTATGTGATATGATGTAAATAATAATAATTAATATTATAAATCATTTTATTTCATTTTTTAACATCGTATCATAATATCGTTATGCCATCGTCTCTCTCTATCGTCCATTCAAAATCCCTGCTTCTGCAACTGACGATACAAGTCTTTATGGGGATCTTATGATTTAAGGAGGAGTCGATTATTACAGAGGCACTATTGGCATTGTCATAGGCATTGGTTCTTATAAAACTGGGTTTGGATGATAAAACTGTTATGGATAAACTTAGAGAGGGTCAATCGGAATTACTGGAGGTTATTAATATAGAACTGGTTATAAAGGAGTGTATTCTCTGATGGCACTAAAGGGTTATATAACTCTTGATTGGTATTTGTTGGAATTTATTGCTTAATTCACAACTGGTTAAGTTTGCACTATTGGTTAAACCTACACAATAGGTTGAACAGTATTTGTGATTTGCATTTATTGAATTTATGTATCTTATACAGCTTGGGTTACATAGATATATTGTTTCAACAATGCAAGGATTTAATTTACATTGTCATTAACAACCACTTATCTGATGTTTAATTTTAATTTGTTTAATTATTCAACATGTTCCTAATGATTCCTCTAATAAATTGCTTAAGGGGTTTATCTTGTATCTGAATATATTTTGATTAAAAAAGGCAAACACTACAATTAACATCTCAAATACCTTTTCTGAGTTGAGTTTTAATAAATTTTCATGTTGATTTTTCCATTCCAAATACTCTATTCTATGTCTTGATCTTACCAATTTAATTAAATCCTGAGTCGATTTTTAAGTTTCATTGATTATTTACTATTCAAGCATCTTAAAGTATTCGTCTACAACCTTATAAAATTGTTTCTTTGCTTCTTGATACTTTTAGATTTAGAACTATTAATTTATAACATTGATGCCCTACTTCTTATGCTTTTTAAACCTCCTCCTGTAAATTGCTGGATTCTTAGACATCGGCTGCCCAAAGGTTAAGATATTCTAAGGATCTATTATATTATTCAGTGAGGCAATTAGAGAATAAATCAATATCACTCGTTACTCTTTCTTGTTCATGTTCTTCAGAATGAATTTTAATACATTCAGGACATAGAGGTAAACTGCATTCTCTAAATTAATGTATATTTTCATACTGTTTCTTGCAAAAGTTTTGAATATAATAGTCTTCATGAAATCTACATGGAATTTATGGAGTATTTGAAGCTCCAAAATAAATAATCTAATCAGCTCTAAGTGTTGAACTCATCGTTAAATATAATTTTATTTCAATAAAATAAAATAATTAAATAAATATCAAAAATTTGAAGGAATAGAAATATTGAATCATTTGAGAAGCCAATAGATTGAAATTAAAGTAAATATTAATCAATGAAATTGTTCCACTTAATTAAGTTTTGATCTTATACGATTGCACCCTCCTATATAGCTTGGGAATGCATTAATCATTTATAATTAATGATCTGTCTTATTATTTTGAATTCTAACTTTTAAATACTCCGAGAAAATTAATTTAATTTCTAATATCCTTAATTATGATTTTTTGAGAATTATTTATTTATTTTTGTAAATATATAAATATATATTTTGTTTTTAAAATTATTGTCTAAATTTAGGTTTAAGTAATTCTTAATACAATAATTCAAAATGCCTTAAAAATAAATTGCAGTTTCTCGTAATAATTCTTCTCTTTTAATTAATATTCTTTACAACAAAAATTAAAAATCCTTATGAATTTCTTGTGAAGATATGTTAAGTTTCCATTCCTATTTATTAAATCAAACTTGCATTCTCTGATTTTCGGTCGAGATTATACCTTATTATAAGAATTTAATTTTTCAAATTGATTTATTAAGATTGTAAATTAATTGGAATAATTATATTCGCGTAGGTTTATTCGCGTTAATTAAGTGTATATCTAAGTTGATTGAAAATAATTATTTAATAATCCAATGAATTTTGATGCATAGACCGTGTTAGTGACATAAATGGGTAAAAAAAGGATAATTGAGTCTATTCCATTCCAAGAAAGCCCAACTATGCTTTTAAATTACAAGAAAATTTTGGCCACTAGAATAATTGAACACTAAAGATCAAAATTCAAGGGTTTTGACGATTCAGATTAAAAATTTTGACTTATATTATTTATCCATCGAGTATTTTTATATAAAATTTGTGAACTCAAGTCTAATGAGACCTTAATATATTGGTTATTTAAAAAGAATATATTTAAACAACATTTGAGTTTATAACATAACATATTTATGAATTTTTTGCTTATAGGATCTGGATGGGTTTATGAATTTAACCACAAAACGTTATCAAGCGTAAACAGGGAAGTTTAAAAGAGATTTAAAAAATGTTTATTAAAGAAAAAATTTTCATTAGACATTCAAGAAATTCGTGCAATTTAATAGAGGAATGGTTTATCTGTTCATAGGAGAGATGGTTGAAAATTGCAATCATTAAATTATCTTCTTTGAATATTCCCCTCCTTTTTCCTTTTAAATTTTGAATTTAAGTTAATAAGAATAGAGTTTCAATCTGATCTCGAAATAATTCCTAAATAAAATTGGATTTTATTCTTAACATTTAGTGAAGTATATTTTCAATTCATTTCATAACTATGGAAAAAATGATTAGAAAAATATATATATTACAAATCAGTTCGCTCCTTATTTTGGAAGAGAATTTTGTGTTTATCTAGTAGATTAGTTTAATGATTAGAGTCGAAAAGAGATTTAATTTCTCTTAAATTTGACACTATCAATGATAACCTTCTTTGTTGCTTAGGTTCTATTTGTAACTGATAATAAACTCTCCTGTTGATTTTAAAAAGCACGACTTGTAGTATTTAATGATTTGAATTTAGGTTAATTATTCATTCCTTAAGAATCATCTAAATCAATTGAAATTTTAAAACTATTTTAATTGGCTTGATTTTCACTCTTATGTATGTCATCAATAGATGTATTGCAATCCCTTTTGAATTATCTAATAATGGGTTCAATGGATTCAGATTTATAATGAAATTTTTGAATCTGTTAAGCATTTTAAAATTAATTAAAAGATTGATGGAGCGAATAATAGTTTCTTTTGCCATCATAACTATTGTTTTAACTCTGATTCATGGTTTTAGGAATTTACTTCTTTTTTTATTCTCTAACTAGTTTATTGTTTTCAAAGTATCCATAAAGAATTGGTTTATTATTTCTTTTTAATTCACCCTCACCACACATTTATCCATTGTGAAATTGACCTTTATAAAATGAGCCATCCACCCATCTCATTTCTCCGAATCCATGTCTATGATCATTAAAGAATTCCCCCTCATACACATTTCCACTTGGCCATCTATATACACCATGTCCTGATTTCAAATCGTTAACATATTCTCCATCATAACTCTCATGATTCTGAGGATCTCCAAACTTTAACCAATAGCCTTTACCATGTCTGACTCCACTACAAAAAGTACCATGATAAGAAGAACCATCAGCCCATCTATATACTCCAAATCCATCAGGTTTATCATTAATAAAATCCCCATCATAAAAATCTCCATTGGCATAACTTTCTTTTCCTTTACCATATTTAAGATAATTCTTGAACTCACCTTCATACCACCCTCCATCTTAATAATCATATCTTCCGTATCCGTTTGCCTTATTGAACTTCCATTCTCCTGCATAAATTTCATTGTTTTTCCCTCTCCATTTCCCATAACCCTACTTAATTCCCTAAACCCACTAACCTGAATAAATCCCATTCGCAGTTTCCAAGGTACCTTCGCCATGAGGTTTTCCATCTTCAAACTAACCTTCATATTAATCCCCTTTGTCTAATACCTCCTTACCGAACCCATGCTTTCTATCATTTTTCCAAAACCCAATATAATATCTATCCTGATATGTCATTAGTCCTAAAAATATAATAAATAGTTAAACAATATACCATATCCGTGTCGAACATTGTTTTGAATGTCTCCATAATATTATCCCTATTTATACTATTTAAACTTTGCTGATTTTGACTTCTGATTAACCTAATCAATCAACTGATGTTCTTGTTCAAGATTATCGAAATCTGATATTGATTATTATTGCATAAATTAAATATAATTAACTATCAAATTCATTCTTCTATTTTAGGTTTAATGAAATAAGTCAATCCACACAATATCAGGAACACAACTACATTGAAAATGATGTATATTGCTGTTAACACTGCTAGTTACCCACAATGACTTGAAATTATGAATGAAATCTAATTAATATTCGTATTTTTACACAAAATACGATGAAGAAAACTAGTTTAATGGATCCCTCAACGATGTTTGCATAATCAAAAATTTGATCGTGTTTATAATAAATAGCATATGGATTTAGTACTCTAAATATAAATTAAATTATTATTTTTCATTTTACATCCAAGCAAATAAACTAAAAAAACAATAAATTGAAAACCAAAATGCACATGGTCTTAAATATTTGCATTAATCACCCCCTTTGAATAATAGATTCAAGTACCATACTTATTTTCATGAGTTGAAAAATAAAAGAATAGACTTCCGATCAAGGCATTCATGAATATTGAAAACAGAGTTAAAATAATTTTGTCTTGCTAATCATTTGATTTATCAATCTTAAAGTATTGTACATCATCTTCTCTTCTTTCCATTTATATTGGATATTCGTTTTAATTAATATTTTTATTAAATTACAATCCATTTACATTACAATACATATAATAAGATTAAAAGGATCATATGAATATTTTATTAATTTAAATTGCTAAATACAAAGAAAAAAGGCCTCATTTTATATGTTAATCAATATTACTACGTAAGCAAAGATTATCCTTAACATTTGATTGCAGTTAGTAACACAATATTTAAATACTTAATTAACATAACTAATTTATCCAATAAAATTGAATTTTATGTAACAGAAAGTTAGCTTAATCCCTTTAACTAAAAATACATATATTATTATGATTTTCATAAATTCAGGTAACTATAAGCATTTTTTGATTTGAGTTAACCGAGTATGAGATTAAGGAACCATTGAATATAATTATAAATATAACATAAAATATTTTGACAATTCTTTCAATCAGATAACCTATATATAATTTAATATAATTCATCAGAGGTTCTAATTTTGAATTTAATAAATCTTCAAATTGTAGTAACAAAATTTCTTGATAATAAATAATTAAAAAATAGAATTCCTTTAAATGGATAATTACTTAACATTTGTTTGTATCAGTGATACTCATAGTTAAAATTACCCACTACCTCCAGGAGATGTCTTAATACACTGCGGAGACTTTACTAAAAATGGTTAAAAAGAAGAAATTCTAGCTTTTATTTAATGGTTGATTGAATAGCCATTTAAATATAAAATTGTGATTGCAGGTAATCACGACGTATCATTGGATACAGAATCCTATTAATCAAAATTAAAGTAATATCATCATAAAGACTCAAATTTTGATGATTAAGAACTATTATAGAAATTAAAAGATAATTGCATATATCTATTCAATTCGTCCATTGTAATTGATGGCATTAAGATTTGGGGCAGCCCTTACTCATTAGAGTTTCATACTTGGGCTTTTTAATTGAAGAGTGAAAATGCTGAAGTGTTTTGGTCTTAAATCGAAGAAGATAGTGATATTATTGTTACCCATGGTCCTCCGTTGAATCATGGCGATGAGGTTAATATTTAAGGAAAATTAAAGAATGTAGGAGATGAAGCTTTGTTAAAAAGAGTATTATAAATTAAACCTAAATACCATCTTTTTGGTCATATTCATGAAGCATCTGGATAAACAGAGCAAGATGGAGTTAGGTTTATCAACTGTTGTATACTAAGTAAAAGTTACAAACTTTGCAATAAACCTTTTATATTCAAATTGCCTAAAAAATAAGTTATTTCATGATATCATTTATATTGCATTATTGAAAATTTATTAATTAATAGTTAATTTATCTAAACTGCTACTTTTCATAAAAAAAGTAAATTATCATAGGGATTCATTATCTATAGAATCTATATTCAATTAAAATGATTACCTACTATTGATCAATAAACAGGGACTTCATTATTTGATGTGCGAAAGTGTGGATTATGAATGAGTCTTGAAATATGTATTATAAATTTAAAAAATTAAATGAATTCTGCTTTTTTGAAATAGATAGAGGAAGAGAATAAGATTCTGGAACAAGAATTATAATAATTGTTAAGGCAAGAGGCCGTAAGATTTTCATTTAGTTAAAAACGATCAAAAGAGGACAATGAGAATGATAATGAAAATGTAAATCCGAATTTTAGAAATGAAAAAGGAATACTGAGTAAAATCGATGAGGAAACAGAGGAGGAATAACCAAATAGAATTGAACCTCGTCGATTGTTGGAATCTCCATACAAACCAGGTCCTTATAAATTTGAAAATCATTAAGAATCAATAATTGATAATTTGTAGGACTCCATTAATAATTACATGGAAAAAAGAAGTAGCAGTATAGCTGACATTTAGAGCCATAGGAATTCACAAAAAAATATTGAAAATACAGCAAAATAAATAAAATCATTAGAAATGCGATTGTCGGGTACTAGAGAAGCCTTAAAATCTATGGAAAAGGAAATCAAAGAAAAAAATATCATAATATAGAATCTTTAAATTGATTTGGCAAAGAAGTAAAAGCAAATTGAATTATTATCAAAACAATAGAATTGCACATCTACCCCAGTAAAAAGTGAATTTAACAACGAAAGCTTTTAAGAAATAAAAAAATAATGTAAAGAATGGGAGAGGAAATACTAAGAATGTGAAGCTTGTTTAAAAGAAAATAAAAAGTATACTCAAAGACTTTAAGAATTAAATTAACAACTATTATATAAATTAAAATAATATGAACAAGAGAAAGAATTGTAAACAAATGAATTAGATTAACAAAAGAATATAAATAGTTAAATATACTCGACAAACACAAATATACTGAACAAGTATGAATAGATTATAGTAATTTAGATATGAACAAATCATCAAATCTTAATAAGAATAATTACAATCAGAGGATGATAAATATAGACTATTAGAGAGAAAGTACGAAGAGCTGAAACTCAATAGTGAATAATTTTTATTAAATTCTCGAGATCTTAAATCTTAATATGAACATATGCTAAACACTTTATAGTCAATTGCAAATAGTTATTGATTTAATAATATATTACATTAATGTAAATAATGTATCTAAAAGAAACAGAAATATATAATCATTGTTTTTTGAATTCTTCAATTTCTTATTAAATTCTTTTAAGCTCAACTCTTTGGTCCTACTTAATTTTACTTCCCAAGGGAGCAATAGCAAACAACAATTACATAATCATATAGATATAGAGCATCAAATAGACAAAATAGTTCATGATCTAATGAAGAGTATTAAATCCAATTACTCCTCTGAAATCATTGACTACAACAACTTCAATGAAGAGTTTCATCAGGTATGGTAGAAAGCCACCAAAACTAAAAGTTTCAAATACAAAGACAGCTTTCCATCCACCCAAAGATATAATATAGGTATTAGGTATCCAATAAGATTTAATTTGTTTATTTGGATGCTTCAGATTGTAGGCTATAATTTCTCCTTGCATTTCAGCAGAAAAGGCTGTTTTAGTTTCGTTTTGACTAGTTATACATATGTCGCCAGCACAATATATGTTTTAATTAGTTCTACTTCTTAAGAAATCATCTACTAAAATTTGTTTTTTTGGATCAAACATTTCAAAATTGTCATTAAGACGAACACTGTCATAAGTATTACCTTTGCAATTATAAACTAAATCAAAATTCGAATCTAAGGAAGGTCCTTTATAATTCTCTTAAATTTCAACTCCTAAATCCAGCATTCTTTTTTTAGCATAATCAGAAGCAGATTTAGGCATGGTTGACAATATTTTGCCTCTTGTAATTAGAGCCACTGTCTTCTATTTGTAAGAAGCTTTGATTTCACACGCCAATTCTACTCCGACAGTACCACCACCAATTATAAGAATAGTCTAGGATTCGATGATCTTCTATTGAGTTTTTTTAAGTTCAATAAATCTATCTGATAGTTTAGGTATCGCAGACTTAATAGGATATGTGTAGTTGGAACCAATAGTGATAGCACAATAATCAAATTCTATTTTGCCTCCTTCATAATATGCTATATTCTCTTCAATGTGAGTCTAGAGATATCATTGATACAATACTAATTTGCCTTGTATGAAGATGACTCCGAATTTACTCTATTTGAATTGGAGGGTTAGATCGAAAATGGATTCAGGATGAATGAAAGCATTGAAGACTGAGGGGATGAACTTGAGATGACATAGGATTGTTACTTCGAAATAGGACTTTTGATCCAACAAGACTATGTTGAATTGTTTATAGGTCTAAGTAATTATGGTCATGCCTGCAAAACCACCACCTACGACGAGAAGGGTTTTTTTGGAATTTCTCATAAAATATTGTATAATTTAATTATCAAAAATAATTTTAAAACTATAGCAAATCTATATTAATGAAAATGGAAAGGTGTATTTATTTGTTAATTGATTATTTAAATTTGATTAAAAATTAATGAATAATCATTATGAACCATATGTCAGAAATAAGAGAGATTTAAAAGTGCCATACATATCATGCCAAGATTATACTAATTTAGAATAAGCATCTAAATTAATCCCTGCTTTGAAACAAATTAATCAAGCGAATAGAAATTTAGCAGATACCGAGGCATATGCTTACATACTTCGTAGTAATAATGATGACGATATCCATAAAGTAAGGGATTCATAAATTATTTATTTTTAGTCAATAAAATATGGGATCTGGACATCAAGCAAAGAAAATAATGAGAAACTCAATGCCAAATTCTTGGAAGCTCAGGAATAAGGCAAAACAGTTTACTTGTTTTTCAGCGTTGTTAGAAGTGGATAATTTGTGGGAGTTGCCAAATTGACTTCAGGCTATAAGGAAGAAAGTTTTCAGTATTGGTGGGAAATTAAGAAATGGAAGGGCCATTTCAACGTCTAATGGTTGTATGTGAAGGATGTGCCTAACAAGCATTTTGAGCATCTGAAAAATAGGTAATTAATTAGAATTCATTAATAGTGATAATGTAGAAGTAACTCGATCAAGAGATGGAGTGTTTTTGAACTGGGAAACGGGAAAAGAAATGATGAAAATCTTTGAGGAGTTTGCAGACAAAAAGAGTATCCTCAATGATTTCACAGTCATTGATGAAAGAGAATAAGCTTTGAGACAATACAAATATTAGATGCAATAACAAAGAAATCAACAATAATACTATCCTTATTATCAATATCAATATTATGATTATCAACAATATCAGCAGTACCCTTAATATCAACAGTATCAAAACTATCAATGGTAATAACCACAGAAATGATTTTATATATCATGTATTGTAGGGTTTCCATCAGATAAAAATATAATAAGAATAATTAATTAATAAATTAAAATGAAAATGGAGAGTTCCTTTTATCTAAATGGTAAACCTCTTGTCTAGCCTCCATTAACCATCGACCAACAATTAAACGAACGTCTCTCAAGAACAGGATACAAGATCGAAGATATAAACAGACTCAACGAACGTCCTACATTATAAATTGTAGTTATATAACTAATCCTTAAAGATTGAGTTAGATGGACTAACATCTGGATACTTGAATAATAATCAAATATTTTAGATGCTAAAATAGTAAATAATGACTTGGAATGAAAGAGTGACACTACATCGAGCATAATAAATAGAATTAAAAGACCCTTTTGTGTATGATAACCTTTATAGACAATTAAAGAATTCCTTACTTGAAGTTGTTAGCACCAGAAATAAGTAGCAGTAACTAGAATTTTTAAATAAAGTCTCCAATTGGTTCTTTCGTTAATTACCAAAATCATAAAAATAATAATTAACATAATCTTTAATAGAAAAGAAGGACTATGTAACACATATTTTCTAATTTTATAGACTTTCTAAGACATTCCCATCTCTTATAATGAAAGCATGTATGCTTCTGGAATAGAAGATTACAAATCGAAATATAGGTCAATGCATCCAGATATAGATCCACCTGAAGACAGAGTGAAAAGCTATCACAGGAAAAATCTCTTGTCTGACACAAGTACAAGACCTGGCACTACTCCAGGAATAATGGGCTTTTCACAACATACAAGACCTTATACTTCATAATCTACTTATAAAATGGTAGATTAAGTTGATAAATTATCAAGACCAAGAACAAACTAATAATATTCAGTCATTAAATAATAGTCTTCTTGGATGTATGATGCCAATTTACCAGTTTTCGAAACTTTTGAAGAATAACAAAAAAGTACTAAACGATTAATCCAAAGGGAGGAATCTCCTCTCAAAGCAGATAAACCTACTGATAGGGACAAAATAGAAGGCATTGAATAAGAATTAGAAGAAGATGAAGAACAATCTCCTGATAAAGTCTATGGTTCATAAAAAGATATCTAGTCATAAAAGGATCTTTCTCCAACTAAAAAAAGAAAGAAGAAGGAAAGAGGGGACAAGTACATTAGTATTGCACCTGAAAATAAGACTTTTAAGGCTGACAAAGACACTGAGTTAGCCTATTAGATTGGATAATCTGCGAGGCTTGGAGAGCTATAAGGAACATTCCACAATTACGATCCAACTAATTTAGAAGATAAAATGGCTGCAGCTCGACTCAATCAATACTATTAGGAATAAAGAATTAAAGAAATAAAGGAGCAGAGGGAGGATATTGAAATGGTTTAATCTATGAAAGACTGGGCAACAAACAAAAGCAGAATTGATGAAATAATACTTTAATCTGAAAATGTATAAACATGTGTGATAATCATAGCTATAATCTATGGGATCTCAGTTCTCGAATGTAGGTGTCAAGGTTTCGGATATCTATGAGTCTAAAAAGATGGATCTTGCTGAAGAGAAAGCCTATGCAAATTATCTTAATAAAACCTCTTTTCCTAAAGGCAGAATGGTGCAAAGTGCCATTCCAGTTACTAAAATTATCGAAAATACTGTTCTACCTACTTAAGTGGATGATGAGGCTGAGGATTTCTAATCTAAAAATGCTTACTTGGAACAAAGAATAAATTCGTAAAGACTTGAATTCTTGAAAAAAGCAAGAGGCAGCTGGTTGCCTGGAGGTGTATCCAATCACCCTAGGGCTGATAACATATAAAACAATCGTTCTTTATCTTCCAGCTGTTTCAGAAGTGCTAGACCTTCGAAATAATTTAGTACTGTATTCAAAAGTAATAGTATCAAATCAGATATTGATAAATAAGTATTGTAAAGTAATATCAACTTAGATTAGCGAAATTAATGTATTGAAGAATAGATTGGCCTCAGAAAAAAGGTTTGTGCCCATCACAATCCTACAAAAATCAATTGTGATACCTCAAGGACACTTGAATCCTCAAAAAGTGCCACTTCCTAAACCTGGGATTTTGTTAGCCAATATACCTGATACTGGGAAGAAAATAAGAGGCAAAAAAAAGAAATCTAAGAAATGATTATAATTATACAATGAATATATATGAAATGGATTTAAATTCAGAAGAAAACAAGAAAAAGCTGAATACGGCTTTCCAGCAGATGAAAACTAAAATTTAAATAGAGGAAAGGAGGGCTTCAGAAGAGGAATAGAAGAGAATTGAATTTGAAGAGAAATGTCATACATTAAATAACTAAAAAACATTACTTGATCAGAAATTAGCTAAAACCGAATAGGCTTTTAAAAGGAAATGTGAAGAATTACTTGAAAAAGAAGAAAAATACAATGAATTACAGAAAAAGTTAGACTTTTTTAATGTAAATCTATAGTAAAAACCCTTTAGATGAATGAACCAAAAAAAGGATTTTTTAATTTTGGAAGTGATGAAGTTAAAGAATATAGAAAAAAGCTTTTTGCTTTTTAACAAGAAATAGAAATTAAGTCAAACGAATTATAAAGACTTCATGAACTCTTATTTGAGACAAGAGAAAATACTAAGAATATTGAAAAGAATTATTAAGAATAGATTGGGAATTTAGAATGCAAAATATAAATATAGATTGAAAAAACAGAAGAAGAGAAGAAAATTAGACAAGAATTAGAAAAATAAGTATAGCAACAAAATTAAAGTATAATAAACAAAGAGTCAGAGCTAAAAGTATGTAAATAATAATTGAACGAATAAGATGATGAGATTAGATAACTTAAAGAATAAATATAATAACAATAGTAACTTTATAACGAATTATAAATTACGTTAATTCACAAAAAAGAAGAATTAAAAAAAAATTATTAAGAAACAGATTAATTAAAAGTTACCTTGGCATCCATAAAAGAGAATCTATTCAACATCATCCCGTAATTAGAAAATGAATCTCAGAATTCACAAATAGTGTTGGGACTCAAACAATTTGTCGATAAGACTTTTGGAGTCGATAAACAACGCGATTAAAAAAGTAATTTACTGTATAATAAGTCTAGTTAACTAAATAAAACAGGAATAAGAACTCTAGAAAGAACTGTTAGTTTAAAAGGATGGCTATCAAGTATTTTAAAAAGCGAAGGATCGAATTATAAAAATGGGGAAGAATATGGAATAATTGGAAAAGAAGAATAAAATGTTATAAGATAGAATTTATATCTTAGAGAATAAAAGAGCATAAGGAAAAGGTTCAGAATATTTAAGTGATAAAATAAGCGTAATGTGATTAATTTTTAATGGATATTATTTAATATACTCTCATATTATTATGGCATACTTAGAACAATTTAGAATAAAATCTTAACTGAGTTTAAAACTCTAATAAATAAAAACATTTTTCCATTTAGTAGTTAATGTCTCACACTGATAGTACAAAAACATCAGGCTAATAAAAAGTTAAGAAATCTTTAATCAGTCCTTTGAAAGAAGCGTTTAATCAACTTACGAAATCATATAGATTCTACATATCTAATGAAGAATAAATTATTGATGTAGTCATAGATCTACCATCTCATACTGACCTAGTAATTGCAATCAGCCGTGTCTTACAAGTAGCCGGCAAGGATTACCCAATAGATTAAAATCCTAGAAACTATGAAGCTTATATAGCTAAAAAGAATGGAAGACCTAAAACTGATTTACCATCATATTAAATTGACCTCAGATTGGAGGAGACTCAAAATTCTGTATTCTCTCTTGTTCATATGACATTTCAGGAAAGGAAACCAAAAAGAAAATCTACTTATGATTATACTAACCACTACAGCCCAATCAAGCCAGAATAAAACAAAAATATCGATGAAATCAAAGGATAAAAGAATTGGTTTCTTAGATTTTTGGGTTGTGGTTGATGATGTTAATTTATTACCTTTAAAAACTTATTTATAAATATAAATTATGAATAGATTATCTCTAATAACTCACCTATCTGATAAGGAATAAATGTTGAATTAATATGAATTATTGATATAAGAGTATCGTAACTAACCTGATTCCATAAATGTTATTGCGATTTGTCTCAACAATATTGCAGCATTATTAAATAAGTATCAACACATTTATTTAGAAATGAGCTTTTATCCAAATCAATTTTACGATTTGTAAAATAGCAATTACTCAAAACCCTTCCAAATGCGCTTTAATTTATGATCTTTATGAATTCAGCAAAAATTTACAACCAACTGGGATTACATAGCAAAGCCTTTTTGAAAGCAGAGATGGCTTTGTAATTCTATGAGAAGTTTGCCTTTTCTTAACTAAACCAATCCGAGGCAGTATTATTGATTAATGGTTACATTACTTTGGCAAAATCCTACGAAATGGCTACATTCGAAGATTTGGCTAAAATTCGCAGAAAAAGCAAACTACTTTAAAATGGGTATTAAAATATAGTAATTTAGATTTAAGAGTACCTAAATATTCTATGAAAATTCTAAAAAACTCCTAGTAAAATATGTTGGAATAACTCATCCTTTATACAAGCAAATTGCAGGTCTGTCTTCATAAAAGTCAGCATTGCAATAAAGAAGCTTTATCTTTCAGAATGAATAGAATTAAAATTAATTTGCCTCTAGAAAATAAACTACTATCAGAATTATGAGATTATTGGATTCGCTTAAAAGTGATTTACCAAGAATTGTTGAATTCTAGGAAATATACTCTTAAACTCCATAGAAAGCATTTTCCAGATTGAAAACTACAAATGAAGATTCTATAAATAAAGGGAAGTTCTATAGAATCAAACGAATTAGTAAAATAGAGGATGATTAAGAAACAACTATTGAAACAAAAAAGAAAAGAAAATCATTTAAAATGACCTCTATTTCAAATTTGGAAAAAATTATAACAAATAAAGTTGAATAGCAAGTGCAATTACATTTTCAGAAAAAGTAATAAGAAGATCAAATGTCTAATAGTAAAATTGATTTGGATTAGAAGTATTTACATTTACAAAGTGAAATTAATAAAATTGAAAAAGAAAAGTAGAGTTTTGAAAAGTAAGGCTATGAATGGAAATAGTAGATCAAATTATTGTAAGAAGAAATAAATTAATTAAGAATTAAAATTATTGATAACGAATAAATACATATGAAGGAAGCAAAAGAATAGCATTTTAGACATTTAGAATAAATTAAACATTTAAATGAGTAAAATTAATAGCTCAAATTATAAATGAATAAGACATTTCATCATGACAAAAATTATACTACCTATAATAATAGCATAGATGATCATTAATGCTTTTATTTTACTGATAATTTTACTGGCTAGATGATCTATATTCCCTTATTATAGAATGTTTCTTTTATCTTTAAATACGAAAATATCTAAATTGAAGTTTAATAGTTGTAATAAACATTGAAATTATCAGCAAAAATAAATGATAAAATATTGAATGAATTCATCGAAATTTCTTAATTGCAGGACTTTCTGTAATACACTCAGTATATACACACATTACCTTATCCTATTAAATATTTAAATAATTTTAAGACATTCATACAATATTTGATAGTGCCATTCGTTTAAATTGTGTCTGAGTAAAACGAAACCAAAATTGCAATATGGCCATAGCCTTAAGGTTTATTGTTGGAATAATAAATCCTTTTTCTTAATGATAGTTGTTAATGGTGGATTCATAACATTGGATTAATGTGGTTTAGAGTCACTATTTATTCTCAAGCTGATTTTATCATATAATTAGATATAAGATACGATGAGATTACTTTTTAATCATACTTTAAATAAGAAAATCTAGATGAATATGAGATGTAAGAAAAGGAGGAAATATTATAATATTTATCGAAGATCAATTCACAATAAATATAAATATTAGAATCCTCTAAGAACTCAATTCATAATACTTATTATTTGCCAAGTGTTTAAATTTTAGATAAGTAAAAATTAATATAACTAATCAATCAATAGATCAAAAATATTGAATAATTTCTTAATTTATAGAATATAAATTCGACTCAATAAATTAAAGTTAACAAAACTGTTTAAATTTAATAGATTTCTATTTAATTTAATGAAAACAAATCATAGATTTAAGCAGTCTTACTAGAAGAAGGAAAATGCATGGTGAGACTACGAAATTGTTATTTAAGTTATGCTCCCTAGAATAAACAAATCAATGCTGATGGATCTTTTGAAATTACAAATGAATTTTTAAAATAGAGATATGGAATCAGTTTCGATAATCTACTAAGAAATGAAGATAAAATCTATTTCTATGAAAAACTCTTAGAATCATTCACATTATAAACATTTCTAAAGCCTTTTGATGAGGATGATGATGAATTGTTCAAATCAAATGGCATTCTATTGAGAGAACTGAATTTTGGTGGAACAAACAAAATATTTTATGATTCAAATAATTATAAAATTCCAATAAATTTTTCGTTGATTGGTGCCAATGACATCCCGTAATTTGTTAAAATAGACCTCTATAATGAGGAATCAATCGAATAACACTGTATATTGCTTAATATAACTGAGGAGTATTGGATAAGACCAGTGATAACACAGCTGAAGGTATGTATAATAGTTTTATAGGTTGATAGCAGGACAAAAAGAAGAAGTAGCAAAAGTACAACAAAGAGTTCAAGGTTGCTGGTCAATACTATTTATCTTAAATTCTATAGTAATGTGGATGGTTTATTTTGGAACATCACATTTACATGAATGAAGATAAATAACTATATATTTAGAGACTTGATAATCAGATAGGGAAATTGGAATAATATATTAATATGAAATCAGTTTCTGAATTAACTAAATGATTGTTAAATAAATTTATATGTAAAAAATTCTTAAATATCCATTTACAAATTTGAATAAATCATAGCCCTTTTTTACCAAAACCAAAATAGGGCTAGGTCTGGGGGTGGGTTTCTCATATATTTTATATAGGCAAGGCAGAGAACGGTATTAATAAATGCATTTTTCATCGATGTACAATCAAATTCCTGATACTGAAGTAATTCACATATTTAATCAAGGCTTTAACATAAGAATACTTTGGAGAGAAGAATTAAAAATAACTGTCTTTGTTTCAAAGAATGATCTAGAGTTTAAGGAGGAAGATCAGATTTATGCATTTGCTATTAAAATTTTTACCTTTGGCCATTACTTTGCCATTCTCATTATTATTCAAGGCCTACTTGTTTCCATATTGGCTTAAGTACTTGGTTTACACTCTATAATCAGCAGGCCCCCTATGGATAAAATTAGGACAATGGGCCAGTCACAGAGGGGATATTTTTGGCGAGGAAATTATTAAGGCTTTAGAATCATTGAGAGATGATACTCCTCCACATTCTTTGGAGAAGACTAACTAATAATTTGAATAAGCATTTAAAAAGAAAATCAAAGATGTTTTTGATGAGTTTGAGGAAAAACCAATTGCCTCTGCCTCAATAGCCCAAGTTCACAGAGCTAAATTAAATGGAGAATATGTTGCGATTAAAGTAAGGCATCCAGACATCATAGATAATTTAGTGATGGATATAAGAATTTTATATAAGATTGCTAATTTTTTTAGTGAAACTTTGAAAATTAAATAGTTGGGGATGCCTGTGACATTTGAAGAATTTTAGAAAACCCTTGTAAATCAAACTGATTTAAGATTTGAAGGTAGAAACCTTAAGGTATTTTGTGAAAAGTTCAAAAATAATCCCCATGTCGTATTTCCAAAGCCAATTGAAGAATATATTTCAGCTGATATCCTCACTGAAACTTATGAAGATGCTATACCTTTAACCTAATTTTTGAAGCAGGAAAGAACAGAAGAGCATCTTGCATTGGCTAATTTAGGTTTGAAAGCATTTTATAAAATGTTGATCTATGATAACTTTATTCACGCAGATTGCCATGCAGGCAATATCATGATAAGAATTAAAGACCTCCCTGTTCCTAAAACCTTTAATGAAAAGATTTAATAAAGATTATGGTTTCTCCAAGATTCAGTCTATGAAATTGTTGACGACATAATAGAGAAGGGACTAACAAAAATAGCAGAATATCAGACTTCTTCATAGACGATGGATCAAGGAAATGTATTGATTATAAGATTATTTATAGATGTTAAAATTGAAATAAGAAAAAAAGTCTGATGAAAGGTTATTTCATTCGTTTTTGAGATGTTAAGGACCAACAAGAAAGGATGTTTAGATTATCTTTCTAGATCCAGGAATGATAACCATTTTAAATAAGAGTGATCGTGCATCATTTATTAAATTAGTAATGTTTGTAACTTTGAGAAAACCTTATGAGTGTGGAAAGCTAATGTTGCAATTAGCTTAATATAACTAAAGACAAATCGAACAAAAAGTATAAGATAAATTTATGAAAGAAATGTAAGATTTATTCACAAATGTTTGTAAAGTGCCTTTAGCTTAAATGAATATAGGATAGGTATTGAGATCTATGTTAGAAATTTTAAGGGCAAACGGAATGTCCATTGAAGGTCATTTTGCTGCTCTGCTGACAAACATGATTGTATTAGAGGGTTTAGCAAAATCTCTCGATCCAGACTTAAACATAGTAGCAAAGGCAGCATCCTTCATAATCCACATTAGAACAATAGACAAAACGATTGATGAAATCATCCAGCAAGCATTGTGAAATAATTTTTGTAAGGGTTTATAAATACACAATCTTTTTTTATTATTTTCTATTAATATATTCAAGAACTGAACCATTAATTTATCATAGTCAATTATAGATTTATAATATCTCGTTAGAAATCTATCATAATGTCAATTCAGAAATTATTAAACAATCATCAGAAACTCAACTATGTATATTCTCAAATAATTGTAAATTCAATTTTATGAATAGAAATTTAAGAAGCAATCGCGCCAAAAAAGAATAGATTTTAAAAAAAGACTAAGTTATATTGTGTAAAGTTGAAACAGAATTCACGTTATACAAACTACTTTAGGATTGGAATGAGAATGAAGAAGAATTTCACGTAACCGAATTGGTGCCATTTGAAAAGAAAAAGAAAAATAAATAATAATATAAATGTAATGGATACACAACAATTCCATCGCAGACTAAATGGTAAATATTACATATATTTTAGGGTTGATATTGAGGGAATATCAGTCATTCATTCAGATGAAACTATTTATGTAGTAGACATGGAAATATATAAATAAAGTCAGAGAAGTTTAATTAAGGATTTGAAATAGAAGGTCAAGTAATCATAGAAAAAATATGATGATGATGAGGATGAGGATAATGATAGACCAATTAAAAAAAAACCCAGAAAATCAGCCTAATAAAAAACTCAAGTAGAAACACAATTTAGCTAATATGAAGAAGAATCAAGTGAACAAAGCTCATCTGCTGAAGCTGAGCCTGTCCCAAAAAAATAAAGATAATCAAGAAAAACTGAAGAAAAAGAGAAGAAAAAGGGAAAAAAGAGAAAAAGAAAATTGAATGAAAATCTTAAAAATCTGAAGAGTTTTAGTACACAATTTGAAGGAACTGAAGATAATTTTATTGATTACGATAGCACAAGAATGAATAATAAAGAAATCATAAGAGCAGCAATTACAGGGAATAAGGCTCTGTTGGAAGAAATTTTATTTGGAGACCACAGAATTTCTAATTTGTATGATAGATGGGGACCAGAATATGATATTTCAATATTGGATATCCTATTTAGAAGATAAGATAAACAACTATTGACGCATTTTCTATAAAATTAATTGAAAAGAGGAATTAAATATTATTCAGATTTACCTTGCTAACTAAAAGAAATAGACACTGGCTATAATAATAGACAAGCTTATGGTGTAAAATTAAGAAAGGTTGCTCTTGGTAGAGGAAATAGAGAAGGAAACAATGCATTTGTTTATGATCTAAATTATCAATATGATTCTAATTAAGAAAGTAGACGGTTATTACAGATTGAAACAAATTGTGAAATGTATGAATAATTATTCATTTATCTAAAATCATCAAAATATGATCACTATTTAATTGAGAATGTTGCTTTTGCAGTTAGATGTGGTAATATTAAGTCTGCTAAATTCTTGATCAAATACGCATTAACAAACAATCTCGATGGTTATGGATTTAATTATTTGCATCATGATGCTTTAGACGATAACTTCAGCACCTATAAATTAGATTAAATAAAAAAGATATCCATTACAAAGAAAACGTAGAATGAATTTCTAATCACTCCAATTCATTGTGCATGTATAAATCCATCCGAATAGTTCCTAAAGTATTTTATGGAGTAGACGATGGAATACAATATCTAAGATGAAAATGGTAGTAAACCTGTTCATTATGCTGCTGTCTCCTAAACCTCAAATTGCTTAGAATATTTGTTGGCAAATGGTGTGGATTCAAGAGAAGGTAATAAATTTTTGGAAACTCCTTTAATGCTAGCAGCCAAATTTGGTCGTTCCCATAACGTTAAATTATTAGTAAATACTAATTTGAAGGCAAAAAATAAGGAGGGTAATTCTGCAATTCATTTTGCTAGTTAAAATGGTCATGTTGAATGTGTAAAATTATTAATTGAAAATGGATTGTTGATTAATTTTGCAGGAAAAAACAGAATGACAGCTTTGCATTACGCGGCAGCATATAATCATTTAGAATTAGTTGAATATTTGTTAGATGAAGGGGCAAGAATCAATGCTAAGGATAAATTTGGAAGAACACCATTAATTATGGCTGCTAGAAATGGAAATTTGGCCATTTTGTCTAAATTGCTTTATTATGGGGCAGACTTTAAAATTAGTGATTCATCAAAAAATAGTGCCATTCATCATGCTGCTGCATATGGTTTTTTAGATTGTATTTAAACTTTGATTGAGGCTGGAGCTGATTAGAATGAATTCAACTCTTGGAAATTGAAACCTTTGAATGTAGCTTAAGCTAAAAATCATATAGGTATTGTTAAAGCATTGTTGAAATATGAAAGCACAGATGTAAATTGTATTGATGATGATGGCTTAACTTTAGTCGCAGGACTAATCAAGTAATTTAATTAAACAGTTGAATAATTTGAATTCATTAAGTACGTAATCTAAGAAAAAAAAGCTGATATCAATATACAAGATAAATTCGGTAAAACATGTCTATAACATGCCTTATCACTCACATTCTCAGACTAATTAATTGACCTCATCCAACTATTGATAGATCATGGAGCAGATATTAATAGTTAAGATAAGGATGGCAGATCTAGCTTGTTACATGCCATTAATGGTTAATAATCAGAAATATAAAATAAATTAATCAAATTACTGATTGCAAATGGAGCTAATATTAACTCTTAGGAAAAAGAAAATGGATTAACCCCATTTTCATTATTGTTGTCTAAAAAGAATTACAAACTCTGCCTTGAACTAATTGAAGAGAACTAGATTGAGTTAGATATAGTAAATAGAGAAAATAAAACATTATTACACATTATGATAGAAAATCAGTACTTTTATGAAGACCTTGGAATTTAACTATTCTAAATAATTTTAGATAAGATAAATCCATCTCTACTTCACTAATCTGATATTCAAGGATTTGNTCATTGTGCATGTATAAATCCATCCGAATAGTTCCTAAAGTATTTTATGGAGTAGACGATGGAATACAATATCTAAGATGAAAATGGTAGTAAACCTGTTCATTATGCTGCTGTCTCCTAAACCTCAAATTGCTTAGAATATTTGTTGGCAAATGGTGTGGATTCAAGAGAAGGTAATAAATTTTTGGAAACTCCTTTAATGCTAGCAGCCAAATTTGGTCGTTCCCATAACGTTAAATTATTAGTAAATACTAATTTGAAGGCAAAAAATAAGGAGGGTAATTCTGCAATTCATTTTGCTAGTTAAAATGGTCATGTTGAATGTGTAAAATTATTAATTGAAAATGGATTGTTGATTAATTTTGCAGGAAAAAACAGAATGACAGCTTTGCATTACGCGGCAGCATATAATCATTTAGAATTAGTTGAATATTTGTTAGATGAAGGGGCAAGAATCAATGCTAAGGATAAATTTGGAAGAACACCATTAATTATGGCTGCTAGAAATGGAAATTTGGCCATTTTGTCTAAATTGCTTTATTATGGGGCAGACTTTAAAATTAGTGATTCATCAAAAAATAGTGCCATTCATCATGCTGCTGCATATGGTTTTTTAGATTGTATTTAAACTTTGATTGAGGCTGGAGCTGATTAGAATGAATTCAACTCTTGGAAATTGAAACCTTTGAATGTAGCTTAAGCTAAAAATCATATAGGTATTGTTAAAGCATTGTTGAAATATGAAAGCACAGATGTAAATTGTATTGATGATGATGGCTTAACTTTAGTCGCAGGACTAATCAAGTAATTTAATTAAACAGTTGAATAATTTGAATTCATTAAGTACGTAATCTAAGAAAAAAAAGCTGATATCAATATACAAGATAAATTCGGTAAAACATGTCTATAACATGCCTTATCACTCACATTCTCAGACTAATTAATTGACCTCATCCAACTATTGATAGATCATGGAGCAGATATTAATAGTTAAGATAAGGATGGCAGATCTAGCTTGTTACATGCCATTAATGGTTAATAATCAGAAATATAAAATAAATTAATCAAATTACTGATTGCAAATGGAGCTAATATTAACTCTTAGGAAAAAGAAAATGGATTAACCCCATTTTCATTATTGTTGTCTAAAAAGAATTACAAACTCTGCCTTGAACTAATTGAAGAGAACTAGATTGAGTTAGATATAGTAAATAGAGAAAATAAAACATTATTACACATTATGATAGAAAATCAGTACTTTTATGAAGACCTTGGAATTTAACTATTCTAAATAATTTTAGATAAGATAAATCCATCTCTACTTCACTAATCTGATATTCAAGGATTTGTACCTCATTTAAAGATCATTTAGATTTTTGTTACTTCAATTGCATCAAAAATTTAATAAGAGTTCTTATCCAATATTAATCAAGCCAAGAAGGAAATATGGCAAGACATTGTAAATGAGTATGAATAGAAGTTTTAAGAAGAATAATTATAAGAAGTTCAGCAACCACTTAAAAAATTTGAATAGAGATTATCTGAATAAATTACCTAAGAATCTATATTGATGCCTAATAACTAAGAGTAAGAATTACAAAATTTATTTAAGAATTAAATTAATGCATCAGGAGGTTTTTTTCAGAACTAATAAACTCTGAGTTAAATTCCATAAGTTTAATAATAAACATTAAATATTCCAACGAATAATATGGCTCAATAAAATAATTTATTTGCTCCACCTTAAAATCAACCAACTTTTGGATTTGGTTAATAGTAATAACGATAAAATATATTTGCATAACGCTCATAAAATTAATTTCAAACAAATTTTGGTTTTGGTAATTCTAATAATCTATTTCCTTCTAATAATAGGGGTTCCGTTTTTTAAAATCAGAGTAACAATTTCGGAATTTCGAATAACAATTTTGGATTTTCGAATAACAATTTTGGAACTTGGAACTAAAATTACAATAACAATCAAGGCTATTCAAACTAGATTTAAACACCTAAGGAGAAATTTTAGGATGATATACGTAAGAGACTATAAAATGCGGATTGCAAGCTTCATTCAGAATGGTTTTATCATGATAAACTTTAGGTTTCTGTAGGAATATCAACTAAGAAATTGAATCAAATAGAAATGAAAAGAATTGAGGATGGTTATTACTACTAAAATTTTATTTTTAAATAATTAAAGCTTCTCATTTAAAAAGGAGCCAATATAAATTAGAATGTAATGATGCAGTAAATTTATAATTAAGATTCAGCTTAAAGTAAGACCAATATATTCCATTTGGTTTTCGAGTCATTTCCAAGTATCTCCTTTGTCAAAGAATTGTTATAAATATTTCCAAATGAGATGGTTACACAAAGGGATCAATTTGGTACTCCTTTGCATTATTTCTTTAAAAGCTTTAACCCTGGACTGGTAATGTTGCATAGACATGATGAAACATCATATTCCTTTTTAGATTATATGATAAAGTTGGGCTTAGACTTTAATGAAAAGAATTCTCAAGGAAATACTCCAACCTTGATGATAGCACTAAAATATAATCAAACATGGCATCAACTTTTAGTCAAACTAGTAAGTTTAGGTGGTTAAATAAATGATGTTAATAATTCGAATTAAGTGCCTCTACATTAATTTGTAGAGAAAACAGAATTACAGACTGTAAAGATTTTCTTGTCAGAATTCAAAGTAAATCCAAACTATTAAGATCAAAAAGGAAGGACGGCACTACATTTTGCTATAAATTTCAGTAATCCTAATGCGAATGCAAGTTTTTAGATGGAATAATAGTTGATAAAATTTGGAGCTAAATGTGATATAAAAGATATCTATGGTAGAACTCCATTATTTTATTCCTTCACTAAATTTAATGATCCTACTTCAACAAAGGAGATAGATCCATTTGAATCGGTCTCCTCTTTATTAGCGTATAAAGAATGCGATGTTAATGTATTGGATAGATATTAAAGATCCCCATTGCATTATGCAGCCTTAAGAGGAAGTGCAATTTCAGGTAGATACATGATAAAGATGGGAGCAGCTGTTGACACACCTGATATTTATAAGAATACTCCAATAGCCTATTCGTTCTTTTTGCATGCCAATTTCAGTACAATGTTGATTGACAATAAGGTTGATGTCAATAAGGTTATCAACATAGTTAGTCTAAGTGATTTAAGATCAGAAAAAGAGAAGATGTACAGGGAAGAAATAAAAAATGATCCTGAAATTGATATATTGATGATCATTGAGGATGAGAGTGAAAGAGCAAAATAAGCTGCTTAAAATTAATAGCTATAAGACTAAATGGACGATGAGTCAGACGACGATTATTAAGAAGATGATGAAGGTTTAGAGGAAGACTCCTGTGAGGATAGTTCAGAGAAGAATGTATTTTATTCTCGTAAAAGAGACAAATAGAAATAATAATAATAATAAAAGGTAATTCCTTAATTTGAGAGAAGTTAAGCTGATAAAATATCTTAAAGAGAGAGATTGATATTATAAAAAATACAACAAAAGCTTAGTTAGGATTTAGATCTCCCATAACATCTACATAATAATTTGTCAACTGGAGAATATAGTTATTTCTCTCAAGCAATTAGATTTGGATGGCAAGGTGTCGCTTACTTATTAATTAGTGATGGATATGAATTTGTAAATGCAATTCAAGATGCCATTAATGCAAATTAATTTTAATTAGTGCTCACTCTCTTAATGAAAGTAAAGAATGAAAAAGATTTATCGAAATTAAATTCCAATGGGTAAAATTTATTTCATTTATTTGCAATTTATTCAGCTCAAGTTCCTGCAGACCTGAAATCTGAAATAATAGAATAATTTGAATAAAAAAACATCAGTCCCTATGTTTAAGATATCTATCAGAAATTACCCCTACATTATGCAATCTCAAAGAATAATAATTCATTAGTTGAATATTTCCTATATAATAGAAAATGTGATCCTAATTTGATGGACAATACAGAAAATAATGCTTTCACTTTACTTTTCCAAAGAGACTAAAATTATAATTTTGATAGGATGCTGCAACTAGGTTTGAATGCTAACGTTAAATTCAAAATTTTGAACACAAATACTTACATTAAACCCTTCATGTATTTAGTTGATCACTTAAAGATTTATGACACTTAGAAACTCTAAAGATTTGTGAATTATGGAATTGACATTAATGAATAGAATCATCAAGGTTAAACAGCATTGAATATTGCTATTAAAAATAACAATTTAGAATTTGTGAAATTTTTGATTCAGCAGCCCTCATTTAATACTTAGCTTTAAATGCGTGATAATGAGGGGAAAAATCCTATTCATCACGTTGTCTTGCCATTAGATTTCGGTTCCTATGAAAATGTTGAAATGTTGAAAATTTTAATGAAAATGTTTGATTACAACCTTCTAGATAATAATGGATTGACTCCACTAGATTACGCTTTAATATTTGATGCTCAACTCATGAAGGATGAACTCTTAGCTAATAATGCTCATCACACTAGAAGTTTGAGATAACAAAGAATGGCTACTTCTGTAATTGCCACAGCACTATGGCCAGATCAAGAAGTAGATTTTGAAGAAGATGCTCTAAAATTCTTAGAAAAAAAGAATATTTAAATAGAAGCTGAAATTGATAATAAATGCATTGTGGATAAGTAAGCCAAAATTGCTAAGGGTGATTTGAGAGTTTATGATGATCCAGATTATGGCCTATGGTAATGTTTGCTCTCTAAAGTTGATATTGTGAATAGAAACTTTCATAAAAATGTTTTCTATAAGATGCAAATCTTATTTGATAAAAATAGAAACAATTATATCTTATTCACAAAATGGGGTCAAATAGGTGAAGAAGGCCAATTCTAAATGACTCCCTTTGAAAATTTGGAAGCTACAATTAAGGAATTCTGTAAAATATTTGCTGCCAAAACAGGTGGCAATAACTGGAAATTGATTAAGTCAGGAGAAGAAGAATTCGATAAAAAGCCAGAAAAGTATCAGCTTATTAAGTGTTAAAATAACAAGAACTACAAATCTCTATTAGAACCTTTTGATTTAAGCGAGTAATCACCATATCCTAAATGCAAGTTAGATACTAGCATTTACAAAGTTATTGAACAATTCTCCTAGGTTAAATTATATCAATAGGAATTATCAATCCATCAATTTGATACAGGATTTGTGCCTATTGAGAAGTTAGACAAAAATACTATACTAAAAGCTAAAGAAATATTATTAGAACTTAAAGAAACAGTTTTAGAAGTCAATCTCTATATGAATTAAATAGATGTCGATCTAAAGAGATTGTAATAATATTATTCAGAAATTAATGACAAATCTGCTAGATATTATGAATTAATTCCAAACGTTTAAATGAGATAAAATCTCTTACCATTGTTGGAAACTGAAGAAATAATCAATCAACAATTACAATTTTTAGAATTACTTCTAAACGTTGAACAATCTATTAAGATATTACTTGGAGCAAATTACAATTTAAATTCTATTCATCCTATAACTTATTGTTTTAATGCTTTGAATATTAAAATGCTGACTTTAAATACGTAAGATCTAGAATATAAAATGATACAAACATACATCTATAGAACTTAAGGTGTTAGAATTGCAAATATCTTTGCTATTGAAAGGAAAGGAGAGGCGTAGAAATTTGACAAATTTAACCAAGAACCTAGAATTCTTTTATGGCATGGTTCCAAGATTTCCAATTTCATGAGTTTACTAGCTTTAGGATTAAAAAGTAATTAATATTTAGACTATTATAGTTGCACCTTCCTGGGCAGTTAATACAGGGGCAATGTTCGGAAAAGGTATCTATTTTGCAGATCAATTCTCTAAGAGCTATAATTACACTTAAGATTATACAATCAATAATAGTTACGGATATAATTCGTTTCATCGAAACCAAAATAATGCTAATTAGTACCAAACATATCGATATTTATTATTATGTGAAGTGAGTTGCATGAATTAAATTGACGTATATAATAACCCTGTTCAAAATTGTCTTGAATTTTAAAGTAAGAATTCATTTATATTTATAAGAACCTGAGTATACTTTGAAGGCTGTTGGCTCCAGAGGTCCTGATCCAATGTCTTAAATTAAAATGCCTAATGGATGCATAGTTCCGATTGGATAAATTGTTTCTAATTCAATCCCTCATTAATTACAATAGATGACTAAGAATATAAGTTTTTACACTCAAAATTCAGAATATATTGTCTATGATGAAAGCAGAGTAAAGATGAGATATTTGGTGCAAATTTATTAATGATTTCTTATCTATCAGATTTATTTTAAATCAAAATATAAACAAAATTATTAAAAATGAGAGTTCAGGGATTAATCTTGCATTATTTATTATATCTTAAATATCTTTAAGTTAATTATTAACTTCTTTAAATCATGTGTTTGCATATGATATTTCAGAAATTAAATTGTCTTAATTAAATATCAACTCAAATTTATTATGAAATTTGGTTAGAATATAATCAAATTTGAAGACATTACAAATTGAAATATATTATGAATTGATATAAACATAATTTATTTCAACAATAAAAATGAAATAAAAATAATGAGAATACTAAATTTTAATAAATGTCAATTTAATAGAAGCTACTTTTAATCAGATTTTTATATAGATATTTTTGTCTGTCCCTCAGGTTCCTTTTGTTCATAATTTTTTATTTTGCGATTGACTTAATGATTAAAAATAAAATTTTCTAAAGTGCTTTCAGAATGTATGAGATCATTTGATTAATCGTACATAAACAGGGTTTCGTATTTATTTGTAGATATGCTCTGGAGGATTTAAATTGTGTCATATTGTAATTATATCATTTTCAGTGTAATAATCGAATTTTGATCAAGCGAAAATACATATTAACCAACATAAAATTGACTGAATTCTTCCTCAAAAAATATCAATGATTAGAACTATGATCCTTTTTATTATACTAAAATAAGTTTTGCTAGAATTAATGTATTCGAAGCTTAATAATTAAATGACAATTTGATTAAAGATTGATCATCTTGGGTCTGTTCTTAGTCATCTTAATTCATGAAGTCATAATTACTATTTGAAACTAGATAATTATTCATGTTATTTTTAGATTTCATTTTTTAAAACCATATCTTAGCTTTTATTTCAATTTGAAATTGCCCTTGCTTTTCATCTAAGCCATTAACCATACAATATTGATAAAAAAGAGCCATCATATTCTCATTCAAATCTAAGAGAATCATTGGAGAGTCTTGACATATATTTAATTCAGTTTTAAAGATTTCATAAAAGGAATATACATTTACGATCTAATTTTAAATGCTTTCTAGATGGTTTAGCATTTCTGATATTGGAATTTTGCAAATAAAAGTTGAGGAACAAATTAGAAGAGTCTTTATTTTAATTTAAATAATACATTATCACTTTTTTGGACTTCAAGACCAATTATATCAATTACTTCACTCTAAATATTGATTTCAAAAAGTTTATGCATCCTTACTTTTATTTAAGCATTTATATCTGCATCTTTGACTTCTTATAGTCTCATCCAATGGCTATATTAATACAAAATTCATTACCAACAATAAACAACAAGATATGGATTCTTTCTATCTTAATATTTCCTAACAACCCATATCATACTATTATAATAATCATTTATCATAACTTCATCAAAAGGAATGTAATCTGTTGGATTTTCTTGATTATAAAAAACAAACTTCCTTTTAGAATATTACCTTGACTTATCTTTCTAATAATATAATAAATAAATGTGTTATGATCTATTATACAAAAAGACATACTAAAATTTTAATTCTTCTAGCCACTAAAAATATAAAAATCATATTACATTGTTATATAGACATATGTTATTTAAATCGGCAATATTATTTTTTAAAAGGAATGAATCAATATTTAAATCAATCTTTAATTAATTATTTGTAGATTACAAAAATTAAAAATGCAAATAATTCTATTAGGAGTATTTTTATAACGTAATATCCTTATTATCATTAAATTCTTTATAGTTAGTACGTTCATAAGTTTTATCTAAAATTATCAAATCAAATTTCCTCCTATTTGAAGCTAAATCCTAATATTTCACGTTTATTTAATCTGATCTGAAGAGTTTTGAGTATTTTTAGAATAGATATGCATTTATAACATCTGAGATTGGTTGACTTTGACAAATTGTTTTCTAAGCGGTCTGTGTAAAGATAATTTTATAGATTTAAGGTGAATAAGGAAAAGCAAAATGATTTGTTTAGGATTCAAAATATAAATATTGATTTTGATTTTGTCCTTAACTTTAATTTGGTTCGAATTTTACAATTAATGGGCTTTCATAGCCTTTAGGTAATATGCTTGATTGTTTTTAATATTAATTAAGTTTAAGTGAATTCGATTCGGCGAAATCTAATTTAATTCCAATTTATTGATATAGATCTCCATCTTTGCATCCACTTAATAGTGAAAAAGATGTTTCTGAGTGTTTTATAATAGTAAAACCCTTTATATGACATTTAATTATTTAGTTATTTTGTTGAACTGAAAACTAATCAACTTTAATTTTTTTTTTTTCAAAATTATAGATGATGACAGTTCCAATAAATTAATCAATTTCATTAACACCTAAAGTAACTTAATAAAACTTATACTAATCTAACAGAAAAGCTGAATTAGAATTATTTTAAAATACAGAGATCTTTTGCATTTTTATTATTTTCTCATTTTCATTTTCATTTTCATTTTCATTTTCATTTTCATCTTCTTCTTCATTTTCCTTTTCATTTTCATTTTCCTTCTCGATCTCAATCTTATTCAAATTGATTTTACCACAATAAAGTTGTTCATTTTTAACGATTGACATTGATAGTTTATTAACAACATCATTTTTTTGAAAATAAGAAACGTAGTATTAAGTGTCAGAATCAATTTCAATAAATTTCTTACCATTTGAGTCATATAAAGTCACATACTCTATTTCATTTTTTGCGTTTATAATTGGAAATTTAAATCCTTCCTAACATTAATCTTCATTTGATTATTCAAATTTATGCACTACATTTAAACTTTAGAATTATAGTTTATAGTATTATTTTTCCCTACTAGTTTGACTCACTCGCTCAATATAAGGAAGATAATTTGTTGGCTTCATTGCCCTATCAACATCTTAGATATGATTCTTTTTTGCTTATTTATAGGTATTTAGAGCATTCACAAATTTCACTAAGGTTTAACAATATTTTTCTTTATTGATGTTACCCATATTGATGGGGAAAATTATCAAAGAATTTTAAGATAACTTATTTAATTGATGTAGGATTTTTTTAAGATAGTAGCTATCTATTTCAAAAGTGTTATCTATTTCTATACCTAATAAGATTATCTTTGGCTTAAATTAAATGATTTTTTATTTTAAAAAGTATTTATATACATTCTAGATCTCAGAAGTAACCTTAATTGTTTATAGTTGCTTGTTAAAATGAATAGGTAAAAAGTACTAATTTTATAAGAGTATTTAGTTTAGTTTACAATTTTTTTCTTTGAATAAATCTGAACAGTTGAAATAATTGTTTTAATCAATTAAAATGTTAAAGCTTTGTAATATTCTGCTAAATTTTTGATGTGACAATAACGTCTTTTAATTTTTTGTTGAAATAATATTAAATAAGGTTATCCTATAATTTTCATCTTATGTTGGCAATTTATCAATATACTATTATTAAATTTCGTTTATTGATTCTAGTAGATGAATACCTGAAAGACAACAATTCTAAAGAATATGGACAGTATTTAAACCGTTATACATTTTTTCAATTACTTTTTTTAAAATCTACACAATTGGCTGATCCTCATCTGATTAAAGTGAATTGTCCTGATATTCTGCTCTTTCTAAAATAATTGACTTTTTTCCTCCATTAGTAAGGGATTGCTGATAGTCTAACATATATCGAATGACCTGCTAATAATCTTATTCGGTTAAGGTTAAATTTTTTTATTCTTCTTGTATACTTTATTTAAAAGGATAGAGTATTAATTATTAAGTATTATAATTCTATTGTTAAACTTTATCTAATTTATTGTCTGTATTTTTTCCTTTTGAATAGATTGAGTAGGATACCCTTTTAGTAGAACTTTCTTCTAATGAGGCCGATTTTTAATCTTGTTTCATAATAATATTAATATTGAATTTTTATTAATTATGAAAAGCATATAAAACTTCAAACCTTTGCCTTTGGCTACTGCATAATTTAGACTTTTTGATCGTGTTATGTAATTAAGTCCAATCCTTGTAAATTACCTTGTATATCAGCCCATGTAACATGCATCTAAAAATATAAACTTAGATTTTACCTTGGTCAGATTGTTAGCTTGACTATCAGCAAATTTAATAAAATGCTTTGCATAAATATCAATATTCTAGTCAAAGACTCTCTTTATTTCATTATATGCAGACAAATTATAATAAGCATATGTATCCCTTAAATCATTTTACAATGATGTTTCTTTAGGTAGCATGACACTCAAACAAAATTTTTTATTATCAATATTTAGTTTGAGTTCATCCAAGACTTCCTTAGAGACTTCCCATTTATTAAATTCCTTTAATTAATAAAACTTTTCTTTTTTCAAATCCAAACGCTCCTTATACTTTAAGTATTCAGCTTGACTTTATTGTCTTAACAATAGATGTTCTTTCAATTGAGCAATCTCTTTGTCATGATATTTGAAGAAATTTCTAAAGTTATCTTAGATATAATTTTAGTAATTCTAAAAATTTCTACCCCATATCATCATCATATTATTTAATGTAATTGTGACTGCTTCGAATTTCAAGATCTTTTCTGGCTCTTACACAGCGGAATTAAATTAATTAATATGATTGGTAAGCAATTCAAAAGACTCCCCCATTTAAAACATAGTTGCAGATACTATCTCAAAATCTTGTAACATTTTTTTAGATTATTTCATAATTCTAATAATAAAGAAGTAATTTTACACATCAAAGTCTAGATTTAAACTTGTCATTAAATTGCCAGCAGCTCTAATGTAATTATCAGTTTAAGGATTGAAAGCTACTTCAATTTATCCTGTTTCACTAAGAACTTTATCTAACTTAGTTGTTTTTTGGACTTTCTCTGAGGCTGTTTGAAGGGATTTGAATTCTTTTTCATCTTACATTCTTAAGAATTCGCAAAAATACTTATCATTCTTAAGAACAGTTGAATTAAGTAAATGATTTAAGAATTTCTAAAAACTTAGGAATTGAATATTTACTTCTAAGAATTTCATTCTTTTTTCTAAGTAAGCATCGCTGAATTATCTAGTTGGAGTTTTATTAGCAATAGGAGGTACAAATACTCCAGGGTATTATTTGGTTAAGATTTCCCTTAACCATTCGAAATCTGAATATCTCCTGGTGACAGCCCATTAAAATGGTTATGTAACAATTCTATAATTTACATATGATTTACTAAGACTAAAGAATCCTGTATCCTTCTTATCGAAGCTAACATAGATATCATTTATACTTTTCAATTGAAATTTGTACATTATTTGTGTTTCCTATTTCAGTGCCAATTAACTTTTAGCAATCTATCTTCTTCTTAAATCCAATATCATCATCAACGATTTGCATCATTGCGTTCTTCATTTTTTAATAATCTAAGACTGCTTATTTCAATTCTTCCATCTGCCAGACATCCAAATCTTATCCACCATTTTCTTTCTTTCTATCCATGTATTTAGTAAAGTCCTCACTATCATACCCCTTATTGATGATTTCATCAACCAAAAATTGCTATTTATCTTCCAATGACATATTCAATATTAATTTATTTATTAAGATCCCTCTTTATACGTACCAAGATTATTAAATAATAAACATATTTCTAATATTAACATAATCAAGTTCTACCACCTTCTCCACATGCTCCTACACCTTGAGTTGAGATTATCTATCCCTCAACAACTTCCTTAGTATCATCTTTTGTTAATTCCACAACTTTAGTTGAAGTTGTCGTAGTAACAGTTTCCTCAATGATTGTTTCTTCTATTTCTATTTCTTCTTCAACTTCTTCTTCGCCAATTTCTTCTTCCTCAGCAATTTCTTCTATTACAGTATCATTTTATTCGTGATGTTCGTCAACAACTTGTTCTTATTTTTTTTCAGTAACAATATTTTGTTCTTCCTTCTTCAATTACTATGATTATCCAACAATAACTATATCATTAGAATCCACTCTATTAGTTTTACATCAGGTTCTCTTTCCTGACAATTTCTATTGACAACCTAAATTTTGCCTTCAGCATCATTAATAATATTAATTGTTATCTAAATTTAAGAATATTAATTACATCGGAATTTCCACATTATTTAGCGATATGTTTTCTCTGATCCAAATATTTGTTGATTAACTATTCAATCCTATCACAACACTATTTGCTATCGTCCTCACCTATAAATTTACTTATATTCATACTTGTAGATGATTATAACAATTAAATTGAATGTTTCAATTACTTGATCTCATTCACTCTCCATTACTAATAAATTGTGTGTTCTTTCTTATGTGTATTGTGTCTCAAGGCAGCAAGTATCCTTTTTGCTCTATGCAAAGTGTCTATCATTAAATTAACTTTACTTGTATTTCTCAATCTATCAAACCTTTATTAGTTTAGTATTTTATGAGCTTTGCTCAATAACCGAATTTCATGATGTATAACTTTCTCATCTTGATATAGTTCAGCCCACATCTTTAGTTATTGACCCACCTACATTAAATTAGTCTAGCAGGTTAATTTGTTAAAATCCATAGTCATTAGTTATTTAAGATTGGTCAAACTGAGTCCATTTTCGAGTTATATGAGGGTTTCTTGAATATTTAATAATTTGTACCCTCTTAAAAGAGACAAATACTGACAAGAAGTAAAGATAATAAAATTTTGTTCATAAAATTAATTAAAACTTATTTCACTTTTTGAAATAACCCGTTTTTATTTTAATATCAGTTAAAAAAAATATTTATTAACAAATTACTAACACTTATTACTTTTAACATTATAATTTAATTAAAATGAAGCCTTCATTATAATATCGCAAAATTTTCAAAGGTTTCCAATTTTATTAATTGCCCCTTTAATGTTCATAAATTATCATTTTAAATGAACTCGTAAAAATGGAATTGTCTACTTTTTCCTGAGGGTTATAATTATATCATTTCTTATAAGCATCAGTAGAACATAAATGTTCTATGTTTTTAGATTATCTTTATTTTTATTTAAATTAATTAAAACATAATATTAATAATATATTTTGTAGATATTATTCAGTATAATGTAGTAGTGAGTTTTATTTCAATGCTAGATGAAAATGAAGATCTTATCTATTTAGCGTTTGTAAGATGTCAACTTTATATTCATATAGTGATTAGGAGGAAAGTAAAATAAATTAAAATTGTTAATATGAGTAAAAATTAAAGCCTTTATATTGTTATATACAAACATTATTTTTATTTACATATTTGTAAATACTAGACTATCAAGGATAATGTTGTAATATTTATTAAGGATATAGAAAATAATAAAATAGTGTTCATTCAGCCATAAAACATGCAATATATATATCTGTAACTCATAATTACAAATCTAAATTATAAAATATTTGTTTGAGTATAAATTGAGAATTAATTTATTATTATTATTTCTAAAGTGATAGAAGCTAACTTAAACATCCTGAAAAAGAAGAAATAAGTTCCTTTGCATTATCCACCAAAATCTTATCTTTTTTAAATAAAAGTATTAAATTCATAATATATTCCTTGTCTTATTTAATATTTGAAATTATAATTTTTATTTATGTATAATTGTTATTAAAAATGACTAATTATCAAAAGTAATGAGTAAATTATGCATCGTTTCTCTAGGCATTTAGATTAAGAAGCAGTTCTTTCAAGTTTGCTTTGGTTACTGGTTTCTCTATAGCTCCCAACATTCCGACTTATTTGTAGGTCTCTAGTTGTTCTTATGTTTATCGATTCCCAGTGCAGGCGATAATCTTAAGAGATGCATCTTATTCTAAAAGTTTTTTGGCTGTTTCCAATCCATCCATTTCAGGCATTTCAATATCTAAAAATATAAGTTTATATTGGCTCAACGCTCTTTCCTTACATTTTTTTAATGCTGTCTATCCTGAAATAGCTGAATCACAAGTTAGATACAACTACTCCAAAATATATTATAAGACAATAATGTTAAATTCATTATCATCTACTATTAGTACTGGAGGTTATTTAGACGTTTAATTTAACCAAATATTAGTTTATTCAATAATTTAATTGGATTGGTTTGTTGATTTTCTTTGGTAAGACTTCTCACAATCCACATTAAATGGAAGTAATCGATTTGAGGATAATAGATTTGATGAATTCACTCTCAAATTATACTTCTTAATTGATTAATTGTTATTAGTAGAAATAATTTATTAACTATCAAATGATAACTATTTAATGATTGGCATTGTAAACTCTTTGGATTTGAAGCTGCAACTTTATTGCTAGAAGAAATGCGATTCTGGTAAATTGCTTACTTCTTAAACAGCGCCATCTGATATTTTGGAATCTGAAAGATCTTCATCAGGAAACTTTTGATTCAAGATTTGAAACGAAAATGTTGCCCCTTTCTGATACTAAGATTGAACAGATATCCCTTAATTATTAGATGATAATAGCCTTGATAATTCGTTGCTTATTAATAACCCTAAGCCTATTCCATTAGGATTTTTGTCGAGATTTTCTTTGTCTTCAACTCTTGCGAATTCTTAAAATAAATGCTCTAGATTTTCTGGTTTTATTCCTAAGCCAGTATCACTCACTGAAATTAAAAAAGTTGAAGATTTCATCATAAATTCACATGATATTATTATTTTACCTTTAGCCATAGAGTATTTGACTGCATTACTAAGGAGATTCATAATCACTTATCTAATTCTATTTTTATCGCTATTAATAAATTCAGGTACGGTAGCGTCATAATTTAGTAAAATAATTAATTCTTTTTTCTCTTTTTAAATATCAAAAATTGAGATGGTTTTATTGATTAACTTTTTGAGATTGAACTTTTTGAACACTAAACGAATTTTTCTATTTTAAAGTTATGCTTAATCTAGTATGTCATTAACTAAATTCAAGAGCAATCTGCAAGAATTAAGAGAAGGTTTTAAGTATCTCTCAGCCAAAGATTCATCTATCTAATCTTTTAAACACAACTGCATGTTAATTATAGCATTTAGAGGAGTTCTCATATCATGTGAGACCTTACTCAAAATCCTCATGTAATCTTTTGTATTATCTTTCAAAGGCTATATTTTGGGTAAAACTGGCTTTAACTTTTTTTGAAGAATGAAAAAATGATCTTACTATGGAGTTAAACATTTAGGAAAATTAGAGATGTTTTGATTATAAAATACTTTCTTAACTACTATAATATAATCAGATTATGCTTCATAGATTTAATCTTACCAATTAGCTGTAGTATTTTTCAAGTGATTGAAAATTGTTTTGAATTCAAAAGTATTCTTTTCATCTATCAATTTTGGCTGAATGCCATTTGTATTCTAATCCCTAATTGTAGTAATTCGATCGCTTCTTTCATCTCCACTCCTAAACACATGATCATTCATGATGATCTGGAAATTCTCTTATTCATTTTCTGGATTAAAATTACTATCAAGGAAAACAAAAATGTCTGAACTTAATTATTTTATTATCTCTTCCATTTAATCGCTTGTGTAATTGTGTTTCTTAAATAAACTTAAAAGCAAAATATAACATAAGCAATTTCTAACAATTCCAGTTGCTAAATAATTCATATCTGCAAAAGTAAGGGATGTTGAATGAATGCAAAATAAAATAAAAATCATTATTCTTGTTAGTTTCTAGTTAAATTTTATTATGCAAACTATTTAAATTCCTACGTAAATCATCCAAGATTCGTATAACATCTAGGAAACAATAAGGATTTATGCTAATTTAAGTATATTGAGTAACAACTTTAAGAGTTGATTTCTTGTCATTTGTTCAATAATAAATATAATGGCATGAAAAAGTGCTGATGATAAACCTATTATTAAGTATAATGTCTCATTGGTAATGTAATATTAAAAGTGCACTATTATACTGTCAGCTGCTAAGACTATTTATAAAATTTATTGGTCACTTAACATAATTAAATTACTTAATTGATTTAATAAATATAAATAATAAGCAAGTCAAGCAGTTCTTTATTGTTGTTCATTCATTTATGATGATAGATGTAAAATATGTAATAAATAATAAAGTATAATCATTTATATAAATCTTTAATTAAGTTATTAAATTACACAATTTCTATGCAATGAATCATTAAATTATTTTATTTTTAAAAACTTGAGTAATGCAAGAAGGTCAGAAACTATAGAAATTGTCTTCACTTCCCAAAAATTTTTCAGATTGGCAAGTTGGAGATGATTATGAAATCATTAAGCAAATAGGTTCTGGATCTTATGGACAGGTTGTAGAAGCCTTACAAAAATCGACAAACAAGAAAGTGGCAATTAAAAGGTTTTAAATGTTTTAATATTCAAAGATTGACTGGAATATTTGATGATGAGATTGATTGTAAAAGAATTCTAAGAGAAATCTGTATTCTAAAAGAATTAAAACATCAAAACCTGATTTAGATTATTGAGATTTTAGAGCCAAGTGATCCTAAATTCGACACAATTTACGTTGTGATGGAATATGCACAAGTAATTTTTTTTATTTTAATAAAGAGTGACTTAAAAAAGTTATTCAAATCACCAATACACTTATAGTTTTTACATATATAAACTATAATTTACAACATATGCGTTGGTCTTAAATATTTGCATTCAGCCAAAGTATTGCATAGAGATTTGAAACCAGCCAATGTGCTTTTGAATGAAGATTGTACTGTCAAAATATGCGATTTCGGACTGGCTAGAAGTGTGCAAGGTATCTAATAACTCAAACTAGGAATCGATGCCTCTGACCAAGCATTGGAAGAAGAAATAGCTAGACAACAAGAGGAACCAAAAAAGAAGGATGATAAAAAAGGTCCTAGAATGCTACAAAAACAAAACAAATTGAATGCAAAGGCAGTTAAGAGAGAATTAACAGGTCACGTTGTAACTCGTTGGTACAGAGCCCCTGAAGTGATCTTATTGGAGAAAGATTATACTGCAGCCATAGATGTTTGGTCGGTAGGTTGTATCTTTGCAGAATTATTAAATATGATGAAAGAGAATGCACCAACATTTTTAGACAGAGCTCCTCTATTTCCAGGAACTAGTTGCTTTCCTTTGAGTCCAGAAAGAAGTGCAATTGCCAAAAAGGGTGGATTCCCATATTCTAATACCGATTAATTGACAGTCATTTTTTCTGTTCTTGGAACTCCTGGAGAAAAGTTATATTAATTTTGATAACTTTTAGGGATATGGACTTTGTAACTGACAAAAAAGCTATTGAGTATTTGAAGAGTTTCCCCAAGAAACCTAAAGTGGCCTTTGCTGATATATTCCCTGGCGCTCCTCCTGAAGCATTGGATTTTTTAGATAAATGCTTGTAATTTAGTCCAAAGTTAAGAATTACTCTTGATCAAGCTATTGAGCATCCAATGCTTTAGAAAGTAAGAGATAAAAAAAAGGAAATAGTTGCTCCAGGTATAAATAATATGTTAATGAATAGGACCAATCATCTTAGATTTTGAATAAGAAGGAGAGTTACAAATTCCAAGACTGAGAGAATTATTTTTAAGAGAAATTTCAAAATATAAACGTTGAATTTCTGTGTTGTCTTATTCATTAATATATAAATTTTAAAATCTTTTGCTTCTCTTCCTTATTTTATTAATCTAGGATTGGGTAATGTAGAAAGTTAAAGATATTTCTCAATTTTTAAGGTTCAATATTAAAGTGTTCAGCCCAAAACAATAAATTATACTAATAAGATTATTGATAAAGATTACTTATTTTGGATCTTTATTATTGAGATGTAATACTTTAGGAAGTTCTGTTAATAGAATTCTGCCTTCTTCACTTTTATATATCTGGGTTTTATCATCAATTTACAATTTATCAAATTATTCAGCTTTCTTTTATAATTCTTTTAGTTCTTCTTCATGACTTGGAATTTAATGCATAACATCACCTAGAATTTGTATTTATTTGACTAAATTTAAATCCTTTTCTTTTCTATCATAATATTGAACTGGTTAATCACCTCCTAATTTCTCTTTTAGAGCTTGATTAGCTATATTATTTAAATAATAATGATACATTGTTCAATCAACTCTTGGATATCTTACTTTTTGTAATCTGCCAACACTTTATCTAATTTAGATTCATAAGTGTTATGAGGAATTAAGATTGATTAGGAGAAGTCTAGAGAATTCTTTACATGAGCTTCCCATTTTTCTGTCCACACCCTTCTTAGTAATTCATGAGATTCAACAAAAGGAGGCATTTCTAATTTATTTTATTCTTTCCTAATTTTAATTTTATTCAATTCTAAAAGATTATGATAGTCATCATTTATTTTTTCTAATTCTTTATATCCTTCATATACCTCAAGATCAATTCCACTCAAATCTTTTCTCAATAACAAATTCTCAATAATAGCATCAATATCTGGAAACCCTTATTTCAATTTCTAATAGACTTAATCTTATATTTACCATTTCTATCCAATCATCATACTTATTACAAAAAATGACACATTTATTATAAACAAACATCATCATTTCTCTTTATTCATTCAATAAAGTGACTATGGGATCATCTGATGCAGGTATTCTACTCTTTTCAATAATTTAGATTACACTAGTTTCCTATACATCTAAAGTGGGTCTATTTTCTTAAATTAATCGTTATTTATGTTCATCCAATTCTCCAATTTCTTCCTAAAATAATTCTGGAACAACTTCATAGAGTTTCTCTCTTTGAATTGGTAGATTATTCATAACATGATAATGAACAGTCTCTATATTTTTCATTGTTTCAGGATTCAATACCAAACCTGAAACATGTCTATGTTGAAATTCAATATAATTAATCATGGTTAATACAGTTTTCTTCTCGATTCCTCTTAAAATTACCATATTAGGTTCTAAAACTGCAATATCATTCTCTAAAATCTTTAATTCTTCTTTCTCTTTATCAATTTATGTCAATTAATTATTGATTTCCTCTAATTCTTTAAGTAGGGATTGTCTTCTTTATTCATCCATTGTGACATCTTTACTTATATTGCTATTTTCAAGTGAAGCATTAGTAGATACAAAATCAATTTAACTTGATTCGAATTATTTTATTAATGCAATTTCCTTTTCTAATACCCTTTTCTTCAATTTATTCTTATATTCAATCAATTGCAATCTCTACTTTCTTCTCTCTTTTTCATACTTATCGAATTCATTTTATATATCAACATGCTTGTACAACCTTTATTTCCCTGGCGTAGGTGCACTTCTTAAATAACTATTGAAATTTGTTTATAAGAATCTATGCCAAGTTTAATATAGTTTTTATTTAATTGACATATATAAAATAATGAAATTAATTACTGCATTATTGATAATATCAATTGCCTTCTTAATTCCTCTTTTAGACCAAAACAATTACATTTATTTTTTATATGGAACCTTGTATACAATTTACATTGAAATAATCATTTTCTTTTGGATATTACGTTATCGCATGTTGAAAAGAATTAACAACTCTAAATTAACAATAGGATTCAAGTAAATAGCTTCTATGATAAATCATTCTACTAACTTTCAATCATATATACCTGATGATTCTGATAAACTAAATGATTCCTCGCTTTCACTTAGTGCTTATGAGCCTAGCCAAGTCGATATCATGGAATAAGTTGAATAAACTGACGATCTACCTGGTGCATAGAAGAGTCGAATATAACAATAAGCAAATCTCTATCTAAATTAAATCAAGAATTATTTCGGTTCCTAAAAACTACCCCTGATCAAATTGGACAGAAAAGGATTACTCTAAAAATACCAATGTGTTACGAATTTAACAGATTCTCTATTAACTTATTATTCAAATCTAGAAAAGAGTTTTGAACTTTAGAATTAGGCTTCTCTATTAAGTAAATTATCCAAAAAAGAATATGTATCTACTTTAGATCAAATTGATACAACTCAATAACACAAAATATTATTTTAAGAGCTGACCAATGAATAATAATTGTTGCTCAATTCTTTTATTTAAATTCAAGGCAGAAACATTATAGTACCTCATTGGAATAATATAAAATAGTAAGTCAAATAACTCAATTAAATATTCTAATAGTAACGATACTAAATTCTCAAAGTAGCATAACCTCAAATTCAATCAATTTAGAAAACTTATCTTGATGAATATAAAAATATCAAGAAAATTAAAAACTAAACCCAAACTCAATATGATGAAGTGTTCCGCAAAAATTAAAATTATGAGGGATAAAAGTAATTACTTGAAAAAGATTTAGAGACTAATAATACCCATTATAGAGAATTAAAAAAAAATAAAACTAATCCAGAAAAGCTAATAAAAATGGAAATGTCTATCAAATTGTCAACTTAATAATTATCTACAATCTAACACAAATTATAAAGTTCTAAATATGAATTAAAAGAATTATAAGTGGCAATTACTAAGACAAATTAATAATTAAATGAATTCAAAGATAATTGGGATAGATAATTTATTGTTATGTATCAAACAGTCATCAGATCACTTTTACAAACTCATTATGATAATTATGAACAATTTTTGAGGTCATTTAAAAGTATACTTAAGTTATAGAATGTTTCAAATGATTCATATTTGAGTTAGAGTCAAACAAATGCTCCAACTTAATTATTATTACATCGATAATCAAGAACCGTATCAATGGATGAAATCGATCCCCCCCGATTAATGAGGAATGAGAAAGAAGAACTCCAAGAATTGATAAAAAAATTCAAATTTTATGAGGATCAAATTCATTTATTTGAAAAGTATGATGGAGAATGTTTGGACTTCTTTGTAGAAATTGGAGAGGTTATTAAGAAAATGATATCAGATGAAATAAAAATTCATTTAGTTTAACTAAAGGACATTTGGATAACTGATTTATTCACAAAGAGTTTTCCAAAAGATAGATTATTTTATTAGAATCTATTTGCTTAAATCAAATTGATTACAAACAACTTTATTGATGACCGAACTAAACTATATAAAGATTATAAAGAAACTTAAGTATCAGTTAAGGAGAGAATTAATAATATCACTTATTTATTCAATTGCATTTTGAAGGATTCTGAAAAATTTAATCCAGGCAAAGTGGATGGATTTACAGATTACTAAAGAATGAAATAACAATTTAAATAGAATTATCTCTAATATCAGTAAGAAGCAGAATAGCTCAAATCAAAATTAAGCTAATATGAAAATAAATATAAACGCTATATTGATTAACATTTTGAAATCATCTCAAAGACTAAATTTCAATTCATTTTATCTTTTGCCACTCTTTCAAGGAGTGTAGTTAATCATACTATGAAAATGATTGATGAATGTAATAATTATCTAAAATATTCTTAGTCGATCAAACGTATCAATAATAGGATTAAATAGTAAAGAGTCTACTTGATCATCAAACTAACATCTCATTCACTCCAAAAGAAATCTAAATCACTCAAACTTAAAGTTTACTCCATAATAATATAACAACTATTCCAAAAACTAGTTCTAGATCTAATAGCTAACTTACTAGGTAACCAAATGACACAGTTAATTCAATGAAGGAGACATTTGTATTAAAACAATTAATAAGAGTATTATTTCTATAATGGACTAAATCCATCTATTTCAGATAGAAATTTATGACTGAATTATATAGGTCTTTAAATAAGAAGAGACCATCTTAATTAGATGAAATTTATGTTACATTTATAGATATAGGAGGAGAACCCCCAGAGGTTTTGTAATTTATTCCTTAAAAAAACACTAATTCATGCATATTTGATTTGGAACTATCATTTAGAGGTTTCTTTTATATGGAATTAGAAACATTTGTTACTATCAGCTGGGCTAAAAAGCATTTGCCTGTAAATATTAAAGTTAAAATTACATCTTTAAATGGCCGATTAAGGTTGTGTTATACACCTAATTTTATTGGCCGTAGCTGGGTTTCCTTTGTAGGAGAACCTTCTATGAATATTAGCATTGAACCTACCATATCTAAATATAATATTTCTGTTGCAAATGATATAATAAAAGAATTTCTTATTTACAAAATCAAGATGTTAACCTACCCTAATAGAGAAACAATTACTGTCCCATTAGCTGAATTTGAAACTGAAATACCCCAAAGTGCCCTTGACAAAATTAAGTAATTTGTTGATAAAATGAAAAATTGAATAAAATAACATACTTATTTAATAAAATATATGGATTTATCAGTTTATTTTATGACTCAATCCTGCTTCTTTTATTATTTATTCTAATTTTTTAACGTGCTACTATAATTATTCAAGACTCATCTATAAAATCTAATCATCATTTTATTTCATAACTGAACTTCCCCTAACTTATTTTCTAGGAGTCACACCTTAGCTTTTTGTCTCAATATTTTATTTTGAACCTTATTACGAGTGATAATTTTCTAAACATTCTATCTTTCTCTGCAATTCTTACATTTTACGAACATCTACTTAAATGATATTTTCATAAATAACAAGTTCATTATTCAATTTTTATAACTTTGTTATTTATTCTTTTAAATCTTTAATTTCTTATTCTAAATTTTCTTTTTAACCAATTATTTCAGCCTATGAGTTTTTTTTTTCCTTCTATAATTCTATATTAATTTTTTCTGCTTATTTCAATTATTCTTATAGATCCTTTACAGCTTTCCCTTGTTTTTAAAACATCTCCTCTTTCTTCTTAAATTCTTCCACTTATCGAACAAGTTTTTATATTTATTCATCCTTTGTGAGATCATTTTCTTCCCATTCTGATAATTGTTCAGTTGTCTCCTTTAATTGTTTTTGCAAATCTTACTGTTTCTTTTCAGAATCTTATAATTGTTTTTTATTTTTTTCTGTTTATTAATCTAATTATTATTAAAGCTTCTTCACTTAATCTTCTAATTTTTTTTGATTCTAATTCAACTATTAAGCCTGCTTTAACTCTTAATTTGATTCATTTAATTCATTTTATAATTTTTCGATTTCTTCTTTTTTAGTTTTTGTTTCTTTTTCCAACTGCTGCTACAATTTCTTAATTTGATCTTCTTATTTTTTCTGATTACTAATTAAATTCTATAAATTCTTTTGTTCTTCTTCCTTTTGATTTAAAGCACTCTTAAGTTTCTCAACTTCATCTTTTAAGGCTTTGTTTAAATTTTAATCTTTTGATAATTATTCATTCTTCTTGCCTAATTCTCTAAGTTAATCTTACAACTTTTTTAAATTTTCATCTTTAGCCTTAATTTATTATTCTTAATTTTAGATAGCATCTTAAAGTTTTTTGGACTCTTATTATTAGGTTTCATTTTATTTTTTCTGCTGAATTGCTAATTATTTCTATTATAGTAATTCTTTATTTTCTTCCTAAGCTTTCTTTAAACTTTATTCTTTTACCTTCAATTAATTTTCGAGAGAGGATATTGATTATTTATAACTGGTTAATTCTGCTAATTATTTTTGTTTAGATTCCACAAGTTCTCTTTGATCTTTTATTTCTTCTTCATTTATTTTGATTTTTGATTTTAATTCTTCGATTATTTGAACTTGATTGTTTAATTAATCATTCTTCTAAATCATTTCAATTTTTTAATCTAATATTGTTTATATTAAATCCTATTTATTCTATGATTCCAATTAAGAGGCAAAGGTTTTTATCTCATCCATCCTATACGAATTTAATTCACTCAAAGTAGTTCCATCATCACTTAATGGAATTTGCTCAATTTTCTTTTTTATTTCTTGCCTATGAGATTCCAATTCCTATTGTTCCTTCAATTCTAATTGAGCCTGTCGAGAATCATGATTTTTAATTTTATGAAGTAACTATTCATTCTCTAAATTTAATGATTATTTTTCTTATATTAATTTCTAGATTTATTATTCCTTTTCAATTAACTTATCATTAAAATCTGCCTCTTACTTTCTCATATTAGTTTACAACTCTGCATTTGATAAGATTTACTTTTAGCTTGTGACAATTATTTCTTGATCTTTTCCTTTCAATTGTGTTTCTAATATTATAACTGTCTTTTCTAAATTTGATTATTATATTAATAATTCTTCAATTTATTCTTTTAAGACTAAATTTTCAGATTAAATATTCAAGTTTTTCTCTAAGGGTCTTTAAGAAATTAAATTTTGCAATCTCTTTATTTCATATTCTTACTGTCTTAATAAATCATTTTGCTCATCGATCTATTAATAATTTCTCTAATTTTCAAGTTCTCTTTCTGTAATTATTTCCTTTTATTTGTTGCTTGCTTCTTTTAATTAATCTTATAGTTTGTTAATTTGAAATTCTTTTAATTTCATCTATTACTCGTTTTTTTAATTGATTTCAGTTTAAAGTTGAGCATTAATAATATTTTGTTCTAATTCTAATTTTAGCTATATTATCTAACTCTCTAAGTCATAGATTTTATTTGAATTTTAACTTTTATCTAACTCCTTTGTTTTGAGTTACTATTAAAGCAAGGCAATCTTTGTTTTTAAATCTTCTTCCTTTTAATCTTTTAATTATAAATTTTATTATATTTCTTTATTTTCTTCAATGAGAGATTATATATTGGCTTATAATTTCTGCTTATCCTTAATTTAATCTTACAATTTCTTTAGTTCAATGTCTTTTTGTTTCATTTAATTTTGGATTTGAGATATTTATTATTCATAAATTTTGAGTTCTTCATTTCTAAGATTTTCAAGAGCATTTAATTTATCCTCATAAATTTGCATATCATCTTGCTACTAGATTATAGTCTTCTTATGTTCAGATTCTTTTTTTCTGACATTTCTTTAATTAGATTTAATCTCGTTATCTTAATGTTCAATTAATAATTATTTTTCTTAGATTGAGTATTCTAACTCCTTAATTAAATTAATAAGCCTTTCATTTTCAATGTCTGCCATTTATTTTTTATTAATAAGATCATTATATTATTTCTCTTTGGTTTACAAATCTTACTATAATTTTTCACATAAAAATAAATAAGAATCTTAGTCTGAGAATTAAGAACGGGGACTTTTCTATTCTAGAAATCCTTTTCCAGATTAAATATATCTTCCTGCTTGATAATCAAAGTTTGTTCTTCTCTTGATAGTTGTTTCTATATCATCACTTAATTCTAAAACATTTTAATCTATTTTAATATATTGTTGTTTGTTCTAAATGATATTTTATTTTTGTATAATTTCGTTTCTAGATGAGTTTAGACTGTAATTTTTTTTCAATTGATCAATTATATTATTTTTTTCTTCCTATTCTTACTATAATTTGTTAATTTTATTTTTATATTCTTCCAATTATAATGATTGAGTTATCTTCTCTACTTACAATTATTCTATTTGAACTAGGTATTATTTATTATTATTTTATTACAATTGTTCATCCTTCTGAGATAAAAACTTACTCAACTATTCAATTTTCTATTATAAATCCTCAATGATCTATTCATATTATTATGTTTAGTAATTATTATCATAGTTATTTAATGATCCTCTTTAGCTCTCTATTAACTTTTTTGTTACTAAATCCAATTCGTGAATTAATTATTAATTTTGTTCTTCCAAACCTTTGATTTTATCAATCTAATACGTTATTTTTTATTATTTACATAATCCTTTTAGGTGATTTCTAACTGCAACTCTTCCTCGAAGTGTTGCTAATAATTTGCTAGTTCTCTATCCTTGGAAACTATAAGTTCCTTTAATTATTTGAGTTCTCTCTCAATTTCATTGTGGTTTTTCTGATGTAATGAAGCACATTTCTAATTTTTACACCTTTTGATTTATTCACAGAGTTGTATATTGATTTCAGATAATTCTTGATTATTATTGTAAAGAATATCAATATTTTCCTTCAACTAATCATTCTCTTACATCTTTTCTTTTAACAGTAAAGTCTATAATGAAATCTTAGTTATAAAAAAGTACCAATTTTTCATTTGCATTAATTACTGCATTCAGCCTTTACTCCATATCATCTATAGTATTTGATGATTTGGATGGGGAGTATGGGTAATCGTATTATCGGTACATATATATTTATTATTATTTATTATAAAAAAAGCTAATAAAACAAAAACATTGTATCATTTCATATTAAATAATCACAATAGTTTTTCAAGAGTTTAACAAAGCAATGTAAATTACAGTTCTTCTTCTCTGTCTTCTTGATTAAATAAAGACTACTTAAATTCTATTTCATGCTTTTTCAATAGAGATTAAGTATGTGCTTTTGACATCTTTGTACTTCCACTTGTGTCATCATGCTAACTAAAATAATTGCCATTAGCTTTTTAAATCTTCTCTCGATTCAATTGTTAATTAGTAGTGGAAATGCGAAATTTGGTCTAAATACTTTTAATTGGTAACTTACTGATGGAGTTATTGGATTAACGTTTGGTTAACTCTTTTCCCTTGTAAGCTGTCTAGATATCAATGGTCTGGGCATTGATTTTCTTGAAAAGTTAAATTGTGAATGAGTATTCATAAAGTTCATATGTATTATTATATAATTAATTCATATTTTACTTTAAAAATAGACATAGACAAAATCTCAGAAGAATTTCATTTTCCTTACAGAGAGTTATAAATTATTAGATGTTACTTTTAGCATCTTTATCAATAATTAATATTTTTTCAAACAAATTTTTAAATGAATTAGACAATTTCTGGGTCATTTCCTTATAATAATGAAATGCACTCATCAATAATTACAATCTATTAGTTTCTGTAATCAGTCAAACCATTATGACTATTTTAAGCATCATTGCAAGATTATTACCAATATTAATTTTCTTTTGTTTTGAGATTGACTAAGTCTTAATAAAATACAATATTGTTATTTAATTCTAATAATTATTATTATAATTGTTGCACATCAGCTCTTAATTCAGCAATTTTAGTACTTAATCTGGTATTTGCAAATTCAAAAAAAATTCTATAGCTAATATATTGTAGTTTACCAGGTCTTAACAAAATCAGCTTCTCTTTGATCATCAGGTATCATTTCTAATTTCTAAACTTAATAAACCTCATCAATTAAATCGTTAATAATTCTAATGACTTTCTCTTGGCTTGTTCCTTATTGGATTAAAGAAAGGGTTGAATGAATCAAAGTGTAAAACATGGATGATTTTTATATCTGATTTACTAATGTTACTTTCTCTATAATTACATATATTATCCTTGTGGTTTTTCAATTAAATTAAAGCAGTTGGATCTGTTTTAATGGAGGCTATGATCTTTTTAGCTTCACTCAATGCACCAACAATTGATGTTAATTCATCTCTTTTACTTTCAAATTATTATATAGAGTCTTATCTGTATTAAATCAACTTGTTAATTCTGTCATTGTTTCTCTATTCCTCACCTTCCTTATCCTCTGACTAATGTCTTTTATCAAGCAACTTTTATTCAAGTGGACCTACTTATTCTTAAGCTTATTCCAATTTGGTTTGTGAATCTGAGATAGTTTATGAATTTTAAGAAATACGTGTTTCGCATGTCTCCAATCTTTCAGATAAAAGCCAAGTATCTTCATCTTAATCATTTTGGATTCCCTTTTTAACTATCATAATAAATCAATGGTCCTCTCAAATGAGGCTGGTTCTTCATTCAAAGTTAATTAGAGTGCCTACAGTACTGTTCTTCCATTTTCATTCTATGATATTTCATATATTGATTTATTGCAAATAACACCATTTATCAGAAGTATAAGCAATATTGATGTAGCATTAAAAGCGAATATTAAGATAATAATATTTAATGCTATAATGAATATAAATAAATTATAAAATCAATAAAAAAAATATAGCACAAAATCAATTATACGAAGAGAGTAATCATCTGAATTAGGTTATTATTAAATATGAGTCCATTGTTAAATTATTTATTATCAAATTTAAAGCAAAATATATGCAGTATTTGAAATGCAACAAATAAAATATTTCATAGGTGATTCAAACACAAATAAAAGAGAATAAATAATCACACTGATAATTCATAATGAAGATGTTTATAAGAAATAGAAAAGCATTTTTCAATACCTTATGATAAAGAGTACTTTGAGGAAGTTTTTAAAAGTTATACTAATTTTTTGTTAGTTTATGAAATCACTATCCCTGATGTTGTTCAAGTTGAGGGAGATTAGAATTCCGGTTGTCGTTTGTGTCAAAATGCACCATCTCGTGATTATATTTGTTCTCAAAAGATAAAAAGTTTTATCATTTATAGAAATATATATAATTTATAATTTTTCATTTTCCTATATTAGAAATGTTTTAAACTAATTCTGGTGCAGACCTACGTTATTAGCCTTAAAATTCAATTTGATTTCGGGATTAATTAATATTCTATTTGTTTGATTAATTAATTTGGCTGAAATTGTAATTTTATTAATTTAGAGACTTCATAGGAGGTTAAATATTATTTTGAAACTAAATTTAAGATGGCTACTTTAGCGGGATATTAAAGTTAATTGGAGGCTTTGAACCATTAATTTAGCTTGAGATTTTAGTTGGCTGGATTAGATTTAATTATTTTAGCTCTTTTAATTAGCTATTAGCTGGATTATTTTAAGGTTTTCTTTCAACACTCAGGGAAACTCGTTCTTCTATTATCGATCGTATTTATTCTATACTAATTCTCCCTTTTGGGTTTTTGTTTAGCATTCTCTTTAGTAATTGCTTATACTTAATATCAAGATCCTGAAGATTATCAATTTTTGCATTTATATCAAGATTTTAAATTTTATCATAAATTTGACTTATTGTCGTACCTTAATAATAAATAAATATATAAGGATACCTGGAAAAAGAGGGGTATTTGTAAATAATTCATACATAACAGCCCCTAAAGCCCATATATCAACACTTTTATCATACTCCTATTATTATAATTATTCTGGAGCTATATAATAAGGAGTACCAACACATGCTGTTGTTAATTTTTCAGATTATTTAGAGGTGCCAAAGTCACATAATTTATACGTTTCTTGCATGTGACCACGATCCTAGAGTTGACATATGAGTATATTTTCTGGTTTGAGATCTCTATGAGCTAAACCTAACGAGTGAAGCTCATTTAAGCCATTTACAATTTATTTTAAAACATATCTTACATCTTTTGGATTAATTGTTTTTTTTTGAATTTATTCATAAAGGGAGTGAGAACAATATTCCATCACTATATAAATTAGATTGTTTTTTTCTTCATAATCATAAATATTCACAAGATTCTTGAAAGTCTTTTCTTTAAATTCTAATATTAACATCTTCTCACATTCATTGATTTGCTTTTAAACTTTAATGGCAAATAATTTTTTTGAATTGAATTACTCTGCCTTAAAAACTTTACCAAATGAGCCTTATCCAAGAACTGCTTTTATTATGTATTCATTAGAATTAATTTTAATGTGTGAAGGGTCAGTCATCTCCTATTCTTTTTTATAATTTAAATTAATAATAATTTATTCAAATCAATAGAAAGAGTTAAAACGAACGGCATAGTTCTATTAACATATTCAAATATTCTTTCTAAATCTCCTATTCCCTGATATTTGGCTGTTCAACATCCAGATTGAGAATGCATCTTATATTTATTACATATGTTTATAAATTTAAATAAAGAACTTTGTATAATTCTTTTCAAAATAATTGGTAGGCAATAGTAAGAAATGCTATTAGAAATTTGAAATTCTATTAAAAATATTTTATGATTCCTTTTGAAATCTCTCCTATTCAAGAGTTTCCTATTCTTAATAGAAATATTGGTTAGCATAATAATACCATCAATCGTTAAACAAAAATTTTTATTACTACTAAAATTCAAATCAACACAGTATTAGCATTTGAATCTATATTCTAATCATTTTAATGCATGCAATTAATATGACGAAAGCTCAACATTAACTCTAAGAACAAAGCTAATTAAAACTAAAACAACTGATTGTTTCTTCTAATTTCATCTTTTGAATATGATGTATTTGATTTTAGAAGTATATTTAATCAGTTAAATAAATTAATTCAAAAAGTAAAAATGAGAAAGAAAATAGAGAAAACAAAAAAAAGTATTTATCTTTATCAAACTTTAGAACCTTGGACTGATTATGAGGATTCACAAGTTATATAGTTAGTTGAATTGCATGGTCCTCATAAATGGACTTTTATTGCTTCAAAATTACCAGGAAGAATAGGGAAGTAATGCAGAGAAAGGTAATAATCCTATTTTAAAAATGAATAGATGGCATAACCATTTGAATCCACTAATTAAAAAACAACCTTGGGATCCTGATGAAGAATGGATACTGTTTTTATATCATAGAGCAATTAGTAATAAATGGGCAGAAATTGCTAAACATTTAGAAGGAAGAACAGATAATGCAATAAAAAATCATTGGAATTCAGGTATGAAGAAGAGAATTTCAGAATTCAATGATAAACTATAGAATATTAAATAATAGTTTGTTCTAAAAGGGTTGTATTTTATAATTTTATGAAGAAAGACCTTCTTATTTTGATCAGTTTCAGATTGAATTTGAAAAAAAGGCTCTTGAAATCATTTTTTTAAATAAAACTTATGTTAGTTTGTTAACTGATTCAGAGGATGAAAAGGAAGAACCTAAAAAATAACCAGTCTTTCAAAGCAAATAGAGCACTGCTTTAAGAAAGCAGCATTATGTAATTTTGATTATTTATGAAAGAATGATTCAAAAATCAAAACAATTCTCAAGCATCCTAGAAGAAATCGAATGCATAAAAAATATCTTCTTTTCAAAAAGTAGCAAAGGGATGGTGTTAATTCAAATAAATAACATATACTACAATGGACTTAAACTCCTTAAAAATATGAAAAGTAAATAATATTCCTATATTAAATTAAGTGATGATTATTATTACACACCTGCAGCATTTAATAAATAAAGAAGATTGAGCCATAGCAGTTTTAAATATAGTTAACAATAAAGCTATGTATTACAATATTCAAATAATATAGTTTAATGAATCCTTTATGGAAAGAGAGGAACTCAAATAGAATCTATTCCTCTGAAAAAAATTTTGTGATAAATCAATTTTTCATTTCTTTATTTGGAATAAATGAAGAAATTATATAATAATTTTCTTTAAAAAGTAATAAAGTACCTTATAAAATTGATTCTCGTTTTGATATTCTTAGAATTTTGTCTACCATAAAATCTGCTGTAGAGATAAATGAAGAGAGTCTGAGGAGTAAATAAACATGAGATATAATATAACCATTAAATTATATTGAAAGTAAAGTAATTTTATAATGAACCAGGTAATTCAACTAAAACATATTNATCAGTTAAATAAATTAATTCAAAAAGTAAAAATGAGAAAGAAAATAGAGAAAACAAAAAAAAGTATTTATCTTTATCAAACTTTAGAACCTTGGACTGATTATGAGGATTCACAAGTTATATAGTTAGTTGAATTGCATGGTCCTCATAAATGGACTTTTATTGCTTCAAAATTACCAGGAAGAATAGGGAAGTAATGCAGAGAAAGGTAATAATCCTATTTTAAAAATGAATAGATGGCATAACCATTTGAATCCACTAATTAAAAAACAACCTTGGGATCCTGATGAAGAATGGATACTGTTTTTATATCATAGAGCAATTAGTAATAAATGGGCAGAAATTGCTAAACATTTAGAAGGAAGAACAGATAATGCAATAAAAAATCATTGGAATTCAGGTATGAAGAAGAGAATTTCAGAATTCAATGATAAACTATAGAATATTAAATAATAGTTTGTTCTAAAAGGGTTGTATTTTATAATTTTATGAAGAAAGACCTTCTTATTTTGATCAGTTTCAGATTGAATTTGAAAAAAAGGCTCTTGAAATCATTTTTTTAAATAAAACTTATGTTAGTTTGTTAACTGATTCAGAGGATGAAAAGGAAGAACCTAAAAAATAACCAGTCTTTCAAAGCAAATAGAGCACTGCTTTAAGAAAGCAGCATTATGTAATTTTGATTATTTATGAAAGAATGATTCAAAAATCAAAACAATTCTCAAGCATCCTAGAAGAAATCGAATGCATAAAAAATATCTTCTTTTCAAAAAGTAGCAAAGGGATGGTGTTAATTCAAATAAATAACATATACTACAATGGACTTAAACTCCTTAAAAATATGAAAAGTAAATAATATTCCTATATTAAATTAAGTGATGATTATTATTACACACCTGCAGCATTTAATAAATAAAGAAGATTGAGCCATAGCAGTTTTAAATATAGTTAACAATAAAGCTATGTATTACAATATTCAAATAATATAGTTTAATGAATCCTTTATGGAAAGAGAGGAACTCAAATAGAATCTATTCCTCTGAAAAAAATTTTGTGATAAATCAATTTTTCATTTCTTTATTTGGAATAAATGAAGAAATTATATAATAATTTTCTTTAAAAAGTAATAAAGTACCTTATAAAATTGATTCTCGTTTTGATATTCTTAGAATTTTGTCTACCATAAAATCTGCTGTAGAGATAAATGAAGAGAGTCTGAGGAGTAAATAAACATGAGATATAATATAACCATTAAATTATATTGAAAGTAAAGTAATTTTATAATGAACCAGGTAATTCAACTAAAACATATTCGAAATTTGATTAAATATTTTTTTAATTGGCAAAAATGATTGAGCAGAGTAAAATATTTTGAAATGTGTGTGTATATTAATATTTTCATTATGATTCAGTGATGCTTTATAGTTAATAAGCATAAATAATAAAGATTGGCTAGGTCAAAATTATCTAGATAATAAAAAGAATTTATATAACTTATAATTCTATTGAATAAATTTCAATAGATTTAGAAAACGATTATCAAATTTATGATACTTCTAAATAAAACATTTTAACTAACTTTCAAAATAATAAAAATAGAGATATTGGCTTGTTCGTTAAATTAAATAATAAAATAAGCAGAATTAATTTAAATTTCTAAATAGACTTAAGTTTTATAACAAGATTAACCAAACTTAAAGTATCTCAATATGTCAAGATGAAGATAAGAATCATATCACATTAAGTAACATTTCCAAACTAATACTTATTATTAAATAATCTAGACATGAAGACATATAACAATGAATTAATATATTTAGAGAATAACTTTGGCTCTCTTTAAATTCTTTTGCTTTTTAGTGACTAAAATAATAATTTTAAGAACAAAAGGAAGATAGAGTTAAATCAGATTTGCAAACAAAAAATTTCGACTTCATTACTATGCATATGAATTTTGAATCAGTTTGTCTCCTTTTATTTTTAATTCTTTCAAAATTTCAACCTCGCTTCTTTAATCTTCATACATAAAAATTAATTAAGTAGCAAACTTTTTATCCCTTATTTTTGATAAAAGCGAAACTTGCAATTAAATTTATTATCCATTCAATTATTTATTTAATTATGAGCCTTATTGAACCATTTAGCTAGCATTTTAAATTTTAATTTAACTTTATACTATTTTATTTGTTTCAGAACGTAGAGTTTATTATTAATTTTCAAATTTGTTTTTATTTAAACAATTGAGTATCTCCTCAACTTTTACCCTTTATCTTGAATCCCTTTTTAAACATTTTTCACAAATTTATCTTAAATCATGATCCTAGATTATATTTAATTTCTATCTAATATCTTAATTTCTAATCTATTGAAAGATGGTATTTATATTTTTTCCAAAAAATAATTATTCTTCTGAGAAAAAGTCAAATATAATCACTCCCAAAGCCCAAATATCAACAGAGCTATCATAATTTAAATTTTCATCATTTTAGATTAATTCTGGAGCCATGTAATAAGGAGTACCAATATTCACTGTATGACTACCGTTGCCTTTTGATATTTTTGAAAGGCCTAAATCACATATCTTTAACAAAAGCTCATCATCTTAGATGTGCATTAATATATTTAATGGTTTGAGATCTCGATGAATTATGTTGAATTCATGTAGCTCCCATATTCCGTAAGCAATCTTGTAATTGAATAAAAAATTACTTAAAATATCATATCCCTTATTTCTTATATTTTAGCATCCTTTCGATGCATTTTTAGAAAATTTTACAAATCACCTTCATTACAATAATCCATAGCGATACAATTGTAATCCATAAAACCTTGTTGAAATTCAAAATGCTCATAACTTCTTACTACATTTTTTAGTTCATAATTTCTGAATTCTCTATAACATAAATGAATAAAATGTACTTTATAATTTCTTTTTCATAATCTGTAATTTCAGATTATTATAGTTTTAAAGCATATTGTTTTTTATCTTCATCATTTATTGCAAGAAATACTTATCCATTAGCTCCCTTACCTAATTCTTTTATAATTTAGTAATTTTTGATTTTTAATTGATTCATTATATTTTTTTAATGTAAATATATTATTTTTATTTTGAAATAATTGCTCTGAATTATTTAAAGTAATATATAGAAAGCTAAAATCCTTAATAGAATTAGCTCTTTATTTTGATATTTGATTATAAAATAGTCAAAAATTATTACATATTATTTAAAGAATTTAAGTAAGCATAAATTATTACTTTTATTTCTTTAATTATACTTTAGAGTAGACCAAAATAGTATTCAAATTATAATTTTTCTTTTATCATGATTTAAAAATATTTCGTTTTGAGACAAAGCAATATTAAGAATTTGGTATTACATAATGATTAATTTATATAATTAATATTAAATGACAACTCAAATAAAAAAACTATCGAAGTTAGATCACACAGTGCCTATTTATTCTCCTCGTTCAACATATAAATAAATTTTACATACTGATGAAACATTGTTAGCTGATCTTACTCTTAATTTTGATCCATTCACAATTAATGTTTTGAGAACAGAATTTTTAATACGACAAGGATCTATGGAAGTGACAGAATTCATATTGGTTGTTAAGGAACATTTATTAAGTTGGCAATTAGAAATTTCAAATAGAGATATTAAGTTGATTAGGTATTTGATAATATTACAATAAGATAACTTGTTAATCTTTTTGAGGAGATTGATTTAAATGGAAATGGGAAGTTAGAATGGGAAGAATTCACAAACTACATAATTGAAAAAGCAACAGTATTAAATAATATTAAGTCTAAATAAGATGAAATCAAACTTTACACAAAATCAAATATGAAACCATATAAAAAATTCACTTAAATCATCACTCGTGTAATCTACATAAAGGAAATAGATAAAATTGCATTTTTTGAAGAAGGAAGTGATGAAATTCAATTTATGACACCTGATGGTGGTTTCGGTTTGAAGCCATTAAAAATTGTTCCTATCAGTGATAAGGTTGTGACAACTCAAGCAAAAAAGGATAAAGATAAATAAAATGTATATAAACTTAATTCAGAACTAGTTTATTATTGTAAAGAAGGAAGACACAATAGAGAAAAAAACATAAATTTTGGCAATGCTTTATATTGATGATCCTAAGTATCAAATACTATTGACATCAACTCATGATGGTTATGTGAGAGGCTGGAGATATTAATCCTCAGGATTTGTTTAAGCCAATTAACCTGATAATGATGAGGAGATGATCGAACATCATTTCACTAATGATATCTATAGTATGACTTGGGATGGGATAAATGAAATTTTGTATTGTGGTTAAAAAGAAGGTCAAATTAATATATGGAACTTAAAAAATGATACAGAAATTTAATTTGAAGATATTAGTCACACTGATGTGGTGATGGATATGATTGCAATGCCAAAATTACAGTTTATGGCATCAGCTAGTTTAGATCATAATTTAATTTTGTGGAATACTTTATCCAAAAAAAGAGAGAGAACATATAAAGAACATACAAGAGGCATAGTATCATTAGCATTTAATGAGAGCTTAATTCTATTATTTTCTGCTGGATTTGACCATAATTTATGTGTATGGAATCCATATATTGAAAGTTTGATTTTTAAAATCCAAGGCCATAGCAGTCCAGTAATTGGAGTTTTAGTTATAGAAGGAACTTCCTAGATTGTTTCATTGGATTAGGAAGGTATCGTAAAGGTTTGGGATACAAAAAAATTTAATTGTGTTTAGTAATTTAGTGTAGAGACACAAGATGAAAAGCATAAATTTAACCCATCAAGCTTATGCTATATACCTAAACCATTAAAGTTGATATTTGGAGGTAGATCAATTTATTCTTATGAATACGATAAGAATTATAATCCTAATTCAGTAGATGATTATGTTGCTGTATGTTGTAAGTTCATAGAAAATCAAATGGCATTTTTTACACCTGCAGGTACTAAAATCAAAATTTGGAATGCTCTAACTGGAGATGTAAAGAAGATATATAGTGATATAACTACAACTGAAATAACAGCATTTAAGTTAGATAATTTGGATAAACGATTTATAATTGGAGACAGCAGTGGGACAGTGGCATTATTTAATGTTATTAATGGAGCAAAAATCAAGAACCTGCCAAAGCATTCAGGTGAGGTAGTTGCTATTGTTCATGCCTCAGATATTGGAGCTTTCTTTACTGGATCAATGGATAATAATGTATTTATGAGTTTAGATAATGAATTTGGAGAAAGTGAATTATTACGAACTTTTATAATTTAAGATGGTTAATTAACATACTTAAGTTATGATCCTATGATGAAACATTTATTGGCAGGAACTAATTCTGGGTAAATTAGATTTTATGAGACTGATACCAATAAATTGCATGGAGTTGCCAATGAATTCAAATAAGGTGAAGAAATAACTTCTATCAATCTCATTAAAGGAATTCCATTTATGTTTGTTACAAATAGTTAAGGAAGAATTTCAATTATGTCCATGCCTCCTGTATTGCATAGATTTGCGAAGATATTTACTTTTACTAATGTAGATCCTGAAATTCCTAGCTAATTATTAGGAATTTCAAATGCAGTTTTCAGTTAAGAGAAAAAGGTGCTATTTTTAAGTGATGATAAAGGATTTATTAAATGCTTTGAAGTTGATTGGCTTGTAGATTTTTTGATTCATGTTGTCAATGAAAAAGATAAGGAAGATGTTGCTACAAAAAGAATTAAGGGACTCAAAACTACCTAAAATGCAAGGCAAATGCTAGTATTACCTAAAATTGCTTAAAGAGAAGTTAAAATAAAATGGATAATTAGAGCTCACTATGAAGTTATTAAATCCTTAGAATATGTAGAAAAAGAAGATTTTCTCATCACTACTGCTTTTGATAAGAAAGTCAAATTATGGGATGCAGAGACTGGTAAATTTATTGACTCATTTCAACAAAATTATGATCGAAAAGAACCAAGACCTATTGCTCTTAAAAGAAGTGGAACAGAGGAGATTTACAATGTAGATTTAAATGAGAGAGTAGATCTCAAATACACTTAATTTGTACAATAACAATAATCAGAAGACTAAAGTGGTTAAGCACAGCAAATTTATTATATAGAAGAGAAGATTTAAGATCCCCTTGGATTAATTAAATCTCCTCAAGAAGAATTCAATCCATTCTTTTACTTAGAAAAGATAGATTAAACTAAATTAAATACTCTAAAGAGTAATCCTGAATGGAAGTTAGAAATAGGATTTAAAGAATATTATGAGAGATACGAATAAAAAATTAAAACTTTGTTTGACTAGGTCAAAATCAAAGAGAAGGAAGTACATGAAAAATAGGTTAAATAAGGAATTCACAATAGACATTTTAAAGTGTAGAATGGACAATCAGAGGATGACAAACAATTTGAATACAATCATAAACCAATTATTAAAGATGACGAGCTTAATAATAATCACTCAAATTAGTAACAGGCCCCACAATAATTCAATCAAAAAATAAGGTTAGAATAAGTCTTGTCAAGATATAAGGTGCAATAGAAAGATTAACATCCAAATTCATAAAGAGGAAACTAATAAATGAATTTAGATAGTTTGATTAATTAAAGTGATATAGTTAAAGAATTAAAATAATAACACTCAGACTATTAGGAAAACTATAAATTTGGAAGCAAAGGAGGTAATTTGACTCCTTAAGGGAGATCAACATAAGTTCCACCTTTATTCAAGAGTGGAGTTCAAAAATAAACTAAAAAAGTAGATCCTCACCTATTTGAGAAGTTGTACAAATAAAACTTAAAATGCAAGGCAATTTGCAATTCAGATCCGAAAATCTTCTTATCAGAAGTAAATTATTTACTATTTATAAAAGGCTGAATGTAATGCTGCATCAAGATTTGTTACTGTATTAGAGATTTATGATATCACAGATGAACGCTCATAAAAATTCAAGGAAATTAAATGTAAATCTAAAGTCAAATTACCGCGATTATAATGATAACTATAATTTTTCAATCATATATTGACTCTATTTAATATCTTAAATTTAATTAAGTTATTTTATAACTTAAATGTTATTTATTAAAATAATTGCATTTAAAATAGGATACTAATAAATTTTAGATTACATTTTTTTTTTTTATTTGGAGATAATAAAATATATAAATAAAAAATTATGATTTAAAGAATTAGATTTATTTATAGAGGAATTAAATGGATTGCAATCAATTTAAGAATAACTATTAAATATTAGAAAATTATAGTCAATTTATTGTCTAAATTTATGGGATAAGATTATGCAAATTATATGAGAACTCTGATATAAATATTTATATATCTACTAAACAATACTATACTTATCATTTTCTCAAATTTCTTTTAATTTGTTGCAGAGTTGGAATATCCTACACGTTTTTACCATAGTACATGAGAGTAGGTTCAGAATTATTTATTAAGTTTTTTACATAATCTTAAAGTTATTCTTTGGTGACATCTTCAATCAAACTTTCATAAAGCGGTACAGCATTTTATCCCATCAAAAATGTCTTAGATAAATTGAATCATTTACAGTTTTGATTTATTCTTCTAGTCTATCTGCCTATCTCTCTAAATTCAAATTTATTAAAGTTATAGCTATGTTTTTTCCTCTCAGAAATTCCTCATCACTCATTGGCTATCCTAACTATCTGAATTCATCAATTAAACATGAATATAATTCTTATTTTGAAGTAGGAGGTCCTTGGACTCTTAAACCAAATATTCCAGCATCAGAAAACAATTAAGAAACGCCTGAAGCTTCTTCCACAGACTATATTGATTACATTAGATTAAGTGTTGTTCTTGATCTCATTCCTTTTCCAGGACCACCAGTTGACCAGGAACCTATGAGATACTATAAATACTTGAAGATCCTAAAATTTGGTTTAATATATGTTGAGTAGGCATATTTTTATCACTCCATTTATTTCCTTTAAACAGAAGAGCGATATCAATAGAATCATTTTTTTCATCACTTAAGGCATAGGCTTGAGAAATGAATTCTGGACTTGTTTATTTCCTTAATTGTCTTTAGAAAACTACCAATTATTTTGACATTATTACATTATTAATGATTTACTAATTTTCTTTCAATGTACTCTCTAAATTATTCATGACTCCAAACTCCTGCGTAGCCAATTATCATATTTTAACTAGTAAGCATTTATTCTTAAAATCTTGAAAAATCTTCCTATTTTGGCAGTATTTAAGCAGATGTTTTAGCATTTGCTAATGGATGTGTTCCAAATGCAGCCTTTTTTATTGCTTCATCTACAGTCATCTAAATATTTCTATTTAATACCCTTTCTTAAGGAATACTCATTTAGCTAAATTAATCTCTTGTTTCTTTTGCAATTCTCTTTGTTGTTAAAGCCAGTTTCAATAAGACATCCACAATCATATCAAAGTCTTCCTGTATGAATTAACACTTCCAATAAGATAACTCTGAGTCATAAGTTTAATCCAACATGCATCCTGTTCGAAGTGTTTATTCACTAAATAGCTTAGATACTTACAAATTTTCAAGACAATCGTTTTCAGAGATATGATACATGTGTTAGTTGAGACTAAATAATGATCCTGTTTCTGAAGGGAGTTCATTTCTTAATCCTGCTTTGAAACAAATTCCAATGTCCGACGCAAATGGAAAAGCAGTTTATTCAGTAAATATTTTAATTCCAGAAGGTAATTCACTAATCTTAATTATTGGTTATTTATCTTTGATGAATTTCATTGATTTTACTGTTGAAAACCCTCTAAGAATTTTATTCATAAATAAATTTGTTTATTGTATTATTATATAATGTTCATCAAGCTAATGCTAATGCCACTTTGGTTTTATTATGACCATTTAATTGCTCATTTAATGAATTAACTTAAGATCTTAAAGCTTCAATTTCAGCAAACGATACTACAAGCAAGAAACTATATTCATCTATCTTGTATTGAAGACTATTTAATTTTGAATATTCAAACTTCCACTAACCTAAATCCTAAAAGTAAGTAAAAAAAGTACTTTTTCTAATTCAACAATTTTTGAATCTGCCTCATTCAAGTCTGCAGTTAAATGATCTACTTGGGTTGTTAATTCATTAGATTTATCTTCCAATTTTTTGGCTTTGAATTCATGTCTTTTAACTTCACTACTTAAAAGTGCCATTTTATCTTCGTATTTGTACTATTATATAAATGGTTAATTACTTTTATATCTTCAAGTTCAGCAATTTTGCTTTCTAATTATGTTAGTTTTTGCTTAAATTAATTTATAATTTCATCTTTGGATTCTGATTCTGTTTGTAACTTTTTAATTTAATTTTATAAATCTTCTTAATTTACTAATAAACCTTCAATTTCTGCTACTTATTATTTAAGTTGAGTAATTTCATTCAATTTATCTTAATTATCATCAATTTATTATTATAATTAGTTCTATAGAGAACCTAATTCTGTTTTTAATTCATTAATATCTTCAAGCTAATTATGTAAGTCATTCATTTCTTAATCTAATTTTATTAATTCTTAATTCTATGCATCTATTTCATCCTGCTTTTTTTTATTTAAAACCTTAAGTCGTTCTATTTCGGATGAAAGCATAGCTAATTTATTCTCCATCTATTCTTTAGTCATCTGTAGTTATTAATATGATTAATCTAATTGTTCATGCTTTTATTTCCATAATTTTAACTCTTTCTCTAGCTCTGCAATTCTATCTTTCAAGCTTTCAATTTCTAATTCCAATGCCTACATTTCTGCTAATTAACCTTCCAATTCTTAAATTCTTTTTTTAAGGTCATCAACATTTTCCATCTTATCTAATTTATATTTCATTCCTTCTATATGAGTGGATAACATAGCACATTTACTCTATAGATCATACTTTTCGGATTCAGTTTATTGAATTCTTTATTCTAAATCTTGTCGACCTTTAATCTCATTCTACAGTTGTTCCTATAATACATTTTTAGACTCTTGCAACTCTTTGATTTATACGTTTAATGAATCTAATTCTAATAATTCTTGTTATAAATTTTGGTTCTATTATTAATGATTAAGGACTTCTTAATTCTTTTATTAAATGGTTTGATTTAATCTTTGATTTTCTTATTTAAGAAGAGTTAATCTATTTTGCAAATCTAAAGTTGGATCCTCTTCATTAGCTAAATTTGATTCTGAAACCTTCTTATAACTTTGTTACAATGAGCTCAGTTATTATTGCAATTCTGCAATCACAGATTCAGAATTTGATTGTTTATGAACTATATTTTGTGCCTTTTATTCTTCTAATTATCTTTTTAATTCGGCGATATCTGTATTTGCTTAATTTGATTAGCCTCTTAGTTTTTCTAGTTCATCCTAATAATTTTGATTAACCTATTGTTATGCATCATATTTATTTTATAATTGACTCAATTTTTCTTTTAAAATATTTAAATCAGACAATTACTCTTCTGCATTTTTCAATTGTTCTGTTTTTTGATCATTCAAATATCTCAATCGCTAGGATTCAGCACTCAGCATTGCTACTTTGTTTTCTAGATCATATATTTTGTTATTAGCATCAGCCAATTTTTATTCAAGAACATTGAGTTCTTACAATTTCTATTCCAATTCTTCAATAATTTTATCTTTTTATTCCAACTCCTTTAATAATTATTGATTTTAATTTTCTAATTATTCAATTTCTCTTAACTATTCTTATAGGTTTTTCAAATCTTCCTATTATTCTAAAATCTTCTCATTTTTTTATTTAAGTTAAACTTTCAATCTCTCTATTTCTGATGCCAACATACTGACCTTACTTTCTAATTACTGTTTTTCTTATTCTAAAAGCTTAAACTTATCAATATCTTTCAATAATTAAGAATTATCTTGGGTAAGTCTTTCATTTTCTCTATGAATTTCTTCAATTTCATGTGATAATCTTTAGTTTTCTTATTATAACAGTGACAATGATTTGATTTTTTGATTTAATTCAGAAATAGTCAATTCTGCATTATTTAAATCTATGTCTTTCTACTGTGACTATTACAAGGTTTGCTATAATTCAGTACTTTTATCAGATAATAGTTTTTTAATCCTATCCAATTCTCCAATCAAGCCTTAATGAAGTTTAAGCTGTCCTTTTGTCTGTTCCACCTCAATTTGCAACTTCTATTTATCATCATTAAGTTAATGAATCTAAGTTGATAATTTATTTTATTCTTAAGTCAAAGTCTCAACTCTTGCAATAGATTCTTTTTGAGCTGATGATAATTACTGATGTTGGAGATCCAGATTCTATCATTAAAGATTGAATTACATTATATTTAATTTTCCATTAATCTAATTGTTTAAGGGCATCAGCTAAATCGGTTTATTATTTTTTTAATTGATTTTACGATTCCTGTCTCTCTCTTTAAAATTAATCTTTTAAGTTTTAAACCTCTGCAGGATTAAACTCTGCAAGTTTGGATTTAAGATCATCAATTTCTTTTTACTTTTTGATGTCATTTTCTGTATATTTTTACTTCCATTACTCAATCATCTATTCTTTTCCTTAATTTTGATTATGCATATCTTAAAGAGCCTATTAAAAAGCTTCCAGCTCTTATAATTACTCTTGATATTCTTTGCATTTTTGTAGTAGCTACATAAGTAATATAATTAGATACTTGGCTAATTGTATCCTCTCTTTCAGCCACTAATTTTTTTAATCTGTCAACCTCAACTTGTTAATTTAACAATTTTTAATTTTCAATAATCAACTTATTCATCTCAGATTTCTAGTTATCCAAATCAGCTTGTGCTTTAGTATAATCTATCTAAAACTTTTTAACATCCTCCTATGAACCTAATATCCTAGATTATAATTCATCTTTCTAAAAATATTACATAATTTCAGTACAATTTCATTATCTATCTCATATTTAGCTAATCGAGCTTCTAATGAAAAATACTTTTTTTTCCATTATTCCAATTCATCCCTTGCACCATCATCAACCTCTTTGTCATTATTGTAGGATCCTGGATTCTTTTCCTTTACAATTACTGTAGTAGGCAAATTCTGAGCAGCAGGTATAACATATGATCTCCCCATATTAGCAATAGCAGGAATAACTAATTTATAATTTAGTATACTCACTTCTGCTGGGTGATTTGACTGAAATAACCTAAGAAGATTGTGGCCTAAATGAAGACATTGTTAGTTAATTAATTTTTATTTAGATATTTATTAATTAGATAAAGAGAATCACTATACAGAAGCTTTGTTATACATTTGAAGAGCATCCCTTACATCTTCACAATTATCTTCTGCTATTTTTCTTAAAAATGCTCCTAATTTAACCAATTCTTTATCATCAGGATAGTTGTACCAAGTCTTAATTTAAATCCCATTTTCTTCTTAATGTTGATAGTTAGCCGCTATGTTATCTATTATTATGCATTTAGCCAGGTTTCTACCCAGTCTTGACAGGTCTTTTACAAAGTGTTATTGATATTACATAGCATGTTATCGATATAATCTAAATTAGATGTATTTATTAAAGGCAACTTAGTCAAGAACCCAATTTGCATAATCTGGTAATCCAGCAGTAAATACTCCAATCTCATAATATTTACTCATTTCTTACAGAAACTACTCTGTATATGGTCTTACTAAAAAGCTTTTTGTTTAATCTACAAAATGAATCAATGTTTCATCCATGTCTAAAATAAGAGTAAATTTATGGGTGGCTTCATTAGGGAGGTAAGGTTTATGAGCTACGCTTATCAATGGAATGCCCAATAATCCGTAATAACCTTATTATACAGTAATGTACAAGGATGTAAAGTTTTATAACATTATATTACTTTCTACTATCCTTAAATTAGGAATCAATCTAAAAAACGAATTTAGAAATTAATAAAGATCTTTGGATTACTTACTTAATGACTTATATAATCCTTATAGTAATTCAACATTTTGTCTTATTTGAATACTTGATTCTATTTTGTTATTGTTGAAATGCTTTTAGTTTTATGTAATTATTGTTGCCAATTCTTGTTTTTAAGTTTTCTAGAGTATGAACTAACCTAAAAAAAAATAGTTTTATAGATTATAGATGAGCAAGTTTCTAAAATTCACATTATTGGTTGAGTAGACTTGTTAATCAAAAAAACCATTCACTATTAGAATTATCTAATAATTATAATTTTATTATTTCTTACTCCTAATTTTATCAATATTAAAATTTATCTAAATTTCTTGCTATTTTCAATCAAAAGATTCTCTAATGCTTAAAAGTGCACTCCATCAATTATTTCCTAAAATCTGTTGATTTGATCTACGAAATCACTCACATTCTTGACTATTAAAAAATTAAATAAAATTACCTTCCTCATTGCATCCATCAATTTGGTTATTGAATAATAAATCTTAATATATGTATCTAAATTATCCTCTAAATTTTCAATTACTTCATATTTCTAATGCTTTGATGTTTCTTTTTTGATAGGTGATACCGATCTATTATTATCTTCTTTAGTTTTCTGATAAATTGAAGACTGTGATTATCTTGTTTCACTTAATGGGGGAGATTCCTCTTTTTAAATTGGATGCAATTTGACCTGTTTTAGGTTTATTTCTAACTTTTCTTCTGTGATGGCCACTTTTACTCTTACCTTTTTGATCTCGAAATTCTTCACAAAGCCTCTCGCTATAGATTTGGGCTTAATGACTGGAAGTTATTCCGTTACTTCCTACTCATTTTTATTTCTCAAGGAAGAAATTCCTCTATTCACTATAATTTTATATGTTGGTTTATTTTTCCTCATTTATTATTTTAAATAAAATATATACATCAGCAATTATAATTAAATCTTATTTTTGTTGGCTAATTGATATAACTTAAATTTAGTAAAAATAAATTGTAAAAAAAGTTGAATAAGTTACTATTCTTCATTTTCATAAATATAAAAATTATTTGGTTTAAAAAACTATTTCCCAAAGCAACATATAATTTAATCAAAACTTTACTCTTGATATCCAATTCATTAATATACCTTTTAATCCAAAAGTATCTTAGTTATGGTTTAATTACATTTCATTCTTGTTAGCAGTTATATTTTATCAGCAATAATGCCATATATATGGTACTATGCTTATCAAAAACTATTTTATGGAATTTCATTTTGTATAACTAAATTTTTGGTCACTTTGCAAAAGTAATTTAACTATAATTTTATATAGAGATAACTCTTTTTTCTTAGATTAATCCTGATCTATAATTTATTATGTTTAACTTTATTATGCTTTTTATACATATGTTATTATTTTTTATTTATAAGTTTTGATATGGAAACTCATGACAAATACTTTTACTATACTTGGAGAGATAAACCAAAATAATCCTAATTATGTTCAAACGACAAAAAAGTCAATGTAAATTGGATTAATTACAAATTAGGTTTTATGTTAATACAGTGATTCACTTTAACAATCTAAACAAACCAATTCAGATTAAAAACACTTAGCTTTTTGGTAATTAAAAAGGAAAAATAGCATAGTTGAGAAGTACTCATAATCTTAGATTAATACAACGAGAATTAAAACTAGAAGAAATTCTGTTGTTGCTGGATATGAATCCTAAATTAAAACAGCCAGAAAATCTAGCTAAACAAACTAAGCTAGTTAGGTTTCAAATGCATTAACAAATAAAAAGTAATTTCGAGAAGATTATATTGATGAATAATCAAGAAGAAGATTAAGTAGATTTTTATCGAATTATGAGATTTGTAACTTAATCCACAAAAGAAGTTTATCTAGATAAGACAATTAGATTTATGCTGAAGATGTAGATAAAGAAATGGTTGCAGCTTAAATTAAATCAATTCAAAACTAATAAATTCGATTTCAATTTCATCAATCAAATAAATAACTTGTACCAGAGAAAAAATATGATAACCAAATAAATGATATGGTAAATATGAAATAATCTACATTTAAATCTGTGTTTTAATAGATTTAACATCTCACCAATGAATAGAGCAAAAAAAGAGTGCCTATTACATCGCATAAAATGCTTAAATCAAGGACTAGACTAATTAGTTGTTCTCACAAAGTTAGAGAGAGATTTATAAATATTCTCAAGCAGGTTTTATTTGTAGCTAAATATAAATGTCGAGTGAGTTTCTGGTTTGAATACCCAATCAAGTATAATAACTCATTTTATGAACAAATAATTGAAGGCAATTACGATAAGATAATTCAAACTTTATCAGAAGACCCATATCTGGTTCATAGCAGAAACAAAGATGGGTAAACTCCATTACATATTGCTTGTATTTGTAATAATGCACTTTTGGTTAAATTATTAATGAAAAATTGCAGTAATATTGAAGCATTAGATAATAAATAGTTATCACCTTTATATTATGCATTTAAATCAAATTCTAATGATTGTTTTAAAGTAAATAGTATATTTAGATAAATCTAGATCTTACTAAACTTTAAAGCTAAACCATGGTCACCCCCAGGAGGCAAATTAGATCAAAATTAGATGAATGTTGTACAAAAAAATTTATTGATGCATGCTCGCTTAATTTATATTTTTACTATTTGGAAAGTTAAAAAATGATTATAATATAAAAATGCATTTTATTAAGGATATATTCAATAAAGTTGTAGGATCAAAAGAACCATTAGTAGAATAAGAGATTTTTGATTTTGTAATTTTAGGAACAATCTTTAAATTAGATGAAGCAAAATATACAATATTGTAAGTAAAACTCTGATATGCTTAGATCATCTAATTCAGAATTTGTGTTTGATTAATTAACAAATGATGAGTTTGATCATATTCTGATTGTACGATTACACAGAGCCTCGAAATCTTATAATAATGTAGTTGGATAAAAGGAAGGAGACTTTTATTTCAATATTTCATTTTTTAAATCAATACAATATTAACCATTAAGTGATTCTATAGATGAGTTTAGTATAGATTTGATGTATCACTTAAACTTAACCATAGAGATATTTAAGGTATTAAATGGAGTCTAAGAATGCATTTCCTAAAAAGCACAAAATAAGACAATTTAAAAATTTTAAATTTTAAATTGTATTTAAATAAATTAATTTGGATTCAAAAAACCAAGAAGACCCTCCCAAAAAATATAACTGAACTAGATAATCTGATACCTTCAAAATAATGGTCCAAATTTGAGATACCTAATTTATTGCTCTAAAAATAAATAATTAACACCTAAATGAGGGTAGATAGATCAATTTTATCATTATCAAATATTAGAACTATTTTAGATTAACAAACTATAGGAGATGTTATAAACTACCTTTTGCAGCAACGCAATAACTCTATAAAATAAATTTATGCAGGTAAACTATATACACTCTACACATAATTGGCAGAAACTAGGCTAATAAATCCTTTGGTTATTATGACTTTAAATATTGTATCTAATGCAGAGAGTAGAATAGAACTATACAATTAAGATAGATAATTACTATTAACTTAATAAATGAAAGATTTGGCCAATTTTTAATTAGACACTGATGAGAACTTTTTAAGTTGGGTTTATTATGATGGATAAAATTAGAGTGTTTTATATTTAAAATTTGACAATTTAGATGGAGCTAAATCAATGGCCTCTATTTTAAGGAAATCAAAAATAAACATGAGGAAAAAAACAAACTTATAATTAGAGACTTCTACTTCATTTAGTTAAATCTCAATAACAACGATTAATTTAAATGAATCGTATAATTAAGTTCAATTAAAAAAATAAAAGAAATACATTTATAAAGATGACATATATACTATAAAAGGAGGTTTAAAGACAGCAACTACTAAAAAAATCTTATTAAATGAAGCTGACAATCTAATAATTTTAGAAGATAAAACGATTTCTTTTCTCAATTATAATAGAACCTATTAAATTAATTAACATATTAAATTTGATAAAACATATCTTGACTATAATTCTAAAAAGTTAGTTTTATATATTTAGTTTTAATATGTATTACACATGATTGATTTAGGAACTTAAACTCAGGATATTATTAAATTAAATTTTTAGATAGCAGATGTTTGCTCTTATGAAAATTAATTTATATTATTAAGTAATTAATCAGTATATGTGTTAAGAGAGGGTAATTCAATTTAAAAAAGTAAGATTAATTTTGATATTATTAGTTAATGAAATAGATTAAAATTTAATTGATAACTACCAAATTATAAGATGCTCAATTAATGGATCTATTGTTATAGGCACATTTTAAGGTTTAGTGCTTGTATTTGATAATATTTTAACGATGAAATAAGTAAATATTTTTGAAGGACAAGGGGATCTTATTCAAGATATTGTATTAAGTACAGATGAAAAGTAAGATATAAGTTTTAAAATAGGTTTATCATAATTAATAATTCTTAATACATCTAATATTAGTAAATAATAACAAATCACTAAAATGGTTATCAGTAAAAGTTAGATTTGAAGCCATCTCCAATTATAGTTTAACTACACCCTGAAGATTTGATTTTGATGGGAATATATAATTATCCAAATTTTTAACATGTAAGGATGGATAAAAAAAATAAAGTTATTGCAGCTTAGCTCGAAAACTTGCAAGTGATTTGGAATGTTTAATAAATAACTCATCAATAACAAAATTCATATCAAGTAATTTAATTTCACTAAGGTTAGATTTTCATTCTCCCTGAAGAAATCTTTGATCAGCAATATAGAGAAGAAGATATTATAATTCTGTCAGAATCAAAGATTTCGATTAGAGAATGTTCTTGATATATAATTAGAAATTAACTATTACTTTCATAATACTTAGCATACATAAATTAATAATATCAATCGGTAAAGAAGTCATTTAAAACTTAATCTAAATTTTAATAATGCTTTTTAACATCTTCTTCAACTTTTTTGAGAACTTCTTTTTTATTTTCTACTTATTATGTTTATTGTTATTTTTAGGATTGTGGTTGTTATTTTTATTATTATTGTTATTAGGGTTATTCAACTTTTTAAGGTGCCACTATTATTTCAGCCTTTCTTTTTTCGCTTGTATCTTCATTTAAGTAGGTTGGCAACTTAAGCCCAGGCAAATGTATACCAACCAAATGCGATAATGATCCTATAGGAAGTTTTTAGGTTTCTACTGGAGGGGCAGAACTTTTTTCTTCTTCTTAAACAATGTCTTCCTTGAAATCCACAGATTTTGCCAATGTTCTAAATAGATCTCGAACCAAGAGACTTGAGTCAAATTTAGCCAAAGTCATTATGTATTAATGGAGTAATTCGATCTATTACTCTTAATGAATAGATTATAATTAATGACTAAGCAATAAAATCTAAAAAATAAGAAATAAGCTTACTTCATATTTAACATTTTCATGTTATTAAGAAAAATTCAATGATAATTTTCTTAAGTTTTCAGCAGCAATTGTAGGTATTTGTTCTATTTCTTATCTAAGAAGCTTTATAACAGTAGCCTTATATCTAATATCACTAATATCATCTATATTTTAAAGACAAATAGCTAGAAGAGGTAATTTTTTCTCTTAGGTGCTAATTAAATTACAAAAAGATGCTATAACATGATTTTTAGTATCAGAGCTACCCGTTTTTAGGATATCAAGAAGAGATTTAATAGTACGCTTAATGAATTTTGGGAATTTAATGGTCGTTTTAGATAATAGCTTGACAGCAACAGCTACCAATTATGGCTAATTAGATCTGGCTTAATATAACAATTCTTCTAGAATATTATTAAAATTATTCTCATCTATTAATAAGGATAGAATTTCTAATTTAAGTAATTTACAATATAGTTTTTCAATTTATAGGATTGAAAGTGCTCTATAATGTTCTTTCACATATTATGGATATGAGAGGGCTAATTGATGTAACATCTGAAGGATTATAAATTTGGATTCAGATCCTATATTTAAAAATTTAACAACAGTTCTGATAAGTTTCTTAATTCTAGATTCTTGTGGGAACTAAAGATATAATCTAGATATTGCTAAAACAATGCCTGGATAAGGTAATCTTAGAAGGATTTCACAGGCATCCAATAATTTGATTAGATCTTTATCTCCTTCCTTGAAGTACATCACACTATATTAATACAATAATTGGAGTGCTCTTTCCAAATCAAAACTATTAAAATTTAACAAATCTTTGATAAGTTAAAAATAATATTTATGTAATATTGAAAGATCTCCAGTAATTTTGAAAATCACATATATAGCATAAAGTCTAGTTTGATGAGTGTCTTTAAGCAGAAAATTGATAATATCATTATAATCATCTGGTTAAACATCATCACTACACAAATCATGCATTTTCAGAATTGATAATGCAACACTTCTTCTTACCAATGGATTTTTATCAGCTTATATCTTTCTTATTGCTGTGAATAACATAGGAGTAAGTTCTTAGATTCTCAAACTTGACAATGTTTTCAGAGCATTTAATTTTATTGAAGTGTTTAAATTAGTTAGATCCTTAAAAATGGGAGCAGTAGCCAATATAAGGACATCCCCTTGAGATTTGCTTGTTCTTGCATTTGGCTAAGCTGCAAATTCACTTATCAATATTTAGCATAATCTCTTTAATTCAAGATCCTCTCTTGGAAGTAAATTAATTATTCTCGACATATATAGAGTTAGATCTTTGTTTTGTAAATATTACTACATTTATAAATAAGATTGATACGCAATACAAAATTCTGATTGCTTCAACCAGATCTTCAGTGTATTTAGAATTGATAAGTTCAGCCAATTTATTGTTTCTGCTTGAGGAGATCGATAGTGTACCATTTCCAAAGGCTTTGCCAATTTTATCTGGAAGCACAGATAGCATAACACGTAAATTATATTATTTTTAATGTTAGAAAAATCAAAAATTAAATAAATACTTCTTGACAAATCTCTAGGTTAAATTCTCAAAGTCGATAGACCCATTGAATCTATTTAACAAGATAAGGATATTACACCATTAAAATCATTTAGTCAGCATTTTCATACAACAGCAGGAAGAGAGTTTGTCTCCATCCCCTGTTTGAAATCAAGAATTGATTAGAATTCTGATTAGAATTGGAAATTTATACGCCCGCGTACTCCATCTATATCATTTAATTGCAAGCCTAGGGTCACTATATTTGATGAAAAAAGAGACGTTTCTCAATAGCAAGGACTCAATGTTTCTCTATCCTGGGAACCAATTCAGAAACCTATTCCCTTAAATAAGTAAACAAAGAGAAAGCCTTGGTTTACTTTATAAGTTCTTCATGATTGTGTTGCCGATCACTAAAAACCGAAACCCATTTGCTTTGTTAATTATACTAAAGCTACTCATAATAAAGAAAGACCAAGATACGATCATCAAATAGATGATAGCAAAGTTGCACAAACTTATTTAAAATTGAAGTACTTAATAATTAAAAAAGACCTAATTACTAAAGAAGGTATATTGACTTTACTAAATTGGTAAACAGAAAAAATGCCTCTCCTAGTTTAATTAAATTTTGATATGACCCCTGATAAATCAATGAGATTCAAATAATTTATTATTATTATCAATTTTTAATAATTTACATTTATAAATTAACATATCAAAATACCTTTATAATTAATCATTCTTTTTGATATTATGTAATATTTAAGCACTTTCTTCAACATAAATTTTTAACTTTAATTATATTATTCTTTCAAATTGAACGAATAATTTTTATTCAAATTTACTAGATTTTTAATAATTTAAATCTAAGGTTATATAAATTGATTATACAATTTCTTAATTTTAATTTTATTGTTTTCTAAATATTATCTTAAATATATTTTATTTTGGTTTACTAAATTATTTTTAATGTAATAATCTCAAAAAGAAAGAAAAGTTAAATTTATATAATAATAATAATATTGATAATTATTTATAACGATAATTACTCAATCACTTTTTGTTCATTGTACCTCCATATTTCACTTTCCCTAGTAAGAACTCGCAAACAGCCACAGGAGCTTTTTCTTTCATTTCATCTAATGAGATCCACTTTTAATCAGCAGAATCTTCGAAACACACCAAAAAATCTACTCTTCCATTGTCATGTCTAACTTATTTCACTTAGCAGAGTTTACTCTTTCGAGGCTTATGAGGACCATTTCCTACATTATTGTTAAGTGTATTATCAAGATCTTTCTATGGTAATTATTGTTTTTATTTTTCTTAGGGCTTTTCAACAACTTTTTCAGCTTTATCGACTTTGTCATTTGATTTCTTTTCCTTTTTTTGTTCCTCTGGTTTTTTTGCATTGGCAATTTAAGTTATTGGTTAAGTATCTTATTTAATGTGTTTTTGAGGCTTAGGTTCTTAAGGGTCGTGGCCTAATTGTTTTAATTCGTAATCGTGGACGAGAACCAGCATTTCAGGAGTTAATTATGTCATAGGTTCAATTGATACTGAATTGTTACTCCATCTAAACTTATACATGATGGCTTCAGGATCGATCTTTTTCTTCAATAATTCAACTGGATGTTTTGAATTCATAATAGTTAAATTAATTATTAAGAGAGCTCTATATATGTTTAAGTAGGACAAATATTGCAATGGTTTATCAAAATATTATATAACATTTATTGTTTAATTTAGTTTTAGTTTTTCATAAAAAAATACAAAATATTTGGAATAATAAATATTTTAACATTTCTTTTTCATGCTTCTATAATCAGTTAATTATTTGTATAATAATAATAATCTATAATAATTGAATAATTTAAATATAAAATGGCAAATATACACAGATTGGGCGATGACAACGACCAGGAAAATAATTATCAGAACATTAGGGGTAATGGAGGATCATAGATGATGTCGATGTTCGGTAATTGTCTTCATCTAAAACCATTAGGAGGAATTGATGGAGACCCAAGAGGCGAGAATTTTTTTCACATGCTGAAGAAATCGTTCTGTCCAAAACTTAAACCTATTTCGTTTACCACAATAATTTCAGCTCTGATTATAATTCTATATATCACAATGCTGGGAGTGGGAGGAGTCAATAAATAGGATCGATTTTTATCAGTTTACAAGAAAACTTTGAAGGATTTTGGTGGAAATGATCCAAATGAAGTTAAATATAACTTTGAAATTCTCAGATGGGTGACATCCTTATTCTTGGTTACGGACTTCTATAATCTAGTGATTGCAATCTTTATGATATTCATCTGTTATTCAATCGTAGAGGCTACATAAGGATTGCAATTAACAATGATAGTATTTTTTGGAGCTGGCGTAAGTGGTGCAATATTTGGAGATTTGTGTAACATTTGCAAATATACAACATATTCTGAAACCTTTGCTTGCATCTATGCTTGTGTAGGATTTTTGATAGGAGTATATAATTTATTATATTTAATAGTACATAATTTTATATTGGCAAAAATTAGATGCTTTGGGAGACATGAAATGTGCTTTGGTTTGCTTTGTTGCTATGGTGGTAATATTTGTAATGATGTTCACTTTTGGATCAGGATAAAATAGTTTTTATGACAATTTGGGCGAATTGGGAGGTTTTTTGGGGGGATTGTTTATAGCTATGAGTTTGATCGAAGTGCCTTAGAGTGGGGAGTATGAAACTATTTGTCGAAAGGTCGGATATGGATTTCTGGGAGTCTAAATTGGATTGAGTATAATTTTATTATATTCTTTGTCATGCAGCTGATCATATAATTATGAATAATTTACCATTTAATAAATGGACCCTAAGTTTCATTAGCAAATAATACGAGGATCTTTACGAGTCTGAGATGATTAAATAGAGGCAATCATACTTTAGGATCATAGATATAACCATTTTGCTATTGTGCATCTTCTTCTTCATATTTTATTTGCTGTAAGGAGGATAAATCGTTGTAATGGTGATATTAGCATTTTCGAGTCTAGTTATTTTATTAACTCTGATTTACGCTCAGAAATTCGCATCAAAGGTCGGCTACTATTACTTTTTAATGTATGTCGTATCCTTAGCTATAAGCTTATACATAGCATCTCAAAATTAGCAAAAGTAATTTGTAGATCTATATTTATAAGATCGTCATTTCTTTACGGATAGGCAACAGCCATAATTGCAATAATACAATTCCTCTTTAGTCATATAAAATTGCGGATGTTTACTCTATTTGTTGTTCCAGCAGTCTAACTTTATATTTTAGGATTATTTACTGTCTAAGATTTTGGAAATATCATCCTAACCTTCATGACGTAATTTCTGATTTTACTCTATTCTCATTATAACGAATTCATGTTTCGCTTGGCATTTTCATATATGATCTACAATCTTAAACTGAAGTAATTATTTATTTTATAATAAGAGACATATCATAGGGATACATCCCACATTCCTTTATAGCAATAAGTCTTAATGCCAGAAACAACTCTTTCCAGCTCGAATTTCAAAATCAAATTAGTTAAACAAACTTAAATGTTGAAGATACTAAAACTTTAATTGAAATGATGAGAAACACCTTTGTTGTCCCCAAGGGTTAAATACCAACTTTTGTTGATTTATAGAACATAAACATTTAAAGATCAAGTGAGTTATCTCTAAGACGGCTAGGCAATAAAAAATAAACCTTGGAGGAATATGCCTTCTATAAGAGTAAATAAAACTCTTCAGATGAACAATAATAATCCAGTGAACAGACCGAATAAATGGAAGGCGTGTTTTATAATTAAGTCAAAGGAACCAATATAATTGTCAATATTGATATCAAATCTATGAATTATGGCAAGAATTATTTACTGATTGTCGTTAAGGAAGAAAAACCTCCTTAACAGTTACCTAAAAGCGAAGAACAAATTCGATTCTTAAGCAAAGTTATTTAATATGCTTCTAATCAACTTTCAGTAGCACATTAGCATTTCTACAAAGAAATAATAGGCTTAAAGTTGAGTTCATTGGATAATAATAAATTTTGGTAAATTAAGTGTATGAATTTAACTATTATGAACCACTTTTAAAACTTTTACTTTTTTGTTCATTCCACTAAAATCAATAGTACTTTGGCAACTTATAATAAAATTAATCTTAAAACCTTTCTTAATAACTTGTAACAACACTTCTCCTATATGAGTATGAAATAAAAAATGAGATTTCATCACTATTTGTAACTGGAGGATTTTAAGGTTAATGTAAACTCTAAATTCCTATCCTAAATTATAGTTAACATTTTTGAATCTTGTTTGAAGTTAGCCAACTGCAATTCTACAATAAATCTGAATGTTACAAATGAATTGAATCTAAATCCATTACAAAACAAAACTGCTGAAAAGAAATGCCAATAAGATTTAGATTTTATAAAAAAGGTGGCAGATGAATCTCTATAAAGTCAGAGTAAAATAGAAGTGTAAAAGCTTATCAAATTTGAGTTTTCGTTTTTGACAAGCAAAAAGATTGATTTAAATTTAGAAACCAATATAATTTTAAATCCCTAAACTTATGAAGAGTTCCAATTTAACAACAGTTAAGAATTCTAACTTAATCAACCTATCACTAATTTTTTATTAAGGAAGATTGGCCCCTACAATTCAATTTAATATTCTTAAAATATCTACTGCGGTCATTAATGTTAATAAACATTGATGCTATACCCCCCTATGTAAGATTTGATTTAATAACAAACCCTGTATTAAAATAAGATTAGTTTCTACATTTACACAGATTAAACCCAGCTGACACAATCATTCATTAAATACACGTAATAGAGATCATTTTTATAAGCTTGATAGTTAAGTTTATAATTTAAATTCTTAATCTTAAAATAATAAAATTTCATTGTTTAAAACCACTAGTTCCAGCTTTCATTTCTATTTCTTAAGAACCCTTCCTTGGTTATTTATTTTCTATGGCTCTCTTCTTTCTAAGGAATGTGGAAGGTCTTTTTATTTTACCCTTAAAAATGATAGATTGATCAATATACCTATATAGTATCAGGATCAGCTTCAGGGGCAACTTGTTCCTTAAATAATTCAATGGATTAGAAGTATTGATCAGGGATTTATTTAATACAGTATCCAACACCCAAACTACACATTCCAATAATAATGCAAGCGACATGATGGGCAAAATCAAGGGGAGTGACTTTGATTGCTTTTCCACCAAATTAACTAATGAGATTATAAGCTGAAAATTTACACAATAAGAATTTGAACAATAATAGTTCCAACAATAACGCATATGAAAAGATAGTTGTTAAAGAACCCATCAAATACATTCAATTCAGTCTTTTTCAATTTTCTAGCATTGATTTCATTGAAGACTTACAAGAACACAAAAATATGGAAGAAGATAGTATAATGTTCTTGATAGACAGGGCTAAAATAAGATAATGTTTTATAGATACTTATATTCTTCATCCAATCTATGTCCTCTACTAGATTCAATACCAAAAATGGAGTCTCCACTGAATAAAACGATCAAAAGAACAAAGAGTTAAAATGCTGCTTGACATATGATACTCCTCCACATTCCTGGTGTGATCATGTGTTCTTTTCTTCCATATGGTTTACGTGTCAATAATTCATCAGTGGGAGGTTCAGTGGCCAATGCCAAAGATGCCAATGTATCCATAATAAGATTAACCCACAACATTTGAATACTTGTTAAGGGAGACTCCTTTAAGAAGACTCCTCCCAAGAATGCCATAGATACTGCAACCACATTGACAGTTACTTAAAATACAAGGAACTTTCTGATGCAATCGAAGATATTTCTACCCCATTTCATGGCTGTTACAATTGAAGCAAAATTGTCATCTAGAAGGATAATACCTGCTGCTTCCTTAGCAACTTCAGTTCCTTAGATTCCCATAGCAAAACCTACATCTGCCTTTTTTAATGCTGGTGCATCATTTGTACCATCTCCTGTTACTGCTACAACATTCTCAAGTTATTTCAGACCAGTGACCAATAAAAACTTGTCTTCTGGAGAAGATCTGGCTAAGACTCTTAATTCTTAAGCAATTGTAGTGAAATTCTATAAATTCTTCACTTTTGGTATTTCATTTCCTTGTTCATCTTTCTCATACTCCAATCCTTCAACCATTTATCTGAAGGTCTTTCCTTCCATTACAGCAAGTGAATCATCATGATGCTCATAATTTGGTGGTAAGATTCCTGCTTTCTTGGAAATGGCAACTGCAGTATCAAAATTATCACCTGTAACCATTCTTACAGTAACTCCTGCTTCCTTACATTATTAGACTGCTTTGATGATTCCCTCTTTCAATGGATCTTATAAGCCAGTCACTCCAATGATTGTATAAGATTTGTCAATCATATCTTCCACATTGTTAAATTCTTCTGGTTTTGATGGTCTTCCTTAGATCATGGTTTCTCTATACAACAATAAGATTGATCTTAATGATTAGGATGCNCAAGCGACATGATGGGCAAAATCAAGGGGAGTGACTTTGATTGCTTTTCCACCAAATTAACTAATGAGATTATAAGCTGAAAATTTACACAATAAGAATTTGAACAATAATAGTTCCAACAATAACGCATATGAAAAGATAGTTGTTAAAGAACCCATCAAATACATTCAATTCAGTCTTTTTCAATTTTCTAGCATTGATTTCATTGAAGACTTACAAGAACACAAAAATATGGAAGAAGATAGTATAATGTTCTTGATAGACAGGGCTAAAATAAGATAATGTTTTATAGATACTTATATTCTTCATCCAATCTATGTCCTCTACTAGATTCAATACCAAAAATGGAGTCTCCACTGAATAAAACGATCAAAAGAACAAAGAGTTAAAATGCTGCTTGACATATGATACTCCTCCACATTCCTGGTGTGATCATGTGTTCTTTTCTTCCATATGGTTTACGTGTCAATAATTCATCAGTGGGAGGTTCAGTGGCCAATGCCAAAGATGCCAATGTATCCATAATAAGATTAACCCACAACATTTGAATACTTGTTAAGGGAGACTCCTTTAAGAAGACTCCTCCCAAGAATGCCATAGATACTGCAACCACATTGACAGTTACTTAAAATACAAGGAACTTTCTGATGCAATCGAAGATATTTCTACCCCATTTCATGGCTGTTACAATTGAAGCAAAATTGTCATCTAGAAGGATAATACCTGCTGCTTCCTTAGCAACTTCAGTTCCTTAGATTCCCATAGCAAAACCTACATCTGCCTTTTTTAATGCTGGTGCATCATTTGTACCATCTCCTGTTACTGCTACAACATTCTCAAGTTATTTCAGACCAGTGACCAATAAAAACTTGTCTTCTGGAGAAGATCTGGCTAAGACTCTTAATTCTTAAGCAATTGTAGTGAAATTCTATAAATTCTTCACTTTTGGTATTTCATTTCCTTGTTCATCTTTCTCATACTCCAATCCTTCAACCATTTATCTGAAGGTCTTTCCTTCCATTACAGCAAGTGAATCATCATGATGCTCATAATTTGGTGGTAAGATTCCTGCTTTCTTGGAAATGGCAACTGCAGTATCAAAATTATCACCTGTAACCATTCTTACAGTAACTCCTGCTTCCTTACATTATTAGACTGCTTTGATGATTCCCTCTTTCAATGGATCTTATAAGCCAGTCACTCCAATGATTGTATAAGATTTGTCAATCATATCTTCCACATTGTTAAATTCTTCTGGTTTTGATGGTCTTCCTTAGATCATGGTTTCTCTATACAACAATAAGATTGATCTTAATGATTAGGATGCATAATTCTTAATAACACTATTAATTTTTTGTTTATAATCATTGGTAATCCTAAAAAAATTAGAAATTATAAATACACAACAGCTCTTCCTTCGGCATTTATGTAATGTGAACATTTATCTAAAAGCATGTCTGGAGCACCTTTAGTATAAATTTTGAATTAAGTTCTGTCTCCTTTTGGATCTAAAATGATTGTCATCTTCTTTTTCTCTGAACTGAAAGGGAACTTCTTTTTGATCTTTTCTCCCATATTTTATCTAATCTATCTGAAATCATATCCAAATTTGTAACTCATTTCCAATAATGCACATTCAGTTTTATTACCAATATGCTCAAATTTACCAGATTCATCTATTTGTGGATGTGCCATAGAATTCAAACAGATGCCTTCACATAGTAATTCTAAAGTTGAATTTTTAATGGCTTTAGGATCTAACTTACTAAAATCAGTATCTTCAATGTATAAATTGGTGACAGTCATTTTATTTTCAGTCAAGGTACCAGTTTTATCACTGCAAATATTGTTTGCTCCTCCCATTGTTTCACATGCAGATAAAAATCTAACGAGATTTTTTTCATCCTTCATTTTACCAACAGAATATGCCAAAGCTATTGTAACAGCCAATGGTAATCCTTCAGGGACAGCAACTACAATAATTGTAACTGAGACAATGAAGAAATTGAGTATTTCTTTTACGGCATGAGCAGAGAACAAGGGATATTCATTAAACACTGCATCATAGAGTAAATGAAGTGTCATTGCAATAAATGTAGTTACGGCTGCTTTTAACCCATATTCACCAATTTAATCAGCCAAAATACCCAATTTCTCTTACAAAGGTGTTTTATCATCTTTAGCTTATTGAGTCATTAATTTTTTAGAAATTCCCCATTATGAATTCTCTCCAACTGCCAAGATGAGAATTTCGCCGGTACCTTCAATGATTGATGAACCACTTATCAAAAATGGATTACTTTTCTCTTGCTATTCATATTAGTGTGGAACATTCTTTTTGATCGGATTTGTTTCTCCTGTAACTGAAGACTCATCTGCTGTTAATTCACTTGATTCTATAACAACTCCATCAACAGGCAACTTCTCACCTGTATCAACAATCATAATGTCTCCAACAACCAATTCATATATATTAGTGCTCACTATTTTACCCCCTCTTTTTACATTCACATTTCTATTTTCTGCTATTGCATTCAATTTTCTGAATTACTAGTCTTTCACATAATTATTTCCTGCTGTAACTGATACGATTATAATAACTGCTATGAAAATTGCCATTCCATCCATCCATCCCTAATCAAATCTTATTAATCAATACTTCTTTCCATCCTTCTGTCCATACACCTATAATCAAGTTTACAGCTGCAGCCAAACACAGTATTCTAAGCATTGGATCTTCGAAGTTTTCAAGGATCTGATAAATCAACTCATAATCTTACATATTCCAAAAGCGTCTTTGGTTCTTTTATTTCAGGCTTGTTGTCACCAAAACTATAGTTAAATATACATATCTTACTTCTTGACTCTCAATTCCATATCATTGATATTACTGCTATCTAACCCTTTCTATATATATATATTTTCTGATATACCTTTGGATCTGTCCTCAACTTCTTCATCAACCCATCTATCTTTCCATGTCTTCCCAACTATACCAAACTTGATCCATCTCTCACATTGTCTGGAACAAACAAGTTGCTTTAATATTCGATATATCTTTTACGATAATTCCTTTGCTGTCATTCCAAAGTCAGACAAAGTACTTCCAACCAGAAGATTCTCATCTAGCTAAGATGTCATTATTTTTAATTAAAATTTTATTATCAAAAATCATTGATTTTCTTATTTAATACTCTCTCCTCATTAAACTTTTATTAGAAAATGTGTCATCATCAAAATTAGATTCATTTATTGCCTCTGAATGACGCCATTTATCATACACCACCTACTTTAATTCCCCGTTCTCATGCAGTTTCTAATTGTAAATTTATCAAAGTGAGAATTAATGTTAAAGTATCTTGCTACATTATACTTGTTTAAATAAATTTAATTTTATATTTTACTACTAAATTAGTAGTTATTTTAATTTATTTTTGATACTCACAGTCTTTCAATTACACACCACCAATAAGTTTCGTTATAATTCACCAAAACTGATTTATTGTTTATTTTGAATATGTTTTTTAAATTATTTGTAATATAATAAATAACTTAATCAAAATCTTAAAATTTATCTGATTTTACATCATTAAATTTACATCTTATTCAATAATAATATATTAAAAATGGGATATAAGTCATATTTAAGTATGCAATAAACATATATAGTAAATTAAAAAATCACAAAAATTCCACTCTACCATTTCTAGTTATTTTGAATTATTGTTGATTCTAATTATAGTGAGCAGATTTGTTTCTTGAACGAAAAAAATGGGATGCTCTCTTTGATTGGCAAGACCATAATTTTCCAGTGTCCTTAAGACTGCCTTATTCTGTTCTAAATTAGTGAGCAGTCTAGGCTCTTGAATCATTTATCTGATTAATTGTCAGAGGTTTCAACGTTATGAATAATGCGTCCTCATAAGTTGGGTTCTTCCTTTTTGGAGTGGAAATCCTTTTTATACTCAATGATTTCTTGAATGAATGATTTGATATCTTCCTATTCAAAGGGGACTGCAACTGTATCTTACGTGGGAATTATTTTTACTCTTATAACTTAATTGTGATTACTAATAGTGATGCCATAACAAGGGGATAATTTGATAGTTATTTTGCTTTAATTGACACTGGAAATTGCTTGCCTTAAAAACCATATTGCACCAACTAATTATTATATTCTGATTTATCCGACATTAATTCCTCCCTTAATTATTCTTATTATTACAATAATAATTTATAATTATAATAGAAAAAATATAGTTATGATATTTATGATTTTCAGTATTCAAATTTATAAATTAAGATTTGCAAGGAGCATCAGAAACTGCCTATCCCTTGAATCACTCAAGAATTATTAATCTCTAAAAAATCAACAATTTTATCTATGACATGTAATTAACAAAACGAAAATCAGCATATTCATGTAGTAGGATGCTTATACAAAATGGCAGACTAATTTGGATATCTAACTTATTAACACTTAAATAATAGAGAAAGAATTACTTTTAAATGCATATTTTTTTGAGAACATTTGATTTAAAAAAGGGGATTAGTTTCCTTATAAATGAAGCTTCGAACTTGCATTACTAAAAATAAGAGCAAGGGATTTCGTATTAAAGAATTAAAAATGGATAACAAAAAATATGACATCATATATTAAAAAACTAATGTATGTAAAAATTAGGACATCATATTGTATAAATTGACAAATTCTAAATTTAACAAGAAAATTGCTTAGACTCAATTAGCCCTAATTTTAGGATACTAATAAGACAAATGAATCTTAGATTATTAAATATTTGAATCATTCACATATAAATTAAATAAGGTGAAAACTCTTTAGAAATATCCTTATATATTCTTATTATACAACACATTCATATTTATCTCACATCAGCTCAGATAATATACCATAATCTCTCTCTAAATAGAATACTGCTTCAAAATGACTTGTTTAAGGGAACATATCAACTAAAGTCACATTTACTAACTTAAATCCAGGAGCTTTATTCTTTTTAGATTGAGGTAAGCAGAGTTAAATTAAATTATCAATTACCTGAGGAGGAGAACAAGAAACATAAATAATGTGATCTATACCCTTACAAGTTCTGATAGCTTCGATAACATTATTAAGGACTCCAGCTCTAGGTGGATCTAAACAAGCCATCAGTTGCTATTTCCCTTCAAAACTCTTTAAATCTTGAGCAACCTTTTTTATAACATCTTCCACCTTTGAACAAATAATTTAACAATTTTGAAGATTATTTAATTTATAGTTTTCACTAGCGTCCTCACATGAAGACTTATTCATTTCAATAGCTAAAATATCTTGAATTTAATCACTCACACAAATCCCTATAGTACCACTACCAGCACACAAATCCAAAAACTTGGTGATTTTTTTGTTTTTACAAAGATCAATAATTACTTAATATAATTTATCACATTGAGGTGTGTGATTCTAAGAAAAGGCATTGTAAGATATATTGATTTTTTTGTCTAAGATGATTTCTTAGTAATACGAATTTCCAAATAATATTTTTGTGTCATCACCAGAACTAGCTAAATCCTAACCCAATTTATTTGAATGCATTAATAATAATCCTTGTAAACTGAATTCCCCATAAGCAGTGTCAAATAGTGTAATTAATTCATCACAAACCTAAGCATATTCATCTTATTATAAATTGTCTTTATTGATGCTTACACTTATTAGTAATTACTTAGTCCTGTCACTCTTTCTAACACTCAACATCCTCCATACTCCACTCCCATTTTATCTATTAAAAGGTTAAAATTTAGAGGATTATAAGTATGTCTAAAATTTATTGGCAATTTCCATAGCGATAGCAGGTGTTACTGGACATGTGTTAGGCTTTTTATAATGATTATTTAATACTGATTCAACACTATCATTATTTTTTTGGACTGAACCCACATTAAAACCGACACAAACTTCTTTTTAACTATTATAGCTGATTGTAAATTCGCTTTTGTTTCGATAATTAAATCTAAATTATTCATCACAAGTTATTGGCTCATTTAGTTTAATTAAATTTGTACTAGTATTATATGTAAAATTACTCTAGAATCCAATCAGGGGAATACTCTTTACCATTTTTTTATATAAATTAATTTCTTAATTTTTTAATTACCTTTTTTAGTTCAGCCATCTTCTGTTCAATTTATTCTTCATATTTAACTTAATAAAGTGGAGCTGTTTATAATGCTAATTCATTATCCTTTCTTTCAATGACATCTCTATTCTAATGCTTTTCTTAAAATTGCTTGACTTCTTCTTCATTCTATTTTTATTGTTTAATTTTCTTCTCTAATTATTTTTCAAAAGCATTTTCATTATGAACCTCTCCTATCCTAAGTTTCAATTCTGGATTATCTTCAATTAACTTAACAAAATTCTTTATTATAAACTCAACTATTACATTTTTTTAATCCTCATCAATGAATTACAAAAAACAAAATGGCTTCATTTTAGGCTTAATAATTTCGCTAGGATTGATAAATTTATCTCCTAATTATTCTTACAATTATTTCAAAACCTATTTATCTTTGGCAAACTTCTGAATGCCTAATAAACAAATTTATGGTTTCATAATATAATTTATATAAATCAAAATGTTTTTATATACATAATAATAAATGTCGATTCTAATACATTTAAAAAAAATATTGATATGATATCATCTTTTATTTAAAAAAACATATGGTAGATATTTTATTGTTTGAAAAATCATAATATACCCAATTAAACCTATTATATAGAATATTACAATTAGAATTAATATGAATTTCTTATTAATAATCATAAATCTGTTATTCTTTTAATTAAATTGTATTTAATATTAGATGCTTTTACATATTACTTTACCTAATCAATTTTAATCTTGATGATTTGAAAAAGTTAAAATGTATAATAAAAGATCTCATTTAATAAAGGAGTTCTCCAACTATTTGATAAAGAATGACTCTTATTTTTCATTGATTTTCTCACTCTAAATGTTGTGTTAATTTATAAAAGCATTATGAGATGTACTTACTATTGCTATTGAAGTACTTTTTTTCAAAATAGCTTTAATCGTTCTAAAAGTATTTAATAACTAATACGAATTGGTTAACATGAAACTTCTTATGGATAGATTTCTTATTCATTTAAATATTATTGAATTTTAATGATAAATTATATTCCATAAATGAAAATATATTTAATCTATGTTGTATTATTTATTCAGCATTTTTATGATAAATCTTGTAGAAGGAGCATTTGTTGTTTCTGATGAGTTTAATCTAGCCTATTTTGATCTGTTAAAGAATGCATACAATGAAGGTAACATATAAAATCCAAATTTAAGGCAATGCAGCATAAATTTATAACTTATTTTCTACAGACACTCAAAAGGCTACTTCATTAGTGATCTTTTCTTCACAGATAGAAGCTATCAGAAATAGATAGGGAAGCATTTCTTACTGGGCCTATTCAACTGTTGATATAAAAAAACCAAGCGTTCTCTTAGGCTTTTAAAAACATTTGGGAACTGGTACTTTATTTTGGTCGTATGATCAAAAAGGTAAAATTAACTCTTTCAGTATGAATGATCATATCTAGCCATCAATGATTTAATGGATAAAGCATTATCCTAATAAATTCTCGTTTTCAGCTATTGCAGATAACAAAGTAATAGCAGACTATTTCGGTTCAAGAGAATAAACCTTGATGAGTGTTTTCAAAATAATTGTTGCCATTGAATATTGCAAACAATTAAACGAAGGTAAATTAAATGAAGAAGATTGGATTAATTTAAATGAAGTTAATAAATTTTATATAAAAGAATTAGATCTGTCTCATACAAATTTTTTGTAAATTTGGGAACAATAAGGCAAGATAAAAGAAGGGTAATTGTAACTAAAGGAGATTGCAATAGGAATGATAGCATTAAGTTCCAATGCTTGTACTGAATACCTACAAACTCTTGTGACTTTACAATCTATTGAAAATACCGTAAATTAATTGGGATTAAAATAAAGTTAAATCTTCTATTTATGCTCGTTTTTATTGGTATTCACAAAAGACGAATAAAGTAATAAGGAAGATTTCATTTAAAATATTCAGAATCTATCTGCAAATGAGGTATATTTAAAAAGCATGGAGATACATGATTAGTTGATTCAAAATAATGATTAAGCTAAAGATTATTTGAGTAGAGGTAAGCAATTATTAGATGGGGAGATTTTAAAAATTCAATCAAAATATTTCACAAAATCAACTACTTCAGAATACTCGAAAATGCTTGATAAATTAAATAATGGTTTTTGGTTTAATGAGCAGTTCTATTCACGTTTTTATGCTTTGATGGGATATGTCTCTCTATAAAATCCTGCTTTGGCTAAGGAATATGATCATGTCGGAGTATAAATTTCTTGTAATATCTTAGGTTAAGGGTGGATCTTCAGCTATTTAAGGAGATGATTTCTGTGTATTAACAATTGGATTATTTTAATAATTGAAGAAGGCTGTTCCATTCAAAAGAACTGCTATAGCTTTTTTCATTGAATCTTTGGATTATGAAACTGAATTTAAATTAATCTTAGAATAATACAATGAATTTATCGCTCTGATAAGTTTGAATGGATTATATTTGGAGGCGGTTTCTAAAGAGATAGCTTAAGATCAAATTTTGTTGTGATTTAAAAATAACAATTTTAAAAGATTTTTTAAATTGTCTGATTTTTTGATGAGTATATCTATTAACACTCAAAAGTATAGTCTCTTAATTTGAATCATTGGGTTGATACTGGATGTTTTATGGATTTAAGTTGTTTGAGATATTATGAAATAACCGATTATCATAAATATAATATTAATATATTCATAATATGGGTTGTATTGGAAGTACTTCTCGAAACTTGTAATAGCCAACATTCTCTGCTATTCTGACAGAGATTTTTGAACTAGTGCCGAGAGAGGAAACTTTAAAGGAATTCAACAAGAAATCTGAAATAATGAAATACTTTAATGAGTTTGATTGGGCAAAGATATAGCCGCAATTTAAGTTAGAAGTAAAAACGTTGATAGATCACATCGAATCTTATAAAATTAGACTGATTGACTCTGCATTATATGTGGAAAGTAAAATAGTAATAATAAAAACAATTAATTAGAAACTGTCTTAAAATCCCATCATCATTAAAATGTGCATGCACATATTATAGGAGCTCATACTTAATTTAGATAAGTTTATCTAGTTGAAAGAAATTCCAGTTTAGAATCAAATGTATGAGGAATCTAAAATTGAAATAAGTCAGAGGTCTATTCAAATAGAGCACCTATAAACCTTAACCTAAGTATCAGATAACTTTTTAAAATTTGAATTAGCATTCTCTAACATAATCTCCTAGTTGATTAATGATAAAATGACATATGCAATGTAAGAATAATATAATTTCTTAAGGGTTTGGTGGTCTTAGTTTTTGGAAACCTTGGAATCATTTTCAAACAAGAAAGCCAATAAATAGTTCTAAAGCGAAAACATCCAGTGCATTTTGACATTCTTAGAATATATCATAGGCACTAAGTTAGGTTATTCTGATCAATTGTAAATAATAAGTCTTATATTAGCGAATGGGTCACCAAGACAAATGAAGAAATGTCAGCAGTCTAAGAATTGCTTGATCTCATTTCAGATCCATTTGTAGTGATGTCTGTATATAAGAATGCCTTTTTGAGAATACCATAAGAAAGATTGTTTGTGACAAAAAGCTAGAAAGCTCTATTTAATATATTGATGAAGGATCACAAGAAGTTTGCATCTCATCCTATTTGGCATAAATTGACAGAAACATTTCTAGAAAGAGCCTTAAACTAGTAGTTATATGAAGAATTGTTTTAAATGCTTTTCAATAATTTTGATGAAGATTATTGGAAGAATCCTTAGGATATCTTTGATATTACGTTCATAGTTTTAGAAGTAGCCAAATAAATCAATTAATTGTCGAATACTGAGCTATTTATATTTACTAAATTGGTTGATTATTTGGATAGTCCTAATGACAAGAATCCATTTGAAAGTCCAAGCGCCCCAGCTTTGATGAAGAAAACTTCGGAATACAAGAGCTTTCATGTCACTTCAAATGTGAAAAACTCAATCATCAAATTATTAATTAGTCTATTCAATTCAATCGAAACAAATTAGTTTATTTTATTTCAACAAACTTAAACTATAAAGGCTGTACTTAATAATTTAAGAACTAATCCAGACATGGAAACCTATAATGATACAAAATTGTGCTTGATAGCATTACTCAAATAAATATCAGCAGATACCAATAGTGTACAGTTATTTATACAATAAACACTTACTTTTACTTATCATTACAACTTAAGTTTACTTAACAACACAGCCATTAACCGTGATGTCCTAATTAATTTATTAATTATTCTACACGAATGCATATTAAAAATAGAGACATTTAACTCAACAATCATTATAACTGAGGAAATGATTGTTATGTTAATTGAAATAGCTGAGTAAGAGTATTAGATTTCATTAAAATGTGCTTAGATCTTAACATCTTTATTTTTACAAGCAGGAAAAATAAACTCAAATGAAAATAATGAGATCAATTCATATATTGTACCTAATTCCAATATTATTGGATTGAGTGCATATTTTTTATCGAACTCTGTTTTGATTAGTTATATTGAGCCAGAATATGTAAAAACCTTAATAAATTAATTTTTTGATTTCATTCCTGGTAGATTGACTAATCAACAAATAGTGTCTATTGTTGCTCATCTGATTGATGATTCCGCAGTTAAATTAGGAAACAGCAAATTAGCAAAGTCTAATAGAAAAGTTAACTTTGATACTTACAATGACAAAGAGCTGAGGTTGTGCATGATAATTAAATTAATTTCATTTTTGGATGATGAAATGTCTAAGGATTTCAATGAGCTTTTATATTCATTTCTGGGTGCATAGTTTCAAACATATAAGAAGAAAGGATTTGGTGCATAGTAAATATAAATGTCATTAAAAGTTAGGATTTGTCATATTTGTTATGGCAAAATAATATAAACACAGAAATTCAAGAAATATTATCGAAGTGCAATGCAATAAGTACTATTGATTTCGAGAAAATTAAGAAACAATTTAAGGACAATCTATCTAATTAGAACAATTAAAATGGAATAATAAATTTGGATGATATTTAAGTGAAGGAAGACAATGAAGTAAGAATGAAATTAAGTATTATTAGAGAGGATCAATTTTAAATTAGTCTTTCTAAGCTCCCAGTCATATAGAGGTGTAATTGGATGAAAGTTTTGAATAATAATTACAGACTATTAAAAAGTAAAAGATGAAACAAGAAAAATTGGAACATTTGACAACTGAATAAAGGGAGATGATGGAATATTGATTAGTATTTTTAATTTATTTCAAAGTAAAACAAAAAACTCAATCGAAGTTCTATGATTATGCATTTACTTTTTAATTTAATATTAATGTACAATTATTATTAAAAAGTGATTCATAAAAAGTTTTCTTCATAATTTTCTAGTTTATTAAGTAATTCCAAAATTAACATAAATTTAATTAAAATGAAAATCAAGTTAAAGTATTACAATGATTGGGGAGAAGAATAAATTTGTATTATTAAGGTGCCTTCAAAAGGAACAGTGGATGACTTGTAATCTGAAATACAGAAGGTCACATAAATTGAGGTATGTAATCAAAAATTGTATTTATTCACTAAATCTCAAATGATGGAAATTGAAAAGCACTCTTATTTAAGTTCGATTCAATTTAGTCCAGAATCGATAGTATTTGTCAAAAATGTTGATGATTAATTTAGCATAAACTCTTCTTTTAATTCTCAAAAATAATAATAATAATTTAAGTCCTATAATTCAAATAGTCTCGCCGCAGATCTACAGAACACTTTGAATGATTCCTTTCATAACTCCTTTAAGAATAATCAATTTAAGTCGAATACCAATATAAATTAGCACAATGATATTGAAAAGTTTTATGAGTTTATCCAGACAAACAATTTTTAGAAAGCAAAACACTTATTAGATAATTATGAAAAGAATAAGAACCTACTTCTAAATGATCTGTCTGTATTTGGATGGTCATCTCTACATGTAGCTATAGTAACTGGATATGAAAAGATCGTCTTATGGCTATTAAGTGAAGGGGCTGATGTGAATTTGGAAACAAATGATGGATGGAATTGTCTCTCTTTGGCTGTTTGTCTAAAATTAAATTAAAGTATTGCGATTGTAATTATCATCAGTTGTATTGTTTTTAATTGGATAACCAGATATCAACATCAACAAAGCAAGCAAACATGGAACTGCTTTGCATTTGGCTGCCCAAATAGATGATGCTGAAATAACAATGTCTCTGTTACAACATCCGAATATTGATGTAAAGTAGTTAATCATTAATAATTTCAGTATTCAAGACAAGACTAATAGAAGACCGATTGAAATTGCAGGCACACAAGTTAGATAGCTATTAAAATATGAAAATGAACTGAAATTGAACACAGTCTATAGAAATTCATTTATGAAATCAATGAATGGGATCAATCTGGAGGATTTGCAGAAAGATGTATAATGATTTTGTATAAAAGAGACTTTTATAATAAATAAACCAACCAGGCCACCAATTCTAACTGGAAAAGTATTGAAGGTTAATTATTTCAAATTGATTATGTATCAAAGATTTCTGATTGCTGATCCTGATTCTGGAACACTAGTAAGATTCAAAACTGAGAAAGACATTCCTAATAATCCAAAGTATTGAAACCTAATATTTTAAGTGAAGTAATTGCATTAGATTAAATAAATGAGATCAAAGTCACAAAGGATGAGTGGTTTTAGGAAGATGAATATCATTACTTAGAAATCAAATATTCAACTAATCATCTCTTTATAGCATTCAAAGAAACTAATGCTGCTCGAAGATGGTATGAAGGTCTGAAGAATTGTGTAGGATATGCTCGTTACATCAACCAAAATTTCCTCGTAAGAGGTTCTACTGATGAAATTAAGAATGCCAGACGAGCATACAATTTAATGCTACAGAAACCTAATTAAATTATGAATATTGTAGATTCGAAGGCAATCGAATAACAACGATATATCTAATAGCAATAGAAAGCAAAAAAGGAGAAATTTAAATAATCATTAGCCAGTGTAAGTGAGGCAGAATACGAGGTTGATCTTGTTGACGAAAAGGGAAGTTAAAAAAAATTAAGTAATATTGGTTTATCAAGTTTATCAAACTTTGAATTGATTGGTAAAGGCAGTTTTGGAAAAGTTTACAAGGCTAAATACAAAAATCTTTATTGCGCTTTGAAATAATAAGAAAAGAGTATGTTAATCAAACAAGACTTTTTAAATTATACACTATTAGAACTTTAAATTCTCAAAACCATTAAGCATCCTTTCATTGTTCGCCTATATTTTGCTTTCTAAGTTTTTATACCAATAATTCTAGACCTAAAATTACTTATACTTGGCCACTGAACTGTGTCCTGCAGGTGACTTAGCAAGGTACATGACTAGGGGAAAGATCTTGGATGAATATACCTCCAAATTCATTGTTGCTCAAATAATATTGGCTGTCGAATATCTTCACTCCAAGTCCATTCTTTATAGAGATCTCAAGCCAGAAAACATCTTGATAGATTCAGACGGATATATCAAACTTACAGATTTTGGCTTATGCAAAAAAGGTCAATTAGGCTAAGAGATTATTGCCAAAAGCTTCTGTGGCTCTCCAGCTTATCTTCCACCTGAATTGATTGAAGGTATTGGATCATCTAAAGCAACTGATATTTACTAAATAGGAACTATTTTATTTGAAATGCTTACAGGCTACCCTCCGTATTTTAACACCAATATTAAAACTTTAATTGAAAATATCAAATATTGTAAATTAAATAATTTTCAAATTATAGAACAATTATAAATTCCCAAAGGAATTAGTGCTACAGCTGCAGACCTTTTAAGATCATTGCTTGTTAAGTCTCCTAAGGAAAGATTAGCCTAAGTAGACCTCCATAAAATAAAGAAACATTTGTTCTTTGCTGAAATAGATTGGATCAGATTGCAGGCTAAATAATATAAGCCTCCAGGGTTAACACTTCGAAACAATTGTAATAACAGCAGAAACGGGTTTAAATTTTTAGAAAATAAAAATGTACTCTAAATTGAAGTATTTTTAGGACCTTAACGACATAGATTATAAAGATGGATCGGAAAAGCTTAATTTCATTTAGAATTGGAACATTTCATTCATTTGATATTATAAGATATGTTTTATTTAATATCAATCATTTTAATCTACCTTTTAAATTAATAATTTCCCTATTCCATATTCTCTCAAAACAACATTAAATCTACTTGATAGATCTTGACAAAGTTAAAGTATATCTATAATAATAATACACTTCGAGAGCTACTAAAATGATCTATCAACACATGATATATAATTGAAATTTTTCATAAATGGGAACTATTAGAATAAAGGTTTGCAATCTTATGGTAGGATTGTTAAATAGTTGTCTTCAATTTTGTAAATAGAATTATTAACTAATACTGTTGTAAAAAAATATATTTTTGAGTTAAAACTTGCTTAGGAATGGGTATCTCAATTTATTCATGGTTGTTTATAAAATAATATATAATATATATTAAAATCTCATTCAGTTGAACATAAGAGTGCTACTCCTCTTAACTTCCATTTATGAGCACCTGTACCTTCACAAGGCAATCCAACTCTACAAATGAGATATTTGTCAGTTCTTCTTGGATACTAAGATGATAAACATAAAATAATACCTTATAAACAGGGCAACTATAAGTCGAGGAATTCTTTTCAGCATCAGCACCTTTCTTCTTATTGATAGCAGTGACATAAAGGATGGGCAAAGGAGCAAACATCTTCTTAGGTTCAGACTCATCAAGTCCATTTCTACTCCATTTACATCCCTCAAGAGATAATCCACTCACATAGACACCTTCAGATTGAATATCTCTGATTTGCTCATATTCTCTTTCTTTAACTTAAGTGGATTGTACAACATCATCCAATGACCAAGCATCCTTGTCTCCTGGTTTACCCTTGTGCATACGAGTGACTTCTTATTTTACTGCAGTCAAGAAACCTTGAGGATTAAAGAAACCACCAAGCCAAAAGTGATTGGGTCTGTTGCTCTTCAACCAATCATTTAATTGTTTATTACGATCTATCAATGAACTGAACCATGCTCCTAGAGTGGGCAAGATCCATGAGATTTCTACTCCTGTAGCATCATAAACCCAAGTAAGCGGAACCTTGGCATCATACATAGAATTAATGGCTTCTAAAATATCAGGAGTCATAATGATCTGACCATCAATTGCATCAATAACATCGGACAATGTCTTCCTGCAAATGGCAATAACTATTTGCATTCTTTGAATTTCTTGATACAAGAAAATGTTAAGTGGCACAGTCAATCCCTTATCTGGAAGATTCTTTGGACCAGCTAATTTACGAACTTATTCTCGGACTTCCAGATCAACATAGTCTGAGGGTAATTTAGCTAGTAACTCTCTAGCTTTATCCTAGACTATTTCTTCTCTTGTTTTTCCACCGCCACCGCCGGAATCCTTTGGTCTAGTATCCATAATTGTTATAATCATTTCAGTGGATTCTTTCTTTCTAAATGTAATATCAGCATTAACATGTAAACCAAATACTTCAGGATTATCAATGTCAGGTAATTACTTAATGACATCGTGATATTTAATGAGTTCTGGCATTTAAGTTGTGGCAGGGATTTTGTATTAGAATTTAGTTGGTTTAGTACCACCTCCTGCATCAAATGGTGCTTCAGCTATAACATACTCATTTCCAAAGATTGCTTCTTTTAAGTAATCTTCACCATAAGCATTAAACAATTCTCTATCCAAATCATCAGTAATACGACCACCATATTGCACTTCACATATCATGTATCTAATGACATTCATATTCAAGTTCAAGTTTGGTGATTATGAAGGAGGTCCACTAAGGAATGAATTCAAGTATTTTTCAATAAATGCAAGGGAAGCTTCAAGATCTGGATTGTTAAATTCGTAAGGAACACACCATCCAAGAGGACCGAACTTACGTCTTTCAATAACAATTGAGTGCAAGAAACAAATTGTATAGATAAGACTTCTCCAATTTGGATGTTCAACCTTTTCCAAGAATTCTTAGGTGATGATTGTAGTGAAGGTCTTATACAAACCTGCCTTCAGTCCCTTAGGTGGTTCATTGGTAACTTTGATAGTCTTTTACAAGAGACCCAATGGGAATTTAGGATGCTATTCACAAGTAATCCACAATCTGAAGTCATCATTTATGGTTGCCTCTGGATTAACAATGGTTTCAATTTCTTCCATGAATTTAAGACCCAAATGACAATTTTATAGAATAACCCACATACCAGTTTCGAACCCATTTTTAATGACTCTTCTGGCAGCTTCTTCTTGACCTTCTCCCATTGATACTTTTTCACAAAATACTTTTCTCTTCTTTCTTGAGAGATCGTCGATGGATGAAGTAGGATCAGCACCAGCAGACAACAAGAATAATACTGGATCTGTTTTGGAACTTTCTGCCCAAATAGAATCAATAGGATATGAAATAGGAGCAGTAAATTCTTTACCAAGAGTAGCATTAATAAAATGAGTAGCAGCAACTAAGGTTCTATCTTCCTTAAGTGATCTTACGAGACATAAAGAAATGAATGGACCAATTTCTTTATCAGCTGCTATACGTTCAGCAAAGTCTGGTATTGGTGAATTCTCAGGATCATTTCTATCATTCCATTATCTCCATTATTGTTCATTTCTCGAAATGGATTCTGGTAGATCTCTAAAGAATGCCATTTGATCTCCGTTGAAATGATGTCTAGACAAAGCTAAAATGTTGAGCCATTATTTCTCATCTAAGAATTAGAATGGCTTTTATTTTTCAGTTTTAGGATCCAAAGCAGCACCACTCTTCAAGAATTATGATACATCTCCTGCATTAATTTTTTTGTCTGTTTATTTAACTTTGAAACACATCATTAAAATGAATGAAATCTTATCCTTTTCAAATAGACCTCTATTGACATACTTATAAACATGGAAAGTGAGATATTTAATGATGTTATCTACTCTTTTAGAGGGTAATGTATTTCTTTCAGATTGATCAATCGAATCATTGAATAACTTCAAGAATTGTTCCAAAGAGGAATTATACATCCAATTGATTAATGACACTTCCAAAATTGTGAAATACAAGGCTGAACCTCTGATTGCAACTGGTCTATATTATTCTCTCTTCTCATTAATTTCTCTGGTCTTGACTTCAGCATCCAACAATTTCACTGAAACTTCCTTGGCTTAAGTTTTAGTGCTTCCCAACACTTCAATTAGACCCTCATCTTCCAGAAGGTTACCAGAAGATTGAGTCAATCTTTCTAATAAATTCTTATCTAATCTTTATAGATCCTTCTTATTTTAGTTGACATCTGCCAATAATTAATTGAGAGAATCTTCCAAGGCCTTTTACTCCTTACTGATGACCTTACCCAACAATTATTATTCTAAACCACCTTGAGTAACAGTAAAGTCAATAATGGTTGTCTTGGCTGATAATTCTGGAGAGAATGTAGGATTGGCTAATCTACAAAACATAAACAATTTAAATCCATCATCAAAGTCCATTTGAGTACCTCCAACTTCAATATACTTATTCTTCTTGGCTTTGACTTAGATTTACTTCTCAAGCACTGGATCTAACATGGGATCTACTTCATTTTCGATATTTTCAATAATCAAACATAATCCATCTTACATACATGGTTTTAAGAAGTTATCTTTGAATTTAGGATGATTCAATGTAGTAATACATCTGAAGGGTTCAATTTTGTCAGCAAACTTCTATCTGATCCAGAAATTACCTTGTCCCTATGGATCAATTAACAATGGATATCTGGTAGAATTTGTAACCATGATACCATTTTGAATGGACAATTCGTCTTTAGGTAATCCCTATAAGTTCCATTCTCCNTTTTGGAACTTTCTGCCCAAATAGAATCAATAGGATATGAAATAGGAGCAGTAAATTCTTTACCAAGAGTAGCATTAATAAAATGAGTAGCAGCAACTAAGGTTCTATCTTCCTTAAGTGATCTTACGAGACATAAAGAAATGAATGGACCAATTTCTTTATCAGCTGCTATACGTTCAGCAAAGTCTGGTATTGGTGAATTCTCAGGATCATTTCTATCATTCCATTATCTCCATTATTGTTCATTTCTCGAAATGGATTCTGGTAGATCTCTAAAGAATGCCATTTGATCTCCGTTGAAATGATGTCTAGACAAAGCTAAAATGTTGAGCCATTATTTCTCATCTAAGAATTAGAATGGCTTTTATTTTTCAGTTTTAGGATCCAAAGCAGCACCACTCTTCAAGAATTATGATACATCTCCTGCATTAATTTTTTTGTCTGTTTATTTAACTTTGAAACACATCATTAAAATGAATGAAATCTTATCCTTTTCAAATAGACCTCTATTGACATACTTATAAACATGGAAAGTGAGATATTTAATGATGTTATCTACTCTTTTAGAGGGTAATGTATTTCTTTCAGATTGATCAATCGAATCATTGAATAACTTCAAGAATTGTTCCAAAGAGGAATTATACATCCAATTGATTAATGACACTTCCAAAATTGTGAAATATAAGGCTGAACCTCTGATTGCAACTGGTCTATATTATTCTCTCTTCTCATTAATTTCTCTGGTCTTGACTTCAGCATCCAACAATTTAACAGAAACTTCCTTGGCTTAAGTCTTAGTGCTTCCCAACACTTCAATCAAACCCTCATCTTCCAAAAGATTACCAGAAGATTGAGTCAATCTTTCTAATAAATTCTTATCTAATCTTTATAGATCCTTCTTATTTTAGTTGACATCTGCCAATAATTAATTGAGAGAATCTTCCAAGGCCTTTTACTCCTTACTGATGACCTTACCCAACAATTATTATTCTAAACCACCTTGAGTAACAGTAAAGTCAATAATGGTTGTCTTGGCTGATAATTCTGGAGAGAATGTAGGATTGGCTAATCTACAAAACATAAACAATTTAAATCCATCATCAAAGTCCATTTGAGTACCTCCAACTTCAATATACTTATTCTTCTTGGCTTTGACTTAGATTTACTTCTCAAGCACTGGATCTAACATGGGATCTACTTCATTTTCGATATTTTCAATAATCAAACATAATCCATCTTACATACATGGTTTTAAGAAGTTATCTTTGAATTTAGGATGATTCAATGTAGTAATACATCTGAAGGGTTCAATTTTGTCAGCATACTTCTATCTGATCCAGAAATTACCTTATCCCTATGGATCAATTAACAATGGATATCTGGTTGAATTTGTAACCATGATACCATTTTGAATGGACAATTCGTCTTTAGGTAATCCTTATAAGTTCCATTCTCCTACTGTGGCATCATCGACTAAGAATTATGTCAAATTCAATCCTGGTGTAACTGGAACACCTCTCCTCTTTTGATCATTTACGAAATAGTCACCTGCCAATAACTATCTATATTCTGCATTGAATGGACCACAATAAGAAATAAATGATGTAGCCAATGAACAATTACCAATTAATTTACGTTTCTGATCAGCTATCTCTGTGGCTCCTTATCCCCATCTAGTCTTTTCATCTGAAAGTGATTCAATCAATTATCTAGCTGTAGTAATTCTCTTTTTAGTTTTATTTGATTTTTGTTCCAAAAATGATTTCTCTTCCATTTATTTGTTGAATGTCTCCTTCAGTTTAGCCAAATATTCCTTGATTTCATTTAAATCTTTCTCAGCCTTTGCCAATTCTTTTCTTGCCATTTCAAGACGACCTTCTTAAATTTACAAATAGACTTTCTTGGGTTTAACGATCTTTGATTTCTCATGATATTCATAAATGGCCTTAACCCACTTCAATAGACCTTAAGCAGCCTTTGAAGCACTCTAAGCCTTTTCTTCACTAAACCATTCCTATGACATGTAAGGTTACAATAATTCGATGGTTTCTTCATTAATACCATCTTTCTCAAATCCCTTCAATTTGTTTAAGAAGTTCATATCAAAAAGAACTGATTTACCACCTTCATCAAATGAATCCTTCAAAAATGTATAATCTATCTTACTGATTTTCACTTAGAATGATTGGACTGGCAATAACTTACCCATGAAATAAACAACAATGGAATCTATAATGGCTTTCATAATGTCCATCAAGGTTTTCATGGCCTTCATTTCATCAATATCCTTCTTATCTAAAGAATCGACGGCTTCTTAGGCTCTTAAAAGTGCAGGCATAGCAGCAGCCAAATCCTTCTCAGCAGCCTATTTCTCACTGGCAATCATCTATGCTTATTTCATACATTAAGCAGTGGTGGCCTCGACTTCATCATTCTTTTAATTGGCCTTCTTGCTTTCTTTCTCCAAATCTTCTAATAACTTTTCAGTCTTCTCAGATGCTTCCTTCAATTAAGCCTCTTCTTCCCTCAAAGCAACACCCATCTTTTCTATTTATTTAGCTGCCTCATTGATCTTATTCAAACCAATCTTGTATGAATTCTCTTGAAGATCTAATTCAGCGTATTTTTTCAAATACAATTCCTTATAAGAATTCAAATAAGAAAGATAACTCTTTGGTGTAACATAGACTTGTCTTCTCATCTTTTGGAAATAAAGCTCACAAACAGAGTTAACCATAATATGAACATTACCCATATGTTTCATCAATTCTTCTTTGATATCATTAGTTGTATCTAATTCTTTGAAATTCTTGATGAATGTTTCAGCAACACTAACCAAAGCAGCTTCAGGCCATGGCAAGAACCAATCGATTGTACATTCATTGAACAAGGCTGGGAATTTACGAGATCTATCTCTGAATTTCTAACCTACTGGTGAGAAGCACAAAATAATGTGCAAATTATCTCTTATTCTATCAACCAAATAGGCATACAAGTCACTCTAAGGAGGATCAATATTACCCAATTATTTCTCTTTGACATAATCATTTCTAACATCTGCCAACCAAACTTCCTTTTCATCCTTAGCCAATAAACCAGCCACTTCTCCTGTTGATAAGATCATATTGATATATTCTAAGAATTCTTCCTTCTTTACTTCACTATCTGTCAAGATGAATGTAACCTATTTACCAAGATGGCCAGCCCAATCAAACAATTTCTTAATTTCTTCTTTCAAGTCTTTTTCACTGAAATTTTTAGTCAAAATAATTTAATAGCACACATTCTTCAAGATATCAGCAGCCAATCTTGTCAAAGATTATTTACCTGAACCACCAACTCCTACTAATAAAGCATTTGATCTTGGTTATTTAATCAATCTTGAAATACGCAACAAATGTTTGATAGCATCATCGAAAAGCACTAGACTCATCTTCTTTGCTGGATATTTATCATTATAATCTTGTAAAAGTGTGTTACATCTTAATCTTAATCTATCAATAGAGTTAACTCCCTCATAAATCTTTTCAGCTTCAACTTCAACTAATCCATCCTCATTCTTTATGTCTTCCTTCAAGAAATCACACATTAAGAATAACTTCTCCTTGCTGAATTTATCCTAGATTTCACTATCTAGATGATTATAGAGATCCAAAGCAATATCCTTAATGTAATTACATACTTGATCCTTATCTTTTTGATTAGTCATTTTATCGACAAAGACTCTTTCACATTCATGCATCCATAATCCAACTAAAAATACATCAGATTTCATGGGTCCAACTTAAGCAGCAGTGTTTATTGTTTCCTTTCTGACTGATAGGATACCCTTGAAGACACGAGATAAATCTCTCATGTTGAACACGTAATGGAATTTAGCAGGTGTTGGTAACATAGTTGCTTTGACCTTATTCCAAATTTAAATGGTTGCACCAGTTAATGTATCAATAGCTCTATTGACATCAGCGGAGAAATATTTAGCCTTGAATTAATGTTTGATGATTGGACCATAAATGCCTTCAACTGAGAGTGGCAAAATCATATTGAAAATGACTGCTTGTCTCTTCAATCTGTTGGGAATATCATTTCTACCACCTCCTGGATGTTACATAGCTCCGATGTATGTAAGGTTCTTGATACCTCTGAAATTACCTCTTTAGGCTTTGTCTAACATATAGAAACCACCCTAATCGATCAGTTGTCTAACTATTTCCAATGTGACTTAATCTCCCCACTTATTTACAAAAGGCATTGAAAGATCATCAATGAATACAGTCATGTTTTTATTTTGAGGAGGAGCAAAATCTTTACCTATTTTGAAATCACATTCAGCTTCAATGGCAGCTTAGAAGTGACTAGGTAGAGTAGCAGATGAAAAGTTGATTCTCTTGAACAACATCTTTTCTTTGTTGAATTTGTTGGCATACATAAGAACACTTGATGTTTTGGCTGTACCACTACCTCCGACTAAGATAACATAACTGCAACTGACAGGTGGTTATGGTGATGCCTTTGGTTGATTAAGAATGTATGATAAGATCATTTCAGCTCTGAATGAATCTACAGTGGGCATGAGTAATTGTGAGAATTAGAATTTATCTGGGGCCTTCCATTCTTCTGGTGATATGAGTTTCCATTCACAAGTACCTCTTTCATCTAAGTAGATATAGTAATCGAAGACTNAAGTGCAGGCATAGCAGCAGCCAAATCCTTCTCAGCAGCCTATTTCTCACTGGCAATCATCTATGCTTATTTCATACATTAAGCAGTGGTGGCCTCGACTTCATCATTCTTTTAATTGGCCTTCTTGCTTTCTTTCTCCAAATCTTCTAATAACTTTTCAGTCTTCTCAGATGCTTCCTTCAATTAAGCCTCTTCTTCCCTCAAAGCAACACCCATCTTTTCTATTTATTTAGCTGCCTCATTGATCTTATTCAAACCAATCTTGTATGAATTCTCTTGAAGATCTAATTCAGCGTATTTTTTCAAATACAATTCCTTATAAGAATTCAAATAAGAAAGATAACTCTTTGGTGTAACATAGACTTGTCTTCTCATCTTTTGGAAATAAAGCTCACAAACAGAGTTAACCATAATATGAACATTACCCATATGTTTCATCAATTCTTCTTTGATATCATTAGTTGTATCTAATTCTTTGAAATTCTTGATGAATGTTTCAGCAACACTAACCAAAGCAGCTTCAGGCCATGGCAAGAACCAATCGATTGTACATTCATTGAACAAGGCTGGGAATTTACGAGATCTATCTCTGAATTTCTAACCTACTGGTGAGAAGCACAAAATAATGTGCAAATTATCTCTTATTCTATCAACCAAATAGGCATACAAGTCACTCTAAGGAGGATCAATATTACCCAATTATTTCTCTTTGACATAATCATTTCTAACATCTGCCAACCAAACTTCCTTTTCATCCTTAGCCAATAAACCAGCCACTTCTCCTGTTGATAAGATCATATTGATATATTCTAAGAATTCTTCCTTCTTCACTTCACTATCTGTCAAGATGAATGTAACCTATTTACCAAGATGGCCAGCCCAATCAAACAACTTCTTAATTTCTTCTTTCAAGTCTTTTTCACTGAAATTTTTAGTCAAAATAATTTAATAGCACACATTCTTCAAGATATCAGCAGCCAATCTTGTCAAAGATTATTTACCTGAACCACCAACTCCTACTAATAAAGCATTTGATCTTGGTTATTTAATCAATCTTGAAATACGCAACAAATGTTTGATAGCATCATCGAAAAGCACTAGACTCATCTTCTTTGCTGGATATTTATCATTATAATCTTGTAAAAGTGTGTTACATCTTAATCTTAATCTATCAATAGAGTTAACTCCCTCATAAATCTTTTCAGCTTCAACTTCAACTAATCCATCCTCATTCTTTATGTCTTCCTTCAAGAAATCACACATTAAGAATAACTTCTCCTTGCTGAATTTATCCTAGATTTCACTATCTAGATGATTATAGAGATCCAAAGCAATATCCTTAATGTAATTACATACTTGATCCTTATCTTTTTGATTAGTCATTTTATCGACAAAGACTCTTTCACATTCATGCATCCATAATCCAACTAAAAATACATCAGATTTCATGGGTCCAACTTAAGCAGCAGTGTTTATTGTTTCCTTTCTGACTGATAGGATACCCTTGAAGACACGAGATAAATCTCTCATGTTGAACACGTAATGGAATTTAGCAGGTGTTGGTAACATAGTTGCTTTGACCTTATTCCAAATTTAAATGGTTGCACCAGTTAATGTATCAATAGCTCTATTGACATCAGCGGAGAAGTATTTAGCCTTGAATTAATGTTTGATGATTGGACCATAAATGCCTTCAACTGAGAGTGGCAAAATCATATTGAAAATGACTGCTTGTCTCTTCAATCTGTTGGGAATATCATTTCTACCACCTCCTGGATGTTACATAGCTCCGATGTATGTAAGGTTCTTGATACCTCTGAAATTACCTCTTTAGGCTTTGTCTAACATATAGAAACCACCCTAATCGATCAGTTGTCTAACTATTTCCAATGTGACTTAATCTCCCCACTTATTTACAAAAGGCATTGAAAGATCATCAATGAATACAGTCATGTTCTCTGAATTTCTAACCTACTGGTGAGAAGCACAAAATAATGTGCAAATTATCTCTTATTCTATCAACCAAATAGGCATACAAGTCACTCTAAGGAGGATCAATATTACCCAATTATTTCTCTTTGACATAATCATTTCTAACATCTGCCAACCAAACTTCCTTTTCATCCTTAGCCAATAAACCAGCCACTTCTCCTGTTGATAAGATCATATTGATATATTCTAAGAATTCTTCCTTCTTCACTTCACTATCTGTCAAGATGAATGTAACCTATTTACCAAGATGGCCAGCCCAATCAAACAATTTCTTAATTTCTTCTTTCAAGTCTTTTTCACTGAAATTTTTAGTCAAAATAATTTAATAGCACACATTCTTCAAGATATCAGCAGCCAATCTTGTCAAAGATTATTTACCTGAACCACCAACTCCTACTAATAAAGCATTTGATCTTGGTTATTTAATCAATCTTGAAATACGCAACAAATGTTTGATAGCATCATCGAAAAGCACTAGACTCATCTTCTTTGCTGGATATTTATCATTATAATCTTGTAAAAGTGTGTTACATCTTAATCTTAATCTATCAATAGAGTTAACTCCCTCATAAATCTTTTCAGCTTCAACTTCAACTAATCCATCCTCATTCTTTATGTCTTCCTTCAAGAAATCACACATTAAGAATAACTTCTCCTTGCTGAATTTATCCTAGATTTCACTATCTAGATGATTATAGAGATCCAAAGCAATATCCTTAATGTAATTACATACTTGATCCTTATCTTTTTGATTAGTCATTTTATCGACAAAGACTCTTTCACATTCATGCATCCATAATCCAACTAAAAATACATCAGATTTCATGGGTCCAACTTAAGCAGCAGTGTTTATTGTTTCCTTTCTGACTGATAGGATACCCTTGAAGACACGAGATAAATCTCTCATGTTGAACACGTAATGGAATTTAGCAGGTGTTGGTAACATAGTTGCTTTGACCTTATTCCAAATTTAAATGGTTGCACCAGTTAATGTATCAATAGCTCTATTGACATCAGCGGAGAAATATTTAGCCTTGAATTAATGTTTGATGATTGGACCATAAATGCCTTCAACTGAGAGTGGCAAAATCATATTGAAAATGACTGCTTGTCTCTTCAATCTGTTGGGAATATCATTTCTACCACCTCCTGGATGTTACATAGCTCCGATGTATGTAAGGTTCTTGATACCTCTGAAATTACCTCTTTAGGCTTTGTCTAACATATAGAAACCACCCTAATCGATCAGTTGTCTAACTATTTCCAATGTGACTTAATCTCCCCACTTATTTACAAAAGGCATTGAAAGATCATCAATGAATACAGTCATGTTTTTATTTTGAGGAGGAGCAAAATCTTTACCTATTTTGAAATCACATTCAGCTTCAATGGCAGCTTAGAAGTGACTAGGTAGAGTAGCAGATGAAAAGTTGATTCTCTTGAACAGCATCTTTTCTTTGTTGAATTTGTTGGCATACATAAGTACACTTGATGTTTTGGCTGTACCACTACCTCCGACTAAGATAACATAACTGCAACTGACAGGTGGTTATGGTGATGCCTTTGGTTGATTAAGAATGTATGATAAGATCATTTCAGCTCTGAATGAATCTACAGTGGGCATGAGTAATTGTGAGAATTAGAATTTATCTGGGGCCTTCCATTCTTCTGGTGATATGAGTTTCCATTCACAAGTACCTCTTTCATCTAAGTAGATATAGTAATCGAAGACTGTTTCACCATCCTTAGCTTTGTATGGGATTGGGGCTCCTTTTTAGGCTAAGAATTCATGGAATAAGATTCTATCTTGCACTTCATAGATGCCACCTACTCCCCAAGTCATAGCAAAGACAACTACTTTTTCATAATCTTATTCAGTCAATGTTTTATTAGCATTTACTAATGGTCTCAAAATACCATTCAGAAGATTTAAGGTTTGATATACCTTTAATACATAAGAGATGTCCATAACAGGATTCTTGCATGTCTTGTCTATTGTTTCTAAAATAAGATGAGTGTTGAAGTATTTGTTGAGTAAAACATTCAACTTTTCTGATTCATCTACTCTTGCATCCAATTTTCTTTATAGAATCCATCCTTTCCATACTGGTTCATATCCTAAATCTGTTGGTGAAATATAAACTTATCCACATCTACTGACTGTTGCTGGTGAAGCATTATTCAGATTTTCAACTTCAAATACCAATTTACAATTTTCTGTCATTGGAATACGTTAACCATTGGCTAGAGTAAGAATCTTATTGTCATCCAACACTGTATTCAAATTTTCAATCCAAATAGCATCCACTGGACCATCACAAGTAATCCAAGTAGTATGTTTGTTGTTTCTGCTATTTGATTTCTACCAAATTGTACTGAAAATACCTGGAATCCAATCATCTGAAATTTCACTCTTGACACCATACATTTCTTAAGCTGTAATGGCCTTAGGATTAAGTCTTGTAATTCTGTGAGGAAGTCCCAAATCAGTCAATGAATCTGTCAATACAGACATAATTGTGGTCTTACCACTGCCTGATGGTCCCACTAACATAAAACCATGTCTAACCAAAGCTGTTTCATATAATTAAATGATCTTCAATTAGAATTTATCATTGTTGATTAAACCTCCTTTTCTTTGGATGACTTATGGTATCATTTTTTCAACATCTGGATATTCCTTCTTTTTAATATCACTTTATTTAGGGAAGATATCTTGTAACAATCCATTGAACAAAGCAATATCATCAGCCACCAACTTACTCAAATTCATATCTCTTAAGGATCTCATTAAAAGCATTTCTTCGTCAGATTTAAGTTCTTCTCTTTTAGTATTACCAGCTGTTCTTAGCACTGATAAGATGTTACGTAAACCAAAATCATAATGTCTTTATTTTGAAAGTTGTTCTTCACATAAACGATATAAAACATTGAACTTTTTGGCTAAGGCATCAATTGAGTTATAACCAACAGAAGCCAACTTGACTTTAATAATAATTTCTCTATCTGGAACCATCATAGACACTCCTCTAAATAAGGCTTTTAAGTTCTCTGGTAATTCTTATCTACCAGCATATCCTGGATTCATAGTAATAAAGTATCCAACTTGTTATTGCAATTCAATGGGAGCAACTTCTTCAGGGAACATAAATTCTTTAAGATGTTATTTCTTTGCAGTCGTAATAGCTTCTACTTACATAGCCACGACAGAAAGCACCTCCAAATCAATTCTATTGAATTCGTCGAAACAACCCCATAAACCTGATTAACATAATCCCTTGAAAATCTTAGCCATATCTCTGTATCTGTGTTAATCTGAACAATTTGTGACAACGACAAAGACTCCCAATGTTCTACCCAAATCCTTAACAGTTTCAGTTTTACCTGTACCAGCTGGTCCAGCAGGAGCTCCACCGTAATACATAGACATAGCTTAAGCCAATGTGATGTAACATCTATCTGTCAATGGAGTAATACACAATCTTTCCTTAGATCCCAAAAATTCGTAGGCATATCCTTGATCCCAATCTGTAATTGAAATAATACAAGTGTCTGGATCTTGTTTCCAATAAAGACGAGTTTACTTTTACCAATCAAAATCATTAATGTCTTTGCATTTCAATTCTTAAGCAATATCTCTTTAATGGACGTGAATTGTGACCAAAGTTTCTACTCTTGTTCTTTCTAAATTACTTTTGTATCCTTCCAAACACATGGCTGACAATACAGCCATCATATCTCTAATTTCAGCTCTCTTTGTTTCCATGATATTCTTATTTTCTTATCTTCCTGTCTTTTCCAAGGCTTCTGTGATCTTTTGAGTCCAAATGACTTGAATACCCAACAAGGCAATTTAGGAACAATAAGCCTTACAGAAATCCTTTAATGACATAGTGAAACAAGCACTGCAAGCTGTTCTTGTAATATCTCTTAGTGTAGATTACATTTGTAATTCTAAGGTCTTTAACCAACCTTCAATATTACCCTCACATTTAACATTTTAATTCAAATCTACAATTTCTTCATCTTTTCCTGCACTTTACATAATTTATTGGATCACTAATTCAGTTGATCCTTTCTTTTCAGTGTTCTTTCCAAATGTGACTTTAGTAATGGCATCAAACAATTTTTCAAAATCTTCCTAAATACTCTTTGGATCACTTCCTTGAGATAGAATCTTTAATAAATCTTGATTGGCCACAAAGTAAAATCTTGGGAACTTCTTTCTTTTACCTTCCAAATAGGCTTCCAACATCTTTTGGCAATCTTCTAATTTCTTTTACAAATCTGGTAAGAAGTCTTTTAACATATCATTTTAACAACTGATAATAACTTTTTTGCTTTCAAATGCTTTTTCCATGATTTTCATCCAATTCTTATCAATAGCTGCAAATTATTTAGCTTATAATGGCATTTATCTAGCAATATCACCACCTGTGAATACTGGTTCCAATGCAGTCCATAACTTTTAAACTTTAATCCACATATCCAATGTTTCTGAGACATCTGAGAATTCTCTGATTTTGATTTCAACTTCAACTTTGAATGGTGCTACATATCTTTGGGCATTCAATGAAGATAAGGTCATTTGATCCTCTTCCAAAGTTTCAGTAATTTCTTACACGCTTAAACCATTAAGCATACATGGCACTTCTCTTTTACCCCAAATTGAGAATTTGAATTCTTGTGTAGACCATCTGTCTACAATATCTTTCAAACTTGTTTCAATCTTAATTTATTTATCTGCTGAATCTGTGATATCTACAATATCATCTTCATGAGCCAACAATTCACAATTTATGATATCAGAAATGAAGAAGTTGTCTGGATTTTCATAGTTCAATTACTTTCCTGTTGTTTCAACAATCTTCATCCAATGTCTTGGTTTAATGGATGGCTTCTTCAATTCCTTGATGATTGGCAAAATCTTATTCAAATTATCTAATTCTAATTTCAATTCTTTATAGGCTTACCATTCTCTTAAGTCTCTTGGTAATGTACCACATTAAGCAGTGTATTTTGTGAAATTTTCTTCCATTTAATTCAATGATTCTACTGAAACATCAGCCCAAGATTCTTCTTTCCATTTATTAATTGTATCAATAACATCTGAAAATAAGGAATACAATTTCTTCAAGTTTGCTAATTCATCCTAAGTCTTTTTAAGAGCAGGATAAGATTAATTTTACAGACCAAACAAATCTTCACCCTTCCTATTAATTTAATAGAATTTCTATTTCACTGAAAATTCATCCTCAAATCTACGTAATCTTTCCATTGCTTCCTTTGGTGCAATATTTTCCACCATGGGTCCATTCAATTCATAATCCTTACGGAAATCATTGACTTCTTAAATAAATTCTTTAATTGACTTCTTCAATTATTTGAGATAATTCTTTTATTTCTATTGTAATTCTTTTCCTTTGATTTCAGCCTAACTAATCAATTGATCCCAATTTCTTCTTAACATAGATCTTTGATCCATTTCATCCTTATCAGAAATACCACCTGGCAAATAGATATCCAAAAGAGCATACATATCTTAAACTGGATTAAATTTCAAATCAATTTCTGCTTGAATCTTACGAATGTCTTCTAAACACTCCATAACATACCCTAAAGAATCAATATCCTTAACTTCCTTAGATAATTTGGTTGAATATTAATTAGTCAAATCAGTCAATTAGTCCAATAATTATCTTGCTCTTTTATGAAGATCTTAGCAATAGAAATTTTTCCAATCCTTTGCATGTACCTTCAATCCACTACAAAGGTTTCCTGTCTTCAATTCCATGGCTCCAATTTTATGGGATGCTTCAATTTTATCGATTTCTTCTTCAATTGATGTGAACTTCTTCAAGGCATCTTCATAATCTTGCAAAGTTGGATTCTTCTTACTGAAACTATTAATGTTATCTTAAATGTTTTCAGTCCACAACCATGAGAACTTCTTGAATGATGATAAGAAATCATGAACCTTGTTTCTTGTACCTTAAATTGAACCAGTCAATAACAAAATGACTTTTACAATTTCCTTATCTTGAGCAATCATCTCATAAAATGATCCTTTGCTTTCCTTTTACTATAGATTCCAACTATAAAGATTCTTAGAACACCTCAAAACTGCAGTGGCTGCTCTATTGATTGCTTTCTATATTTCATCCAAACTTGGATTCAATCTTACTTGATTATTGAATAATTGAACATCAACTTCAAAGAATGGTTTTAAATTTTAAGTGCTTGATTATCCTGGTCCTTTCTTACCACAGACTCTGTATTTCATGGCATTAAGTGAGTTTTATGTTGAATTAAGTAATGCTTAATACAAATACCAGAAATAATATCTCTTGATTCTGATGGTTTCTGTAGGATCAGCATATTCAACATGTGGATCTAATTTATATTCTCTAATAACTTAGAGTAAATCATCAACTGCTCTTTCGACTTCCAAATTCTTACTCATCAAATAATCTGTTTTAGTCTTTATGTATTCTTCCTACAAATTAACAAATTGATCCAAAGTCAAAGGCTTGCTCTCTTATGGTAAATGCACCAACAATACTTTACTAATGTTTTTCAAATTGTTCTCAATTCTATTTTCAATGATATCATTTATTGTGATAATCAATTATTCCAATTTATTCAATCCTGCATGAACACTCTATAAATAACTATCAATATTCATTGAAGTCCAAGTCAATGTAACCATACCAGGTCTCAATTTCAACTCTAAATCTTCAACATGTGGACCAATCAATGTTTTGCAAATTGGTTTTATTTTTGAAATAATTCTTTCATATTCTTTCAGAACATAAAGCAATTCATTGTAATACATCTTAAATTTATCCTCTTACAAAAGAATGATTCTTGCACTCTCGGGTATTTCAATTCCTTATCTATCTAATACTTTGGCTTCTCTAATTAATTGCATTATTTCAACATCAAAGTTAACATATAATTTTTTGTTTTCATCATGTCTTACAATCAAAGTGGCTTATAATGCAGCCTTGCTTCTTTCAATTTCATTTGACCAATTCTAATAATACCACATTTCGTAGATTGTCAATTATTTACCCAAAGTGTTATATCCACCATAATATTTCTTCAATTCTCCTTAGTCAATAGCATTTTCAGGGAATTTAGTAATAGGTCCTGTAATTTTTAAAAATAGATGTCTTGCCCAAATGATCTTACCAGCCTCAGGTGGTATATTTCTAACAATAGGAGGACTTGACTTTTAATCAGTGAATATACGTTATATCTTGTCTAGTTCTGTTGCATAATTGTGTAAAATTGTATTATATTTAGATACCAATGAATTTTTCAATTGATCTCTCTTGATTGTTTATTCAAATTTCTTCAATAATTTAAGTGAATACTCAATAGTTCTCAGTCTATTGAAATTATTATCAATGAATGATTGTAATTACATATCCAAATGGGATATTTCAACATTGAATTCGACCCAATCTCTATCAAATTTATTACTGTTTGTGTCTAACAAATCATGATTTTTGGCTTTGAAATCCTTAATGATTTAATTAAATTTGGCAGTCAATTATTCCATACCTTCTAGGTTGTGTTTAGCCAAAGCCTAGAATTATTAGATATTTTAAAAGATGTCAATTAGTTTAACCAATCTTCTGACAAAAGTATCAAATTTGCCAAATATCTGTGTTTCTGGGAAATCGAATGTTTTACCTTTGGGCATATCAGCCACTTTCTCCTTAGTTTCTTTATAACTATCCTTGTATTCTCTATTGAGTTAGATACATTGTCTCAAAACTTCATTTAATTCAGATGGATCTCTATTCCAGATGTCTTGATTCTTTCCTCCATTTAGTATTCTCTCTTTGCAGTTCTTAATCATTTGATTAGTAATTTTGACAAACAAGCCAGTCATTTTATCATTTGTATTATAAAATCTAGCAATAGTATGAATCATCTTAATAGCATTCATAAGTGCTGGTAATGTATCAATAATTTATTGAGGAGTTCCTTTATATAAAGGATCAAGGAACTTTTCCAAGGTTGAGAGATACTTAACATTGTCCTTGGCTTCATTTAATTTGTCAGTAAGCAAAAGATCAAGTCTGCTATATTCCATTATAAGTTTATTGATGTTCTCCTCTCCTCTATTAGTTGATTTATCATGTTATTTGTTTCTTTGGAGTGTAGTTTTTACAGTGACAAAGTCTTTGCCCTTTAATTATTCAGACCAATTAGTAATTTCTTACATTCTTGTTTTCCAATAATTCAACTCAACTTCTGGGCCTGCATCTGGACTATCCTTCTTTGGATTTTAATCTTCAGCTAGTTTGTTATTAATGATTGCAATCCATTAGGCAAATTTTCTTTCATAAAATTGGTTTTTTTCTTATTCATTATTTGAATTGGAGTATTTCTATACTTCTTCAGGATCGAATTTGAATAATTCTTAACCTGGCCTCATTAATTTGACTGCCTCTGATACTTCCTAAGAAAATTTCTTGGTGTGATTATGGAATTCCTTTAAGGATTCTTCATCACATTATCCCCATTCCCGCTCATCCATCATGTTAATTATCAATGGGTAGTACACATTTTCCATCACTGTATGCAATTAGGAAATCGATTAGGGTGAAACTTCTCCCCAAATCACTTAGTTATCGTATGTCTCATTGAGATTCACGGCGGTCTTGCCCTCTGGAGTCCTAAATAAAATTCATAAAGATTTAATTTTAAAATATAAGGAAGATGATATAAAGAAAAATGCTTGAGTGTACTTACATTCTTAAAAACCATAGGGCTTTCTCTTTGATTTTTTCTTAATCTCCAGATTAAATAAAAAGTGAAGGCTCGTTTTGATTCTCCTTCATATCATCAGTTTGTTAGTTATCCTAAATCTGGTAGTATATAATTATCTTGGGTGGACCTTCTCCCTCTAAGAATTTTTCAAGTTTAGTCTTGTCTTTTAAGAATTCCTAACAAATAAGGCAACAAATCTCACCGGCACCAAATTTCCATCCTTCAATCGAAATGAATCAGCAATTGTTTGGAACATCCAACGCGCTCTCTTACTATTCAACATGTAACTGATATTGAAAAGTAATTAAATAAAATATTAAAAATCAAATCCTCAATTACATCAGGTTAAAAAATGCAAAGGCAACGGGGGGGACTTAATACTTTTTTTATATATATTATTATTATAAGCATTTCAACGCTTCTCCCTATGCTAGACCTGTCGCTTATCCAATTATCACAAAACAATTTTTATCAAAATTATGATAATCGTTAAAATTATAAAGTTTTCTTTTTAACATTTCAATGTATCTTATTGCAATTAGCATAATCTAATATGATAATCACTTATCAAAGTTCAAAAAATTGTAGGTACTTTTTCGATTAAAATTATAAGTAATAATTTGCAAAGTTTTCAGTTCTTTTTTTATTAAACAATACTATTGCAGTGAAAGTTGTGCTTACACCACATATACCTTAAGAATTATTATAGAAATAAAGGAAAATTGATTGCTAGAGCAGTATTAACAAAATTAATATTTGTTAAGAATTTTGACTTATCCATTTTAAAGTATTGAAATTCCAATCCAATTATTTTAGAGCATTCTAATTTATTAATATTCAATAACTTTTCTTCCCTTTTTGTGAATTAATCTATTTTTGAATTTCTTTTGAATTCAATTATTCACTTTTAAATCCACTTAACACTTATTCAATTGTGATCAATTAATATGTATGAGTTAGTGAGTAAAAGATAAAGGGAAATCAAATTACAAGGATCCTAAAATTGTAAATAACATAAAAAATAATATTAAATAGAAAATAATTTATAGTGTATACTCCTAATACCAAAGCATTTTGGTTTTAAAATGATAATGAAGTTTTAATTCTGATATATTTTATTTGATGATGATACATACTTTTTTTTGCTTAATAATTAATTGTCAATTGTCAGAATCATTTTTAATAAAAATGTAATTGTGATAGTATTCAACCAAAATAATCTACACCAATCATTTTAGGTAAATAATCCATAAAGGAGATTAAGCCAAAATCGCTCAATTTAAATGCTCTCATTGTTTTTTACCTAGAATCTTTTTTATTCTTAATGATTGCTATCAATTAAAAAGATATATTTTAAAGAAATATATTTTGAAAAATTTTAAAACACTTTTAGAATCTCAAGAAATATATAATTTTGAAATTTACGATGAATTTAGGATCTTATACATATATGAGTAATTATCCCAAAAAATAGCATGAAACCAATAAAATAATTAAATGTGGATCAAATAATTGAAAATCAATAATATGTTATTTAAAAAATTTGATAAATATTATTAGCTATAAATAAAATCAAGGTTTCTTTTTAAAAGCAAAAATGTGATTTGGTAATAAAGTTGACTAATTGATTATAGAATCAGTTTGATTTACTGAATTAGAATTTGGCTTTGATATACTATTTAAAGTGTCAAACATTTTATCTATACATCCTGTTTATCTCATAATCCATGATTTATATTTTTCCTTATTTGGAGTTTTACTTTTTGTTTATTTGTAGTATTTTTTATGTTATTAAGAGAAATACGTAGATGTTTCAAGGAACTAAAATTATGCCTCATTGACTTTGGATGGAATACATTTACTCAAAATGTAATTGCCAGATGGCTATTAACTAAATAAATCTAAAATCTTATCCCAATGGTTTTTTTCTAGTAGCTCTAGGTTTTCCTTCAAATTTTTTATCCTTTCCTATTTTTCTTAACTATCAGCATATAACTTCTCATGAACAACTGGGATTAAAGAATTATTATTTTATGAACTAGCTCTAACCCTAAATGATCTGCTATTTCTTGTTGATGACATTGCATTTTGTTGATTTGAATCATCTTACCTTTTCTATTACTAGCTTGTAAAACAGTTTTATCTATTTTAATTTTATGATTTTGATTATTCAACTCTTAATTAGTTGTTTTTTTTTTGAATTTAATTTTATTCTTGCTCGACCTATTCACTAACTTCTAATAGTTAAATTACTTAATCAGATTAATATTCTTAATATTCTTAAAATTTTGTTCCTGTTTTATCTGGAGATTACTTTTTTTAAGGGATAGCATTTTTATAATCAAAATTCTACAGTACTTTTAAAGGAGATAATCTCGTTGATTACTCTTCAAACTCTTTTTACCGTTATATTTCTTCTTGACTATCAGGAAGTTAACTGACAATCAATTTAGGTTTAATTTTCTACTCATTTTTCTAAATAGTTCCATCTGATTATTGCTATTGATTCAGTTCCTCCCCTTAAGTATTTTATGATTTCTATATTAGATTAGACTTTTTATTTGATTCATCTGACGATTCTGTTACTTTTGTTTATTAAGGAACCATTCCTTCAGTTTATGTACCTTAGTGCTTTTTCAGTTCCTATGTTAAGGTTTGCTTAAAATTAACAATTCATAATACATAAACTTCTAAGTTCAACTAGCCTTATTACTTTATCTCTTCAATGGATCTCAAAGATTTAATATTTAACTATTTTATTGAGCTCATAATGCTTCTAACTACTTCCTTTGATTTATCATCTAAATTTATGTCTTAGGGTTTTAACTAATTATCTGATGAATTTTACATTAGCTAATCTAGAATCAATTAATCTGAGAATTTTCTAAGAGAACGAGTTAAGCAGTTAATACTCCTTTTCTTTCTGTTGTAATTTTTCCTACAACATTTAATTTTGCTACTGCCAATCATTAAAAACAACTATTATATTAATTTTCTGATAAAATTACATTTATAATGACTTAAGTCCTTCTTTTGTTTTTCTAAATCCAATTCCATGAGAGAGGACTTGGCAATTAGATTAGTATTTGCTTTCTTTTCGTTTTCTAATAATTGAGATAGCTCTTAATTTTATAGTTTTAAGCTTATTAGTTTTTCATCAAAATATTCATTTTCCTTTAAAATCTTCATTAAATCCTCATTTTTATGGACTTTACTCATTACAAGCCATAACTTGAATGCAAATTTTATTTTAATTTTATCAATCTGAGTAGTTTACAATTTGATGGCTTCTATTTCTTGTTTCTTGGATTCATTAAGAATATCTATTTCTAGTTTAATCTTTTCATCATAATACTAGGCAGCTAATGTAAGATATTGCTATTTTTCTTATGCTCTTTGATTTTCGATTGTTTGCTTCTCTTATTCTAACCTAATATATTTTTTCTTGATGTCTTCAATTTCTTATTGAACTCTTTCAAAAAACACCAATTATTCCGATAAAATTTATTCCTTGTACAATTAATACTCTCTTTCAAATGCCTTGTTTGTCATTAATAGTTTGTTTAGTTCTTGATAATTGATACCATACACAGCCTTTTATTATTCAAACACTTCTTTGAAAAATTGATTGCCTTTTAAATCTGCAATATACTTCCAAATTCTATATGGATTATTATCAATCAAGAATAGCTTTTTTAACAGTTCAGATGGACCATCAATATTATTTATTTGGTGATTGAGTTTTTAGATTTACTATTTATAGTTTTTTATTTCTTCTCTTTGAGCCTATCTTATTATGAGAAACAAAAATACATTAATTTGATGTAATCAATAATCCTGTTGTTAAATTGGAATTTAAGATCTATGATGTGAGTTGTGAATAGTTTTTTGATGTTTGCATCCAGAACTTCAGTAAAATCCATAAAGGAGACTTCAAAAGGTTCGTCGGGACTTATGAGAGTATAATCCTTTCGAAATAATTATTCTCTTAAAGATTATAACTCCTTGAGATAGCCTTGTGTTGTTTAAACTAGATTCTATTCTCTTTAGAATAATTTAGTCTACAAGGATTAAATTAATAAGTCCTTCAATTGCATTTCCTTTCTGGTATGGCAAAATTCATTTTCATTTTCATTTAAGTTCTAGATATTGAATAATTGATTTACACTTTTGCCAAACTTTTTATTCTTTGATTGTTAACTGCAATTTTCAGTGTCCAATCCATCCCAAAATCCTTCTTCGACTTCATCGGTTTCTTTTTGTTATTTGAGCAAATTTAATTTGTTCCATAACCTTTTTAAACCGTTATCGTTCTGATCCTTAAGGTAATTTCTAATTTGTTCTGTGTATATGATAGCAATGTATTTATAATTGAGATCATCATTAAAGGCGAAATGGGTCTCTTAATCAAAAATGAAATTTAAACTTTGCATCATAAATCTAAAATGCTAATCCTCATATCTTGTGAAATATTTCTATCGAATAAATGCTAGTATGTTACAAAATAGAAATTGTTCACTAGAGTTTCATCATCAACTGCCAATAATTCTTTAACCATTTCTTTGATTATGTTTCTCATAGACAATTTAAGAAAGTTAGCTATAGAGTCGAATTTCTTGATGGCGGATTTGACCCTGATTCTGAAATCTTCGCCTTGATCTCTTATCAGCTATTATTCATAAACAGTTGGTTAATAAGTCATAGAATTTTAATTAATGGATATTGTACGTTGGGGACTCTATGGTAATATCTACACAGAGAATTATGAACACTTTTCAGACGGCGGACCAAAATGCTATAACGATATGACTAACACATTTCGTATCTCAATTTCAGCGGTTTCTGCGATTATTTGCTTTCTTGTGATGAGTAAGAATTTGATCAAGTTAAGAAAAATGCTGGGCTAAAATAAAAGTATCTCAGGAATTGACAAGAGCTATGGGGAAGAAGCCTAGTATTTTAGAGTACTTGGTTGGTCTGGCATGTTGGGGAACATTTATTGTTTAAACCGGATATAAATTGTATACAGGAAGGGGTATATGTGAGAATAAGACAATTACATAGGTGTGTTTATGAATAACCCGTGTCATATAGTGTTATTGATGTAGGGATATGTGTTATTGACCAAAAAGCATAAATTTAGTGCTGTCATTTTTATATGCCAATTAAGGTGGCTATATGGAGTATTTGCAGTATTCAATCATCCTCTAAACTCAAGGCACTAAAATTCCCAGTTACCACAGGTATGGAATTGCCCTTCGAAGTGGAATTCTTTTGGATAGAGCACCTTCTTGGAGCATTCGCAGGTCCCTTGGCATTGACATTAAGTGGAAGATTCTTCTTTTTTGAATGGAAGACCTTCTTTATTGAATAGATGTTCGGATGGGATTCTCATGTCCTTTATTAGAGAGTAAGCACTACTTACAAGTTTAGATTTACATGTTGCCAATATCATTAATGACTTGGGCTAATTTAAACTATATGCTTTGTCGACCAGATCATGATCCATTTCTCCCATACATCGGAAATTGGTATTATGTGTTTTCGGAGATCTACTTAAACTTGCTTAGTATAATCGCATTCGTCATTGTGTTCACATTAACTTGGGTTCTAAGAAAAATCATAAGATATAAGGAAAAATAAGATTGAATCATATATTATACATTACCAATAAAATAAATCATCTTCCTAAACTACATTTTTGAGAGTCAATTCTTCTATAAAATAACACATAAGCAGCCTCACTTTCCACGTCTGATGATGTGATTCTTGCACTTGTATCATTATAATCAACCCATTTATTTATTAATTAATTATAGGCGCAGGCAGTGTAATGTCCACCTCCTAATCCACCAAAATGATTGTCCACTCCATACAATTCATAATTATAGTCTATAGGATCACTGTCATTGATTTTTGAAAGAACAAAGGGGTTCAGATTCAGCTTTTTTGGAAAATGAACCATCGTTGTTATTTTTTGAGAACCACCGGAATAAAAGAAGCCTCCATAACTACTTATCCTATTGTTACCAGATCTAAATCTTTTGAGATGTATAATCAACAATGATGGAGCTCTATAAATTTCCATCTATTTAGTAGCCTAAACGTGTTGTTTACATCTATTGCAATACCATTCATCACCCTTACCTAAGATTTCTTACTTTGCAAATGATCTTAGACAATCTTCCAAAGTGTACTCCCCTTTTCTTAATTATCTATTTTGATCAGTGTTGAAATCTTTGCATCTTTGGAATTTCAGATTTTGTAATTCTTATCTTCCAAAAAGAGGATTCAAAATCACATGAATAGGGAGTGTTTTTTATTTGAAGCTTTCAATTGTCTCTTAATTTACATAATCCATTGGTTTACCGTTGTATACCAATTTGTATAGTTCAACTTTGAATTATTTGATCTCTTCAATGAATTCTTCTAATGTCTCAGGAACACTCTAGCAATACTTTTCAACATTCACTCCTTCATTCAGTAATGAATCGGCAAGTTCTTATATAATCAATATAAGGTGGTGTTTGAATTGCTGATAAATTTTAAAGTAAATATCAATGATTTTTTTTTGCTTTGATAATACAAATTATCTTGGGAAAGATATGATCTATTCATTAAAATTCGATCGATCTGTTTTGTTACAATAAAAGAAGTCAACATGAATTTGATCATCTGATAATTGATGAAATTCTTTTTCGACTTAATATATAAACAATTGTCCTTCCTGTTCTTGAATCCATTTTACATTCTATTTTTTTTTAACCCTCTCCCTTATCAAATGATCCTTTAAAAAAACAAAATTCATCTAATCTTATTCAATATTCAAAGATTTCGACAATTCCTATCCAATATAATTGGCATCCTAATCACTTGTTAGATTAAGCTATATTTTTAAAGGTATTTTCCCATTCTGATATATAAAATACATGGATAATTATATTAATGTGTAGGAGGGGATGGGAAGCGAAAGACTCATATAGGGATCAAATGTTTTTGAAACCCTATGACAATTTGGACACACAAGAGTTGATTTATATTGACCAACCATTAATTATTGAATCTTACTTTAATTCCTAAGAATATAATTGTTCCAAAATATTCGAGAGGCTTCAAAGTCAGTTTCATCCGTTATTTCAACTTCCTTTACAAAGGGTTTAGTGAGAACCTTATTTAGATCCTCATGTAAACCATCCAATAAGTATGATAAGAATTCGTGCGAATCCTATTAGCCATAACCATAGAATTGAGGAGCAAACTTACCAATCACTCTTTTTAGATCGTAAGCACTAACTGCAGAGTTATTTCCATACCACATTATCTTCATCAATTCAGCATAGGCAGTTGCCAAAGCTCCTTTTGTTCCCAAAGGATTGTCACAATTTAAATGCTAGTAGAATTCGTTACTAACCATATATTCAGTCAATTCGTAAGTATTGCTTAAACACTATAAGGCAGCATTCATAAAACAAGTATTACCTAGATTTTACAGACCTGTCAAACCTTTACGAGAGTCATTCATGATTTTAGGAACATCGGATATATTAGTTTTTCTTTTGATGGAAGACATCTGCTTTGTATCAATTTCACTCAATTACCAATCCCTTCCATATCTAATTTCGCAAATAAATAAATCCGAACTTGAAAAATTAATTTCATCAATCATTGTTGTCTTTTCTAGGATCTTAGCAGATACCTATTTATATAGTTCTCTATTTTAAAGCTTTTATATAAAGTCCTCTTGACTCTTATAATCCTTAAACTTCCACCATCTCACTTCATTATTCAACTTCATTATTCTATTCACCTTCTTACACAAATCTAATATTAAATCACTACTATTTGCAGTTATTAATCTAATTCTATGGTTTTACTCATTTGGTAATATGATATATTGTATCATTCTTGGTACTAGCTATTGATATTTTAATAACACTAATTACATCAACATATTTTTAATGGGTTTGGCTATGTTCCACTATTAATCTTTTGATCTCAAATCCGCCGTAAATATTCTTGAAATATTCAAATATTTTGTGTCCAACTAATATAAAATCAGCTCCTTCTCTTATATTTTCTTTTAAAATATAATTAGTGTATGACTTTGGATCAAAGGGATCCAACTCAAGAGTTTATTGAGCCTAAATCAATGAAAATCCATTGATCGGACCTGGAGCTGTAATTTATTCTTCAATGTCAAGATCGTTTGAAACATTAAATAGATTCTCTAAGTCTTCTACTTCTTTCTCCATATTCAAACTTTCATTAGGCAATTCAATGGCTGAGTCAGTTACATAACTTTTCCACTTATTGAACCATCTCGTTGGTATCAAATAAGCAGGCATACCATCGTGTTCAAAATATTTTATCTTTCTCTCCAATTCAGACAATTCCTCATATGTTTGAAGCTTTCATAAACAACTTATTTACTTGTTCTTTCAAATCAATATTCTTTTACTTGTATTAAAGCATGCTATCTAGATTGTCAACCAATTACAACAAAGCTTCATTATATTAAATTCCTTGCACGTATTTTCTCAATTGTTTCAACCAATTTTTTGCTTGTTGGATATTATTTTAATCTATGTAAAGGTTAATTAAATCCAGCACTAGATTGAAATATTTGTCTTCATCTACTTCTTCTTCGCTCTCTACTTGTTTTATAATTTCTAAAATTTTGATTTGCAAATTCTTATATCTTTGACTTTAGCTTAGAATTTGCTAAATCAAATAGATTGTTTCAAATTAAGGGTTGTCAATCTCTCCTTTTAATACCTACGTCAGAGATGCCAAGGCTTCAGCATACATCTGACGTTCAATTAGTTTATAAATTTTCTCCATTAGAAAATTTTAAATAAAATTAAATTCTCCTAATAAAATTCACAAAAATATTTATTTAAATTATTACTTTACGTTTTACTTCATCTAAGATCTCTTGCCTATTCGAATGAAACTCATCTTTTATTAGGATATTGAAGAAGCTAATATTAGTAAAGTATTATAATTAAGGAAAGGAAGTGACAAATTTTATAAGAAAACGCTCTCACAATTTATGTTACCCGCAAAGCCACTATTAGGATTGAAAGAAGGATTGTCAGCATCAAATTAGAATATGGAATATCAAGATCAATAGTAAACTGAAGAATATAAATTAAATATTATCATATATTAAAGTCTCTAACACATGAAATTTCAAACATTCAATAGTCAAATAATCAATCTAGCACTGCAAATTGTAAGGTCTTAATCCCAGAAGAGGTTTAAAATGGGTATTAAACACAAATTACCTAAGTAAAGAATTTAGAACTAAGGATAATTAAGGATAAATTTCATTGACTTTTGAGAGAGCAAAAGAATGTTTCCTCATGTAGGCATTAATTAATTTATCAGGACAAAGCCTATACATTTCATATTATATTAAATTTATATGAAATAATTAATATTTACTGAAAGTTTGATAAAACATTTTATTATCTTCAAATTAATATAATGAATCATTTATAAGCTTATATTAATTTAAATCATTAATCATTTTCTTTAAAATCCTAAAATTGTTTGTATTATTCATTTAAGATTTTCACTAATTTAAATACACTTTCATTTTGAGGCTCAATATTTCTTTTGCTTAAATCAAGATTATAGTTTCCTAAGAACTGAGCAATTTAAGAGTAGTGAGCTTCTTCAAGACTGCTATATTTATAATCTTTTACTTAAGAGAGGCATCTTAAAGATTTTTCTTGAGGCCGTTGCATTCTGACTTCAACCTCCTTTTTTCTATTTTCCCTGTTTGCTTATTGACAAGCAGAATGTATGTTTCTAATTCTTGGAATATTCGTTTATCTCTTGTTCTCTTCTTTCCAATTCTGCCTTCATTTTAGTACACCTAGACTATGGCTTTGGCTGTGGAGTACTTAATTCCCAAGTTTTAAGCAATCTAAGTAACAATAGTTTAGTTTAAACCTATCTGAGCGGTTATCCTTTGATGCAAGTTTGTTCTATTATTTGTTGTCGTAAATTGGCGTCAACCCTTTGATAATGCTATGGCCGATTGGCTTTCTTACTAATTGTTGAATTTATATAGTTTACTTGAAACTTTTGCTATTATTTTACAAATCTAAGATTTCTTCGCTTTCACTAGCTTTATTCATTTTGAGTTTATAATAATTAATATATAATTGTTGAAAAATTAATTTGAATTTGAGACAGAATATCATTAATAAATGTATCATTTTTGGATGACGAATTAGTGAAAAATTTTTGATTTCTTTTAATTTTGCTTTAATTTAATCAATCTATTATTGGAATTGTCAATTTCAACAGAATAGTATTCGTTCATTCCAATAAAAATATGAGTATTGTTATTTAAAATATTATAATAAGTTTAAAAATCATTTGCTTTTTTATAATATAATAATATAAAAATAGCCTTAATTAAAAACTTATTCTAAATATTTCATCAACCACCTCTCTATATTTTTAAACTTCAATTTAATTTCAAAATCATAATAAATATGACTCTCACTTTGTCATGTATTTAATGGCTTATGAAAATCTAATTTAATATATTCTTGCTTTATATTAGTTAGTGAGTTATTGAGGTCTTAACATAATTTCAAATTCCATTAGGATTATTCTTATTTATTGCAAAATATAATTTAATAAATTAATTAAACTGTTAGGAGATTGTTAACAATTTATATCAGCTTATCATGAATACCTTTAAAATTTCTTTGCAGTTGTGTTCCTAATACGGAGTCTTGTTGAAAAACATATTTGAAGAACATTTATCATAATTAGTCAGATCTAGTAATATTTTTAAAAATCTATCTAAACACCTTTATACTTAGTAAGGTAGGATTGAGAACTTCAAATTCAACTATTCTCCTTTAAAATAAGATCAGTTCCAAAGTTCTGATTATCTCTAAACTCTTGTTTGTAGAAAAAACTATGTTATAAATAAAACTCTGTAATTACAAGTAAAGTGCAAAATCATACAGGAGTTTCAAATACCTATGAAATTTATTCTACTTCACAGATAATATGCGTTGATTCTTTCTTTTATTTATTAGATTGACAATTTGATTCAAAAATCTATTTTTATTTTTTAATAATTATTAATGTCTCTTTTTAATAAAATATAAATAAACTTAAATAAAATTTGTCAATAAAAATGAATCCAAATACACCCTTCAACGAAAGATTTGCTAAAATCTCTGAAAAACTCAATTCAATTCAATTGCAACATGACTCTTCTAAAGCACACAGAATAGACACTATTTGTGGAAGAATTACAGGAGTAGAGGAAAGAATTCAAGACACAATAACATCTTACAATAGGAAACTTGTATGAATTTGATACTATTTAAATATAGCACACTTTAAAGGATGAAATAGTACGACTTTAAAAACAAATAGAGGAAGAAAATAATGCCTTCGAAACTTAGTTTGAACAAAGAGTGAGGGAGGTGGCTGCCTTTGAAAGTAGAATAACAACTAAACTTGAATAGGAGATTGCTTTAAGAAAAGATGGAAATCTTAAATTGTAAGGCTACTTGGATGAAAAGGTAAAATATAAAATTAAAATTAGGTCGTATATTTGAAATCTGACATCCAAACTGAAGGGAAGATTAGGTAAGAGTAGGTTGAAAATATCACCACCTCATTGGAAAATGATTTACCAAAATTATACGATATGGTTAAAACGGAGGGACAGGATAGAGAAGACAATGACAATGGAACTTTGAGAAGAGCAGGAGATGAAATTAAACGATTGAATGAAGGTCTAGGCAATTAGAAGAAGTTGAGGTACTGATAACATAAATCATAAAAGAGAGGAATCGGAAGCAGCTATATTTGAAATGCTTAAGGACTTGGTTTCTAGAGTAAAGAGTGAAATAGAAGAAGAAAAAAAATTAAGAGAAGAATCTTAAGAATCTCTATTAGGATTATTAGAAGATGCTTGCAATAAAATTTACAGAGCAGCAAAAGACTGAATATTTTGATATATACATATTCAAATTCAATTATAAATAACTCCACTTATGAATACTTTCTAAATAGAGTGATAATTGTGTGTATTTCTATAAATATATTCTTTAATTAATAGTTATATTCTAGTGATTATATTAAAGGGTAGATTTATAAATATCTTTATTGATGGATTGAAATGAACCAATATTCAGAGATTATATGTATTCGGACATATGGATTAAGTTGTCTAGATGGTTTAAGGAGTTTTTTCATAAAAATTTTAGTAAATTAATTATTTTTATTACTTTCAGCTGTCTTTTAATGAAAGCATCAAAAACAATTTCTTCCAGTCGTTCACACAAACAAGCGAAATCTTTCATTCTTAATACATTGTAAAATTGTTTGTTTTTATACTCTCTTTTAGAGACAAGTCTTAAGATTAGATTGTGATGAAGAAATCCCCATCTGAGAATAAGTTAGTCCAAACTTAAAAAGCATACATTATGATTTAACCGAAACTTGTTGAGATTTTTGATGAGAATAAGACCAAAAAAACAGAATTACACTTTGAGAACTCTATTTCTCAATTGAAAACTGTCGAAATAACACAAGGGAAGGGACAAGACATTAAAGAGACTCCGATTATCACTGATAGAAAAACGAGTAGAAAGGAATCCGTGAAGTATTTTAGTTATTTAAATGAGTAGACAATCTTTGAGGATAATTACTTAACTTTGAAAGAAATGATTTTTATATTGAATATTTCTCATTTGAGACATTTCATATATTTTTTAAATATCCATATATTTATTTTTTAAATTTTCTAAAGATGAAGCATAATTAACAACTCCCAAATGCCCATTTAAGAAAGCACTGGACAAGATTTGTCAAGACCTTCTATAATCAACCAGCCGCAAAGAGAAGAAGACAATAAAGGAGATAAGCCAATGCATTAAGTAGATGAAAATTAGATCAATAAATAGGAGCATCTCCAAGACCAGTGGAGTTACTTAGACCAGTTGTTAGAGGCCAAACTATTAAATACAATGGAGTTTAGAAATTGGGAAGAGGATTCTCACTTATTGAATTGAAAGAAGCAGGACTTAATGCATAATTCGCCAGAACAGTTGGTATTGCCGTCGATCACAGAAGAAGAAACAACAGTTAAGAAGAATTGGCAGCTAATGTTAAAAGAATCAAGGCATATTTGTCAAAATTAGTCTTATTCCCAAGAGTTGCTGGCAAACCAAAGAATGGAGTTGTGAAAGACTCAGCTAATGAAGTTGTAGCTCAACCAGTCACATAGAATACTAATCCAGAAGTAAAGCTGACTTTAATAACTAATAGGTCATCACTTTCTAAAGAACACCAAAGAGAGAAAAGGCTACTGTTATTTCAAAGGAGTTAAGAGCTAAAAACGTTTACAGAAGATTAAGATAAGAATGGTACAACGCTAAATTTGTGGGAGTTAAAGAGAAAAGAAAGCAAGCCAAAGAAACCAAGAAATGAGTCAATATAATATAGTGTACATTTACAATAAAAATATTTAATATAATTAATGCATATTTTCTACATCAAAATGATTTATCCCAATTTGGATCTTTTGCTAGTTCTTTTCTGTATTTTATTTTCTGTTATTGCTATTCTGTCTTTATCTCGGATACAACTAGTTTGCCTTATTAGAATTTTTTATCAATCTCGAAATCCCCAATCAATCTTTCTTTAGGAGGGACATACTAAAGCCATATAACATATACGTACAGGTGGTGGTAATTAATGACTAAATAGTTTATCCCAATCAAAATCATCAAACCAAGCATGGGCTTTTAAACCAGCATAGGAAGTTCCTAATCTAGCTTCAGGTTGTTTAGACAATAACTGTTCGATGTATCTTTTAGCTGATCGATCTCTGAAGAAATGAGGGAACTTTAATTAGTTGTTCATGATTTCTTCATAAATCTCATATGGATCCTACTCTATAACAATATAAGGGTTACCTCGATGTCCTCAGCATATGGCACTCCTCCGCATAGGAATTCGTAACAGCAAATGCCTACACTCCACAAATCGACATGATAAGAGTAACCCTTACCAAGAATGATCTCAGGGGCCATGTAATGTGGAGTGCCGATGATGGTGTAAGTTCTTTATCCTTTGGCTTTACTGATTTACTTTGCAGTTCCCAGATCTATCAAAATCATGATCCCATCAGAATTAACCATTATATTCTCAGGCTTCAAATCTCTATAGACAATTCCATTGGAGTGGAGATATTCCAAGCATAAGATCATAGTTCCAATATAAAATTGGGTTTGTTCTTTATTCAATAATCCGATTTCCCTGATCACATCGAAGAGCTCCATCCCTCTGATATATTAGACAAGGAAGTAAACAGAAATTTCATCTTTGAATGTTCTGACAAATTGCATCACAAATGGGAAATTGCATAATTCCAAAACCATTTTCTCTTGTAAAACATGTCTTTCTAAACTTTATTCAACAATCGAAGCCTTAGATACACTCTTCAGAGCATAACAACTATCAATATCTTTATGTTTAACTAGATAAACCCATCCAAATTAACCAGATCCTAATTTCTTAATGAAAACTAGATCTTCAACACGAATATGAGAAGCATCTGCTCTATTCGCAATGTTTTTAATTTTTACTTCATGGGATTCAAATTTCTTTTGGATTGCAGTTTCAAAATCTCCTCCAAGAATTTTAAACATTTAAGTAAAGGAAATGGTAGCTAAAACACCATCAGTAACCATTAAATAATCACTTGATAACAAATCATTCTTTTTGTTTTGAGACAGAAATTAGTCACCAAAACAATTTCCTTTCCCTATTTTATCATCATCACTTTATAATGTTCCTTCAAGAACTATTACTAATTATTCACATTTAGTATCTTTCTAAAATATAACTTATCCTTTTTTGTAATTTTATATCTTGGCCTTCAAGGTAATCTTTTCCTATTGTAATTTTGTTAATTAGTTCAAAATGCTGCTCTTTTCTAAACTCCATCTCATTATGTTGTTGAAGATAATCAACTATACTTTATCTCCCAATATTTTGGTTAAATTGTCTCTTCCTAATGCCAAACACTTGACTTCAGACTCAGCTCTAACTGATGCTCCTCTAGTGCTTTTCTCATACAAAGCCTACTCACCAAAACTGTCTTTTGGCCCCATCGTGTTGATCTACTTTTTCCCTTTGAATACTCCAACAGTGCCTGACTTGATTACATAATAAGAATCTGCCTAATCTCCTTCATTCACAATTGTTTCTCCTGGTTCAAACTTAGTTGTAATTAATGCATGAGCAATTGAGTCTCTTTACTCTGGGGTCATAAAAGAAAAGAATGTAACCTCGTTAATAAACTTTCTGTTCTCGTCATATTCTTTTATCATCATATCTTCAACTGCCTTCCTGAAGGTTCCTCTGTCGAGCATCCAAAAATTACAGTCAGCTAAACTTATGAAATATGTAAATACTGATGGTTTTGATTGAAGCACTTCTTGTGGCATTGTATAATAAGGCTATCTCTCCAAAATAGTCTCCTTCTGATATCACCTTCACTTATTTTTGGTTTATGATAACTTCTGCTTGTCCTTTCTGGACGATGAAGTAAGATGTAGCCTAAAATTCATTTGCTTATATACTTAATCTCCCTATTGAAATATGAACTAATCTCTTTTCTATGTGCAGAACACCAAGTTTTTTATCAGATAATCGATGGCTTATTGAGTCAAATTAAAAAATACAAAATGGCTCTTGAAACTCTTCTCTATCATTTATCTATCACTCTCTATTTAATTTAAAATGAATCCCTTACTTTATATTGTCTTATCCAACTTAATAATGTTCTCCACTATTTGAACATTTTGTTCATCCCCACCTTTAAATTTTTTCTACGCCTTTTTTCCTTGTCTATGATAGTCCCCTTGAATATCATTTTTTTAGTCCTCTCCATCTGACATCTCCGATTGCTGAACTCCCTAAGTAGTATATTAAGGTTGTATAAGAAACTAAAACTTCAATAACGTATAAATACTTTGGGTATTTTCTTGCCCATTAAATCGTCGATATCTTTTCTACTATCTGTATCGACAGTTTCATTATTTGCAGAAGTTCCACAGCCCATATATTTTATTATTAATTAATAAAGTTTATATATTGGAAAATACTCTTGTAATTCGAACAATCATTTAACTCTTTAATTAAAACTAGTATGTTAAGTGTTGCATCAAAGATAATCAAGTATATTTACTTTAATATGAAAAAATAAGTACTTTATATTTTAATACCTGTCTACGGATGAGTTATATTAACTTAAAAATAATTTATAAATTGTAATTATCCAAAATATTATTCATAAATTTAAGTTATAAATTAAACCATTTATTAATGACACAACTCAAATTTGATACACAAAGATAAGGATCAATTAATTATTTATGGTACTTACTATAAAAAATTTCGAGTGCCTTTAGGCTTTAATTTTGAGTTATGAAGTGGGATGAGATCTATCATTAATTTGCTCTTCAGAACAGAACAATGTTAACGCTTGGGCTTGAATTCTATTTTTATCTTATTCAGCTGAAATTAATTTTATTTATAGCTTTCAATTATTTTAGAAAACAAAGCAGCCTTTTCTGTTTCTGATGAATAATATTAATATGATTAGGGATTTTACTATGCTTGTTATTGAAAATTCAAGAACATATTTTAACTCTTAAAATTTGTTTCGCTCATAGGAACATTTTGTGATATGCTTCTGAATTTTACATTAATTGACGGCATCTTACTATTACTAATGATGCCATTTTTGAAGGGACTTATAGGGGCATTCTATTTAATTGATTTATTTGACGGTTACGAGGGCTTTGTTGGAGATGATTATGTTGATAATTAATGACTCGGGATTAATTATTATAATTTTAGTTTTTACAGTTTTTATTCGATCTTATTATTATACATTTCTTAATCCAAGTTGACTGACCAATTTAATGATTATTTGATATGTTGGTTCTGCTAAAGTAACTAATTGAATATCCTGTCCATATTTTAATCTCTATTTTAGAAATAAAGGATTTATTCATCCTGACTTCTAGGTTAATGTTGTAGTATATACTTATCAACGCTGCCAATCACATCATATAATTTGGGAAATACTTTAGAGTAATAATTGTTCAACTTTTTATTATTTTTAATATTAATTTGCCAATCATTTTAAATATTTTTCTTATTCGTAACTTAAACTGAATAAAATTGATTCTGAAGTTTATCTTCATCATTGTTGTTGTCTTGACTGTGTATCTTAATATTGATAAAGAATTACTCTTTTAACTTCAACCTTCTGGTTCTTATTTGTTAGCATTTCAATCTAAAGTCTGCACTCCCCATATATCGCTTAAATTAACTAACAAATAAGATTATTTTTGCCTTCAAAAGAGGAAGTCAAACAATTATATATTGTTGGTTAAAATTTAGATTCCTGGCACCTAATGATTTGTCGCTTTGCCACCATTAATTAGAAAGCCTCTGAAATTCTTGCTATAAATCTGTTCACCAATCTACATAATATCATTCCAATTATACTTTAATTCTTATTCATTGATCATCTAATCATGCTAAAACTGATTCATTAACTTAGCCTATTGCATTGTGTAATATTGATAAAGGTCATTTAATTCATTTTGTGATTTTTGTTAAAAGAAAGCCATAGCACATAATTCTTTAAATAAAAAGTTTAGAGTGTCTTAATTAATTTCCATTTAGTAAATAATAATAATAATTAGTCTTTATATTATTGCCATAACTTATTGACCTCCGTTGAACTTTTTCTGCGTTTACAATGAAACTTATCATTATAACAATCAGAGAAATCAAAAGTCTTCTAGGTTCTAATTAATGGATATATACACCCATCAATTATATTATATAAATTTAATCAGAAAAATTAGTAGGATAATATTTTATATATTTTGATTTGTAAAGATTTTAAAAAATAATTTCTCTAGTGTTTAAATTAAATCAAAAACAGAAACAGTAGATAGAATTTATAATCAAAGAAAATTATTAATTCTATTAAAAGAGAAATATTATATATCTAGAATTTAAGATTTATTTTAACTATTTCTATGTTAAATCATATTCTCCTAATTAATCAGCAGGATATTTGAAAAAAATATTTTAAATAAGATTTCAAGTATTGAGAATTTAATAATCATTTGATAAAGAATTATTAACAAATTTCAAATGGAATCATCCACATCTTAAATTTTATTAATTTTTAGAAGTGAAAAAGTATAGTTGGTTGTCTTTATTAGACTAGTGAATTCTTTATATAGTAAAGTCATAGATTAGTTCTTAAAATGTATGAATTTTTAAATTATAGATTCAAACTACTAAACATTATATCTAATTATATGATTCTACATAATTATAATAACTATGTTAAAAAAATTGCCAGGATTATGGAATTATTAATGTAATTAATTTTTATACTATATAACATTCATTTAAATGACTTTCATCTTTAGTAACACTAATATATATTCTATATACAATATTTAATTCATTTAATTGATTCCAATAAATTAGTGATAAAATTTCCCAAAGTTTTATTAAGTTTTTATTGTTTTTTTTTACCTAATATTACATAGTTGCAATAAAATTCTCTTTTTTGTTCTAGTTGCTACAAAGTAACCTTAAAAAAATCAAATATTTTGCCAATATGAACACAAGAACTAGTTAAAAGCTTTCTGTTCAAAGGATTAAAGATTGTAATGGGTAATTATGGTAAGCAATAATCTTGTAAATTAAAGAAGTAGCTATTCTATATTTACTAGTAATACCTTGATTATGGATTTTTAATATCAGCCAAAAGGCCTATTCCAGTAGTGGTAGTATTGAACTCATTAACAAAATACTTTAGCAAGTCAATGAATGATTCTCCTATTTAATTTGAGGGTACTCTATTTTCTCTTAGAAATGAATAAACCATAATAATTAGAGAGTAAGACGAGAGGCCACCTTCACTATAAATATAATTAATATACCAGTATATGATTCTGATAATCCTAGTTTCTTAATCATACTCTTCAAAATCAATACTAATTATTAGATAATTGGATATTCTTTCATCCATTATTTAACTAAATTTGTTGTAATAAAACCAGAATGAGGAGAATCATATGTGGTTCCACTAAAATTGAACGAGATATCAACTTTAATGCAGCTCTTTATTCTTTATTTAAGTTTTTTCCACTTATGAATCTCTGTCTCCATTAAATTTCTTCCTTCAAATTCTGTTTAAGGAACTTAGGGATCGATTTCGAGTTTAATTACTGGAACAATTGAGTTAAAAATGGGACTATATTTAGTAAATTATATACTTTGACTTGATAACCCATTTTCTTTTAGAGAATTCAAAAAATAGGTTATCGAAAAGAGCCTTAATAACATTTCTATTCATAGGTTAAAAGCCACTAATGCCAATGTCTATATCTGAATCAATTAAAGCTAAGCCAGTAGCACAAGAACCAAATAATCTTAATATTTAATATATTCTTACTATATCATATCATCAGGTATTCCATAGAACACTTTTTAAATTACTAGTTTAATTCTATCAAAAGCCAAAAGCCTAAAGGGTAACATCTCTTCATAATCATTCATAATGTTATCAGTGAATTCTATGATATCATAACTAATCTATTCGATTAATTTCTATTGTGCTTTTTATTAGACATTTTCAATCTATTCTTTTAAGCTGTTATCTTGTGTTTGATTAGAGGATGAAATTGATTCAGTCTCCTATTACTCAAATTACTATGCAGATTTTCTTGATTTCAATCTTTATTTTTTCTCTTCTTCAGAAGTTGAGGCTGTTCTATTTGAACAAAGACTTCTTATGGTTTAAGCCTAAGTTTCTACAGAGAATCTTGTAATTTCAGATTCAGGAGATTACAATTGCATTTATTCATCTCTGCTTTCTGGGATAGATCTCCAAACAGTTTTCTACTTCTTCTTTATCTTCTTTTTCTCTCTTATTAATTCTTCTTTATGGAAATTTTCATCCACCAAAGACTCATAAACTATGTTTAATATATTTTGAGTTATCGTTTAAGTATATTCTACAAAATCATCATTAGTAGGATTTTACAAATTTTCTACAAATGCTTAAGATATATTAGTTTATTCATAATCTATAATGCTTTGACTTTCTATAACTTTATTTAATCTTTCATTATTATTTTATTTTTGATTCTAAGTTTAGTAGCTTTAAGCATTAATTTCACTTAAAATATGAATCATAATTTATACTTTTGATCATCACTATTTTCCCAAGCTGAAGGTGTATTGGGTGGAGTCACATAAGAATATGCAAAATTATTTTAAGAATATGATCTCTAAAATCTTAGTATGTTGGATTCTTGTAAGTTCTTACTTGAGAGACGTTGATTCAGCTCAATAGGATCAAGAGCCTTCTTATATTCAGTCTTCTCTGACTTTTTTTTCTTCAACTTTTTTTTATCTTTCTTCTTTTTAATTGCTAGTTCACTGCTAAATAATTCATTCTCCAAATGTTCTTAAAACAATTGAATCACAATCTAATAGAATTTCTTTAGGAAGTAAGTTCTCTAATCTAATAAATCTGGCATAGATGTAATTAACATAGATTTAATAATATTAGTGTCAGTGTGACATTTTTATTAAAAGTTAAGTGATAATTCAATTTATGATTTTAATAATTTAATTGCGGTGCCTGAGAATATATTGTCATAAAAAATATTTTCTAAGTTTTATGGATTTTCTTTAAAATCTGCTTATATTTATTCAAAATAAAGGTTCAACTAAATTTAATTAATCAATTTTTTACTTTCTCCTTATTGTTTGCTAGATTTCTTTCAAAAAATTCTTAGATATCTTTTGAGTTATTTTTATTCACCATTTAATTCTAGAGACGATATTTCTTCTTTTTGTCTCTTTGTGTATTGTAATAAAAATTAATATTTTTCTCAAATTCCTTTATTATCCAAGCCGAACAACTATGGTAACTGTTTTAATGAAACCAAATCGGGTCTTCTGCTTTTTCTAAATTTGTTTTTGCAGAATTAGTGAGAAAATATTTATCAGAAAGTTCGTCTAACAATTCAAGGAAACCATTTAAATTTTCTAAATGAGGTTCACTTACTATTATTGTGTCGAGAAAACTTTCATCATCAAAAATAACCAACTTGTCATACAATTCCTAAACTCATTAATAGTACAATGTACATCTGTTTTTTTGTGAATGATCCTTGCCTTCATCATAAACTAATCATCAATTTTAGACTCTAAATTAATTGTAGCTCTAAGAATATTTCAATTATATTAACTTTTGGAAAAGTGCATAGTTTGAAGGTTGAAATTACTTATCATGTATGTACATCTTCATTATTGGGAATGTTTTTAATTATCCTTTTATCTGAAATAGTTTGTACAATTCAGATTATTCTAATGCGAACAGCCTGTAAATATAACAAAACCATATATACCATTATAGTACTTCTTGCTTATATGTTGGAGCAGTTTGATTTTGTTCTTGAATATTATCTGCATACAAATTATAATATAATTGTGGACGATATGGATATATGCAATAATTATAGGACTGAAGAAAATTCATTTAATTCATTGAATTCATTGCCTAATTTATGAGTATGATTACTATTATGCTTTGAATATATTCTGATAAATTTAGTTTATATATTAAATATTATAATCATGGATCTTAAATGAGATAATATATTAATTAATATAAATTAAAGATTTACCAAAATATAATTACAATTAATATATATGATATTTTTGGGTATCAACTCAATAGAGATATTTTTTAGAAGATTATAAAATTTAAAATTTATCTCTTTACAACTTTTTATGAACAAAATGAATAATTATCAGCATTATATTTTATTCTAGAAAAAATCCAAAACTATAATTATAATAATTTTTGTAATCATTTTCTTTAAGAATGACTTAATTTAAATGTTGAATTCATTATCTCAAATGTCTCTACATACAATTATATAATAAGAAATTCAATTTAATTGAACTAGCATTAAAGTTGAAGACTTATTTGAAAAAAAATTATTCATTAAAATCTTTACAAATTGTTGAACTATCCCTAGAATTGAATTCTAAATTGCTTAGATTATTTCTCTATAAATGAATTTCATTTTCTATTTTATTTTTATTTCAACATTGATATACTATTATGAATAAAGTTAAACTCTTATGATCAATTTATTAACCTAGTATAATATTAATTATAAAATATTCCAATCGTATTAGAATGGGGACTCATATTGAATTGAGATTGTTTTACTATTTTTTTAAAAAGTTAGAATTAAAAAAAATTCGAATGATATTGTGTAATATAATAATAATCAAAGTTCATTAATAGAATAAATTTCCATTCTTTTATTTTCATGCGCACTGTACAGATATCTTCCATCATACAATACTTTATTGCATCCATAAGGATTAGAAATGATTTCTTATTTTTTTTTAGGCTGATCATCCAGTTTCCAAATAGAAATTTTACCTTCTTATTCAAAGCCCATTTAACCCAAAAATAAGTATTATGAAGTCGGATCAAAGAACAAAGAGTGAATTGAGTAATCATCTTCTAAAGTTCTAATTTCTTAAATTTTCGGATAAGACCATATTTTAACAAAATGATCTTTGGATCCACTTAATAAAATCTACTTGTTCTATTAACTGCTTAATTATAGACACATAATTAAGTTCTTATGACCTATTATCTCTTATTATTTATTTTTGGTTTTGGTATCTAAAACAAGGAGGTTTTTACCACTTCCAACAATAACCGAGTTTTTATCTATTGTCATGGCACTAACTCTACCATCTGTTTTGAATGTATGTTATAATTATCCATCTAAATCCCATAATTTAAGAGTTGTGTCATCAGATCCAGAGATAATGAGATTTCCCACAAAGTCTACACATCTTATTCTTTCTGAATGTCCTTAACAAACAAATGCAATCCTCCAAGAAGGAGAAGGTTTCCATATTCTAACTGTTTTGTCAACTGATCCACTAACTATTATCCTTTTTTATGAAAATGCAATGCATAGAATTTAATCTGTATGATCTTTCAATTCCGTTTTTAATTGTTTAGTTCTCCTTTCTAATAAATTCATATCTATACTTATCCCAAATTTTTATGGTCGAATCCTTTGAACAAGTAATAATCTTATCATCATCCATAAAACATAAATCTTTAACACTTTTATCATGAGCTTTTAAGGTTTCATCTTTTTCAATTTTGAATGGATTTGGTAAGTTTTAAGTTATTTTTATTTAAGGAGAAATTAAGGATCTAATGATATTAAAGATTATACTTAGAACTGATAAAAGATATATCTTATTAAGATTTATTTTCATTTTAAATACCTGACATGGCAGATTAAGCTGACTGTTTCATACCATTTTTAAAATTGTTTGTTTCCTGTCCTCTAATAATTATACTTTATTATGGTGGTTAAAATAGTTGAACTTCTTGATTTTGATTTTAGAACTTTTATCCAAAATCATAATTTTAAGATTCTTACACTTAACTATTTTAAAATTAATTATAGATTTCACTTTATTATGGATTTGAATTTGATTATATTTATTTTTCCTCTTTTATTGTAAATTATACTTTAGTGTTAGAAGTCGACTTTTAAAGGGACTCTTTATTTTCTTTTTGCGTTAAAGTCCTTTGATTTGAATAATAACCAACTATTTATTATTAGGGTAATTCTTATAGGTTATTTGATCTTTATTTTTGATTATATAGTAGATCTAGTTGTTCTGATTTCTCAGCTTTAGGTGTTAAAGGGACTTCAATAACTTATGATTATTAAACATTTTTGAATGGCTCAGCTTTCTTGTATTAATCGAATGATGTATTCTATGATTTTGATTTAGATCGATCTCCTTCGATTCTACTTTAATAGTTGGATGATTTATCAATGTCAAAAGGTTTAACAATTTTGAATGAATTTGAAGGAGATACTTATGAATCTTATTCTGTGAAATAGTTTTTTAATTTAGAATTATTAAATGAACCGACTGGCATCAGATCTCTTTAAAGCAACTGTTTTGAAAGTGGAGATTGATTTGTTTATTTTTATAAGAATATCGGTTCTTTGGATTTATTAGATCGATTAGACAATTAAGGTGATAATTCCCTTACTTCACTTGAGAGATTGGATTTATTGTTAATTATTTATTATGACTGATGAGATGGTTGATGATGATGCTAGGCTTATATGAATTTCTTGGGTAATTGTGAAAATTAGGATTTCATATCCTTCTCAATCTCAACTATTTGTGAGAAGAATTGCTCTAAATATTCTCTGTCCTTCAATTAGTCTCTCTATATTAATTCAATAATCTTAGATTAAAATTATTGGGGACTCATCTTCTCTTATTTCAATTATTTCATTATTTCTTTTTTTCTCTTTTCATCTATAAAATTTACATCGATTTATAAAGATGAAATCTTATCATGGAAGTATTATTTCATTTAGTCTAATTTTTACAATATTTATGCTTAATACTCCATATTCAAGTATTTTGTGTAGTCATTCAAATATGTTTCTAAATTTTGTATAACATGATTATTATGAGTATCAGTACATTTATCACACAATGGTCCTTTTTTGGTGCAATCCTATTGAATGCAAACTGAATTAAAGATTGACTAATGCAGTTAGCAATAGTATTACATAATTAACAAATTTATTATTTTTTAATCATAAGAATTGTTAACAAATATTAATAGTTTCGTATCGCTGAGGAAGTTGAATCCGATTACTTTAAGTAGTTTCATCATAAGATCACTCCATTATCATAAATCGACTAGAAATTATATATATAAATAATTTAATCACACTATTTGAATTGACCATATTTAATTGATATTATTGATAACTATCCACTGAAATCATCTTTAATCAATAAATAATGTATTCCGAAAGAAAAGTGAAATTAACTCTTCATTTGCCTAAATTAGAATCCTGTGTTCAGTTCGAATCCGATGTATACACTACAACATCAAGATCAAGTAAAAGACTGTTAACCATTAATAGGAATATTGTCAATTTCCAAAGCTCCTAAATCTGACAGGAGAATAGTACATAAGCACACAGTTACACAAATGAATACTTCCAATTAACTTCATTTGTATACTCCGAAATACGAGAGTCTGTAAGCCAAAAGACTCAAAAACATTCCTTATGAACTAAAATATTTCATTCCTAATCTCCCTAACAAAAACTTTAAATCTAGCCATCTTATGAACAGCAAACTATTAGAAACACCAAAAGTCACAATACAGAACAAAGATAAGTGGCTATTAAATGTACATAAAACTAGAATGAACAATGCTTTTAGTCTCGGTAAAAGTAAAAGAATGTAAAATAAACACCTAAAAACGGAATAACAAGATGAACACAACTAAGTCACAAGATAGAACTTAAATTTTATAGAAAATGAACAAGTCAAAGTAATGTTACATATTATATTGTTTAGAGACTCAAAAAATAAAGGAATGACACTTAAAAATTAATTGCTCAATTTGCTTCTTAATTTAATTCGAGTGCCAAACTTAATTATATTGATGAAAACTTTTGAAACCTATATATATGTTGAATCTTTTTTCTAATCTACTGTTACATTTTATATTCCATCTATCTATTGTAATTCATTGTTATGATATTCTAAAATTTATATTATTTATATATTCAAGCAATTGATGCTGTCTAAGTTCGTTTCATTTTAATCATCTACAGGTATTAATTATGATCATCAAGAGACAATAGGGATAAAATGTTAAAAATGCTGTAAAATTGGGAATTGTTGAGAAGCTATATGCTTCTTGGAATTGACAACCAACAATCTGAATAGAAATTCTTAGTATATTGTAAGCAGATATTTCTAATATAGAACATATATATGTTTGTAGGAGATTGCTTAGGTTAGGGAAAAGTTTACAAACCATTCTTAATATCTTACAAAAATAACAAATTCATCATCCAAAAAAGCATTTTCATCAAATTCCTCATGCTGTTAATGAAATGTCAACCTATTCTGTCTATATGTTCTATTTCTTTTTCCATCTAATAGAGGGTATTATGGTCATACATTAAATGGGATTTTTTGAGAAAACATTCAATCATCAATTATTGAAAATTATTTCTCATTCTTTTTGGACCTTAGGATTGTTAACATAATTGGTTTTCTACTTAAATAGATTAAGAACTAATTTTAGAAGGTATAAATATTATTACTAAAGAGAGAGTCTGAGATGAAGTAATAAATTTAAAATGGGATATCTAATTAGGAATTTATTTCTTAGATCAAAGCCTTGACAAATGAAAGATATCAATATGGATTACTGATTTTAAGAATCATAGGTGATCTAACCTGTGCCATGTAAAAAGCATAAATACCAGAACAAATAGTATGACCATTATATAATGAAAATAGTTAAATACAAGATTTAACAGAGGATTAGTTGCTTTAGGAGGTTTAATGAGTTCAGCCATTCAGATCTATTTACAAGCTAAAAGGGAAGATAAAAAAGAAAACGTGTGTGAGGTTTGAGGATTGTAAAAGTTATGTTATTCTAAAATATACAGATTAATTTTATATAATTGTTGTTAATTAATTCTAATATTTATTTAATTAATTTTATGGAATCATAGTTTGATTTTATTTGATATTGATTATATAAAACATATTTTATTTGAACTCAATTTTCAATCTATCATGCTTAGATACATAATATTGTTGAATGATAGATGTTAAATATTGAAGATTAAATAGTATTTATAATTTGGTTCGAGATTAAATAATAGTACTTTCTAAAATTGATTCTGTTAATTCACTTTAAAGTAAAAATTATCGTTTTTCAAATGGAATAATTCAATATTAAATGAACTAAGTATATTTAATTTCTATATTGGTCACATCTGCTTATTGTGCTTCGTTTTTGGAAGAGCAACCAGGAATGCAGAATAAAATTTATTCTATAAAGTTGGAAAGAACTTAATCTTAAGCCAGGAAATCATTCTTCGATTTCATAACAACAGGGCAACATTTTAGATCTAAGAGTGACATATTGGATGATATTGCATTGACACAAACTACACAGAAGGAGAGCATAAAATTATATAATTTTAAAAATACTTAATATACTGGTGAAATTAGTTTTGGAGCTTAAGAAAATAAATTTAAAGTAGAATAAATTACTAAGATAGGTTATATTTGATACTGGATCAGCTAATATTTGGTTGAATTCTGCAAGATGCAATGATTATGGCTGTAAGAATCATAAATAATATGATGGTTAAAAGAGTTTGACTTATGAGCATTTAGGTTATGATCTAGATGTTGAATTTGGAACTGGTGAATTGATGGGAGAGGTATGAATTAAATAAATTAAAAGATTAATGCAGACACTGCCTACGTTGGAAATGTTTAGATTAGAAAATAGGAGTTTGCAGAAATAGTTAGGGAGAATGGAGACGTATTTGCTTATTCAGATTTTGATGGTATAGTTGGTTTAGCATATCCAACAATGGCTGCCTATCATTTTAATCCATTATTTGATAATATCATGCAATAAAAATTGTTGGATAGGAATGTGTTTTCATTCTACTTTTCAAGATAAGAGAACTCTAGAACCTCAGAACTAACATTGGGAGGATGGAATTAAGAGCATTTCGTAGGGGAATTGCATTTTCACAATGTGGCAAACAAGTATTATTGGCTTTTAGAAGCAGACAACATATTGGTTAACGGAAAGGATCTAGGAATATGCAAAAGAGGGTGTAAGGTGATAGCAGATACTGGAACATCATTAATAACAGGTCCATCTGATGATTTATATGATGTGATAGATGCTCTTAATATAGATGAGAATTGCAAGAATGTTAAAGAATTACCCACCTTAACATTTGTCCTGGATGGAATTCATTATGATCTTGACGCACATGATTACATTATGAAGATAGATTCATATGGAAATGAAGTAAATAAATTTATAATATCATAGATTGCATATGGATCTTTTGCATCTACAGACAGCTTCTTAGAAATGGGAGCAGGTTGTGAATGCGTAGGGACATTTATGCCACTAGACATTCCACATCCTCAAGGACCAGCCTGGATTTTGGGTGACACTTTCTTAAGCAAATATTATTCAGTTTATGATAGAGATAATGATAGGGTAGGGTTTGCAAGATCGAAATGATCATATCTTTTTTAATATAAATTATTAATATTTTTAACCAGAATTTTAAACTTATAGTAAATGTTTTCTTAAAACAATGGAGTGAATTTCAACAATAATTGCACTCACAATTAGAATCAACATTAAAACATTCAAAACTCCAATAATCAAATAAATAACAGAATATTTATGTAACCATAATAAATATCATCCAATTTCTAAAACCAAGGGTTATCTGCAATAAAAGAAATCCCATCATCATTTATGTTATACAATCGCAATGGAAGAAATCAAGGAACATTTATGGTTTAATCTTAAAATGGGATTAAATAAGGAACTTTTATGCAATCAGCATACAATGGGATAATATAAAGTAGTTTATTCAATGACCAATAAAGTTCAACTTTTAATCAAAATTACTCTGATTTTAAGTCTTCTTCATTAAACAATGTTGACAATAAATTTAAATAATTTAAATATAGTATAAATTAAGATGACATAAATTCACAATTGATTAATACCCAAAATAACGATAAAATGGAAATTGAAGAATGTTTCCTATAAAAATAGATGTAAGATGTTATTTCAGATGCAATTAGAGATTCTAATCAGTTTTAACCTTGATTTTTATAAATATACAAATAAGTAGATATTATATACTAAATTATATTACATATATTATCATTCATCAAGCCCATAGTAAATTAATTTTAAAACTATGGTAAAAGGCTTCTGGGAACTTGGACTATAATTTGGATAATGCATTAAAATAGTAGATCAATATTAAAATCCAAAAAAAGTCACTCATAATGAAGGTTGAAATTTAGGAGCCTTAAATATAGCACGTGCCCCATAGTTTATTTAATTAAGTCATCATCATTATAAATGAAACTATCTTTAAAATTATGGAAGGGATTGTTGTAAGCAATAAGTAAGTTTTTTTCAATTTATTAATGCCAAAAGCAAAAACCAATAGGGCTATCAATGCGAAGTAATAAGATATCGTTTAGACTATTGCAGCGGAATTTGAACCACAATGTTGATCTATTGCTAAATCAAATATCCTTACCTATTTCAGATGTTTTCACACTAAAAACTATTGCTTCGACAAAACATACAATTATTGAGATGATCAATGAAATTAGCAATACTTTTAAAGGAGCTATCATTTTTGTAGATATTGATGCAGAAATTAGTCCCTATTCCATTAAAATTTTATATATATATATATAATATAATATTTCACCCAATTAGATTTGTAAATTTTTCCACTTTATATGATTATCCCTGGCTATCACAAAATACTAATTTATTAGTTTTCTCAAAATAGTTGAGAAATTCAATTTGAATGTTTTGAGTTGGTACATTAAACTTTTTCTTATCTTAGGCTATATAGTCATAAACTCTAACTTAATTCTTTTTCACATAAATAAAATATTATTTATTGATAATTTATGGGTGTGAGATATACTTCAAATGACGAGATGGTAAATTTGTATGATAATAAAGCAATGCTGAAAATTACTCTGTTTTCAATTCAACATATTCATAATCTTCTTATATTGATGACAAATTCGAAATAGTGATTATCATATTTTGATTTGAAACTCTTAAAATATCCGCACTTTCAAGATATACTGACTCGCAAATCACTTGACCTACTTAATAAATTAGTTTTTTCTTATTCTTATTCAATAAATAAACAAAACCCCCTAGTTTACTGATCACCTATTATATAAATATGTTATACAAAAACTTATAAGGTCTTGGTGATATGAATTTAATCAATATTATGTTCTAACTCCTATTAAAAAATCAATTCTTTTTAAAGCTTATCCTTATCGTAACTAACCATATAACAGTTAATAGTCTTATTATCAGCATTTGCTAATAGTAATTTATTTTAAATTTAGTTCTTGGATGCTCGATAAGTTATATCTTTTATTGCAATCACGGATATATTTTCACAATCTTAATAATTAGATATGTAACATTCAGGGTAAAAGCTTTATAGAGAAATGAAAGTTCTTGAATTATTTTTTTTAAGTAATGCAAGTACTAATGTGTAATCAGAACTAGCTCCTGCAATAAATGAACATTCTTTTGGCTATTCTTAGGGAAGCGGCTACAGATTTTTACTTATTTATTCATACGATTTTTTAATTTCATCTATCTATTCTTTTAAATTAGCTTTGTTTGACTCAAATTGATTTTTAAGTTCTTTTTTTCTTAGCTCGAATAAATCAATCTAATAAGAGTTAGCTGCTGCCAGACATTGTTATTGATACATTTATTATTTATTTTCTGATTGCATTTCTTATGTTTTTTCAATGTTAACTCTCTATTTTAAGTGACCAATTTTTTTTTGATAAGTTTCAATCATGGTATCCCATACAGACGATTATTCCCTATTTATTACTTTTAATTGTTTAATGTCGACTGTGTAATCATGTTAATAGGTTGAATCCTAAATCATTAAAATTTTAGAAATATAAAAACAATATTATTTTTAATCATTTTCTTCTTTGTTTTTCTAGCAATGTTTCAAATATTTCAGCAGGCAATTTGACCAATGTTTTACGTGCCTTTTTGGTCCATTTTTTAATATTTTTGGATTCTTTTATAATTTAAAGATCAGCTGTCTTATATTTATTTAATTCATCTTATTTCTTCTTATTTTTTTTTCTCAATTTTTCTTCTTAAATCTTAATTCACATTAAAAAATACCTGCTTCTCCTTCTCAGCTTTATACTCTTTCAAATACTCCTATAATTCTTTCTTTTGTTATCTTTATTTTTGCTTTTCTTCCCATGAAACTTTATGAAATCTTTTGGTTCTTGTACTTGATCTAATCTTATGATGATGATTTCATACTTTGTTGAAAGTTTCTTCCAAGGATTTCCAGATTTTGGCATTCCAATAAGGATTTCATTTTATTGCTTATTTTCCTTAATTTATTATCCTTCACTCATTATAATTAATTAAAATAAATAATTTTAATATTGAGGCCTATATTTATTTAATAAATAGTATATATATCAATTTAGTTGGGATAGTTTAGTACGTGATTTAAATGATATTATCTTTCCATTTCTATTCTTATTTGATGATGACAACGACAATATATTTTCGATGTTACTAATAGTTCTCTCATTTTTTGGTAATTAAGTAAATCTGGGCGAAAGTTATAGGTAAGTCTGTCTGGGAGATAGATTGTATGAAGAAAATTTAGTATCCTACAATTGCTTTTATTGTTTGAGTGTGAATTGTTCAAAGGGGATCCCCAGCAAATTCAAAATAACATCAGACTTGGTAATAAATCTAGTTCTGTTTTAGTCTATGTATTTGAAACACGATAAAACTGTTTCTTGTTTGACAGGCTGAATTTCATTTATTATTTTATAAAATCTTTTTAGGAATAAACTATTACTGTTAGATACTCAATTATTAATGGTTCTAAAATAGGTAATCCAAATAGTTGTTATAATCCTCCTTTAACAATTCTACTTTCACTTTTTCAAAGGAATCTCTCCAAGTAAGAATGCATAATAATAGCTCATTTAATAATGACTCAATTTCTGATGGTAGAAGAACATTCTTATTAATTTAGTAGCTAGATCTTAACATGGCCAATTCAGTTAATTCAGGGTGTTCTTATGGTAATATTGTTTTAATGAAGCTATTGAATATTGGATGTAATATTTTACTCATTGTAGGATACTGAGCCATCTTTATCATAATCCAAATATTTGATAAGAGTATCTAATTATTACTTGGTTAAATGCATTTCTTGGTTGTCTTGCAGAAATTCATAAAATTCCTTAACTCCAAGTTTAGTTTTATTGTTTTAATCTAATCGTTTAAAACTTGTGAAGGGTTCGAATAGTCTCTATGCACATAATTCTTGTCGCGTAAGTTCTATGTCAATTTCTGATTCTCCCAAAATTATCAAGAGTTTAACAAACTATTTCATAAATAAATAATATTAAATTGAGCGCAGACTTTAGGAATTTCTTCGGTTTTCAATTTCATTATTGTTATATATTTTGCATTAAGTAAAGCATTTAACAATGAATATAAGTTATATCAGAGTTTAATCTTTTAATTATGTTGCTGTTTAGTTTCAGTTAGATTTATTAACATTCCTACATCTTACGATAATTTGATTATTTGATTATATAAAAAAATAAGATCCTATTTAAGTATGGTAGGAGTGCTCCCCACTCGAATTTGATTGGTTTATTGTGAAATTTAAATTGAATATAATTGAAATAAAAATATATGACAAAATTATTGCATTTACTTTTTTACATTAGAAAGATAGAATTTATTGGTATGTAGAATTTGATTGATTACCCAGTAATTAAAGAGAGTTTTAAAATTAGGGAGCATTTAATGGGAGGTAAGAAGGAGGAATGAAAATTTTATTTGATTTGGAAGGTTACTGAATTTTCTGATATTTTCAATAGAAAGAACAGAGTTATTGGATTTAATAATATTGAGAATTTAGTTTTGTATTGATTAATTGATTTGGAACAAATAAATTTTACTTGATATAATTATATAAATATAAATAACAATAAAAATGGACAAAAAAGGCAACTTCGAGAGGATAAGAAATAAATTGAAAAGCGATTTATTTAAGAATGAGAATTAATAAAAATAGAATGTCGAAGAAATTATCAATCAATGTCCATAAATATTAGAATATGTTCATTGCTCAAGTTAAAGTGAATTTAAGGATGATGCGCCTAAAATAATTGATTATCTGTCAAATAAGAAACAACTTGAATAAATGAAGCAATCATTCAAAAATATATATCAAATTGGAAAAATTCTGGGTGAAGGAGCTCATGCAGTTGTCAGACAATGTTGGCAAATAACAAACCCAGATGAAACATATGCTGTTAAGATTTCGAGGAATGCAGATCCAGAAATCACTGAAATAATGAAATAGACATTCCTCAATACTGTGTCTTTAAATCATCCTTACATTTGCAAAACTAATATGCTTTACATCGATCCAAACATGGAATGCTCCTATTTAGTAATGGACTATTTACCTTATCCAAGTCTGTAACATATCTTAAAGGATCGAAAAACTTTAGATCTGAATGAAACTTGCTTAATTGTGAGGTAATTGTTCGAGGCTGTCTCATACATTCACAAAGTTGGATTGTGTCACAGAGACATCAAACCGGATAATATCGTCTTTGATAACGACACCAACACCATTAAGTTAATTGATTTTGGAGTTTCAAAAAGGTTCCTTGTTGCTGAGAAGAATTGCAAAGACATCAAAAATAATCTCATGTGGACTGTAACAGGAACCATGCCTTATCAAGCTCCTGAATTATGGGTTGGTTCTGGATATTCAAAGTAGATTGATGTCTGGGCCATTGGAGTTGTCTGCTATCAGATGTTGTGTGGTAAATTACCTATTGATTAAGAGAATCAGATGGAAAGCTTCTCCACTTAATCTGAGTACACTGGACATTTGCAACAACCTGAATTCCTTCAATTGCCCTCTTTGGTCATTGACTTTATCAAAAGAATTCTGAAATGGAATCCAGACAAACGAATCACTTCGGCTTGTATAGATTTATTAATTAATTTCAGAGGCTTTGCTCCATCCTTGGCTTTATCAACCTAAGATATTCCCTAAGCATATAAAAATGAGATCAAAGGATGACATCGTTCTTGGGTCTAGTGATAAACCTCTTTTGGGTATTGTAAGGTCTATGTAAGCAAATATGAAAATATTACAATAATCTGTTTCTAATTCTAATGAATAATTTATTGATAAAAGAGATTTAACTAAAAATCATGGATAAATCATTATAGCTTATAAAGAAACCAGCTAGCAAATTAGAGAGAAATCGATTCACTTTTAATAATCAATCCATTCAATTAATCTTACCAAGTGCTCTGCTAAACCAAGTACCGATGATGTCAAAGACCTCTTTGATGTCATCAACTTTTGTGATAGTAGTTCCTCCTTTGAGTCTTTAGAAGAAAAACAATAATTATAAGCACAATAATAAAAACAAGCCTAACAACAGTAACAGCAGAAAATGGGTTTCTCCTAACGACTAGGTGTAATTAAGGAGGAACCAGAAACTCCATATAGCGAATAACTTACGAAAAAAACTAAAGAAATCGATTAGATTTGATTCAATATATATATATGATATATATAGTTAAATGTAAGTTATGACAAAAGCAGAAAATTTTGAGAAAGGAAGTCTTATCCGATGCTCTATAAAATTCATATTTCCTCTATTCAAATGGAAATCTATCATAATTTTATGATTTTAAATTTTCATGAAAGAAATATAATTGGTACTAGACATAATAAATAAAAAGTTCAAATGTTTAATTATTTATTATATAATAATTACATAATTAATAAGAAAAAAACGAATGAATGAATAAACAATTTCACAACGATTCTATGAAGATCAAAGTAGAGAATTAAGAGAGAAATATTAAAAAGCTAAAGATGGAGGGAGTATTGATATATATTAGCAACATTAGGCAATTCGTAGAATAATCCAAAAAGAGATAAGGCTTAGAGAATTTTGTTATTAATTATGATTCTTTATTCAATTATACTTATAACTTTTGTTTTGTTATTATATTGGGTTAGAGATTTCAGATATTTTTGCTATGGCATTTTGAATGATTTTAGCGAGTAAGGTATTCAATATTCTAGCTAGGATAAATCATTGGAGCTATATATATAGGAATGATTGGATTATGGTTTGTATTAACAGGCTTTAATGTAGTATTGTATGATATTTTGGCAGGATATTTGATTCAACCTTTTTGGTTTGCACTATTAACAGTATCAATAGCTAAATTTTTGGCAAAGTAACATTTTAATTGATTTCACAATAGATATTTTGGATTTCTCATAGGGAGATACTGTGTAAGAAATTATATTTATATGGCTATGAATGAGAACATTTATTTCATTACATGTTATTTGGCGACTGAAAGAAAACCAGTGAAAGTTATGTATTTAATATAATTTTTGGCAATTCCTACTATTTTTAAAACATATGCTTGTGGATTGTTCAGAATTACACACTGGGAATTCATCCATCCAACAATATTTGGTACTGTAGTTTGGGCAGGTTTTTGGGTATATATGGGATCAAACTTGGAATCATTATCTGACCTATTATAATCGGGAGACACAAGTAACTATGTTCCATTTTGGCTGAAATTAGGAATGTTTATTACCATAATATTAATTATTTATTATTTCATCAAATTGACTCAATCCATATATTAAGAAATTTAGAATGATGCTAGTTTGGCTGAATTAAGTCATATTTTAGAGAAAGAGGAAGAGGAGGAAGACAAACTTATTCATTAATAATTAGAATCTGATTTGTGATAAACATAATAGTAATATAATTAAGATTAAATGAATATTGTTTAAATTATATTACAAATTAATATAAAAATGAATTACAAATTTTCATTTCAAAATTGTTCATAACATATCATCTTTTTTATTTTTATATAGTCATTTTGTCTCCATTCTTTCCATCAAGTGTATCCACTGAAGTAATGTCAATAAATTAGACTTTCAACTATTTTTATTCTCTTTAATCATTTTATTCATTATTTTTATTTTTTTTCAAAATTGTACTTTTTCGAGGATTCGTTTACTCATTTGGACTTTTAACATCTTCATAATTACAGTTTTCTAATCCTGAATTTGCTGATCCAAATGTTTAAATTTGATGAGAATCTTTCTAAGCTTTTTAAGGATTCTTTTAAACTTAAAATGAAGGTTAGATATTATTAAGATTATATTAGGTTCCTTTACTTTCTTATTCCTCTTTTATCGTTTGCAAATGCTCCTATATACCCTCTACTTATTTAAATTCTTCTGAATTAGGAAAATTAAAATCATTTTACTGTTTTTAATTAAAAATTGTCCTCTATTTTTGTTATTAGTCTTGAGATGATTAAATTTAATTGATACTGATGTCATTCATACTTATACCATCAATCTCATTTTCAAATTCTTCATCAATGTCACTGTCTTCCTCATATTATTTCTTAAACATCAATTATTCCAATGCTCCCTTTGTATCCTTCAATGCAAATTCATCCAGACTTTCTATTGGGTTATATTTTCTTTCAGGTCCGACATAACCATCCTACTCCCCATAACCAGCAGAATTATGATCTCCATAGATGAATTTTTTCAATTAACTAGTATTTAATTTTTAATTAGTTTCAAGTAATGACCCAAGCATACTTAAATTATCCATCGACTGAATTATATTATTCTTTTCTCTCTTTTGATGTTAAATCAAAATTAAGGGGATGGATGCAACAAGATTCTCCACTTTGAAAATTAACTACCTTGCAAAAATTACATTCACAGTAAGAATATATTAATAGCTTATCCTTTTCGTTTTTATTGTGCTTTATGGGAAAATGGATGTGCTATTATCTGTTTTTCCTATTGGTAGATGCATATTAGTTGTAATCTATTTTTAGGAATGTGCTTAAATTTATTCTAACATAAAATAATCTATTTACCATTTAATTCTTATAAATAGATATCAAAATAATTTGATAACTTTCTTTTTTATTGTTTATATAGAACTACTAATTAAGAAGAGATTTTTAATTCAATTTTCTGAACAGCAACATTTGATTAACTATTATCAACTGCAATATTTAATTAGATGCTGTCTCCAAATACATATTATGCTTTGTTTAATTAAATTTTGACTTTTGTATTCTAAATTTAATTGTTTTCTTACCCCTGTTGAAAAGCAACACCTTTTGTCAATTTTTGAAACTTCTTAATATTCATTAGGAATAACATTTTAAATTGGCAATTTTTACAATACATGTACTACTACTCTATGTTTTTTCGGTACTTTATATAAATTTTTTTCGTCTTCGCTTTATATACTCACAGAGAGAAAATAAAGAATTCTACATTGCACCAGTTTGTAATAATTAACCGTGAAACTCGGATATAATGAGGGAACTTCTAATTCAAAATATTTTTTGCAAGCTATAATTGGCATTTTTCTAAATATACAGCTAAATTTTACATTCCAAAGTCAGCTATTTTTTTCTGCTTTTTATATATGAACTATTTATAGCTAAAGAATTAGTTATAAGAGTCTAATTAATTGACTTTCTCTTGTCCGCAGAGCTATATTACTTTTATTTGAATTCTTACTTTTAAATACAAAAGACCAGCTTAAATATCCTTCGTTTTGATCTTCATATACACCACTCCCTTTATAATCTCTCCAGGATAATAGCTAGGCTTGTCGATTTTTATAGAAATCTAGGCTTACTAAGGAGTTAGAGTATACATCATATTAAAATAAAATAATTATAGAACCAATTAATCCTAATCTCTGATCAAAAATATTCAGGAATAAATTTTCAGTTCTAGTGCAATCAATACTTGAACTTTAATTCCTTAATACAATTTGATTGTAATATTTAAAAATTAAAATCTTTATAACTTAATTTAATCATTCAATAAGATAATATGACTAATTCAATTACGATTCAATAAAATCAAGCTGTAATAAACTTAGTTCATGCTGCTGCTCTCGTTTAAGTTCCACATTTAAAATATATCTCACAACAAGCCTTTAGATTCAAGACTAATAATAATAATAAAAACGAAAAAATTCCTAATCAAATTTATCTATATATTCATAAGACTTTTATGTTTATATGATCTTTATCTTAGAATTTAAACTTTTTATCTGACCTCAAAAACAGATTAATAACAATTTTAGTTTAGATTTGATAGAAATCTTTAAGTTACTTAGGTTTATTACTTTTCTGCTGCTACGTTTCGTTTGAAACATAGTAAAATGGAATCAATCTCAAAATGATTTCATTTGAATAATTTATTTGACTTTCAATCAGGAGTTAGGGTTAAAAAACCATAAAAGATTAAAAGTAATTGGATAAGGATTCAAAACATCTTGAGTGTTTATTTAATTTATGTTATGTGTAATGAAAGATCAAATTAATTCTTCTATGATTCACATTATTTTCTTTCTTTCATCAGTATTTTGGGGACTTAGACTCTAAATTTTAGAAGAACTAAATTAAGAAATTTCTTTTGACCATGCAAAATAATTCTAAATATATTTTATTTTATAAAAACTTGCTTATATTTTTTATAAATTTCTTAAGCTATTAAGATAAACACCCTTTAACGATCGTTTAATATTAAATTGGTATTTATTAAAATGACTTGGATCTTGAATACTTTGAAACCCTACTCCTTTCACTAATAGATTGCTTTAATATCAATAATTTTTCATTTATATTCTGTTTAATCGAAGTTTAATGAAAAACGCTATTTATAATTAGAGATGCTATAGTATTTCCATTAAAGATTTTTGAAAAATGTTTTTCAATGTAATTATTATAATCCATACATTCTAATAATTGATTTTTCCTATATATCTAGCACAACGTCTAAAGAATTATTATAATTATTATTTTTATACTATTTTAAAAATATTAATTATAATTTCATTTCCTATTTATGTTCAATGAAGATAGTATTTTTAATTTATTCTTTTGGTTTTATTTGCAGACAGACAACCTGCCTAAATAAAGTTAATAAATATACTATGAAAAAACCCTATTTGATTAAAACAATATTATTTTTGAATCTAATTAGAATACTTAACTAAAGATCTTAAATTGTAATGCATAAGGAAAGTCATTTCATTTACATTAATTTCAATAGAATAATCAAATTCTATAATACAAAAAACTAGCATTTGCATTTATTTTATAGAAGAATCTATTGAATAATCATATAGAAAATAACTGCCAATGATGAGGTATTGGTCAAATTTTAATGGGAGACAGATGAATAGTAATTACTTAAAACATTGTTATAAATGAATACGTATGAATTCTGATAAATACTATTATAGGATAATAAATTGCTGATTTCATCTAGGGAGGTGAAAAATTATTAAAAAAGCATTCATAAGATGCAATAGGGATCATTAATTGATAAATAAAGAAGATCTAAAGAGAGATTTGTTTATGAAGCTAACAATCTAGTTCAATAATGGAGAGATTTATTTGAGAATGGGTATCGTGATTACGCTGGACATTTTATCAAGCCTTCACTCAAAGAAGCAGCCAATCTAGTTGGATGTTCAAAGAAAACTTTAGAAGACTATTACAGCATAATTAGGAAAGCTTCTTAAATTATCAATATAAAAGATTGTTTGAACATGAAAATGGGTTATTTGAGGTAACTCTTAAGGAAGGATCCTATTTTCAATGTTGCTGCTCCAGAAATAATATAAGAAGAGCAGAATACTTCTTAAAATGATAGTTGGAATAATATGATAATTGAAGCAGATGATGAAGTTTCAAAAGCATCAATAGATATCGACCAGTTTATAAATACAAATTAAACTGACTAGCACAATTATGAAAATGATTTCACATCAATAAATTTCAATTCTGATTGGAAAGAAACACAAATAGATGATGAAATCAATCCAGCATAACCATATTAAGAGTGGAATTTCTATGACTTTTGACAATTATGTATTCTCTCTATATTTATACAACCAAACTATTTTTTCTAGTAATACCTCTTAGTTTTTGTGTTATTACTTAAAATCTGTTATAATAATAACTAAATTTAAATACACACACTGTTATTTAGGTCATTCAGAAATAATAGATATTTATATAGGTAATATTATGCTCTAATCAATTTGCTATTATCGAATTTAGCGATTGAAATTAGTAATTAGTTATTAATTAATTTATAAAATTAAATGAAATCTGCTAATAAAAGCATTTCAGATATTTTTTTTCTTAATCAACGAACTCCTTTAAGCGATATAAAAAATTAGTCCACTTACTTAGATTATTATGAAGAGCATTAACAATAAATATAAGTGCTAGAAAAAAAACTATTAGAATAACAATTAATTAATTCAAAATAAGCAGAAGAAATTGAATCACTAAAAAGTGATGTTCAAATTGCTAAAAAATTAATAGATTCCACTTAAAATCAGTTAGATTAATTTTATCAAGAAATGAAGTAAAAAGAAGAATAATTATATAATTTTGAAAAGTAAATAAGGGAAAAGGAAATGGAATTAATAAATAAAGAATTATCATTGGTGAATAGACAAACATAAACGGAAGAGACTTTTTTATAGTCTAATTAGGAAAATGTAGAGCCAGAGCCATAAATTGATATCGATATTGCTAGACATTTATTTGAAAAAAGAATCCATAAAGAATACAAAGCACTCTAAGAAAAATAACAGGAATTACAAGCAAGAGAAAATGCTATAGTCTTTAGAGAAAATAAAATCAAAGAATTTATGAGTAAACTATCATCTTCAATGTGAATTTACTATTTTATATATATATATATAGATCGATATCCCCCAAAGATTATTAATTAATCTAACTCCAAGATTATCATATTCAGTTAAATGCTCAATATGATTCATTAATTTCATATATTTGAATTACTATGATAGTTGTAAAATTTTATTTGTTAATATTGTTAATTAAAATGAACGACATAGAAAATGGCTAAATTGAAGACGAAGATGTTCCTTTAAGTCCAAATGAAGTGAAATAGCTAAAACGAAAAAAGGGAAGCCAATATTGCTTTTGGTTTAGAAATGATGAGCCTTTAATTACCATAGGTCCTCATTGTAAATTGATATTTCTTAATAGGAGGGCCTTTTCCTTTATTTCTAACCGTAGTTTTGATCTTAGGAACTTATTACATAGGATTTATATTTTATAAAAGCGATATATTATTCAGAATAGTACAAAGTTGCTCTGGACTCTTTTTAATATTGACTTTCCTAATAACTGCATTAAAAAACCAAGGCATAAATTACAAATCATCAAATACAGCTTTTACAGAACGTACTTAATAAATCTAAGCTAGATTGGTGTTCAATTTGCTCTATGCACAAATCAAAAGGAACAATACATTGCAAAGATTGTAATATTTGTATAAGAGGGTACGATCATCATTGTATATGGATTGGAAAATGTGTTGGAGAAGGAAATTAATTTGCATTCAATGTATTTATTTTGGCTTTTCTCGTTTTTTTTCTTATTAATTATGTTCTGTTGTTAATTTGATTATAAATATTTAATATGAAGAATTCAAAATAATTATGGTTCATGTGGAGTCAATCTTAAAATTTAAGTTAGAAATATGAAATGGAAACAAAGAAAGTATAACTAAATTAATCAAGGTTCTTGGGTCAGGAAAATTTGGTTAAGTTATAAAAGTTAAAGAGAGATTATCAAAAATCTATAGAGCCATACGTAGCATACCAAAAGCTAAGGTGAAGCATAAAGAAAAATTGAAATCTGACGTTAACTAACTCAAAAATATTGTACAAAATAATTGCCTTATCATAAGAATCATGAAAATGTTATTAAAATATATGAACTATACGAGGATGATAGGAACATACACATAGTGATTGAGTATTTTTAACAAAGTCAATCTAGTTAAGTCTTTGCGAAGGTGGTTCATTGTTTGAAAAAATTTTGGAAAAATATGTACTTTCAGCAGAAGAGGCTCGTTAATTGTTTTTGTAAATGATCCAATCCATAAATGTTTGTCATAAATATGCATTGTGTCATCGAGACTTAAGAGTAATATAATTGGATTATTTAAGCCTGAATCTTTTTTATATGTTGAAAGAAAAGCAGAGGATATGAGGATTAAGGCAGTTGATTTTGGATTTTAATTGCTTTATGTAGATGATTACATTAAGAAATAGAATGGAATAGTTGTAGAATCTTCAAGATCTGGGAAAGTAATATACATTATTAATTATAAGTTGTATTTTACAGCCCCTGAAATATTTGAAGGTAGACTAACCGAAAAATGTGACATTTGGGCAGTTGGTGTGATTTTACATGTTTTAATGACAGGGGAATTACCATTTAATGGTCAAACTGATGCTGAAATTTACAAACAAATTTAAAATTATGAAATAACTTTAAAAGTTGAAAAACCAGTTGCAGATCTATTGTCTAAAATTCTCATTGATCCATATAAAAGAATGACAATTTTTGATATATTGAAACATCCTTGGATTTAAACTCCTATTGATAAAACTATTTTCTTAAATCCAAACTTCAAATAAATGAAAGAACTATCCAATTAAAATCATCTATTAAGAGTATATTCTAATTTTAATTTTACATTAGATTATGATGAATTTTTTGTCTGAATAACTTCAAAAGGATTCTTTAGAAAAATTAAAGAAAATATTTGAAGAATTGGATGTTAATTCAAAAGGATTCATTTCAGTTTCCTCAATTAAAGATACCTTAAAAGATTAGCCAGAATACGAAGAAATAAATTTGATTTTAGAGCATTCTGAAATTCAAGATGATAAAATTAATTACAATAGTAATCATTTATATAATTAGATTTTATTAATTAAATCTATGAGAAGAGATTATTTTTGAAAGAGGAGAAATGTTATTTGGCATTCAAATAATTTGATTTAAACAATACAGGCAAAATTACAGTCGACAATCTTTAAAATGTGTTGAAATCTGTTGATCAATTTAAATATATTTCAAAGCAATTTTGTGAAAGTCTAATAAAAGAAGTTGATAAAAATAATGATGGAGAAATAGATTATGTAGAATTTATTGATATGTTTTGTAAAAAAATCTGAAATAAATCATAGACTTAATAATATTATTTCAAAATAATCATAAATAATTTTGATTAATCTAATTAATTTTTGGATAAAAATATACTTAAATAAATCATCGTTAATCTTCCAATTTTACATACCTTCCTTCACTTACTAAATAGTATCCACCAGCCACTTGTAATTCAATTTCCTTTTAATAGTCTTAAATTTATTTCCTATCCTAATTATTTTTAATAGAAAATAAATCATTATCCAAACTGCCTCTTCCAAGAAGAATAGAAAAATTGGTTACAGCTTAATAAACCGAAGCTTATCTCTGATATGCATCTCTTGTTTTAAATGTCTGCATTCTATGTATCAAAGAAACCTAATTTGCATTTTAACCTTCATTATTAATTTGTTCCTATTGGATTGGAATCGTTATTGATTTTCCTGATTATATAGAAGTCTGCATTCTGATTTAAGTTAAATCGTAATTTTTTATTGTATCTTTCTTATCAACTATATCTAATTACGGAACTCTGTCTCTTAACTCTGATTCATCTAAACTGGGATTTGATTAGAGAGTCTATTTTGACTTCCAAAAGATTGCTAAAACTATATAGAACAAACCAAAGAATCCAACAGTAGATAGAAGAATCATTCCCCAACGAGATGTTGAACCTCCAGTTGATTATTAAACATAACCATAAAGAATAGGGGCAGGTAGATACCCTAAAAGTTCTTGAAACAAATGGCTTAATGAGTTTCCACTTGATCTTTATTCTCTTGGAATTGAAGTGATCATGATACCCATAATTGCAGGAACAGCACTTCCTCCAAAGAATAGTAAGAACCATAAGAAAAGTAAGACAAATGCTCCATCATTTAAAGCTGGAATGAATGCTCCTGATATACTTGCTAATAAGGCTTCAAATGCTGCTATTTTAATTGCCATCGATCCATCATATCCTCCAAAGTTTTGTAAGACTAAGCCACCCAAATATACTCCCGTAAGAGGAGCAGTCAATGATATTATCAAAAATGATTTAAACACGACTTCATGAGGCATTAGCAACACATTCCTAAGATAATCTGTTATCCAAAATTAAACTCCTGTTACAACAAAAAATAAAGAACTTAATGATAGCATTGAAAACACAAAAATAGGATTAGAAAAAAAAGTTTTTAAATTCTGCAAAAATATCGTCTTAAAATCCTCTCTTTATTCATCTGTTTTCTCCTAATATTATGTTGATAACATTTTTTCATCACTCAAACTATAAACCAAAAAACATGGTATTAGCAATAGTATTTACAAATAATATGGATAGACCCACTAATTATTAAAATTTGAATTACATTCTATGAAAAATAGAGTGATAAGGATGTCACTAGATATCCTGATACAGTTCCTAATGCTACTCCTAATTACATGTATGTTAGCCACATAGTCTTCTTATTTTCACCAAATAAGTCGATCCAAACAGGGAAAAAAACTACTAGGAACACCAAATAAATTAATATTGCGTACTTGAAAGAATCCTGTTAAAAATCTCGATAAAAATAGGAGAAATATATTTTTAGTTAGAATAAATAGAGATAAACTTAGTATGCAACATAATACGCTGATTGTAACTATACGCTTTGTTTTAAATTTGCTAAATATGCCTGTGCCTAAAAATGAACCTATTACAAGTCCTCCATAAACTGATGACCCCATCAAACCTAACTAAAATTAGATTTAAATTTAAATTAGTACTCCAATGTCATCTATGCCCAAATCGAATTTCATATCAGTTGTGCATGCTGGTATTATTCCATGATCGAAATTTATTAGAGCATTTGTCACAAAATTTAACAAATATATTGATAAATTTTTGTTTTCCATTTATTTAATTAAAAATTATGCACATTCTTTTTTAAAGAATGCTTTAGCTTCAACCTTTCTACTTCAATAAAACAATTAATAAATTTAGATATACAATAGTACATATGTACTTATTTATATGAATATCAATCAATTTAATTTCCAAATACTTCGCAATCAGAATAATTCAAATATAGAAATTCATCTTCTCTATCTTTATATTTATTATATAATTCTTGAAGTGAAATGTCTATTTTTAATAAGAAAAATTACCATCGGATATTATGTTATTTCCACAATAGAAAAACAATGTTTATTAAGGTGATAATTAGAGTTTAGTTCTGATTTAGTTTTTAAACTCAGAAAATTTGACAGTTTAATTCACCAAGAATCTATTTTATTCAAACTAAATACTAAGGTCTTGTTAATGACATAATCTTGGCTTTTGGATGCTTTTAAACAACCATTGGTGTCATTTCTGGGTACTTTTCTTTATATTGTTACACTCTCTTCTTTCTGTCCTCCAATTTATGTTGTGCCTTATAGTCTTTCACACTCTAGGTTTTCGTGGCTTCTAGGGCTTAGCTATTCATTATTTTATTTTATTATATTTTGAAATTAATATCTCAATAAAAAGTGTGCTAATAAACTAAGTTAATTATAAACAAAATAGAATACTGATTAGTATATATAATACTGATTAATGTACAAAACTTTATTATCATTTTGCTAATTACTTATGGAAGATAATAATAAAATATTAATAATTGGATTCTGAATTTTGCTGTATTTTAATAGAATATTATTAAATTATAATATATATCTGCAGTTCATTTGAGAAATTTCAATACAATATCCTAAACTATTTCGTTTTTCAAAACTAGTAAAGCAATAAAAACTTTTGAATAGAATTAATATGCAAATTATTAACTTTTAATAAATTGTTGATACCTTTTATTAATAGTATAGTATCAAAAATGCAAATATATAATTTATATCACAGTAAAATTTAGAAAAGCTAAGGTCATGTAAACCAATAAAGAATAATTTTATGGCTATTTAGACTTTATAATAATTTATTAATTGATGATATATTATCTCTACTCAACTTTTGTCATTTTAAAATTAATTATTTATTTACCAAAATTATATTGAATGACTCTACATTTAGTCTCAACAAAAAGAATATTTGGTTAAATTAATAACTATTTAGATAATTGATATATATAATAAGCATTTTGATATAAAGTATTATGAAACCGTAATTTCAGTTATTCTAAAAGCAATTTATATAGAGATAATAAAATTCGATTCTTTGTAATATTTTATTTAAATAAAACAAAATGACAAAAATACCTGGAGCACTAGAATTATATGAATGCTTGCTGAATTAAAATTAATCTAAGAATTCTTCTTGTGTTTAGTATGATAGTGTCTAATATTTAGATTTTGCTTTAAAGTGTTTTTAGCAATGACTTTGTTACTTTTATCAATATACATCTACTTTGCTTAACAAAAATTCAACTCACTTCTTACTGTTACTAGAAAGCAGAAAATTTTTCTTATATTAATCATAGACATGATTTGTAACTTTATACATTAATTAAGTTTATCTTGCATATCAACTTTCTTTTAAAGACGATGCTGTATACTTTCCCATTCTATATTTTTAATTTATGTTTATCTGCTACATAATCTACTATTTTGGAAGAAAGTCAATAATGCTAGCGACGTTTAATTTGGCATATATTTAAAGAGAAATTAACTCTACAATCCAATTAAAGCTATCAAAATTGATGTTCGCTGGATTAATTTTTTTTTTTACTGTAGTTTTCATATTAAATTACATTGATTATTTTATCTAATAAAATAATTATCATCTTTGTTAAGGTTTATATTAAATCATAATAGATAGCTTAATTTTTTAATGTAATAACAACTGTTAGCTTTTTACTTTAAGGATTATTCTTACTATAAATAAGATAATTTACAAGGCAGATTAATAAAAATATGAAGAACTTGGAAAATGTTAATGATGAGGCTGATAAAATTGAAAAAGTGATTAAAAAAAGATTGAGTTAAATATGGTAAATTAATTATATTAATATTTAACAAGGATTCTAGTCATAATCAATATATTAGGATCTTTTGTCAGTTTTGTGTAAAATATCTATTTTGTTTTGATGAATGAAATATTGAGAAATCAACCTGAAAGATATACATGTTATTACATTAAAGTAAATCGATATCAAGACATTAGATAGAAGATGATGCTACTTTGACAAACATTATTAATACAGCTTTAGAACTTTCAGAAAAGATGTTATCATTTTTTCTACCTTATTATGCTGCTTTGATAATTTTTTGGCCTAAGAAATCCTTAAATTAACCTTCCAATGGCAGACAAGATAGCACAGATATAATAGTTGAAACCTATGTAATTCACACTCCAGAATATTCTGATTAATCTTCAAGTAGAGAGTGATATCAAATCTCCTTATTTACATTATTAAAAAACAAGTTTTTTAGAAATATTAGAATGCAGAATTTTATATTTTTTCAAATATTATCCGAAATCATATAACTTGCACCCATCGTATAGAGGTTAGTACAGATGCCCCCCAAGCATCTAGGTCGGGTTCGAGTCCCGGTAGGTGCAAATTTATTTTTGTATTTTTAATTTAATTAATTTGACATTCTTCAATTGATTGATAATTCTGTAAATTTCTGAAAAGCCAAAAGAATAATATGAAGTATATCTTATCGCTTGGAATATTGAAATTAAAGTGGATTTAGTTGAAGATTTTAATTATAGTTTTTCACACATTGACCAATAAAAATATTGATATTTATATTAAAATAAAATTATAAAAATAGAATAGAGTATTTTCATAAAAGTTTTGGGTTTTGTTAAATTTTAGACTCCAACAATGTAATAAATTCATTAAGTGAGATCTACATTATAATAATAATAAAAACCATTCCATCCTTATTCGTATCGCAATCCCTAAGAATATCTTCCCACATTTTTTCATCTATTTCATTTCCAAATAATTCATTTATTTCTTATTTCGTAATATATCCATTGCCATCTAAATCAAATAGTTTAAAGGATTATTCAATCTTTTTCTTGCTTAATGTTCTGTCCCTATTAATGGAAGCAGTAACAAATTCACTAAAATCGACTTTCCCAGATTTATTAGCGTCCAATTAAGGAAACAATTCTTCAACAATATGTTAAGCTGCTAAAGCATCTCCCTTATAAATCTTCAAATAAGCTTTTTTTAATGAATAAAATACCAGCAAGTAATTCTTCTTTGCTTACAGTCCCATCACCATTTTTATCTATGTCTTGAAAAATTTTGAGTAAATCATCCTTCTCTTGACTTGAAACCACTTGAACAGTTATAAATTAGAGGATAGCGTACTTTAGCTTATTTTTAGAATCAAAATCTTATAATCTCTTTAAACTTAAATTGTTAACTTAACCTTTAGCTTTATTATTTGAAATCCAAGCATGTTACTGAGCTTCAGAAGCACTGACTCTGGCTGACGGATCATAAAATAACATCCTTCTTATCAAATCTTTGGCTTGCATTGACACTCTGGACCAATCGTTGCTGTCAAATTGATACGTACCTTTTCTCACTTTTGCTAATACTTCTCCTTCACTGTGACCAAAAAATGGAGGGTATCCACATAGCAAAATATAGAGCAATACTCCCAATGACCATATATCACATTTCTCATCATAACTTCCATTTAGAACTTCTGGAGCCACATAGAATGGCTAAATAGTTATAAAATTAAAAATACTGTTCCAATTCTTTTATTTAGTTTTTCATCATTTACTAATTTGGCACTAGCACCAAAATCAATTATTTTTAAGGCTGCTCCTTAATTTTTGGAATCAAACAAAATATTTTCTGGTTTTAAATCTCTATGAACTATCCCTTTGGAATGACAGTAGGAAACAGCTGATAATATTTATTTCATATAAGATGCAATTTCTTTTTCTGTTAAAATTTGAACGAATTTGATTTTTTCGAATAGTTCACCACCTTTCATATGAAATTTTTTAAAGATTTACCATCACAATATTCACTTATTAAGAAATAGGAATTATCATCTTAATACATTTCATATAATTTAACTATATTGGGATGATCAATATCCATCAATATACTGGTTTCTTCTAATAGTTTCTCTTAATCTTCTTTCTTCAATTTAGATTTTAATATTAATTTCATAGCTCTAATCATTCCTATCCTTAATCAATAAAATTACAACCTGTTTATCGATGAACTACTTTATAAACTTTTCCAAAACCTCCTTAACCAATCATCTCTTTTATTGTATAAAATTCACTAACATTCTTTTTTGAATTAATCCTAACAAACATTGTCTATTTAATGATCCATTATTTTTCTTAACCTTGTTATTGAACTAGGGATCTTGTTTCCTGATTGTCTTCCTTTTTGCCACTTTTCATTTCCTAAGAATAATTGGTTTCTTTCTTAGGTGTTTGTTCTGCATCTGCAATTCTCTCCTGCACTTGTTCCATCTGCTTTCCCTAATTGTTCAAATCTACAATATTTGCTCTATATTCTGGTTATTAATATTCAGTTAATTCTTTCGCTGATTCATTCAATTAGTTCATATCTAAAATAAGTGTATAATATAAAACCAATTGGATTTCCTTAACAACAACCCATCCTAATATTTATTTTAATTTTTATATGCCTAATTAATTCGATAAATAGCAGTAAATATTTACCAATAATTTAATAAATTGCTCAAATATCTTGGCTTCAATTTCCATCTCTTAAGAATTATAAATAATTTCAATGCTTAAATTGATGCAAATTAAACTAGTTGCTCCAAATTTTCATTCTTGATCCTCCTATTTATTTCAAATTAAAGATCCATTTTTTAAAAAACAAAAATATCAATTCATCTACAAATAGTATAAAGATCAATATCATATTCTATAGTAATAACTTGTATTATTATAGAAAGATTTCTAAGAAAAACTGCATGAAGAAAATGCAAAAATTAAATTTTGTGCATTCAATAATTAATTAAAAATTTTAGAATGAGTTTGTCAATCAATTCCAACATCTTTTAGATCTAAAATAATGAAGAGATAAACTAGCTTTTAAACTTTCTCAAGCTTAATGGTGAATTTACAAAGGGAGAATTTCGTTTTATAGATTAGGAGCAAGGGAAAAAATTTTCTTCATTCAAATCGGCCTTTTAGATAATAAGAGAAAGCTTTCCAGATTTCAAACTAAAATTCACAAATCTTATAGGCAACGTATAATCCTCTACAAATACAAATTTAATGATGAAATGTGAAGATACAAGGCAAACAAATTAAACAAGAACAAATGATTAAACAATTAGTATAGATTAATGTAGGACTTTCGTATCTCAATAGCCTCAAATGGCTGTTTAATAGGAAGTCGAGCAAAAAAATTAACATGCGGAATATAATTAGGATGATAGTTTAAGGGACCAAGAAAGTAGGGTGTCTTCTGAAGAAATGGCGGATGACAACTTTCAAGATTATAATTTGTAATAAATCAAAAGTTTCTCTTAATAAGAAGAAAATGATTTGGCTTCAGAAATAAAAAGTGAATATCTTTAACAATTATAATATCTGGAGGACAAAAAGTTATAATGCAATAGTGAATTGGCTTAAAAAGATGTAGCTGATACAGAAATCAAAATTGCCGGATTGTAAACTTCATAAACAGTTTAAATTCCAACTAATTTTATGCTACAAGTTATAGAAAAATTCTTTCTATAAGAATGGAATCAATTGATTAAATCATTAAATTTGGAGTAAAAAGAAATAAATTATTACAAACTTTAGTTAAATGTAGATCTTGATCAAATTAAGAAGGGCTTAGAGGAGTTTATTAATAAAATTTCCTATTTAGAGATTGAATTTTGCTATTACACTAATTATACAATGATAGCCCAATCAAAAATAAATGAATACTTAAGACGTTATGAAATATTTCCATTTCAATAAGCTGATAACTTCTATTTAGTTTCTAAAATCTAAAATAAAGGTTTTCTTGAAGAAATAAGTCAATAAATAAATAATAATTATAGGGGAATTTATTTACATTTTTCATCATTAAAACCATATAAGTAAGATAGTTTATAAATTAAAGATCTGACTTAATGTAGATCACTATATTACGAAAAGTTTTTGGCAGAGAGGTTTAAAGAATATTGTATGAATTAATATTTTGATGATTAATGCTTTTTTTTAGAGATGAATTTTACTCAGATTAAGTAAAATAGAGATTTATTTGAAAAATAAATTAAAAAATATATTCAATGTTGTATAAAAAGTCTATTTTTAATAAAATTTACACCTTAATGCAATATGTCTGATGAAAAGTAAATTGATGCATGGTTTAGTGAGGAAGTAGATGCTAAATAAATAAATTTTGTCTATTTAAAAAAAGAAAGTTCATTCCTCCTATTTGGTAACACAATAGACCTTATTAATCTATTTAAAAAAATTAATAGGAAAGAATAAATAACAAGCACTTAAATCAGTTAAGCAACTATAACTATTTATAAACAAAACCTTTTTTAGCCAACATTTTAACCCACAAAATAGATTGACATTGAAGGTTTGTTTAAGCTCTTGGAAGAAAGTGGCTTTAAAAATATTTAAAGATCCAATCAAGATTTGGTCTTTTTGAAATAAACTTAAAATACCTTTGATTATCTATGTAAGTAAATATTAATTATATCAAGTGAAAATCCTGGAAATGATATGTATTATCCGACAGCAACACTTGGACAAAAAAGTCCATGCTATTTATACAAAATTTAATTAAAATCCATAAAAGAGTCAACTTAGTAAGTTAGATAATGAATTATTTTTTTTATCTCAAGTTGGTTGTTAAAATGGAAGGGCAGATAACTTTTCAGTGACGATTAATATATCTACCAATAATACAGGTGTTTTTTCTCACTCCAAAATCATAGAATTGAAAGTATAAAATAACTTATAATTTAGCCTAAATTTTTAGATAGTGTAATTTATGACTACTTTTACTAAGAATTTTAGGAAAAACTAACTCCAAAAAATTAGCCAATTCAATTTGTTAAAATAGAAGAAGGTATATATAAGCTTTCATGTTAAACCAGTTAACTCATTAAATAATTTGAGGATTATTTCTCTAAGTTTGTAACATCAAAAGTAGGGTTTAATGAAGATTTATTAAGAGTTTTCGAACTTAGTAATTATAAAAAATAAGAATTATCTAAAAAAGGTGTTTATTATAAAGTGGATCCTAATGGATTGATTTTTATTTCAAGAAGCATAGATTCTATTAAAAGTGTTGAGCAGAGCTTAGAATATTATCGAGGATTTATTATAACGATGCATAGTTTAAAGTCCTAAAATTTAGAAGAAAAACCTGAAAATTTTTAATTGGTCTCAGCCAGGATAGGCTATATTAAATACATTCTGGGAGAAATCATAAAATAAATGAATCATCAATAATAAAATATACAGATTGAAGAGATAGAATTTAAGGAAGAATAAGAAATAAGCGCATTTTGTATTTTCCATTTACATTTTGATAATTAGAGAAACAATTCATAGAGCATGGATTTAGCAACAATTTAATTATAGGAGGATTTAACTTTAAGGATGTAATATCTATACTTTTTTGAAATTAAGACTGATCAAGAAACAGGAAAAACTTTATTTTCAAATATTATTAAAAATCCATAAATTTATGTTACATTCAAATAATAATATACAGATTATTTTATTACTATGTTGGGAAATTAAAAATAATTCAAAGAATTATTTGAAAATTTAATCTTTTTTTATGAGAACCAAAAACAAATTGTACAATTTAGTATCTATATTGAATAATTTTGTAATTTTCAAAATATAATACAATTTGCAGAAAGTAAAAAAAAATTAAAACAGGATTTCGAAAAAAAAGGTTTTGAAGTTGATGATTAAAAAACTAAATGGGTAATTCAATCTAAAAGACCTGCTTAAGCGTGTAATTATTTCAATAATTTTAGTTTAAATATTATCCATTTTAATTCCAAAAATGGCTGATGAAGAAGACTCTAGATTTTTGTAAAATTCGAATGAATAGAATGACTATTAGTTTTTAAATATTTCCATGATTAAAAATGAGAATTCATCCTTTTAAAGCAAATCATTCTTTTTATAATATTACGACATTTTTGAAGTTTGGTAGCAAAAACTTTCTTCTAACAGTATATATCAGAATGATTAACTAATATTAAATAGAAATGAAAATAATAAATCATAATCATAATAACAACAGTAATAATAATAACAATAGCAATAATAATAATAATAATAATAACAATAGCAATAATAATAATAACAATAGTAATAATAATAACAATAGTAATAATAATAATAATTGTAATAATAATAACAGCAACAGTAATAAAAATAGTAATAATACTAACAATAATAATAATAATAACCATAATAATAATAACAATAATAACAACAACATCAACAATAACAAAAGTAATAATAATAATAACCAATTTTATCTTTTTAACATGAGGATTTTAGCCAGTAAAATCTAGTATTATAATAATCACAACAAACAAATTAATTCCAATTCGAAAATTAATCAAGAAGCAAAAGTCCGTATGATAAATAAGATAGTCAAGTTAATCTTAGTAAATCATAACTAAGTAATAGTTAATCAAGTGAAATAATGAAGAATTCTTTTTAATTTTCAAATATTAAGAGTTTTCCTTTTGAAAAAAAATGTTTATTAGTAGAATTTTAAAGAAATTAAAGATAAATTGTACCTCCGATTGATGAAAAATTGATTCAACATTTGACGCAAAATTATAAAAATGAAAAATTTGAATATTTTGAAGCAAATGTTGATTTAGATTATGTTAATTATTTTAATAGTCTTGCATAACAATCAATTACATTGTATATTATCTAAAGACCAGATAAAGAATATCATAATGAATTTTCAAAAAAACTTTTGTATTATTTAAATTATGAAGCATTACTTGAAAAGTTTATGAGTCATAACTAACTGATTATCATTTGCTGTAAGGCAAATAAAGCAGCGCGCTATTAAATTCCACATAAGGATAAGACTTATTAAATTTGTTTAAAAGATTCAAATTAGGTGTTGCCTTATTTATGGATCAGAAGAAAAACTAATTGAAAGTGAAAAATTACAATAAATTTATATTTTATTTAGAATATAAAATTATATTGATTCTTTTATCTTTGATTGTCATTTGAATTATAATTGAAACAAGATCATTTATTCAAAGATTCTTTATTTATTTCTAGATCAGCATTATAACTTCTCATTTAAATAAATCTTCAAGAAATAATGCTTCAAAATTTTTGGTCTTTTTTCGAATAATGAAGAATCATGAATAAATCAACACTCTAATATAAGATCGAATAATAATTTTGTTTAGAATTGATTGACTTGAAAGTTATATTGATTCCAATTATATTAATTATTACGAAAAATTATAAATGTTTAGAGTCGAAAATATAATCGATACTAGATATCTAGCTTTAATAATAACGTGCTCATTCGATTTTCTATTTCTTTTTCTTGTCACTTTTATTTACGATTTTATTACTTAGAAAACTTTATGGGTGAACCTGGGGATGCATCTCATACTTTTAGGTATAATATGTAGCCATTTTAATAGGACTATTTATTTACATCAGATAGCATTTTCGAAAAAAATAAGAACATAAAACGCTAGTGATGGATATTACTTTTATAGTTTTCTTTATAGCTAAGTGTTTCTACGAAGCTTTTAACTCTCATTAAACAAACAATTATTTTGGGTATTTATACATATCCATTCTCTTCCATTTATTTTAAGGTACTTTGAGATCTCCCCTTTGTAAAATTGCGTTGCCTTTTTTATATTGTGGATTTTTAATTCAATAGTTGATAATGCCCTAAAAATTAGAGAACAATCGAGATTCATTATTGTTTCAGTTATTTTTTTTGGGAATAGCTTTGATGAATGATTTTGCTATTCAAATATCAGAACATAAGCTTAATTAAAATTATAAAACCTAATATGAAGAGAAAATTCAACAATTAGAACTCTTGAGTGACATTATTTATAAATTAAATTTAGGAATTCTTGCATACGATTAAGATAAAAAACTAATTTATCGGGGTTAATATATGGATTTTATACAAGGTATGATAGAACCTAATCAAATAATTGAAAACAATATAGACATCCCAAATCGCTCCGAACTCTAAAATTCTTAGAGCATGAGATTAATTTATCATAATCGAAATTAAAGTTCAAATGTTGAATTCTTAGATGACATAAAAGTGTCTGAATATATCATAAATGAAACAGTTAATAAATAGACTGTTACAATAAGATAGATACTAGATAATGGTAATCAACAATAAGAATACGAGTCGATTTATTATAAAGTCAAATTGTTTGGGTAAAACCTAGAAAAGTACAAGTATCATTTGAAGTTTACATAGATAACCCATAACAAATAGCCATTATTTTTGTTTACCTTCTAAGTATTAATCATAATTATTTTAGTTAATTAATGACATTTCTATATATAGCGCATTTAAAAAAGACTACAAATTTAGGAACAGTCTTATTAGTTCACTCAGTCATAAATTGAAAACGCCTTTAAATGCAGTGATTACTTATTTGGAAAATTGTCTTGGCAACTAATCTCTTCCAAAAGAACTGATCGAAACTTTCATCAAACCTTGTTATTGGAATTCGAAAATTCTGTTGTATCTTATTTAAGATATCCTTGAATATGTGTCAATCTACTCTTAACAAAAACCAATTTTGACAATTAAAAATATAGACATCCACAAATTGCTTTTCGAAATCAAAGACTTAATTATGACATAATGTAGTCAAAAGGGTATTCAATTTACAATCAAATATAACAATTAAGATATCAATTAAATTCAAGCTGAAAAAAAAGAGATGTAAGATTTTAATTATTTGTTTAGTTGTTGCTACATTCAATCAGATCTCAATAAGCTAATGAGAATCTTAGTCAATCTTTTGAATAACGCTTATCGATACACTCCTTAAGGGGGATAAATCGAATTAACAGTCAAGGAAATAAAAACAGCAAGTTCTCGTATGATTAAATTTGTCGTATAAGATAGTGGAATAGGATTAAGTAAATAGGCCCAAGATGAAATTAATAAGCAAATGCAAATTCATCAATAGCTAACTCAAAGTTCCAGAAAGGTTATAATTTAATTTATTGTAGTAAAGCATTCTGTAAACTCAATCTCTTGATCGGGGAATTAGTTATTCATCAATGAACTTAAAAAATGAAGTGCTTGGTATTAGTTTAAAAATAACAACAAAATTACTCAATTAATTAAATGGGGCTTGTCCACTTATAATCGAGAGTAGTCCTGGATAAGGATGCAAGTTTGAGTTTTCAATTTGTGATTTAGATTTACCTAGTGCATTATAGCAGTAATCTGCTTCAAGACATAGGAAAAATGAGTCAATGAAATCGGGTAATCAAATTTAAGAGTTCTTTACTATTTAATCAGATCCTATTAGTAACGAGCAGGTAGTTATTTAGTAAATCAGAAAAATAGATAGAATTAATCCAAGTAAGGAAAAGACTGTCAACACTATATCTCGATCATTTTCCAGACAAAAATCTAAAAGTCACAAATCAATACCATCGCTTTGTTTGGTATAAAAAAGAAGCACTTAAAATTTATTAGCAGAAACAGGAAATATAGTAATAGTAGATGATGAACCATTCAACCATATCACTTTGGAAATGATTTTAAATAACCTCGGATATCATAAAATTATACATTGTTACAACGGGTAAGAAGCAGTAAATTTAGTATCTTAATAAAAATGCATAAGAACTATATTAATGGATATAGATATGCCAGTCATGAATGGCATATAGGCATCATAAATTATAACAGATTTAATAGATCAAGAGAAAATAATGCCATTTTAGATTATTGCTTGTACGGCTCACGAAGATGAAGACACTAAATAACTCTGTTAGGATGCCGGAATAGATTAAATTGTTTTCAAGCCTATTTTTCCTTAGGTTCTGAAAGATGCTTTATAAATCAAGCATTGATTACTTGAGAGTATAAATTTGTATTAAACTATTGTAATTAGCATTAATATTACACTTTCCTCTCTTTCATAATAATTTTACTATGAACATTGGGCAATTGAACTATAAACTTTTGAGATTTCCTTTACCTTTTGCTGATAATTGATAAAAAGTTATTTTGATTTTTAACTTTTACTACAGAACTTCATACCGAATCAAGTAATATATTAGTCTTTTTTATTGATATAATAGTATCAAAATCTGTATAATTGGTTAAAGAATGGTAATAATAGATGTCTATAGTATTAATTATTCAACTTTATATTTTTTGTTTCAAAAACAATTATAGATAAATTACAATTTATCCTTTTAAAATTGAAACATATGGAGACTTTTTAGAATATTACAAAGAGCCCAGGTGTAACCTATTAACTGTTTATTAAAAAAACTTAAATCAGAGACAATAATTACAAAAAAGCAGGTTGTCCTATTTATGTGAGCAAGATGAACCTTTAATAATCACCAAGATTAAATTGCCAATTAAAATCTTAAATTACTGGTGACAAAAAATATAAAATAAGATCTAATTCTTTAAAATATGATTACAACAACACATATCGACAAACATAGACAAAATGCCTAATCAATTAATAATAAATCAACTAAGTTCCATAAAAAAGAAGGATTGAATCTATGGAATAATCAATATATTAGGGAAAACAATATAAACATTATACATAACATCAAAAAGAATTTAACATAGTTTTACCATAATAATTGTTACAAAAACAAAAATAAAACCCGAAAATTGTTTAAACTTAAGCAATAACTGAGCCTTCTTTGATTGAAGCCTTACAACCATGGGAATCATATAATAATTCTTTAGCTTACTATTAATGAAAATTTTAGGTACTATTGATTAATGCTTAATAATTATCATATTATTCAGAATAAATTATTCTCCTCCACGAAGCATGTTACTACTTCTATCTTTGTTGCAATGATATTTTAGACATCTCTAATGATAGCAATCTATTTATCTCTTTCGATAGTATTTTATTGATATTGTAATTCATACTCCTAACATTATTAGTTTCTTTATTGATTTCCATTCTTGGCAGCATTGAATTCCTAATGTATAAAATTAATTATTTAGTACAGCATGAGCATCTCTAGATCGCTTATCTTATATATCTCTATTTCTAATTGTCTCTTATAAAGCTTCTTCATCACTTGCTTTTTCTCTTGTCAAACTTTCAATGGCATTGAAGATAGCTGCTAATATAGTATCTGTATCCTAAAAGCTATTAAGAATATTCATACTCTGGCATTCTTTGCTTCTGCATCTTCTTCAGCTTTGATACTCTCCTTAATTGAATCTCTGATTGCTTCCATTTTTTCAATTAAAGTTTAAACAGCTGTTGGTTCCAATGTTGAGGTTAACGCAACCATAGCAGTGATTGGGTTTTCTTCACTTTCAACTTATTAAAGATATATACCCAATTTTGGCTAATTAAACTAAGGCTTCATTGATAGCTTCTTCTTCAATAAATGATCCAGCTTTGTGTTATGCAGCTACATCCCAAACTTAATGCAATTTTGGAAGAATAACTTCAAATGCTTGAACCATCTCTTTCATTTAAGTTGTTCTTGTTGAGAAATCTAAATTATCTTATCTTCTGATATCTCTTAAGGTATCATCTTTGGCTTGGAATACTTTAATTTATCTGGCTTTCTCATTAATTTCTGCCTAATAAACTGCAATTGCTTCATTTAACCTCTTTGCTTTAAACTCAGCATCTTTAATTTCATTGATTGACAAACTGATTCTTTGACTATAATTTTAAAGATCTTTCTTGCATTAAGATCCGATCTATGCTCTTTCATTGTCAGCATCAATTTATTTACCCTATTAAAATCACAATATAATTGAACTTCCAAATCTCCCTTTAAGTCGTTTAGCAATTTACTCACAGCACTTAATGATTCATTCCCTCTCAATTACAAGGCTATTGTCTGTAATATTTTTGAACCAAGGGGATGGTCTTAAATTTCCTCTAATTTAGAATATGAAGGGTCATCCTAAAGAGAAAGTTTTTTGTGGCCTATGATCTCTCATAAAGTTTTACTCTTCTCAAACGCAGAGTGTTCTTCCTCATTGTAATGTTTCTTACACACAATTGGATGTGTAAACAAGCACAAGGCAATTACTAATGCTACTAAAATTTTCATTAATTAATAAACTAAGCGTTTTTGAAAAATTCTGATATATAATATGTACTATAATAATAAATCAAATGACAATAATTCTCAGAAGATAATAGTTCCAAAAAGAATAATAATCATTTGAAACTATAAGAAATAGTATTTATAAAATCACAATCTAACCATTGAATTTCCATATAGCATTTATTCCATTGGAACCCTCATGTTATTTGAAGCATTTCTATGATGGGAAACCTTGAATTGGGCCAAGTTTTAAGAATTTAAGCAAGAGTTCATAGGATTTTAAACCGAATGATATTGTATCTATGATTACTGATATCCGTTAGAATAGGTTTACAATAATCTATAATAATACTATTATAATTTACTTAATTAAATCTGAATTTTATTATTATTATTTCTATGGTTAAACTTAAAAACACTAATATGACTGATTCTAACTTAAATTTGTTTAAAGCAGTTTTTAATTTGTAGATGAATTTCCTCTTCTTAACGGAGTTTATCCTTATGAAACATTTGCTACCTACTTAACCGGTGTAGATAATAAAGAATTGTTTCTAGTTTGCACATTTTATTACTTTTAATCAAAAATGATTGGTTTTTATAGAAGAGTGGGTTGAACATATTCAACAGTTTCATCTTTTTATGCTATTTAATTGTATTAACTACCAATAAATGAAGATTTTAAAGGTTTCTCATGAGATTGATGTAGTGATTAGTAATATTAAAAATCATAAGAATTTTATAATCTTGATGCATTGGATACTTTGAATTAAATTGAATGATTGTTCGAATTAGTTAGTGTTTTTTATGAACCATTGATTGATTGGCTTCTTAATTTTTATGGCGTTTATTAAGCCATCATTTTTATTTAAGGTTTCTTTGATATTTCTTCTAAATTTTTTTCATCTATTTTTTGAACCTATTCTATTATTTTATCACCAAAAGTGGCTGTCACTTTCTTTAATGGTAATTAATTTTCTTTGTACGCTGAATTGATTTTATGCAAATTTAATCTAGGGATTGTTGCTTCTTTCTACATTTTATCTCTCCTATTATGAGGATTTGGAACACATTATTGTAAATTATTTAATCTATTATTAATATCCTATAATGTGGACCTCAGGAGTTCACAACTAAGATCTGACCTATTATAAAATTTGACAATATTACTCTTAACGAATTGACATATAAAAATTTATTAATAATATATATTGCTAATTATTTCTTTGTTTTTACGCTTTTCCAGAAACTAAAAATGAGGACATTATCACTTTTAAAGATTGAATTTACAGAAATCAGATTCCATTACTTTCGACAGATAATTCATAGAATTAAAAATAACTGAAGAACAAAAAATATCATCATCGACTAAAAATTAAATGTAAATTGAAATCTCAAAAATTTAGAGCCTTTACTAATTGTAAAGATTAAATATATCGAAATGTATCATAGAATTTGTACCCCTCTGAATACCAAGTTTATTTAATTAAGAATAATATAATATAAATAAAAAAAAAACTCTTAATTTATGATATCATCCATTAACATTTGTTTTGTTAATTATTTCTATTACCTTATCAACCACAATTATAATTAACTACATGCTGAAATGGAATTTGAAAAATCTGCTGACCATATGATATTAATACCTATATAAATTATTTCATTAATATGATTAAAAATTTTAGAAAATTACAATTCTAAGTCTTGAATTATAATAAAATTGTTACAATTTCAGAACCCAAAACAATTGTAGATAAAATTAAAGTGGGTGGGCAACTATTTTTTGGGACTTTAAACCAAGTAAACTTAAAATATATGCATTAGGGTGTCAAATCTTGTTATAATGACTTTAAGTTAACAAGATCATTTGGAGACAGGTTTAATGCTTACTAATTATACCTGAAATTTCATGTTGATAGAGAATTATTCAAAGTTTTTCCTTTCTTATTCATATTTCTATTACCAGGTTCAGTTGCTTATTTACCAATGTATGCATATTTATTTCCAAATGCAATACCCACAAATTTTTTATTTGAAGATTAATACTAGTAGCGATTAAACTAAAAATTAATTCAATAAAAAATGGCTTCAAAGCTATTATTTTAGCAGTAAAATATCATTAAAAATTTTAATAATGCTACTTAATTAAAAGAAATCTATATTCTGAAAAAGAATTTATTCGAATAATAATTCAACCTTAAAAATTTGAACTCAGATTAATTAAATCTGATATGTTAGCATTTCTAAATGGAATATATTTCATTGCTAAATGTACCTAATAAAATTTATCATTTTATTTTCAACTTTCATAATTATTTTTATAATTTTTACTATTTTTTAATAAACTCAAAGAAAAGAAATTTATACTAGGACCCGTATAAAATAATAAATATAGGAAGACCTTTTTTTGTTGAGTTTATTAGATAAAAACTATTAATATATCAACTGGAAATGTATTTTGAGTATGTAAAATATTTTTTTATATTCTAAGATTAATGCTTAGGATTTAATCTTTGATTTTCAGGATAGAAATTATTATAAATATGCTTAAGAAAGGGGTTTGAGCATAGGAGGACTAAAATTAGAGAATTATAATGGAGATTGGGTTAGATTTACTTAGTAAAGTTAATTAACAATTACATAAAAAATATGGTTTTCAATATTGTACTCTTAACTATGATGAGATTTATAAAACAAAAATTCATATTGATATTGATATGCTATATAATATATTTTATTTAATAATGAATTCTTTGGTCTGTAGATAGTTCCTATTTGAAGAATAGATCTTTCCATAAATTCAAGTTCCTTAGTCAAATATAAATATAAAATAAGAACTGATATAAATCATAAATTAATATTTTATAAATTTACTTTCAGTGTGGCATAACTATGATAAAAGAACTTTTTATTTTCATAGAAACATCAAAACCAAAAATTTGATTGAAATAATCAAAATTTTCTTTTCTGATAGAATAGTCAAAGTTATTAAATTTTAGATTAATTTAAGAATTGTTTTATTAAATTTTGGAACTTATCAAGAAATGTTGTAAGCTGATTTAACAATTAATTGAATTAAGTTAAGGGGAAATTAGTAACTAATTACTAATTTTTTTTATTAAATTGTGAATAAAGTGCAGTAGTGGAATAAATTAAATTCTTATTACTAATCTACCGAGATTGAAACTGCTACAAAAACTTTGGGGAAGAATGGGAAATTTTATTAATATGAATTTTTAACAATAATATATAATTAAGTATAGCTAATTTTTATTATTGATTTTTTAACAAATCATTTTTATATTCATCACAAAATATCTTATTTTATTAATCGAAATCCAAATATATTCATTAGAATTCTAATATATTTAAATAGAACATATATTATAAAGGTATGTAATTGATATCATGAAACCATTTCTTTGTGTTATTTATTAAGTGTCCTCAAAAGAGACAATAGTTTGTCTTCTATTTTCTCATCTTTAATATCTTATTTTATGGACTTAAAATTTTATTTCATTAAAAACTTTTAAGAGTTTTTGTAAGTGAGTTCTGAATTGATAGATAAGCTTAAATTATCAAGAACTTTTTATTTGATTTAGGCATTGACACCATTGTTTAAATATGGAATCGGTTAACTTTACTAGGAATATAATATGATATCTCCAGTGTTAGAGTTTACTAAGATCGAGGCTCCTCCACATATTATCTTTCTTCTTCTCTTCTTCTGTGCTGAGAAATAATTAGCAGTATCACTGTAGTAATTTCTTAATATGTGTTTAGCAGATGAATATTTAACCTTATGAATAATGGCTGCCTAGGCAATGATAATAAAATTAATACTTAATAAATTGGTAAATGATCTTTTACTACACTATGTATCAGATTAGTTTTGGTATCTGAATCAATAGGTTTTCTCTTTTTGATTTAATTTGTCTCTCGTTCCGCTTACTGCACTAGCTGACCATCCTTTTATTTTTCCGAGAAGTTCATGAGGCAGACAAATCTGTAAAAAAATAATTAGTGAAAAAATTAGCATTATTCATTTTTAATATTTGAACAATTAAAATCTCAATACTATAAAATACAAATGTAATTTTTATTCTTAAAAGTGTATAAATGTAAAGGTTTAATGAAATCTTAAGAAGAGTGTAAGATATTATAAAATAATAATTTTTTATATTGAATGAATATTTTAATAAAATTTAAATATAAATATTCAACTTACTTCATCTTGGAAACATTCGAATATTAATTCACCTTGTTCATTCTCATATTCTCTAATCCTATCTTCAGTTTTTAACTCATTTAATTCCAAAGTCTCAGAATTATCAAGGGAAGTGTCTTTTGGATGGAACATATGAGCACACAAGTCTAAAACTGTTTTTTTGTCAATTTCAGCTGCCTCGTTTTCTTATGAAATAGAAATTTATCAAATTACCTGTATTGATTACACTGTAATATTCAACAAATTCACTTATTCTTTCTACAAACTTGCATTCTTCCATTTATTTAGCAAAATTCTCTTTACTAAGATAGGACAAACAAATCAAAACATGCATCAAAACTGAAACTTAAATCTAATCCTTAATGAATTTCAATAACTATTCCATCACCTGATGTGAAAATCTAGGTTAATGTTCCAAATATTATAAAGTATACGGAGTGTGTATAATATTTGCTAAGGTAGCAGAAGCAAAGTCAAGGCAAAAAACATGAATCTTAGTATTTACCGACTTTTAAATTAAGTTGACAATCCATTAAATCATTTCATTATGTACATAAGTTGGAATAACGGTGTCTTTAATACTAGCCTTCTACAAAATTGCCAAACAAAATCTTTATGTTACAGAACCGTTTTCTTATTCCTTTAATATTTTTATTATTTTTTCTATTATTATCATGTTTCCATTGTAGGTTAAATATTCAACTCCCCTTAAAGTGCTACTAATTACACTAATTAAACTTGTAATCGCATGTCTAAGGCTTTGGTTATTAATATCCAATAAATGAACTACAAAGTCAAATTTATCAGTGGCTTCGATGTTAAATACATCATTTCTAATTAATTCATAGACTAAATTTTTTCTTAATTCTGGTGCAATTTATAACGCATTTACCCTTAATGAAAGCAATACCTCTATCATGCCATCGACATTCTTATCCTAATTATTCTTAAATAGCTTAGTTTTATGCTCATGCATAACTTATTCAGTAATCAATTCTGTTCCTTCAGGCTTACCTTCATTAATTATTACTTTATGATATTTTCCTAACTAAATTTTATAATTCTCTAAAGTTTCACTGAGATTCTCATTTTTTGCTGTTTCCTTTAATGAATGCAATAATTGCAATAGGTTTATACTGACTGAAAATATTTATCTGCCTGCTTATAAAATTTATTAGTATTTCTTATTGAATTGCTTTGATTCCTTTTCTAAATTGATTTCCCTTTTTGTTTTCATATTATCACTTTTTAACAATTAAAATATACGAGGTTAATCTTCTCCTGTTTGTTTAACAATTTATTATTTATTGAGCATCTAGAGTTCAATATAAATTATGTACTTTATTGGAGACCTATTTACTCTTAATCTCTGCTTCAAAGCATTCCAGGGTATTGGAATAATTAGAGTATCTTAAGTACTCCTTAATATATTCATTGATTTCATTACTATCTGGGATAGAGGATTATGCCTAATTTGAATTAGCTGTTCTCATAACTATATTTGAAATATATTATATTACTAGGAATTCCTTTAAATTGTATAGGAATATATTTTATAAAAAAGATATTTATTTATGCTCTCATTCCATCGTCAAGCCACAAGGTAATTGCTCTTAAGTGCTCGAACATGTTTTTCAAGTAAAGGCGATAAGAAACCAAGTCATCCCAAATTTGTATTTGGTGTTCCAAAGGAAACATTTCCAAATGAAAATAGAGTAGCTGCAACACCTGAATCTATAAAAAATTTAGTCAAGGATGGCCATCAAGTAGATACTTATTAAATCTAAATAGGTTCTCGTCGAGTCTGGTGCAGGTTTAAAGGCTAATTTTGCAGATAATGTATATTAAGAAGTTGGAGCAAAAGTAGTCGACACTAATTCAGTTTATGACTAATCTGATGTAATCTTAAAAATTAGACCTCCTGAAAACACAAAGACTTTGAAAGAAAACCAAACCCTTGTATTCATTTTAATAAACTTAGACATCATTCATCTACCCTGCATAAAATAAGGAATTATTAAACTAATTATAGGAGAAGAAGATAACAACATTTGCTATGGAATGTGTACCCAGAATTACCAGAGCTTAAACATATGATGCCTTAAGTTCTATGGCTAATATTGCAGGATACAAGGCAGTTGTGTTGGCAGCAAATGAATTTGGTAGATTCTTTGCAGGTTAAATGACAGCAGCAGGAAAAGTGCCACCTGCTAAGGTCTTAGTTATTGGAGCAGGAGTTGCTGGTTTATCAGCTATTGTAACAGCTAAGAATATGGGAGCTATCGTTAGAGCATTTGATACTAGATTAGCAACTAAAGAATAAGTAAAATCTTGTGGAGCAGAGTTTCTGGAAGTCAAAATAAATGGTGAGGTAGTTGACGGTGCAGGTATCGGTGGATATGCTAAGGAAATGGGAAAAGAATATTTAGAAGCAGAATTAGCTTTATTCTTAAAGTAAGCCAAAGAAGTCGACATCATTATTACAACTGCCCTTATCCCAGGAAGACCAGCACCAAAATTATTATCAAAAGAATTAGTAGAAAATATGAAATAAGGATCAATTATTGTTGATTTGGCTGCTGAAACTGGAGGAAACTGTGAATTATGTAAACCAGGAGAATTATACAATCACGAAGGAAAAGTGAAGATCATTGGATATACTGATTTACCAAGCAGATTACCTACTTAAAGTTCAACATTGTATGCTAATAATATTGGAAAATTGATGTAATATATTGTAGGAACAATCAAAGATCCAAATGGAAAAATGACACAAGTGGATTTGAATGATGATGTTGTTAGATAATCATTAGTAACATTAAATGGAGAATTGAAATGGCCACCTCCTCCCATCATTACATCTAAGAGTGAACTCTAATAACCAGATACATCAAAAGCTGCATCAGCTCATAAAAAATAAGAAGTCAAAGTAGATCCATATAAATAAGCTTGGAAGAATGTTATTAATACATCTGCATCTCTTATGGCAATGATGGCTTTAGGTTATCAATCTCCGAATATGGAATTCTTGAAAATGTTGAATACTTTTGCTTTGGCAGGAATTGTTGGTTACTAAGTAGTTTGGGGTGTGACTCCAGCTTTACATTCACCATTGATGTCAGTTACAAATGCAGTATCTGGTATAATTATAGTTGGCGGTATGGAATTGATGGACGGCAAGTATTTACCAGGATCTTTGACTGGATTATTGGCAGCTGTTTCTGTTGCCATAGCTTCCCTGAACATTTCTGGTGGTTTCTTAGTCACATAAAGAATGTTAAATATGTTTAGAAGACCAACTGACCCTGCTGAATACAATTATTTAATGGCATTAGCAGGTGCTACAGGAGTACTTGGATATTATGGTGGACTCTATTATGGAATACCAAAAGAACCATTGACAAATCTATCATATTTAGCTTCATCAATTGCTTGTATTTTAGCTATTGGTGGATTAGCATAATAATAGACAGCTAGAATTGGTAATAGTTTTGGTTGTTTGGGAGTTGGATTGGGTGTTGCTGCCACTCTAGGATATAAAGGATATTCTCCAGAATTATTGGCTTAATGGGCATCAATGGTTATGTTGGGAGCTACCATTGGAGGTACAGTTGCTACCAGAGTTGCAATCACTGATTTACCATAATTAGTTGCTTGTTTCCATTCCTTTGTTGGTTTGGCAGCAGTCCTAACTTCTATTGGTAATTATTTACATGTATTCCCTCATTTGGCTGAAGATCCAGCTGCACTTGTTCATAAATTATCAATCTTCTTTGGTATTTTCACAGGTGGTATCACATTCACAGGATCACTCATTGCCTTTGCTAAATTGTAAAATCTCTTGCCTTCAAATCCAACTGTTATTCCTTATCACAATTAAGTAAACATTGCATTGGCAGCCTTATCTGTTGCATCTTTATTAATCTATAACCAAACAGGCAGTTTTGCTGTTGGAATGACAGCATTGTTAACAGCAACAGCTGCAAGCAAAGTGTTAGGAGTTACATTAACAAATGCTATTGGTGGTGCTGATATGCCAGTTGTAATTACAGTTTTGAATTCATATTCAGGATGGGCATTGTGTGCTGAAGGTTTTATGTTGGATAATCCATTATTAACTATTGTTGGAGCATTGGTTGGATCATCAGGTGCTATTCTCTCTTATATTATGTGCAAGGCTATGAATAGAAATTTAACAAGTGTTATATTCGGAGGATTCGATGTCAATCCTGCAGCCATTTAAGCTACTAAAGTTGAAGGTACTCACACTGAAATCAATGTTGAATAAGCTGTTGAAATGATGGTTAATAGTAAATCAATTATCATTGTTCCTGGATATGGTTTGGCAGTTGCTAAAGCTTAATATCCAGTTGCTGATATGTGCAAGACACTTATTGACTAAGGAATTAAGGTCAGATTTGGTATTCATCCAGTTGCTGGTAGAATGCCTGGATAATTGAATGTCTTATTGGCTGAGGCTGGTATTCCATATGATATTGTATTCGAAATGGATGAAATTAATGATGACTTCCCTGACACTGATCTTGCTGTTGTTATTGGAGCTAATGACACTGTTAATTCAGCTGCTGAAGAAAATCCAAATTCACCAATTGCAGGTATTTTATTCATTTAAACTATTTAGGTATGCCTGTATTGAGAGTCTGGGCTGCTAAATAATCAATTGTTATGAAGAGATCCATGGGAGTTGGATATGCTGCCATTGACAATCCAGTATTCTATAAGCCAAATAATAATATGTTATTGGGTGATGCTAAGAAAACTTGTGATGAACTTACCTCAAAGATTAAAGATCATTTTAAATGATGATTTAATTCTGTTGTACAATTTCATATAAATATTAAAAATATAATTCATTTTATCAAATTTGTTAATTTATCAATTAAATCTTGATTTTGACTTTCAGAATATGCTTTGGCCACCAAAAAATTGAGAGTCTAATTTGGTAGTCTATCCTTTACTTGCATCAATTCAATCAAGTATAAAATTAGATCATCTCCTGACAATTACATTTCATATATATCTTATTCTAATTTGGAATATAATTGTTATGATCCTAATTATTTTCTAGCCATAGATACATAGATAGACATCATGTTTTCAATTCTAATGTGTGAATTAATAATATAGTATTCTATTTCTGCTTCGCACAATTCTAATGAAGCAACATTTTATTGGGTTATAACTTGTAATGATTATGTGAATAGATCTTCATTTATAGTTTTTAATTATTTTCTAAATTATTCAATAAAATCATTCCAAAATTCAACATTACCATTATTTGTCAATCCCATTCCTGTTGCTATGCGCATATAAGAATGAAAATCCTTATCCAACTTTAAGCACTGCGAGGCTATATCATCCCATAATTACTTGTCCTTATATTATCCCAATGCTAAACCAATACAGGCTGCACCCAATTATTCTGCATTTGTTTTGGTTACATCAAATTCATTAACAAATTTATTCATAATTTATCTGTTCTAATAGTCATAAAATGCCACCATCTTGCCCAAAATTGACAATCCTATGGCATGCTATTAGCAACTCTCAATGATCTATTCAATTTCTTTGACTTATTCTTTTGACAAATTTGAAGTTGGCATAATTATTTTATCTAAAAGCTAATATCTGGTTTGTTAATCTTCAACACTCTTAATTGCTGTCAATAAATAGTCAGTATTGTCATCGTCTACCAATGAGTCCTGCTTCATTAGATCTACAACACAATTTAATTGTTCTCCATTTAATTGAGTGAATTGTTGTCTTGTATCAAAAATCAACTATTTGAACTCTCTATTTCAAAATTATTGAATACCTTAACAACTTATATCATGTTTCCCTTTGAATTACTTTAGCTATTCTAACTTTGAACTTCTCATAACTATCTTCATTAAATTTCGCAGCATTTTATAATAAAAATAGTACCAGAAATATAATTTTAAAACTACTTAAATACTTATGCTGGTTAGATGATACTTAATAAATTGAAACCTCAAATTCTTAAGAGTTAAAAGGAGTTCAACAAGTGGCCAAAAATTTTAGAGAATTCTTAAAATTACTTTGAGCTAATAATATAAAATTAATTAGCTTTATAGGAATTATTTATAGGGCTTCGTTGAATCTAGTAAATAAATTCAAATAATTCACAGGCTTCGGCTAGAATGAGCATTTAAGAACCACCTAGAAAAACAAATAATGAAAATGAAATCGCATAAGATTCAAAACAAGCTACAAGCAAGAAGGGTCTCAAGCAAATGAAACTCGACTATAAGTAAGAACTCAAAAAGCCTATCGATGGAAAACTGTTGTTTGGTGATAAGTCAATATGTCGACTATGTAAAGCATCGACAATGACTGAACCTACTATTATTTGCATTCGTTGTCATTTCAAGTACCATTAGGAATGTATACGCACATAAAGCAAAGAACCTCAAATTAAGGATGGAAATAAATGGCACTGCTTTTCTTGCCTAGATAGAATAGAGTAGAGAAAAATAAAGGATTCATAACCTTAAAAAAAGAAACAGTACAATTAAATACAAGATTTCTTTTAAAAAACAGTTCAACCATAAGGAGACAAAATCAAAAAGCTTACTGAATTTTAGTAGCTTTATCCTACTTATGTATAATAAGGTAGAGTATCCTTCCCTATTTTGGATGAATATCTAACAGCTTACCAAGGATTATTCAACATAGAGCCCAAGAAGAAGCCCGCCCTTCGTGCAGACCCAGGAATTCCTTAAGAAATATTTGAAGATGTCCTCAAAATTTGGGATGCTTACAATAATATGAACAAAATTATCAGTGATATTCTTCAAGAACATTAAATTGAAGGTATAGATATTAGATAGTATGTATTTTAGGGTAAACACAATCGAATAATATTGGAACTTTGATTCATTTTAAAGATAATCTAATATTATATAGTCATAAGACAAGATCGGAAATCTATTTTACTTTATAGCATAATCCTCAGGAGTTAATTTTATTTTTTTGTTATTTCTATTTAAAGTAAATTATTGAGGATTTGGATATGGAACAAATGCAAAAATAATAATATGTATGATATTTATCTAATTAAGAAAATACCTTATTGGCAACTAATGGGATACATGTGGCACACAAATAGATAGAGGTACTATCAATTGCTTAGAGATGATATAAAATCATTACCATCAAATATTTCTAAATAAGGTATCTTAAATCTCCCAGATGATTTGATTGATTATGTTGATTATTCAAATGTTACCAAATTGGCCAAACTTGTAATCGCGTTGGCTGATGGATTAGAATCTTTAAAGAAAACTTAATTTCTCTATCAATAAAGAATTGAATATATACTATCAAATAACAAAATCAAAACTTAGTTGGGAATGCAAATCAAAGAGTGGAGAAGCAAATAAATAGAAATAAATACTGAAGTTACTGAATCAGATGGTAAGTTTTAGGTTGCGAAAGTAAAATTTTTTTAATTTCATTTTAGTCGAGATTATAATAGGATGGATTAAGTCGTGCAGAAACTTAGCAGTTAACTAAAGAAATGGAAAATGCTAAAAATTAATCTCAAAATTTAAAATAATAATTTTCAAAGATAGAAAAAGAAATTAAAATTTTGACTTAAAGATTCAAATAATAAGAAAAGGTATCAATAATATAATAATAAAAGGAATTGGCCATCATATCGATTTCATCTTTGGTCTTAAATCCATCAGTCTTCTTGGGATATGACAATAAAAATAGCTAATATTATTTCTTCCTTTGGGAATCAGACAAAATCTTTGTCTGTATGAGGCATTCAATAATAGATGATGAAATATCTTAATGGGGTTACTATGATCTTACTGATATCAATGTATTAATGGAAATACTGTGTCAAAAGGGAGTCAGAGAAAATTCATTAAGAAATAATATATTAGAATTATAGAGAGCTAAATTATTGTAAGGGCATTAAGAAGAGGAATAGAAAGAAAGTACCTCAGATAAGAATAATGATGTAGATATTGAATAAAATCAAAGCAGTAGTACAAAAGAGTAGAAAATCAATAGTTTAGAGAATTTAGACATTGATTTGTTGTAATAGGAATTTTTAAATATTGAAAATATGTTGACAGAATATCTAAATCAAAGAAGCTCAAGGTGGTGTAGTGGTGAGATTAGAAACTCCTTTTTAAATAGTTTCTAGAATTTAATTTAAAAAAAATTAGACAAGAATTATGATGAATAGAATCTTGCTCCTTTTTGCAAAGCAATCGAATTCTTTGTTAATAGTACTACGACTCAGGAAAAACTAGAAATAAGACCTGAAGAGGATATTAATGGAGATGAGAAAATATCATAATTCAATAAGGATGATGAATCACATTAGTAATTGAATAGAAAAAGGAAAGTTATTGAAGACGATTCATCTGCTGAATAACCTATTTAAACTGCAATTTAATACTTAGAATAATTAGAAATGGGAAAGGTGAAAGTTCGAAGATTGCCAATGAAATTATTTGGCACATATTATGAAACATTGAGATTGAATTTAATAGAATAATTAAAATAAGATTATAATCTGGTCAAATTGAAGATATGTTTAGAAGTCCTTGGCTAGATAGTTTAAGATTACATAAATAGAAAGAATACATAACAAGTAGTAACTCAAATACCAGAAAAAACCAAAGGTGAGGAAGTGCATAACAATAAACAAACCCAGATAGCACCTGTTAAAGAACCAGAAATTAAAGTTTAAAGCTTGAGATAGAGAATAAAGTCTAAATCATAGTCAAGGAATGTCTAGAATTAGTGGGAAGATTAATGCAAGGAATGTGGACAAGGAGGGAAGGTTATTTGCTGTGATACTTGTCCCAAAGTATTTCATGCCAAATGTTTAGGACTTAAAGAGATACCAAAGGGAAAGTGGAATTGTTTAGTTTGTTTAAGCAATTTCGAGAGATAAGTCAAAACCAGAGCAACTATAAAGAAATTAGAAAATTAATGAACCATCGTTTTTTAATATTAAATAATGATTTGTGATATAATTAATATAGCACTCCGTACACCTCCTTAAAAAGAACGAATTTCTTTTCCTAATACTACAGCTTCTCCTATTAGTTCTAGCGATTCATCAGTGGAATCAAAATAAATCTCTAAACTACCAATTCCCAGACCTTTATTAAGTCAAGATGAAAAATTTGAAGCATCATTGTGCTCTTTTGGTATCTTATAGTAATTATGAGACTTTAAATTATTGATGCCTGATGAAGGAAGCATTTTCAATTAAAAGTTACTTACTTAAGAACTAATTGAAATGAGATTTATATTAGATCAAGATGAAAGGTAAATTTATTCAAAACTACAACCTTTCTATTAAAGCTTAGACATTTAAGAGCAAGATGTACTTCTTTGTTCCTTATAGTAGATACTAAATGATGATAGAACTACTTTAATGCTTAAGAATATTCCTAAATACATGAGACCAAGTGATCTGCGGAATCTCTTGAACAAAGACTTCAGATCTTAATTTGATTTTCTCTATTTGCCATCCGATAATAATGTAAATAGACAATTCTATACTTAGAAAGAAGGAAACTTAGGTTATGCTTTTGTCAATTTTCTTTACCCAGAAACAGTATTAAATTTTTTTAAGAAATACAATAATAATAAATGGAGTATAAATGATAAAGTAGACAAAGATATTTATTATAAAAGCAAATCTGCCAATTGAAGTATGCAAAATTACAAGGAAGAAGAGAGCTTATGAACTAATTAGATGAATGACTCCATTTTCTTTGGAAATTTTGATGATTTTTTGTTTTTTTTCAAATTTTGAGAGCATACAACTTTAATAACTCTAAATTGGTTAAATTTATATTTTATTTTATAATCATTAAAAATATGAATAGGATGAAAAAATTGATACATTAAAAAGGTCTCCTACCTGAAAAACCTTCATAAAACGATTTATTGAATGAGGCAAGGTTGGCCTTTTTAAAAAAATAGAAAACTAAAAAAGAATAAGAATAAATTGAATTATTTATGCTGTCTTTAAGTTTCGTATAAAAATTGAAAACACAATATGGACCTCTTATTGTAGCTGATTTATGTAGAAACCTATCCTATATGAGAATCCCTGCAGGCACTTAGAGTATTTTTTAAATAAATTTTAGTCATTTAAATCAATAAAGAAAACAGGACTTTTTATGTAATATTATCTGGCAAAGTAAGTATCAGCATATATGTTCAAAAAGGTTAAAGGAAAAGTTCTTTGAAAGTCATTTAAAACAATAACATTACTTAGCACTCTAGTTTATAGTAAATATAACAGGCCTCAACAACAGGCGCAATACACACTCAACCATCTTTAAAAGGCGAAGAAGAATAATTCAGCCTTCAAGAAATCAAAACACTGGAACAAGGCGATTCATTTGGAGAACTAGCCTTAATAAAAGATAATCTTAAAGCAACAGCAACAGTCACAACTAAGTCAGATTGCGAGTTTGGTTGTTTAACTCGCAAACAATATATAGACATTTTGGGAAAGATCAGCAAAGTTATTATTATTATTAGTTTAGAATTTACATCATGAAAAACTAGTCTTTTTGTAAACAATTCCTCCCCTGAAGTAGTGGAACGATGAAGATCTTAAACAATTGTCTTATTATTTGGTGTTGAAGCATTATGTAAGAAATTCAATAGCCGTTAGAGAAGGAGCAGATAACTCATAAATTTTTGTAGTCAAATATGGAGTATTTCATGTTGTGAAACAATTTTAAGGATAATAATTAATATTAAGCGAAATGTAAGAATCTGAAATTTTTTATTAACATCCAAGTGAATTGAAATATTAATTTTCTCTTAGGTGTGCTTCAGATGGTTCCAGCTTATATGAATTCTCACACTATGACTTTAAGAAATATGCAGAAAATAACAATTTAGAAGACTTTGTTAATTTGGAATAATAAAAATAAGTTTGGAGAATATAGAAGTTTGAAGAAAGAGTCTACGATGTTAGAAATGTACATCATTAAGAATAAGAACTTATTGAAACTAAAATAGAGTTTAAGAAAACTATTAAATTATATGAAGAACTTAAAATTAGGTGTAGATCTGCTAAGAGAAAAAAGACTCTTATTAAAGTAGAAGAAAATTCAATCCAAAAAACTTAAAGGTAAGCTCAAATGGCTCTGAAGAAAAACTAAATCCTTAGATTTGGAGATGATTCAGGTGAAAATTCTTTCACTCTTCCAGCTATCAGAAGTACTTCAAGAAAAAAGATATATGTAGATTTAATTGATACAGAAAAGAGCTTTGAAACGCTGGACTAATATAATATTGGTGATTCGGAAAAATATCAATTGTATTTTGACCATTCACATCCTTGGAGGAATGTAAATCCAAAAAAACAAATGTTTAATTGATAATATATATATCTTAACTAAATTTTTCATTTTTATGTTCATTATACTGAATTCGCAAATTTTTAGATAAATTCTCTTAAAATTCTATTTAGCTTATTTAGTTCATTCCTAAATTAATAAAATTTATACGCATTCTTTGATCCTGAAATCTTTTCTAATTCATCAATCCCTCTAACAATGATTCCCACTTTTTCTAATGCAATTATGTAATCTTTCTTAATAGTTATTAGATCCTCATTCACAGTTTGCTTAAGATCAGTGTTTTTTTTGTCTGAAAGTAAATCTTTATAGAAGTTCAATTTTTACACAAGCTATTAATTCGATAAAATAAAATACTTTTTTTTAAAGATTGGTTAATTCCTTTTCTAAAATCTAACCTTAATTATCATCTAAGACAGCAGTTTTATTGATGAATTAATTTTTCTCTAAATCTTTTTATTATTACTAAATATATTCTTAATATTTCTAGATCTGATTTAAATACTACTAATTTTAATTAGACAATTATTTAATTTCTGATTACAGTTTGAGTTTCTCATTTTAAAATTAAGCCAACTAAGTTTAATTTATCTGATTAAGTTTTTAATTCTCTTAAATTTAATCTTTTAGTTTTTTTTCAGATATATCTATTTATTAAATAAATTAATCTTTTTAGACGCTCAACTCAAAAATCATCTTCTCAATTTTTTCTTATTTTTTTAACTCTTATTACTGCTTTTAAATTTCTTCAATTTTTTGATTTAATAACAATTGTAAATCTTTGTTTTTTTAATTAAAGTTCTCTTACATTTAATGAAGATCAAATTCAAATTAAGATCTTTCACTTTAAAGTTATTATGATAACTTAACTAATTTCTAATCTAGTTCTGATTTTTGTTTTTATTATAGCAAAGTGTTATTAATATGTTATTTTGATTCATTTTTACAACTAATAAGTGTATTCTATAGTTCATTGATAGATTTTTCTGCTTAATCCTTATAATCATTAAATTCTTCAGTTACTAACTTGTATTCTTGCTCAACATTTTCTCTCTTTTTGTTTTCTATCTCTAATTAACTTTATAACTTTTAGATTTCATCATTCTACTATAAATTTGCCTACTCCAATTATTCAAAAGACACCTTTAGCTCTTCAATTTATTTAAAATAAGAATTTTCTTTTAATATTTAATTTTCAAATTTAGCTTGAATTTCTTAATTTTCAAGTAATAATTAATTATACCTAACTTAAGAATCTTAAATATTATTTGTTTACATTTGTATCATTTCTAATTAGCCTAACATAGTTTAATTTAATTAATCAATCTAATTTTTAGAATTCTCATTTAATAATTCTAATTCCTCAATTCTTTGAGATTTCTCATTAATTTCATTTTGCAATCTTTGCTAATCAGAATTTGTCTATTAAACTAAATTATTTTGATTATGGTATTCATCTTTTAATTGATTAATGCTTTAATTTAATTATTCAATTTAATCTTTCAATTTGAAATTCTCATTTTTTAATTCTTCTGATTCTAATTCAAGATTTTGTATCTTTTATACATTTATCAATGTTGTCTTGCTGTATTCATCTTAATCCTTTTATTTCTATTGTTGGAATTTTATTTATAAATCTTCAATTAGAGATTAATTATTTTACATTTAGAGGGACTGTTCATTTTTTAATTTTGCCAATTCTAACTGTAACTAATTGATTTCAAGACTCTACTATGTGGCTTTTTAGGTACTTATTAATTCCTTTTAATTGCTGTCTTTCAAAAATTCTTATAGTTCTGCTATCATTGTACTCTATCTGTTAATTTGCTCTTTTAATTAATCGGTAGCTTGATTGTATTCTTCTTTGTTGATATTTTTTTCATTTTCAACTTAAATCATTGAATTCTTCAACTGATTAATCTCATAATTTAAATCTTTAATTTATGCTTGCAATTCATAAACCTATTGACTGCTGTTTTTCTATGTTCTTTCTCTCTCCAAAATTAAAGAAGTTACTTCTTACTTTTGTTTTTCTAATAACCTTTACAATTCAGAAATAACCTCTTATTTGCTTTATATTTCATTCAAATATTTCTATACTTAACTATCCAAACTGGTTATCTGATTTTCTTTTTCAAAAATTGCTGACTATTTGGATGACATGATGCTTAGACGTTATTCATCTTGATCTTTTATATTCTGTTGTAGTTATTAAATTTAATAATTTAAATCTTAAATTGTAGTATTGGCTTATGACAATTATGATTTTTATTTTTCGATAACTTATGTTAACTAAGCCTCTTTACTTTATTTTTCACTTTCAGCATCATTCTTCTATATTTTAGTCTATTTTAATTCTTATAAATATTATTTCATCTGCAATTCATACTAAGAGATTGTTGTCTTTGAGTCTTATTCTTATTGCTTTTATTATTTTTTTAATTATCTAATTTATTCAGATAATTAAGTAATCTATTAATTATTTTAATCTAACAAGATCTTATAATCATCAATATTTTTTGAAATATTTGTTTCCTATGATTTTGAATGTTCTTATAAAATATTTATTTTGTCATTGAGTTATTGAATTAGCATTTGTTTTTACAATAAATCATCTTTATATTAGTTTATTTCATTTGTTAATTTAATTTAAGTTTATTTATTTAGATCTTACTCTAAAGCTAATTCTTATTGATGAGTTGTTATAACTTTCTGCAATTATAATTTCTCTTCATTTGCTTTTTTTAATAATGATTATTTTTAATCCTCCAATTAAGTAATAGTAGAATTCAGATTTTGAATTTGATCACTATATTTTTATTCTATTTCCAATTAGCTTAAATTAAATTGTTATCTAGCTTAATCTAAATCATTATTTATTTATTTATTTAGTTAATTTAACTAATCAATTTCTTGATCTTTTTCATTTTTATAAGCTATAAATTCATTATTTAAGAGTGAATTATCTTTAACTAATTATTAATTTTAAGTTGTAAGGGATTGTAATTATTCATTTAAATTATTCAATTGTTAATTTAGTTCGAATTGTTCATTCTCAAACTTTGACTCTAGTTATAGTTGCTCATTTTTTAGATTTTGAATTTAATATTAAAGTTCGTGAATAAATTCTTATTTTTACTTAAGTTCAATTTCAACATCTCTTTTACTTTGTACTAATTCCTTTTCTAATTATTCTTTGTTCTTAAGTAATTAATCACATTGGTAATTGAGTTGATCATTTAATTCAGTCAATTCATTTATTTTATTATTCATTAATTCTATATTTAATTGATTTTCTTAAAGTTTATCTTGTTATTCTTAATTTAACTATTTCAATTTATCAATTTCTAATTTTGATAGGTTTTAGATTTGAGTTGCTTTATTGGTTAATTATTAAATCTATGAAAATTATTGAGCATTAGTTTTTTATAATTCCTATAATTCAGCTTAGCACTTATGAAGATCGCCAATTAGTTTAATTCTTTCTTTAGCAATGTCACTAATTTCTTTTTACTCCGCTTCTTAAACTTCTCTTATTTTTAAATCTTTTTCTTTTATCTATTCTGATAATAATACTAAATTTTCTTAGAGATCTTGAATCTTTGAATCCTTTGAAGAATTCTCTTTTGTTTTAGATTCAATAGTTTTTTGTAATTCGTCTAAGATTACTTGTTATTTTTTTCTAAATTCATCCTCTGCTGTTCCCAACCTAAGTCATTTAATTGTGAATTACTTTTATTGTAATTGCAGACATTCTTATTATTTCATTTATAGGTTTTATTCTAATTCCTATTTTCTGGCTTCAATATGAATGTACTGTTTTTCATCATTTTCATACCTTTGAATTCTTGCTTTCAACTTTCTATTTAATATGAATAAAATACTCTATTTAATTCTTTAATTCTTCCTTTTCAAATCTAAATTTATTGTTTTGAAATTTGGAGTTCCTTGTTGATTAACATTAATAATTACCCATCATCTTGCTCAAGAGTTTAATTTTTTTATTGCTAAACTTATGACTATTATTGAAATTGTGAATCGACTACCAAATTGTCAGATTTATTGATTAATATTGGTTGTGTATTATTTTCCTCTTTCTGTATAGTCTGAGATTAGACAGCTTGTTGCTCTTGTTTGATTTCCTATTGAACCTGGCCTACTAATTATTATATTTTATTCGTTTCTTCCCTCGACATTGAACTTCTGGTGAAGACTTCGCTTTTTCTTTAGGGAGGTGGTTATTGTTGTAAAGGAGTGGTAGTTTTAATCATTGACTAAAACTTCCCTGCCAGTTGTTTTACAGACATTCTATTTGCCTCTGGCTGATCTTCGCTCATAAATTAATTATAAAATAATTTTCGTTTGTATTCACTTTATAAGAGCCTCAACGTAAAATTATGTTCTGCAATTTGACAATTTGATGTCGGAAAACCAATAGGAAATTACAATAAACTAGTTTTCTAATAATGAATGCCTAGATTAATTATTATAACTATATGAAACAAAAAAAATTATACTCTCCCCACCATCAAAGCAATAGTTTCAGCAGGTTCACTAGCTAATAAGATCTTTGTATTGATTCTTCATATATTTCAAAATATTTAGGATAGCAAAAACATTTGCAATCTCCTTAAAAATTGATGTCCACTATGTACTTGAATAGATTCGAAACTAATACTCTTAATTCACCATTAAGTGATAGAAGTCATAGCAACAATAAATACAAGCAATTAACTAAAAATTATTTTCAAAAAAAATACCTTCTATTGACAGCAGGGAATGAGAAGAGTATAAAAGCATGGAGAAATTACTTAATTAATAGTTTCAGGAAAAAGATGGAGGAATTTTTTAATCTCAAGAAACTCATTCTATCCCCTTAGAACAGAGGAAGAAAACTTAAATTAGGACGATTCGACAATCCCATCAAACAATTTTGCTATTTGAGTGATGAAATTATTGCTTTGAATGCATTAGCCAAATAAAAAGTTCCTGGAATTGATTTAATTTAAGAACAGGACAAATTAATCAAAACCAATTACCAATATCTAAAGAATTCAGACAATGTGGATTACGATTCTAAGTAAGACTATCTAATTTATAAGGATGCAGAGCATGATTTCATAATACGAAGTTATTATTAATAGAATATAGAGAGAAGCATTCAAAATTCATTTGCCTAATTACATTCAAGTCAAGATGCAGAATTACAATGACTTCTATGATGTAGATAATAAACATGCAAATCCCTATTTCAGTTCAAAATTGTATGATTCTTGTTAACAATTGAAATTCTAAAACAAAAAACTAGTTAAGAATTCTCAATAAACATCTATATGTGAAAATATTTAATTTTCGAAATTTGATGAACCTATTTAAAAAAATGATAATACTATATAGCCACAAAAAAGCTTATCAAAACCATTAGTTTTAGAATAAAATTTGTAATCATCTGATCTTATAAAGAACGACTATATTTTATATAATGATCATGAAGATGAAGTGGCATTTGCAAAATAAACTTGCAAATCAAAGTCAGAGCGAAATAAATGCGTGAAACGTAAATTCAGAATCAAAAAGCCCCATGAATTGTAATAAAATACTTAGGTTAATTTATCGGATCATCGGTTTGTCGATTACATGCTCAGCCTTGAGGATGTTTACGATTGCAATTTAGAACAATTCAAATTTAACTTGCCTCTTGAATTTGAATAATGCAATCATTTAAATCTAGATGACTATGAATTTGTAGATACTGACGAGGAAAAAGCATACACAACTTAAATTTAATGGAATGATTATTATTTACTAAAAAATTAATGAATTTAATTGATTCTTTATCGAATGAATTCCAACAACTTTTAAGTGATTAAAAGAAAAACCAAGTTTTGAAACCTCTAATTTAAGGAATAATAGACGATATCAAGAAACACAAGTCTTAATAAAATTTACCTATTTAAGAAATCATAAAAATCCTTGTTAGACTGCCTGAAAGCAAAACCAATCAAACATCTGGAATTGCTCTTAATATTATCTTAAAATTATTCAACACTCCCATATTGCAGGAAGTAATTTAAATTCTATTTTAGGCAGACCTTCATCCCTTATTGCATTCTCTCTATTTGTTTAAAGATGAAATAATTGATAATGTGCAATTAAAATTGGTGCAATGCAGTGTCCATTTAATTCATAAAGAAATAGTAAATATCAATAATCCTGAGTGCATTGAAAAAGTAATAAATAATCTAAATGTAGCTAATTTGCATATTCTTCACCTTGGTAATTTCAAAAAATCCAATCATTCAAACTACATCAATGACAGGTCTAATGAAAATCCTCGATTTCTTATATGCATAATATAGCGAAAAACCTCACAGAAATGGAGTTCTGATATTTTTACAACTTATTTAAGGAATGAAAGGATAAAAGGTGCCCTTCGTTGTATAACACTAATATTCTAAGGGAATATGCAGAGATATGATATTTCAGATAGTCTAAAATTTGGGGCCCTTTCTAAATAAAGATGAGTAACTCAGCAAATTAATAGAAGAAATCTCTGCCATTATTTATGAGGAAATGAGTTTGGATTCTGCAGATGTTTAATTCAGTAATTGCTTATATAATCTTAGATGCAAGAAGGATAAGGGACTCATTCAGAATGATTGTGAGTTTACAACGCGACATCTCATTACTTAAACACATAAGTCTACTATTTACAAGATCTCCATCCTATGGTTATGTTAGATACTGGATCTTGGAAGGAATTTTGACCTTACTACAGGATCCCAAATTGGTTATGCTACTCTATCAAGGACCTTTATAGGAGGAACAACAATAGCAATAATAACAATAGCAATCTACTTTCTTATAGCATTTGGTTTTCATAATCAAACTATCAACTGAATAAGAACCTCAATATACAATAAATTAGTCAAATCAATAATAGACTTTCGCTAAATAAAAGAAGCTATACGAATAGAATATCTTGAATTTGACAGAAATTCCCATATACAACAAGTCATAATTTACCTAAAAGTCAAGTATGATTCCCAAATATATTAAATAGTTGAATGCATCTCTCACTTTACTGATTCAATTCTACAAATTGCATATGAAAAATAAATTGGGTTGTTTAGTTTGAATTACAAATTGTCATAATCAAAAATTTTGATTGAAGATAACTGCAAGGAAGTTAATCAAATAATCGAGACAACACAATAATTAACTCTAAAAACTGTTTAAAATCTAATGATAAACCTGAATGATGAAATCCAGTATTAAAGTATCTTAAATTCAATATAAACTTGGATTAATTTATCTGGTTCTCTAGGTTAAAACAAAACTAGAGATGCCTTTATTAAATTTTTGAGCAGTCTTTGTGTTGCCAAACAAAATACAACTCTAACAAAGAATCAATTATAAAGTGCAAAAACCTTATTTAATATAGCATAGTTAGGAAGTAATGTCATTAATTAAATTTTTAGATTTATTGGATATTAAATCCTGGTATATCATTATGAAGGCTATGTAGTAATTTGAGACACTCCTTTAGAAATCTTAGAATCAAAATACCATATAATAAGAGTCTCATCCTGAGATATACTAATAGGAGATATCGTTGTTAAACAACATCTTAGACGGTTTGTTTTCATCAAGTAATGTGTATGAAGATGCAAATTTACTACACATGATTGAAGCAATAAATTAAGTTACTTTGAGTCTGATGGAATAATTTAATAATGCTTAATCTTTAGTTGATTCTAAGTCCATTTAGTTTGGATTGCAAAAGATTCACTAAATAACAAAGTAGAATTGGTTCAGGATCAACAAGTTTTGGGACTTTATCACAGCTCATTTCTTATGCATTGCAAACTATAAACATAAAGCATTTAGAGAATCTGCATTAGAGATCTTTTCATATATAGTGCAATAAGGATTTATCTATTTTTTAAAGCCAGACTAGAGTCTCTGTTGGGAAGGTGATAGTTGGTAGTCACATTTATTAAGTCCAATTCAACAGATGATAAATATTCCATATGCTGATGTCAAAGAGACTTTGCTGAATATCATTTTTAAGTTGATTTAAAATAATGGACATGAATTGAATATACTAGGATTTAATACGATAATTGAAATTTTGTTAATCAGTTGTGATGAAACAGAGCCTACTGGATATGTAAATATTGGATTTCACATTTTGGAATTGTTGATAGGGTAATTTATGCATCTATTGGATCCTAAGACAACCAGAAGACTATTGCCTTTAATCAAGTAATTTAGATAAAGAACAACAGAATAAAATATTAGTTATGTCTCTGTTGGTCTTATTTGGTAATTAGCAGATAATCTAAGTAAGATCTGCACAAGTCAGACATCACAAACTGAAGTGGAAGAATTATGGACAGTTGTTTTATAGAGTTTAAAGGATTTGTCATTGGACAACGCTCCTGATGTTAGATAATCTGCCTTGCACATAATAATTTAAATTATATTAATTAATTGTGGATCATTTAGAATCAACTTTTAAATTGATCTACTAAAAAACCTTATCTTCAAGATCTTAGATGATCTGATAGGGAGAGTAGCCTAATTACAGTAACTGCAGGTGATTTTTCATATGAAAGTACCAAAATATTTGAAAGAGGAAGACTATCCCAAATTTACTAAGTTTTCTGAATAGGATTTATAAAGCTCAGTTAAAACTTAAAATGAAGTGATGGTAGCATGGGAAGACACTCTTAAGATTATGATTTAAAATTTAACTAAGTTTTTGAAAAAGATTGGCCAATAAGAGGATCAAGAATTTAAATAGCATGCTTAATAATTATACAACGAAACCTTTATTAGATTAATAATATCATTCAAAATCAATAATTTAGATTTAAGATGGGAAATTATTCGTTTGATTAAAGAAAACACAGAAATTATGATAGAAAAAAATTTGGTTGAACAATTTGATTGGGCCAAAGAATTCATCTTATGTATATAAGAGTTTATTGGATAAAAGATTCAAGATAACAGAGATGTGAAAACATTAATCAATAAAATTTTACCTGAAGTATGTGAATTATATGTGCTATTTCTAAAAGCTCACAACAAGAATCAAAATTCATTCCCAGAAGAATTAGTAGAGGATTTGTATGAAAGTTACCAAGCAATTGTTGATTTGCCTATAAACATCGAAAACATATCAAACATCAAAATATGGATGGATGAAAAACAATTACATGATTTTGCGGAAGACTTCTATATTCATCTTGGCAACTTAAAGGATAAATCTAAATTCTATGCATTTCTCTTATTAAATATGAAAAAGGAAGGGGGTATGACAAAATTGTAGGATCTTGTCATCCTTAAATATACACAACTGTTAAATAAATATATATCAGACAAATAATTGACAGATCCTGAACTTATTAATTAATATGTTGATATTTGTCTAATTTAACTTTCAATTAGATAAAACTAACAGAAAGTCAATAATGTTAAAAATTACAATAAAACCAATAAACCTTTATGGGTCCAGGTTCTGCCTTTGATTATAGAAACTATTCAAATTTGTTAAAAAGAAGAATATATCTAAATGTTGGCTGAATAACTCAATTTTGCTTAGTAATGGGATAAAATAGTAAGTATTGATGGATTGAAGAGCTGCATTGATGTGGAATTATAAATTTGTGATTGGCTCCTTTCTTAAGACATTTTGGATAGAGAAATTATTAATTATTGGGAATTACTGTCTAGGAACATCAATTTGTATTAATTGGAAGATTTGTTTTATGAGACCAGATAAAAGTTGATGAGTATAATATTCAAGAAACCTAAAAACTTAATGACTTTAAATTAGATTTGCTAATCCTTAGTAACCTAATTTATGAAGGATGAGTATATGTCAGGATCGATGCCATTAAGTAGAAAACGAGTATAAGAAATTATTCAATTATTGTTGGAATTATAATCATTAAAAGATTTGAACTTGGAGCCCCATCCATTACTCTAGGTCTTTGAATGTTTAGTAGAATTAATAACAACAAGAGAAATTGATATTAAGTAACCTTTATAAAATTTGTTTAAATCTGTTGCATTAAAGATTAGATCGCATAAATGAGTTAAATATAACAATATACATTCATAAATACAATGATCCAATTTTTATTATGAAATAATTATTACAATGAAGTGAAATATTGTTATTATTTCATTAATTCAACTCTCTCGATTTACAGATAATTTCTTAACCCTTGGTTAGGAACTTTACTCTGCTTAGTCGTGTCTAGTCTGAAATTAACGATAACTATTTTATATTTAATAAACTGAAATTTAATTTACTTACTAATTGAGCATTAATTTATCTGATTTTTTAAATGTTTCTAAAACCGCTCTATACTTATGTTAAATAATCAAATCCTAAACTAAAACCTATATATATTAACATCTCTCCAAAAATGTTAACTTCTATTTTAAAAAATATAAAATCTCATTTGATCCTTTTATTTATCTATAATATTCACAGTAATTAAAGTCTGAATTCAGATGCATTAATTGGAGATTTAAAACTACATAAAAAGTTCTTTTATATCAAAATTATTTTAAACAATTAACACTATTTAAATTTGTTTCTTTGCAATTTCTGTCATGATAGAAAGAAAGTAAGAGTGCCTTAAGAGTGTTTGAATATATATTAATCTATAGAACAATTATTCAACATTGTAATTATCTGAGAATGCTTATAAATTTTATTTGTTATATAAATTTTTGGTTGGCTAAAAAG